TATAAAGTATAATTTTTTTCCAAAAATGCACTATTGATATTGAATAGTATTTTTTGGTTAATAAATTAGAAAATTGCAATTATACCAAACAGATCCTTCAAATAACAAAGATTTTCATATGGACTATTCTTAAAACAAAATATAATATTTATACAAGAAAAATCAAAATATAATATTTTTTACAAGATTTTAAACTAAATTTTGTTGGTAAAAAGAATTAGCCTTATTAAATACCCCTTAATCTAACATCAATATCTTAACGGAATTATTTATAGATTTTGCAGGATATGTAATCACCAAATTCATATAATAGAGAAAGAATAGGGAAAATTGTAATTCTAAAGAATTTAAATTTCGATTTAGATTATAATCATTATTCTATTGATGTTAAATATTAATATGCTTTGCTTTGCATCTAGTATCTTATTTATAGTATTTTTCTTAAATTAAACAATTCTCTATTTTTTTTTTTTAAACTTAATCATGATGAATAAAGAGTTCAAGAGTATCATTTAATGAAAATAATTTTATTTAATATGAAAACAATGATCAACTAGAATTATTAGACTAGAATTTAGATGAATAAGAATATATCAATTATATTTACAAACAAAATCAGATGGGCAATTAATAATAAAAATTAGTATTAGTCCTTTTTTTGAGTCCTCCTTGTAGAACGCTATATGAATATAACATATTTCGGAAAAGTAATATAATAATAATAGGGAAGCAAACATTGAATGGCTTTTAAAATTGCATAATTATTATAGTACAACTTCTGTATTCTAAAAAATAATTTCAGATGAAATATAATTTACAATCATTTCTTTCTCTTATAATCTTGTATTTGAAATAAATAAAACATTCTTTTATTTTAATTAAGTTATTTTATTTAAACTTAAATTCATGCATTTTTATTAGATATATATAAATTCATTTAAGCTTATTTTAGTAGATTTTTGAATAACTTCTTATTTATAAAATCTTTCTAACTACCTTCATAACCTTTCATGATTTTTAAATATATTCTTGCTAAATATGTGCTACTAAATTTCTGAAATATCTGAAGTCTATAATTAAAAACCTGTATAGTCCTATATTATTTTTTGTACTCATTCATGATTTACTCTTATAAATAAAATGCTGAAATTTTATAAAACTTAATCTTATTGTTATCACCATACTTCTATAAAAAAGAAATAAGTGTGATTTTCTTTAAATTATTAGAGTTAGATTTTTAGTTTATTTCATTTTAAATTAATTAAAATATAATTTATATAGAATTTACATAGAATTTATATTGAATTGATAGAGAATAATTTAATAAATAGAAATGATAAAATCTTTTAAAGTTCTATTTATTGAATCGAAATAATTTAAATGGAAACAGAATACAATAGTAAAAAAAAGCCCTTAGTGAATTCGTAAGGCCCTTCATTTTAATCGTTTTTTTGTAATGAAATGAATAACATTAGGGAAATCCTATGTAGAATTTGATTAGGATGATTCTGAAATTAGTTTAAATTAGCTTCTTCCTTTTCTATTGAAAATGATTTATGTTTAAGCACTTAATTTAATATTGGTTTATATTATAGCCTTTTTAACATTTTATTTGGAAAGCTTTTAAAATTTACTAATTAACAATAATAGTGATTTTGTCTATTAAACTTTCCTTTTGGCTTTTATTATATTATTTTTCATAATATTATGCACAAGAAAAATAAAAAATGTAAATGTTTTATCAATTAAAGATGATAATTAAATTGATTATATTAATTATAATGTCCATAGTAGTCATAATACTATTTGGAAATATTTTAGGATTGATTGTGATTTATTTTCCAAAAGAATCAACAATAATGTTTCTAGTTTATATACTCCTCACAAGTTTTACTATGTTGATTTCCTTCATAATGGTATTAAAAATAGTTTCACCTGAAAAATTTACATTTGAAAGTAATTTTATATAACAAATTTAGAATTGGTAGCTGCATCAACTTTATCTTAATTAATTTTATTTATAATATTTATTAGTATCTACAGTTAAGAGTGGTTATTTATTGTAATAATCTGGATCTTTCATTACTTATATTGTATGTGTTTTGTTTATGTGCTTTTGTAAATTTCAACTGGATAAAATGTATTTAATAATTAAATTACCATAGAAAAAAATTAAGGTTCAAGGAAATAATACTGTAGATTATCTGATGGCAGGATTAGTTATTTATGTCGAATCAACTTGTCTATCAATAGACTTTGTTCCAATAATAACTTTATTTCTAATTTTCGAATCCATTTCAATAATGTTTTGTAAAACAGATGAAAAATATATTTGATACATTTAGCAGTTTTGTGATATTAAAAATTTTAATCAAATTTCTATTAGTATACATTCTCATAAGATATTTATTATAAATATTATAGTATTAGTCAAATTTAGAGTTTTTTTTTAGAATATTTCAAAATATATCAAAGCTTTAGTAGATAATACAAAGCATTTGTTAGGATGGTAAATTTTAATGGTTTTTATCATTAAAATTATGCTATTCATTTAGAAAAAGATTTCATTAAAGAAATTTTTGGTAAACTTAGTTTAGTGAATGCAATTTTGGATAAGATAGATTCAAATTATTTGCGATGATGGCTATGGCACTCTCTTTATGGAATTTTTATATTTCCCTTTTTTTGAAATTATCATACTATTCAACAAATGATTAATGTGATATACAACACATCTAAGTCTTGTTGTCTGGTTATTTTCAAAATTATTATTATTGGATAGTCAAATATAAGATAAAGATAATAAAAGGCAATTGGATGTTATCTTCTTATAAATTCCTTAAGATTACATATTAAATCATAAGAACTTATAATTATTGAGAAAAAAGGTATAATACATACTTAAAAATATTAATTTCATTAAATAAATATAATTTATAAATATTATTATCATTTTTCAAGAATTCAGAATTTCTATTTGATCTTATTAAATATAATATTATTAAGAAATTTAGTTTGAATTATTTGATATTAAATAATTTATACTCATTGTTCATAATCTTGTTGCAACTGAATTATTAAGCAGAATATTGAATTTGATATTAATAATTAGATATATGAGCATACCTAAACATATAGTATCAAAGTAAATGCGATCTTGTACTTTGATTTCTTTAAATTGCAATTCCTTACATTTGTATTTGAATCAGAAGACAAAATTTCTAGATATTATGAAATAGATTTAAAAGTCTTGGAATAAAAACGTGTAATATATAAGACTTTTTAAGACTGATGGATAGGAAGTTGAAGAATTAGATTTGGTCAACATTAAAAACGGGACAATACTTTATGCAGAATTAAGTTATTAAGATTTCAAGCCAAACATTATTTAAAATGATTACGATATTATCAAAAAGATTGGAGAAGGAGGTCAAGGAATAGTATTATTAGGCAGAAATAAAATTACTAAGAAAATGGTTGCTTTAAAAAAAATACTAATTAAGAATTATAGAGGATCAGATTATGAAGAAATTTTTACAGAATCTAAAATTTTAAAAGGATTAGATCATCAGAATATTGTTAAATTGTATTAAGATTATTTAATACATAATCAGAATGAGTTTATAATGGTTATGGAATACTTAAAAGGTGGAAGCCTCATAAATTAAGCTAATTGTAATTAATAATTTATTTATTATAATAGAAAATTTAACTGAAGCAGAATCTAAGGTATATTTAAAATAGATAGTCGATGCTATTGCTTATTGTCATGAAAACAATATTGTACATTGTGATTTGAAATTAGAAAATATTATGTTAGTTTCTTCAACTTCTAAAGAGGTAAATTATTATTTAAGTTAGTTAAAAATTATTGACTTTGGAGTTTCAAATTACATAGGAAAATAATTGGAAAGTGAAAATTTCGTTGGAACTTTATCATACTTGCCTCCAGAAATTTTAGTTACATCTAAAAAATAAATTTAACCATCTTAAGATGTATGGGCAATTGGATGCATTATTTATGGATTAGTTTTTGGAAGACTCCCTTTTGATGGGGCAAATTCTTCCGAAACCTTTAGGAATATAATTAATATTAAGTACTCTATTCCAAAGTAGAATGTATCTTAAGATTTAATTGATCTATTGAAAAAGATTTTTGTTAATAATGCTTAAGAAAGGTCAACTATTTTTGAAATTAAATCTCACCCTTGGTTTAATCAACAGCCTAAATTATAAAAATTACTTTTATAAGGTAATCGTAAATCATCTTCTATGCATTCTATAAAATAAAAAATAGCAGAAGATCAAATTTAAGTTGTTAGTAAATAAATGATTATCTAAAAAAGAAGATCTGTTATCAGATTTGAAAAAGCTTAACTTATCAAAAAATTTAATTGATTAAAAATTATTGTATATATATGTATATAAAGCATGAAATGTTATAACAAAAAGTAATTCGTTATTATAATATAAATAAGTCTATTTTCATACACAATTTTATTTAATAAATTTAATATAAATAATTTATTTTTTATTAAAATACTCTCAGAATTTAGTTGTTTCGTCTTCTAATTCTGGATCGTCGTCTAATGGTTTGATTTTCTATAGTCCTAATCTATGTAATTATTTTTCTGATTTAACAACATAACTTTTAGTAAAATCAGCTTTTTCAATAGTTTTTCTATAAGGAATGGGCATGTATTTTCTGTATCTCTACATTAATCGTTTTCTCCTTCTATTTAATTTATCATATTCATGTTAAGTCATATTAAGTTTAATTTTCTAAGGTCTTTCAGCAAAAGGTGTGAATATTAAGTCATTATCCATTTCACTTGGATCCATAATTTATTACTTAATGTCACCAAGATCCTATTTTACTATGAATAAACTAATAATATACTCTATTCTTAAGAAACAGGTTTGCTGGTGAAAAGGAGAGTTCTATCATCACCTTCTTTCATGTCTTATAAAATGCTTCCTCTATATTCAAAATCGGTATGATGTGGTAATATTTATGGTAAAACATCATCAAAAGTATGAAATCTGCCTCTAAATAGATGTATATGGTCTAGTTTATCCATTCTATAAACAGTTTTTGGTAACATTTTAGAAACAGTCCAAGCAACCTAAATTTAGAATAATGAATTACCAATTATTCAGGTTTTTAGAGAATAAGATCTCTAAATTTAATTTATTTTAAATTTCCAACATAACCTGTATGATAAGTAAGAACTTTATAATTGATTTTTTTGCCTGTCAAATACATATTGCAACCATTAACAATAATAAATTTATCTGTAACTTTGCCTGGTTCATTATTACGAAATGTAGGTTTATGTTTTCCACTTAAATAGTAAGCAATTTTAGAACACATCTTGCCATAGGGAAATCTTGATGCATCAAATAAGTGATAAGTGATTCCACCTTTATGTACCGCAACATAAGTAGTGCCTGGATAAAAATTCTTAGTATGTCTTTCATCTATTTAATTTTATATAGGTTCTTACCTAATGCTTGTCTAAATTCATATTCACGAGGTTTCACAAGTTCATATTTCTCATATGGGTCTTTAGGGTCAAGTTTAGGTCTTTTAGGCATTGGAATATCTTTAACATAAGGCTATTCTTTAGGCTTGAATTTAGGAATGGCTAATGAAAATCTTGCTACTAGACACCTCTAAAATAATTACATAAATAATAATTAATATATATTTATATAAGAATTATAACATGGCATTAAGTTGACTATCATTTGCTATCTTGAAAGAAATCCAATGTGTCTTTAGAAAATATGATGAAGTATATTAAGACTTATAAAAGTTTTGATTTCTTTTAGACAAAATTTACTTAATTATTATTATTATTTCCTAAATTTAAGCTATTTTGTAATTTTGAATATTTAACCTTATTTAATAATAATAATATTACTATTGGGGATCAATATTCGAAATCTGAATTTAGTAAATGGGTGATTATAAAAGAATTACAAAAATGAATGCAGTTTAATATAATTCATACAAATATGACAAAAAAATAATCTCATATTATAGAAACTTATAGTATTCAATTGATATATACAATTCTTATATAAATTTAATCTACATTTATTGATTTTATTTTATCTTCTAATATATTTATTATATTATATTTCAAGTAATATCTTTAAATTAATGGAGTAATAGAATTAAATATTAATTTATATATAAAACAATCTTTTTTAAACATGTATTTTTTTTTGTAATCTTTTTTTAATAAGTTTAAGAAGAAGAAAACATCTTTTTTTTTTGTTATTTTTTTTGTTATTTTTTTTATTATTTATTTGTAATAATATACAATGGTGGCTATGAAAATATCTCATTTGCCACCACGATAAGCTCCTCTTCCTCTAATTGGTTCTGCATACAAATATCTTCCTCTTGTAATATATTAAAATGCTATTATATAAAAATTTGTATATACGTTATCCTCTTGCTCCTCTATTTCCTCTACCTCTATTTCTTAAATTTGTTCTCTTTTAGAAGACCTTAATTATTATAATATTTTATAAAATACTAGTATTTTCTTTCCTCTTATGATACCTTCACTTAAGACTAAAGCATCGTCAACTGAAGCTTATTCTTGAAATTGAACATATGAATAAAGTGTGCCTGTATTTTTATCACTTCTTAAAGTTACCTTACATTAATATATTGATAATACTTTAACTATTGTTCCACAATCCTTAAAATATTCTTTAATATCATCTTCTGTTGTGTTTTCATCTAAATTTCTCACAAAAATTGATGATAAATCAATATCTTTAAGTTAATGTTTATTATCAGTTCCTAAATATATTTATTTGTTATACTTACCTCCTTTCTTTTATGATTCATCTTCCTTTAATTAATCAATTGGCTCTTGTACTTCTAAATCATCTTCATGATTACTCATTATTTAAATCTTTAAATTTATTTAATGTCTTTTATCAAATTAATAGGAATTGACAATTAAGAAATCGTATTCGAAGAGAATAAAAATAGTGTGTATTTTAACTCACTAATCTAAGCAAGGAAATTAAATTATTGTGTATCGCGAAACTCGAAAGAAGAATTAAAATTAAAGTTAAAACAACAGATCCTGACGTATTTCAAGTTGTAGGCAAACCTTTAGTATTTACGGATATCGATTAAAAAGGAGTCCTCTTGATCAAGGCTAATAGTGCTAAGAAAAGAGACAATGGCAAAGATAAAATCCGAATTGAAGCATATGATTATGAGGATAGTTTACCTTAATCAGCATTTGGTTCATCTGACCTTAAGCCACCAAATATTTAAGAGATTATATTGACAGTTAGAGTATTGAGTAATAAAACAAATCAATAAGTTAATGATTAAAATTTAGTTGAATCATAAAGTTTGTTAGATAAACAAATGGATTTGATTGCAGAATCAAAATTAATAACTTATCCTTCAAAGTTTGGTTATGATTACAAATTTCTATCTTCTAATGTTAAATTTGATAATGTAGTAGAGAGATAAAAAAGTGAATTTTTGAGTATGTACCAATAAAAAAGTTAGATTAATACTTCAAATATTAGAGTAGAAAAATAACCATAATATAAATAAGAATATGAGTAGTATTTAATATTAACAGATGAATAGGAAAAAGAGTTATTCAAATTAAGTGAATTGAAAAACAAACTTCAAAGATAAAAATTAAAATAGTAATAAATAGTTGAAACACCAAAACCTAAATAACTAAATACTTTGCATATAGGTTATGCAATAATAACTGTTATTTTGAGTTTTATGATTGGAATGCTTGCAAAAACATGAGTTATATTTGATTGATTTTTGAATATTTTTATTGTGAAGTTATATTTGTTGTTTTATTTTGAATAATATGCTTTCAGATATCAAACAATTTGAGTAAGAACATAAAGAAGAAATGAAAATACTTCAATAGAAATATGAATAAAAGGTATAAAATTCATAGTATTTTAATTAGATAGAGTTCATATCATAAAAAATTGATATTTTATAAAAAGAATTAGAAGTCAAAGACAATATTTATTAAGATCTTAAAAATAGATCTATTTAAAATGAGGAATCTAATATATAAAAAAGTGAAGAAAATGTTTAAGATTTTGGTGCTACTATTTAAAAGTTTCATAAATAAAAAGAAAAGGAATTGATGAAAATTAAAAAGAATTATTAAAAAGAATTGATTCACAATTAGAAGTTATTAAGAAAAAAAGATGCTACTATAGAGTAATTATAATAAGAAATTTCATAATATAAATAAGTGGCTTCATAAAATATGGATAATCAAAAAATTTTGTTACTTTCCAAATTAATTGATTTAGCAAATGAAATTCATAAATAACTCTGATAAATAAAATTATAAGTTTTTTTTTAATTAACTTGCTTTCAAAATTCCCATTAAAATGGGTGAATGCTAAAGAAAATTAAATTAAATTGTTATCATTTAATTGTGCAATATCAATTTTAATTAAAGTATTATTGCTTAATTTTGTTTAGTATTATATTTAGTAATTATAATTTATAATTGTTATTTTGATTTATAAAGAGAAAAATGTATCTGAAATAAAAAGATTTTATTTTTTCTATAAATCTAGTTTGAATTCAACTAAAAAAATGAGAAATAAATAATCAAATGAATAGAAGAAACAATCAACAAAATCACAATGCATATGAAAGGATTTTAGAAATTAAAAAGAGGATTAATAAGTCATAGACCTAATTCCCTTTATTCCTTTGGCATCCATTGTAAGAATTCAAAATAAAACATTTTCAGGTTTATGTACAATGTTTGTTTAAATTTCAATTTTATTTATCTGCCACCAGGTTTCTAATAAAAATTGAAGTTTATCAAACCTAGAAAATTGAGAACTTGGATTGATGATATTCCAATATTAGTTGGAGTTGATGAGTTTGAATAGATAGAGTAATGAATTGTTCACTAGTTTGTAGAACTTGTGCAATTTGTCTATAAGAGTTAAATGAAAAAAATGTAATCAAAATACTAAAATGTAATCACTTTTTCCATCAAGAATGTATCAAATAATGGTTGTAACTAAAAGCAGAATGTCCTACCTGCAGAGATCAACTTAATAAATGACCAATTATATTTATATGATATTGTCATAACTAAAACAAAAATTCATTAATATTCATTATTTTTCCAATTATGCATTAATGTATACATTATTTTTTATAATCAAAATATTTCATAGTTTTCTAATAGTTAATAAATATCATTAAATAAATAATCAAATATATAATTGATAAAATAATCAAGATTATTTTCTTAAGAGTGAACTAGTTGGTCTTAATTTAGTAAGAAGTCTGTTTTAAGATTCAATTGTTACTCTTTATTAATTATATTTTTTGCTTTCAACATTATATTTAATTTACATATCCTCTTTATCTTAAATTTATAAAAAATATATAATACCTTTTTTAAGTTCAGCTAATTCTTATTTGAATTTTTCTGATTTTATTTTATTTTCATTTTATTCTTTTTTAAGCATTTCTTTTAATTTTATTATAAATGATTTCAATTTATTAATATCCATTTCATTTATATTAAATAATTCAACATCATTACAATCAACAATAATAGGTTTTTCTTAAAATGTAGTTTGTGATCTTTCAACTCTATTAATAGGTGTTAAAAGAAATGATTTTTCAGCACTTGATGATTTTTTATTTTAAATCTCAAATGATTTCTTTCTCTCAAGAAAATGATACAAACTAATATATATTAAAATATATTTACTGTTTAAATTATGATTATACAGGTTAAATTGGTTTATCTTTTCTAGGAATTGTTAAAATCTTATTTCCATTACTATACATTCCATTTTCAATTTTATCAATTAATAATTATTATTTATTAAGTATTTCATACATTTATAACATTTCTTCTTTCATTTCCTTAATTAAATTCTTTTTTTTCTCTCTATATATTTTAGATTATTAAATGAATTAATCAATTTCATTATTTTTTTCTTTTAACATAATATCATACATTTATTTTAATTATTATAAATTATTTTCATTATCTAATTTCATTTGAGTTAATTATTTCATTAAATCTTATTCCATTTCAATTTTAATTTATTTTTTTATATCTTATAATTTATTATTATCTAATTATTTTAGATTTGCTGTTATTGGTAATTAAAATAATTTATTTGTTTTTTCATCTAATAAATGATTTGAATTTTCAATTAAATTTTTAATACAAGATTCTTTATCTTATTACATTTATCTCATCATTTCACTCATTTATGTTTTTTGAGTAACAAATTATTCATTAATTTTAAAATTTTTATATTTTTATTCCACTAATTGAAATTACCATTTTTCTTACTTTTCTTTTATTTCTTATTTTAATTAAGTGATTTCTAGTTTTAATTAATTAATGTATGACTGTTAATCATTTAATTATATTTACAAATTTTAATTTGCAATCAAAGCTTCTTACTATTTCTTATATTGCTAAATTTCCTTAAAACTTAAACTAGTAAGATTATCTAAATCAAATTCAATACATAATATATCCTTTATTGCTTTTAATTTATTTTTCTATTCTTATTATAATCTTTAGATTTACTCTTTTAAATCTTTATTTTCATACTCTAATAATTTAATCTATTTTTCTTATGATTAAGTTTTTGTTATTTCAAATGTTCTTACAGATTCTTTTCTAGGTAATGTAACTGCATTTCTAGTTCTATCTATAAATTATAATGTTGAAAGTGTTTCATCATAATTTGAATTTGTTGGATAAATAGTTCCAATTAATGTAATTTATGTACTTATATCAAATTTTAATTATTAAGTGAGTTTTGAATCTTCTAATGATTATATTTTTCCTTTAGAAAAAGCATTTAAACATTTTGTCAAAACTTAAAATTATTATGTAGCCCAAATAGCTTCTTAATATTTTTATGGTTCTTATAATTCTTTAGTTTATCTTTCTGGTCCTGCTAAATCCACAAATTTAATTTATTCCTTTTAATCTATAATCAAAGTGACTATTAAATGTTCCTTTCTTTTTTATTTAGAAAATGTTGCTTAATATTCCCAAACTGTTTCCATATCAAATATATTTATTTTTGTCATATCATCTGTTACATAATTGCTTATATAATCTAATCCAATTATCTTATAATTAATTGTAAGTTTATGTTTATCAGATAATAATTTCTTAATTATCAAAGGCATAATTCCAGGATTATCTATATCTCCAAATAATGTATATGATTTCCCACTACTAGTTTATCCATAAACTAATATCACTTTATTTAATTAATTAAACCCAATTTCTTTTATAATGTCATCTGTTGTAACATCTTGAAAAATATTATCAAAAATGAATTTTTCTGTTTCTTTAGATCCAGGTGTCTATTTAGAATTTTTAGATATCATACTTTTAATGTGATTTGGCACTCTTCTACTTTGAATATAGGGTTAACATATTCATAATTTCGAATTCTCAAGAAAATTTAATAGTTCATTTTTTATAATTAATAACACTACTAATCATTGAATTGCTTCTTCCTAATCGATAAGAATATGTTCGTTAAGGTGATATTTTAGATTTACTAATTGATTAATCATTAACTTAGGTATGCTGGGATGAATTTCTTTATTTATTCATTTATGATCCTAATGCTAATCGAATTGAATGTTAAAGTAACATTTATTTATGTCGATCAAGTTTAATTAAATATTAAATCATACCAATACAATTTGGATCATTATTAGGATTAGATTTTCTATTATGTTCTATTAATTTTTTTAATGCTAATTTTCTTTAATTACAACGAGTGGTAAGATCTCTTTCTGGTGAAATTTAAGATTTCTAAATTTTAGTACTTTTATGTTTTGTTGCTTCTTCATCTAAAAATTTGAGTCTTAAAAATAAGGAATCATCTACTCTTTAAGTTTTTTCAGGTTAAATAGTTTTTTTCATAATTTCATTCTATATATCTTTATTTAAATGATTTTCAAATCTTTCTTAAAGCCATTTTCTTTTCATTTCACATCTCTTATGAAAAAGTTTAGCAAACCAATCATTAACAACACAAATACGATAAATATCAACCTTTTTTATTGCTAGAACACTTCCTTTTGCACTAACACATTAACAATTAAATGAATGATAAACATTATTGAAACAATCATGATTAAAATCTTCTTCACCTAATAATTATCCAGGTCCTAATTTCAATAAAATATATTCTCTATTAGAATGTTTATTTGCCTATTTAAGAAGTTCAAATGTACTTTCATTAATTTATATTGGATAACGAATCAATTATTTTACTTATTTTTAATCATGTCTTAAAGTTTTCCTAAATCTATCATATTATGTATCACTACCACAACATTAAACTTCAAAATTATTGTTATGACTACTATATGATACATAAAATTCTCCTTTTAAAATTAAATATACATAATGAGATTACATCTCAAAGGAATATAAATTTTGATGATTGCATAATTTAATTCTTTCAGATGAATTAATCAATTCTTATAGAACTCTTTTGAAATCAGGATATTTTATTCCATCTTAAAATGCTCGACACATTAAATATTCAATTTTTTCATTTTTTCTTCTTTTAGAGGTTTCAATAATTTCCAAATATTATTAGACTTATAATTATAGAAACTCACAATTATCTAATGTAATAATTGTACATTAAGCATTTTTAGTAATAGATTCAATGAGAGCATCATCTTCATTTATAATAAGTGCACTTTGAAATCTAACAACATGTCCTTCAATAAGATGTGCCATTAGACTTAACATTTAGAAGGATTGTATGTTTAATTGATTTAACTAATCTTATAAGATCACTAAATTTTCTTTTGGATAATTTTCTTTACCTTTGAAAGAAAGTGTTTTAGTGTTAGGATTTAGATAGAAATTTTAAGGTATTCTTTAAATACCTGGAAATTTGAATTCTAATTCTTTGATCTCTTATGTAAGTTAATCATGAGATTTTGGTATTAATTTAAGACATCTACCTTTAAGAAGAATGAGAAAGTAATCAATTTTTAGTTTGTATTTAAATACAAATCTATCTTTAGGTAAATAGTGAAGTTTAGCTTATTAAATGAAACTCTACAATATTGGTTCATAATCTTTTTCAGATGTGATATTTTTTAATCGTTGGAAGTAGAGTAATTTGGATAAATAATCTTTATTGAACATTTATTATTAATAATATTCATATCAATCTAATATTGGTTTGGTATCTGGTTGAATAGGTAAGAACCAAATTAAAGGGTTTTTGCCAAAGACTTCAAATATATTATTCCAAATTCCTTTTTAAAGAGGTTCTCTTGGCTTATTCTCACAATACTCAAGGGTTGTGATGTTGGATTTAATTGCCCTAACAATCTCAGTATTATTGATAAGAATACCATAAATGAAAAAGAGTAAAAGCTGTTAATAAGATCCACAGGAAACAGCAATATAGAAATGTAAAGGAAACTAGGAATAATTTGGCATCACTTGAATATGAGTTCATTGTGTCATAATAACAACGACTATAAGTTATCATTATAAAACTAATTAAAAACCCTAATGTTGGAGATCAATTATAATACATGCATAACCAAGTAAATTAATGAATAATTTGTAATTTCCATAACCTATACAATTATTTAACCATTAACAATGATGATCCATTTTCAACCAGCAAGTTTTACATTATCTACAATGATGACAACGTTTTGGTTTAAAAGCGTTGCAATTTTTACAATGTCTTCTACCTTATTTATCTATTAATTCATTTTTCACTTTCACATTCAAATTTATACGCTATTCATCATCTATTTCTGATGAAAATGAAGTTGATGTTTGTGATCCTTTTTTCTTATGATTTATCATATTTTCTTCATTTTCTATCATCTAACGAATTTCATTCTCTATTTTATTCAACCATTCAATAGGTACATGATCAGGAATTGTTATTACAACTCTGATTAATGTAATTGTAAATAATATTAGAATTATATGTAATGTTATAGTAATTCCTATTGTTTTATTGCTGAAAACATAGTCATTGATGTGTACTAATTGAATCAAGTATGTATTAATTTCTACTAATGGTCTAGAAACATACTCTGATTTTATGAGTGGCATCAAATAAGTCTTGAACATGAATATGCACCACATACCTCCATATACACTACATAAAAGTAAAGCACTATTAGTACAAGAATTGCCAATGGAATCCATGTACCAATATATCGAAGCAATTGACCTTCTCTATAATATTTCATTTATAAAATAAAAACGTATTTCAATGCATTCAACATGTAATTATATAATCCAATCCATTAGAATAAAACAAATATGGATTCTAAGAGATCTACAAATCTTCCAGTAATTTAGATGAGAGTGATGATATTATCATAGTAGAACCTCTTGATGATAATTAGCAAGCGTAATTTACTATTGATCTACTATTAGGATTAACAAATCTAATTTACTCTATTTAACAGCCTAAAATTAATCTAATCCAACATCTTCTTATATTAACAGACCAATCAATCAATCAGTAGTGTCTTCAAAGATTTATTCCTAAATTATACCATCTAATCAACCAGAACACAAACCTTATTTGTAACAATCATAAAGACCAGCCTATGATCCAACTGTTTCTGTTCCTAGAAAATATGATCCAAATCTTATTTAACGTGCATAATAACAATAGTCATAACCTAAATCTAATACTAATTTTTAATAACCGACAATGATTGAACATTAACCAAGAATTACATAATCAATAATAAAACCAACTGAAAAGTCATTTCATAATTATAATGATACATAATAAAGAGACAAGAACTTTTTAGAATAATATCAAGAATATGAAGAAGAAGATGTACTCTAAAATTAAGATCAATTAAAATCTTCATATAAATAATAATCAGTTGCAGATTTACCTATTGAAAGAAAATAAGCTAATTCTATAATTCCAATTGATAAAAAGAGTAATCTAAATTAATAGCCTGTTCCAATTAGAGAATCTAAAGCTCCTGTTTTAACAGAAAAGGATAAATAATAATTGATTGCTAATGCTAAATAATAACTCTTAACTTTAGATCTATTATAATCCAAATTATCAACTCAAAATTACTCTGGTTAAGATATTTGTGAGATTGTGACTATCTAAAAGGGAACAATTAAATTGCATTAAGATTTAAATCATATTCTAAGTCATGATCGTAATTCAATTGTCTTAGTTGGAGTTATTGGATAAAACAAATCAGGTAAAAGCACATTACTTAATGAAATTGCTCATACATCTAATAAATAGAAATTTGGAAACAATGGTATTTGGATGTTATCAAAACCATTAGTAATAGAATAGAAAAGCTATTATTTTATAGATTGTTAGGGTACTGATAATTAATTACTTTATGCATTTGTTATGTTATGTTCTTCAACATTATTATATAACACACTCAAATTAGATGATAATAGTATTTAGTGTTTTCCTGTACTTGATACAATACTAAGATTATTAATCAATGAATATGCAATAATGTAATTATTACCAAATTTTATATGGGTTTAACGTGATACACTTTAAGCTCGTTCAATTATTGAATTATAAGAATTCCTTGTAAAAGCTAATAAGGGTTAATAATTTGAAAATTTGATTAGATAAAGGGATGTAGCTTATATAGCTCCTTAAGGAACTTCAGAGTATTAGACATCAATTTAATAGTTGAAGGATAGAATTATTTTAGGAAGTGTTTGTAAATAAATTAACAGTTACAATCTTAATGGACCTTTAATGTATTTGTATATGGAATAAATTGTTGATCTACTCAATAAACCAATCTCTTTATAATTGGATTAATTATGGATATCAATTTGTGAGGATTATACGAAAGCTATATACAATTAAAGTTTAATTGGTTTTGTTTAATAAGTTGAAAATTGGATGAAAGATAATTAGAAAGTTGATGAAATAGAGATATATAAATAATTCAGAGATTTCAAAGATATTTCATTGTAATAGATATTTCCTGCTTGTTTTTTAAATAATAAAAATAGAATATATTAACAATACAAAAAGAAATTGTAGGAAATATTAGTATCAAAGGAAAAATAAGCTATATAATATTGTTTATATACAAGTTAATGTGAAAATGATAATGTTTTGAACAAAAATATCAATAAAATAAATTTGAAAGATATTGATTCCTTTTCTTAATCATTCAATAATATGATTGATTAATTATAAAAATAAAAATACTAATTTTAGCAATGTTCTACATTTGCAGAATTCTTATAACGAAATTATAAAAAATTTATAGAAGATCTATTTTCTAAATATTAAAAGATATTAGCAAATACAAGTGAAGAACAATAATTTAATTTGTAATAATCAAAATTATAGGTATCAAATAAGGAAGATGAATTAAAAAAGAAATAAGAATAAGTAATCTTTTTAGAGAAAAAAAGGAATCTTTTAATTAAGGAAATTTAGGATTTATAAGAGTAAATTAAACTTGAAAGAGAATCAATTCAAAATGATGTTAGATAATCTGATTAAGGTCCAAGTGATGATTAATTATTAGAATTGAAATAGAAATAAGCTTAAAATAAATAAGAAATCTAAGTTTTAAGAAAATAGGTTTAATAAGCTGAACGTAAAAAGAATGAAGAGGGATGCAATATATAATGATTAAATATTATTATTTTATAATAAATGCAACATCCTCATGAAATAGTTGATATGTTTAATGAATTTAAATCTACATAGACAAATTTGTTGAATGTGAAAGAGTTTTTAGAATTACTATAAGAATCTGGATTGAATAAAAGCTGTTAATTGTTATAGAAGAAATTACAAAAGAAAAAAATGGATAATTTGAATTTGAATTAATTTGCTGAATGTTTTCATTATGATGCTAATGATTATGAAAACTTTAAGATGTTATTTTAAATAATGGATACTAGTAATTCTTAAAAGATTAGTAAATAGGAATTAAAAAAATAATGTGAAATTTTGGGTATTAATATATATATATATATAAATATAGAAATGGGATTTAGTGATAAAGATATTGATATAATGATTAATTAAATTGGAAGTGATGAATAAAATGTAGTATCAAGTGATAAATTATGGAGTGTATTACAACAATATAAAAATCATGATTATTGATATAAAATTAATTATTTAAAATCACATTCAAATAATATCATCTTCTATAAGGAGCCAATTATGATCTACGCATATCATTGACTTCCTTTTCTTTATCAGTCAATTATGCACGTAAACTTTCAATTTCTACTTTATACAAAGATAAATAGAGAAGTAATTCTTCATACTTTGATCCAACTCCAAATTAATCAGCATATTTAAGTCTATTTATATATATATAAATACCTATAGATTTCTAATTCTTTATTTAAATCTTCAACTAAATTTTATAAACGTTCAATTTCTTAATTTAAATATAAATTTTTTTCTCTTAATAATAAAAGATCTGAAGAATCCTATTTAATTAACTTAGTTTTTAACATTTCAATTTGTTCAGAATAAGATAGATTTAACAGATTCAATCTCTCAATTTCACTTGTAAGCATAGCCAATTTTTCATCTTAACTATATCTTTTCTTATTTAATTCTTCTTCTAAAATAGTAACTTTTCTTCTATTTGTTTCCATTTCAGTACTTCTTTCATTTATCAAAATAGATAATCTTTCTATTTCTTATGATAACATAATAATTTTAGTTTCATAATCTTATTATAATTAATCTTCCAATTTATTATAATTTTATCTCCATTATTCATTTTCATTTTATAAATGTCTTAATAATTAATTTAATCTATCATTATCTGACTTTAATTATTCTGATTGACTTCTAATTAATTCAATTTAATTAAATTTTAATTTATATTCTTATAATTCTCTAGATTATTATTCAATAATAAGTGAATATTTTTATCTTTCTGTATTGAGTGTTTCATTCTCATTTCTTCTTGTCCTTACATTCTAATCTAGTTCATTCATTAATTATTTTTATATATCATTTAATCTTTCAATTTCACTACCCAATAAAATAACTCTCTCTTCCAATTACATTTTAACTCTTTACATTTATTCTATATTATTTTAATAGGTTGTTTATTATATGATTAATTATTAATAATCATTTTAAATTTTTATTAAAGTATTTTCATTTTTATAATGTTTTTATTAAACTTACTCATTATGTAATTACATTTATTATATTTATTATTCTTTCTATCTAACTTACCCATTCAATCTCTCAATCTCCTATTAATATAATTAACATTTGTCTTCCAATTAAATTAATTATGATTGATATTAAGAATTTGCTTAAATTTAGACTTCTAATTATTTGATTCTTCTATCTCTCTCTTCAATTTATTATTGAATTCTTTTCATTTCTTCTGATAGTGTTCTTTCTCTATCCAATTTAGAACTCTCTTGTTTCCTTTAGTTCAAAACCTCCTACTCATATTTCTATCTATAAAAATCTAACTATTAAGCAAATTAATCATATTATTCTCTTAATATCTAATTCTCTTATTCTAATTCTTAATTTCTTTTTTTTGTTTATTCAAAATGTTAAACCTTTTTTTAGAATACATCATTACTATTTTCAATCTCTTAAGTCAATAATAATAATTTAGTTTCATAATTTTATTAACTAGATCCTACTTCTATTAATGTTTATTCTAATTGATGATTCTATTACTTAAATTATTCAAGTTCTTTCATTCTCATATCCAATTAATTTCTTAGTTTATAAACTTCATTTTCATTTTATTAACGTTATTGATCTGCACTCTAAATGAGCATTTCAGCATCTTATTAACGTTGATTTTCGTAATATTATCTCAATTTCTCTTATTCCTTTTACAAATAATCACAACGCTCTCTCCATTATAAGACTTCTTATTAGTTCAATTATAAAGTGGTTTTTAATTCATTAATATTCTTTTCATAATTGGTAATAACATTAGAGTATTAATTAATTTGAATTTGAAATTCAGATTCTCTATTGGTTTATGTATACTACAATTATTATTACAACTCATAGTAACTTCTCTCCCATTATTACACTTCTTGAATACGTGCTTCCAAAATCAGAGACATTTGATGATTCTCTTGAACTAACATATCAATACGCTCTTAATATTAAGTAATCTTGGCATAATCATTTTATATACAATAACTAGATGGTTCTTATGTCCTTAATAGAGTTGTTCTAATTCTCTATATCTCTAAATCCACATTTCTAATTCCTATTACAATCTTATCACATCTGGATTTTGACTTTATTGTTATTGTTATTGTTATTATTATTACTCTCTTAAGTAAATAGGAACCATTATACGATTAATCACCTTATGTGTAATAGGAATAGACTTAATCGAATTAGGTGAAACTGTCACTCTTGATTTAGTTGTTCGAATAACAGGACTTTTATCTGTATGAACTTGCATTATTAAAATTAATTAAAAAAATGTCTAATCTCTTAAATGCACTCTCTAAACTCAATAAATTATATGAGCAAAAGAAGAATGAAATCAATTAGGATCAAATTAGAAAAACAGAAGAATAAATGAAAGGTAATTGTCTATTCTCTATAATTCTAGTTGAATAGCCATAATAGAAACAAACAGAATAATAACCATAATAATAATAACAATAATAACAATAATAATAATAGAAGAGAAAGAGAAGAATGATTATATTAAGAAAATGTGCAGGTGATATTTGGGAAGATCCTACCTTAGCTGATTGGCCTGAAGGAGATTATCGATTGTTCTGTGGAAATCTAGGAAATGAAGTTAGTGATGAAGTATTGGCTAATGCATTTAGAAAATATCCATCTTTTGCAAGATCACGTGTTATTAGGGATAAACGTACCATGAAAACAAGAGGTTATGGTTTTGTTTCATTCTTAAATGCTAATGATTATTTAAAAGCATTTAAAGAAATGAATGGAAAATATGTTGGAAATCGTCCTGTAAAATTAAGTAAAAGTTCTTGGTAGCAACGTTCATTACATAAAAAGAAATCTGATGGATTGGTTGGTAAATTTATTAAACCCAAAATACGTAAAATTAAACGTGTAAATATTTCATGATTTATTTTTATATGCTTATTTCTATATATCCCTATTATACTCTTATTCTAAAATCAACTCTCTCTTTTTTTTGATTTTAATTTACTCTCAGAAAAGCATCTATTTATAAATAAATATGTAACAACTATTTGACTGCCCTATATGCTTATAAACTTTATTACATCCTTTGACACTTATATGTGGTCATACATTCTGTAAACCTTGTTTAAGAAACAAAAACTTTTATCAAAATTTCAATACATGTCCTGTTTGCAGATCACATATTTAAATTTACTTAAATTAGTTCAAAGTGAATGTTATGTTAGAAACAATCATCTAATAAGAATATCAAAATGAATGTGAGTATTAACTTAGATTAAAGAACTATCAACATAGAATGGATAAAAAAAAATAGATGAGACATTCTTACATACTCCTTATACAATAATATTTAAAATGGATTTATCAAAATTTGTCGAAGATGTTTCCATTAATTGTGATTGGTATGTATTATATATTATAATTAAAGTAATTGCCATTCTAATGTATTTGAGGTTTAAGAAGCTTCGATAAAGATTTACTATGAGAGTGAGATTATAGCATTTGAGTCAAGAAATCACTAGACTATTGTCATAATTTTCATCTCGTAATGGAGATAATTATAAAGACACAGATATATAAAACTTAGTGTTTACAAAAATAGTAAAGCATTTATTTACAAATTATGTGAGATTTTGAAATTTTTATATAATTTGTATCATATCATGATCATTAAAAAATACTAATCTAGCAATTAGTATTTAATGATGTTCTAGATTATTAAAATAATTGCTAACTTTTTTTATTAAATAGAACTTCTTTTCTTTTAAAAAAGATTATTCAGTTATAAGATATTCTAGATGTTTGAAAAACAACATAAATGACTCATTAATCAAACTTAATATCTAATATTGTACCCTTATTTTCAAAATTTTAATCAATTATAGTATTAGTATAAAGGAAATTAAAAAAAGTGAACAATTCTATAAAAAGTTTAATTTATTCAAATGAAATTGGATTTTCTTATTATAATACAAAAATTTATATACAATTTTATAAATCATATATATATATATATAAATATCTTGTATTTCATATTTGATTAATTACTAATGTAAGCTAATTGTATTACTAATTATAGATGAAGTGAATAGTAAATTTTAGATAAAAATTTTAATAGCAAATTCTTTTTATATTAAAAATAATATACTTAATTTATATATAATTATAGTCAATTAAATGTCTATTTAAGATGAAGATCATATATTGAAAATAATAATTTATGTTAAGATTAAGGAAATTTAATTATTAATTTTGTTGTTTTTCTTATTTTAGTTTATATTTTATTATAGTATTATAAGTCAAAAATTATATTTATCAAAAATCCTCTTTCTTTGTGGTTATTTAACATTTATAGGCATAGGTCTTAAGGCATTTTCAAAATCAATTTTATACATATCTAATTCAAATTGTCTACTTTTTTCATGAAATGAAGTGGTTCTAGTAGTTGTCTACTCATCTAACTATTTATTCTTTTCATTATGGAATGATGCTTTTCTTACATGTTCAATTGGTTTATTTGTTTCACCTTCATTTGAAACATCCTCATCTATAATAAATTGATTTAGTGTAATTTTTAATAATGGTTTAAGTTAATGATTGCATTTTTGATATCTATTATGAAAATAATGAATTTCTTATGATTTACTAATGTATTATTTGGATGTAAGATGCATAAGAGCTCTTGATTTCTAAATCAAATCATTAGGGAAATCATTTCCTTTCATTGTTATCTTATATTCAAATGATCCTTATTCAAATACAAGTTAAACCTATTCAAATGTATTGTTTTCAACATAATATCTAAAACCTTTTTGTAGTAATCCATTCTTATAATAACCATCTTCCAAAATTCTTTTGTCAAAGTCCAAGATTCTACCTAATCCATCTAGTTTATTATTCTTAAACTCTCCAATATACATTTAATTTTCATGTATCATAAACCCAACCAAAGATAACAATAGTTTACTTTTATAGAGTGATGGGTATTGTTTAATGAATTCAGAGAATAGTTTTTATTCTTTACTTGGTTAACAATCCACATCTTCATATTGACCATTTTTGAAAAATGATCTCAATTTCCATTATTTACCATTAAACAGTAATGCTTTATTCATTAAAACAGAATTTTGATATTCTCCAATGAGTACTTCAGTATTTGTTATGAAGATTCCTATTCCATCTATGGAATGGTTCTTAAAAGTGGCTTTCAAAATTGCACCATATGGAAATATAATCAATCCTTCTCCATTATATAGATCATTCTTCCATTATCCATAATAGAGAGTAGAATCATCATAAACATAAACTCCTAAACCTATCTTTTTATAAAAGTAATCAAGTTATCCATAATACAATCCATTGTTAAATTATACTACTTTCATTATATAATAATAAATGACAATTAAAATTATTCTAATATTACATTCTGTAGAATACATATTGTAAAAGGAATATTATAAAAATAGGTATATGTATTTTAATAAAATTACACTTTTAAGTAATTAAATGAACCTACCAACTAGTTTAAGTTTTCATTATATTATTTTTTAATGAATTAATCATATACTCGAATAGAGATAAATTTGGAAACAGTTGAAACTATTTGGATTCAACAAACAGGATTTTTGGAGAGGATTACAAAATAAAGTAGAGTCAATTTCTATTACTTTAAAAATATGATTATTTTGGAAGGTATTGGTTTCTATGTTAAAAAGGTAAAATAAATTAATGTAATAATGCTGCTAAGATAATTTGTCAGAAAGTTTATGAAGATTTTATAATGCAAATTGAGTAATTTCATAATGAAGAAGAGATCTAACCATTTTATTAATTATTTTAATAACCCCAATATAGAGAATTATGCTAAAACAACCAAGGATTTCGAATATATTCAAAATAATCCTTGATGAAAGAAATTTAAAATATGATGTAGCAAGGATATTAACCTAATTATCCTGTTCTACCATAACATTTTATAATAACATGGTTTCCTAGAACAAATATGTTTTACATATAATAATGTATCTATAATATGATTGGTTATTAATATAGTTATTAGGGTTTGAAATAACAATTCAAATACCATAAATAATTGAACATTACTGTTTTAGAAGCAATATCAATCTATCTAATTTTGGATGTGTAAAATATTATGAATTAATTTTCATCAATTATTGAAATCAATTAAATACCAAATCAATGTTTCTTGGTTATCAAAGCAAATAATTAATAATCTTTTTAAGATGTATTAATGATTTTAGATAATCATTTGGTAAATAATTAATTCTGGCCTATTACTTATTTAGAAATGAAATTAAGTTCTAATAAACTCTTTTGTTTAGAAAAAACTATAGATGATTAAGTAAGAACTACATCAGGTGTTAAGATATATTCATATGATGAAGTATTACATGAATCATAGAGATTAGATAAAATATTTGATATAAATTTAAAACAAATTATAATTGAAAGATACTGTATCTATTTAATTGATTAATATAGGTTCTGATTAAATATTTGTATATGCTGATCAAGATAAGTAAGCTGAAATAACAGATTAAATTATTTAAATTGTAAGAAAACCAAAATAGAATATACGAGTAGATTAAGAAGATAGATTTTAATAATAATAATTCTATTATAAAGAAACTTCAAATAAACTAATTAAAAATAAAAAAAAGGCTAATTAAAAAAAACGATTTCCTTTTATAGACAATCATAGAAAATCGTATTAGGATCAGTTTCAATTTTATGACTAAAAATAATTTGAATTACAAAAGAATTCACATATATAATATCCTAATAAGACGTTTAGAGAACAAACTATATAGAATGAAGATTAAAATAATTAATTTGATGTACATAATTAATTTGATTCAAATAATTAATTTGATCCAAATAATTAAATTGATATACCGTTAAAAAACTATAAAAAGTGTACTAAAAACTTTGATATGCCTAAAAGGACAATATAAAATAAAAAGAAATAAAAGCATAACTACCAAAGATAGGAAATAATGGATATCTCTTTGAATAATGCAGATGTAAAAATATATCAAAATACATATAATTATTAATATTAATAATAATAATATTAAGAAGAAGAGAAATCTTCTTAGCTTTTATAAGTAGAAGATTTAAATAAATCAATTCAATGTTAAGTAATTAAAATAGAACTATTTTAATATTAAATAATTTATACTTAGAATAATCTTTAAAGTAATAGAAAAATTAACTTTAAAGAATTAAAGAAATCATTTGAAGAGTTTCAAAATATATATTATAATTTATAACATGAAATTCTATTATAATTTGATACTGATAGTATAATAATGAATATTAAATGTAAATAATAAGACGAGATAAATTTAATTAAATAGATTTTTCATAAATATTTTTTATAATCTATGTATTTTGTAACTTAAAATTCAACATAAGCATTGAATTTAGTAGATACTTTGAAATAAAATTGCAAAGTAGAATATTTTCCAACTAAAACAGAGTTATCAGGATTTTTGAATGAATAATAATTTAAAGAGTTAGAGTTAATTCTTAATGGTTAACAATTGGCTATCAAAATTAATAATTATTCATATAGGCATCAATAATTCTTAAAAGGGAAATTTAATGATTTTATGAATTAATAGTCTAGTAATTAGAATTCTTCAATCTTAGATATATCTAAATAAGGTACAAATAATACAAAGGTAATTATAATATCTGAAGATTAATTGAAATATTTATAATAAGAATTTCCAGATTTGGAAGCATGTTAATTGAGAAAATTCAATTAGTATTTTGATTTGGCCTTTTATTTTGTATAGATTGAAGATATTGAAGAAATTTTAGAGAATGCCAAGGTTGAATTTAAAAGAAGAAATGAAATATATGTTAAGGATTAAGTTTAAATGAAGAAACAAGAGAATTAAAAAAAAGGTTGGATGATATAATTTAAGAATGATTAAAATTATGAAGCTTCAGAATTATATTGTTATAATATGATGGAAGCGTTTTATACTGAATTACTAAATGATATAAATGATATTTAAATGAATATAGAAGAATATTAAGCTAATTAGAATTTATCAATGTATTATGAAGCCATTATTGAGTTGGGTGATAAAGTATTGAATCCCAATGATCCTGATAGTATTGAGAAATTATTATTTAAATCAGATTTTAAATGTATATAAATAGTATGATTATTAATAGTCTAACCAAAAATGATGAGTCGAATAGATTAGCCTTAAGGAACATTTATCACACTCTGGATTCGTAATTAGGAGGATAATTTGAGTTAAATGTAAATGATTTAAAAAAATAAAATCCTTCCTAGGTATTTGATTGATATTTATATTATTTTAGAGGTTATATCCAGAAAAAGTGATAATATAAATATTATCAGGAAAATATAAAAATAAAATGATAATTTATATATTAAATGAAGGGCTTCGAAATTGAATTAGATTTAGATGCTGAGCATATTATGTGGATGTACCATCTAAAATTCTTCATTGATTTAAAAAGAAAATATGAAACATTTGTGAAATTCAGAGGAAATAAGGCATTTTTAGAAGGAGGAGATTAGCTTAGGGTTTAATGTGCAGTAGAGGATGCCTTATTTAAGGCTAAGAGTGAATTTATTTATGATTTTTTGATGCAATCAAATAATCCTGAAGAGAATTATGGACCATACTTGGAATTGTTAAGCAATTAGAAATATGAATAGATTAAAAAAGAATACTATGGATTATTCATATTTACTAAAAGGCAATTCATGTAAATAAAGTAAGATATGATTGATAAATTTGGGTACTTAAGAAATTGGTCTAGACAATACCCTTAAAATTATGTGATAATATTCTTGCCTTCTAGCAAGCAATCTTAATTAATTTAGAGAATATAGGATTTAGTTAGACATATTAATAATAATATTGATTAAGGGATTACACCATAAAGTTCAAAATATTATAGTTATAGAAATAGAGATTTGGCATAGAGAAATGTTTATAAAAAGATTTATTAAATAAAGATGAGAGATTTGTAAGCAATACAAATATTTTTAATATTTGATATAAGAAGAATGGAAGAGTATTTTAAGGTGTCTTTTACTTTAAAAGATTATCATGATTATGTGATATTGGTGATTTAAGGATCATCTGATATTGGATGTTAGGAAGCAATGTCAACATTAGAGAATCATTTGAAACATAAGATTTTATTTTAGATATAAAAAGAATAAGATAATTTATTTAAAGGAACAGAATGGAAAATAGTAAAAATTGAAGAAATAGAATTAATTGCCAATAGATTAGATTAATGTTTTGAGACAGAAATTTTAAAGAGGATGACTAATAATTTTTAGAAAAATGATTTCATATTTACAGATATTAAATAATGGAATTATTTTAGATAAAAATAAATGAATGAAGAGAGTAATTAAATATCTAGATTGACAAATAGTTATTATTAAAGTGAAGTTGATAGATAGATAGACAGTGAATTAATATAATAAGATATTAGTGGAATAGGATAATTAGAATAAGAGAATTAGAAAGAGATATTTCAATATAAAAATAATCAAGATGGTGATTCTGATATAATTATATAGCCTATAAATTAGTAGATTAACAAATAAGAAATCATTTAATAGATAGATAATCAATCATCAGAAGAAGAATAATCTGATATGAAATAATTAAAAATTATCAAAGATCACAAGGTTGAAACTTTATAGGATAAAATAATAATTGAGTTTTTTAATTATAAGGAGAAATCTAAATTATATCTCTTTCTTAATAATTTTGATGAAGGATAATTCCAATCAGATTTTGATGCATATTGTTCAAATAATTATATTTTTCCATATGTCATTCAACCTGATTATAGTCAATAAAATTAATTGAAGTTTATAGTAGAGATTTTCACTAATGATGATAAAAATAATCTTGATTAAATAATAGATTTCTTAGATCATTATATGAATTGTTAGATTATGTTGGGAATCAAGAATATTTAATAATTGTAATAAGTGGATTAAGAGGAGTTAGAAGAATTATGTGATGATTACAATTGTAATTTAAAAATATATAATTGTGATCTAAGTGCAAAATAGGTAGGATGGTAGGAGATTGATGCTTAACCATAAAAGAATTAAAATGGAAAAGATACTGTCTTTATATTTTCAAATGTAATGCATTGTTTTATAGAATAATTAAAAGACAAAGTGAATAGTCTTAATTAATTTAGTAAAAAAAGCATTATCACTTTACTCTTTTAATCTTAATTTGAATTTGCATATAAATTAGGTGAAATTAAGAAGCTTGATAAATTTGGTCAATTTCATTTGGATGATTGTTATTGGGTTAAAATAACAGCCAAGAATCCTAAAGAAATTATTAATAATATCAAAGAGAATGATTCAAAAATATTTAAGACAATTTTAGGGAAATAACCTTTATGTTAAAATGAAGCTATTGTATTAGGTAAAGCAGATGAGAATAGAGAATTTTATGATGTTTTTATTCCTGAACTCTATTGCAAATACTATGAAAAATTAAGGAGTGATTATTTAGAACATCAATATTTAGAGGAAGAATGGAAATAGGTAAAAATTGAACCAAATGAAAAATCATTTTTTATAGATGTGACAGATTTAGAAATACCACCTACTCATTTAGAACCAATAATTGAAGTGATTGCTAAATTTGAAAGTATATTTATTATTGTTAATTTTTTTTTAGGAAAAGGTAAAGTGATTGAAAGTATTACTAATTTATAGAAAGGTGTCTATTTAATTGGAAAAACTAATAATGTAAATTCTGATACATTTGAGTTGACCATGAACAATCATGTTATTAGGTATTTTTAATAAATTAATTTCTATTAGTTCCATAATAAACATTAAATGATTAATATATATAACTATTATAATCAATTATGCATTTTAACAATTAAATATGGGCCATTTTATGGAAGAATATGAAGATGACCAATATGAAAGAATTTGGTAAAGAGCTCTTTATACCATCAATAACAGTGTTCGTGTTATTGATGGTATAGAAAGGTGAATAAGGTACAGGTAAATTGTTCATGTCAATTTTGGTACCTGTTTACATTCCATCTTGTTTTGTTGGATTATGTAGATAGTTGTTAGTAGAATATGTTAATGAGAAATCAAATAAATATAGAGATTTATATAAAGTATATAATTGTAATCTTAAAATTAGATTATGGGTATGAAGTTGTAAAATTATAGAATAGCATGGTTTATTACATATATAATAAAGAGTTTAATTATAGGTTCATTGATACTCATAACATTATTGTATAAAATGAATTTCCAATAATCACTTGAAATAGTGTTTTGCTTTATGTTATTTATTTTGGCTTAAGTTGGATAGACTTTATTATTATCTACATTTTTCAGTAACTCTTAATTAGCTGGAGAATTTGGATCATTCTTTTAAACAATCCTATCTACATTCTATTTTGCATCTTTATATTAAATGGAATATTTGGTTTTTATTTGTCCATAATCAATTATTTCATTTTACTTGATGAATATATTAGATAATAATAATGTAGAAAATATTACTTTTTATTGTATTCTAAGTTTATCAATCCATCTTTTAGCTTATTATTTTTTATTTAATCTATTAGAAGAAGAATGCATGAAGAGTAGGAAATGTTTATGGAGAAGATAGAATAAGACAGATTATGTTTAATTAGAAGATCAAATGGAGGTAATAAGTAGAATATATAAAGATGAGAAGATAATATGATGAAGAGGGTTTAGCATTTACATCTATTGAAATTGTGAAGTTATTTAAGTAATATGGTGATGTAGTTGCTGTTGATAATTTGAATCTAAAAATCTATTCACAATAAATACTTTGTATTTTAGGATAGAATGGTGCTGGTAAAACTACTATTCTTAATATATTAACTGGATTATTAGAAAAAACTAGTGGCAAGATTTTATATTTTGGTAAGAGTTTTGATAAGAAAAGAGATGAAATATAAAAATTAATTGGATTTTGTCCATAAGAGAATTTATTGTATGATTAATTAACTGTATATGAAACATTACAATATTAAAGTATGATGAGAGGAATTGATTCAAATTCAGATATTGATATGTGGTTAAATCTAATGTAATTACAACAATATTCTAATTATAAGACTCATGAATTAAGTGGTGGAAATAAACGTAAATTATAAATTGCCTTAGCTTTGGTTGGAGGTTCTTAAATTATATTTCTTGATGAACCAACTGCCAGTATTGATCCTGAATCCAGAAGATAAATTTGGAAAATATTGAAAGATATCAAATAAATTAATAAAACACTTATTTTTACTACTCATTTTTTAGATGAAGCTGAAGAATTGTCTGATCGTATAGCTATTATGAAATAAGGATAAATTAAAATTTATGGATCTTCAGAAAATATAAAAAAAGAATTAGAAGTAGGATTTACATTAACTTTTGGGAATATTTAATCATCTGAATAATAATCACAAATTAAATAATTATTTAATGAATTAGAATGTTCAAGTGGATCTCAACTTGAATATGACAATATTAAATATATCCTCAATTAAAATCAACTATTTTCAATTGTTGAAAGAGTTTATGAATTGAGTAACACATAAAATATTAAAATACAATTAATATAAAATACTTTAGAAGCAGCCTATTTAAAATTAAATAAAGATAATTTAGAGGATGATAAAATAATCAAAGAATACTCATTCCCAATAAAATCTACAAATGATATTAAAACTAAATAATTATTCTAAATATCTGCTTTATTATATAAGAAGTATTATGTTCTCAAAAGGAATTTTGCTTTGTAATTGATGTTAATCTTGCCTATGCTTATCTTATTATTAGCTTATCTTTTTGGATACCAATTATTATAAGGTTAAACATAGATATAATTATTTGTATCTCTATTTATATCACAATCATTCAGCCTTAATTCATCTATATTTATAAATACACCAATACTTGAAAGAGAACTCAAAATTAGATAATAATTAAAATAAATGGGTATGTCTTAATTTACATACATATTTGGAACATTCCTTGGAGATTACTTTATTATTTTAATTCTAACTATATTCATATATATTCTATCACTCTAAATTGAAATGCTATTATCATCAGAATAATTGTTAATTACTTTAATTTTATTTGGATTATCAATTATTTCATTCTCTTATGCAGCATCCTTTATGTTCAGTTCAAATCAAAGTGCTATTAAGATATTCCCTGTTTTTAATTTATTATTTTGCTATTTTCTACCATAAATGATTGAACTTCAACTTCAAAATCAATTTACTGAATTATTTGCATACATGTTCCCTCTTTATGCCTTAAATTTAGCATTAAAAGATGATAGACAAGATTATTCTATATATTTTATAGTCTAATTCATCTTTTATATGTTTCTATATTATATTTTAGAAAAACAATTTATTTTATTCGAAAATAGATAGGATTTATAAGATAGGAACAATAAGTTATAAATTCAAAATATTCAATTTGGATATACTCAAAATAAACAAGTATTGAAATCAATTGATCTTTAATTGTCTCCATAAAAGATATTATCATTACTTGGTCCTAATGGAGCTGGTAAAACTACACTCATTCAATTAATTACTGATTGTCTTAAATCGAATTGGGGAAGCATAATGTATAATGAAAATACGATTATTTCATCTTGTTAACAATCTTAAGGTTTATGGGAAGATTTAACAGCTGAAGAAATTCTGTATTTATTTGCTAGGATCAAAGGAAGTATTAGAAATGTAAAGAATGAAATTTCATAAATTTTAAGAATACTTTCTATAAAAGGTAAAATTGTTAATATGTCTGGTGGTCAAAAGAGAAAGGTTGCTTTGGCTATAAGTTTGATTGGAGATAGTAATATAATTATACTTGATGAACCATCTAATGGTCTTGATCCAATTTCAAGAAGAAATCTCTAAAATATGATCTAAGCTCATGTCTAAAAAAGAAATAGTTCTATAATATTAACTACTCATGATATGGATGAAGCTTAATATTTAAGTGATAATATAAGTTTTATAATCAATGGATAATAGCCATTTCCTTAATAAAGTGTTACATAATTAATTGAATAATATGGTAGTGGAATCTTGTTAAGTATTAGAGTTAAAAATAAAGAGGCTTTAGATTAAGTGATTTAGGCATTTCCATAAAATCAAAAAGAGGGATTATTGATTGTCATCAAATTGGGAAATGATTATGATGTTCCTTAAACAATTAGAATATTGAAAAATTTATGTTAAGAAGATTTAATTGGATCATTTACTATAAAATAAGCAAATTTGGAATAGGTTTTCTTGAGACAATGCCGAAAATAATATAATGAAGATTGAGTATGTAATATATATATATATAAAGTTATTTTTAATTTTTTTAATTTATGTTGATCAGCGATTTTTTGGTTGCGGCTAAAACAACAAAATAAACTAAAAAAGACATTTAACCAACTGAATAATAGCCTAAATAGAAGAGGAAATTGAAACTTACTAATACAGTGTTTGAACCTTCTATTCATAGTTTAAAGGAATTTAAATTTGATGATGAAAATGATGAACAATAATAAATTGAATAAATTGATAAATTAAGTAATGCTATATAATTATAGCCCATGCTTAATATTATTAGATTAAACACTCCAAAAACAACAACTTCACTTAAAAAATTAATTGAATAATAAGAAGAAGATTAATTAACTAGACATCTCAAATTTAGATAAGAAGATGTTAGTTATTTATTTACATTATTACTTAATGAAACTAAATCTTAAATGAAAGAATTGAAAGATGATTATTAAAGTGAGAATGAATATTTACAATATTTTTTACCTCCATTTATTAATGAAACACTTGCTTATGTTAAAAGTACAGCAGAAGATATGGCAAAAAAATATAAAAATCCATCATTACCATTACCTTTAAGATATTAATTAATTATAGATAGAAAAAACACTATTCTAGGCAAATATTTAGTTTTAGAAGCTGTTGAAGGAGATTTTGATTAAGCTGATAAATATACATGGAAAAAGACATGTATTAGTGAATACTTTGAATTTATAGCTGCAAAGAGTTACATTGTATAAATATTCATTAGAAATGAAAGAGAATATGTTAATTTATTAGGAATTATTTCTAAATAAGAATCAAATAGAGATAAAAATTTAATTTATTTACCTTGGAATTCAAGAGTCATCAATTCTCTTAAAATCCCTAATATTGTTATAGAATATGACAATAAAAAATAAAATATTTATTAATTGAGATAATCATATGTACCTTTAACATATCCTAATTTTGATGAATTGTATCCTTATCAATTTTTAGTGCATTTAAATCCCATTTTCTCACCTGCCACTTATCTTATTGAACTCAAAGCTCTACTCAATATTGGTAAATCCAAATATTTAAATTGTTTATTATATCCATAAAATTATATTGAACCTCATCCTTTGATGAAATCATCCTATGAATTTGGAATTCCTCTTTTGTAACTTACAGAGGAATATCTCAAAAATAATAAAAAATTCAATCAATCCTAAATGAATGCCATTAGACACTCAACCAATTATACACATCCCTTTACTTTGATTAATGGACCTCCTGGTACTGGTAAAACATATACATCTATGGGGATTATGAATATTGTTATGCAAAGAATGAATTAACTTAAAGAGGATAGTATTATTTTAGCTTGTGGTCATTCAAATACTGTTATAAATGATTGGGTTAGAAAAATCAATAAGGAATTTTCAAATGCAAAAGTAATGAGAATAGGAGTTGCTGAAAAATCAGATCCTGATATTTATGATTATTGTTTAGAAATTAAAACATAAAGATAATTCTTTATGAAATTTACTCCAGAATATGAGAAAAAATCAATTTGTGAATTAATTAAACCTAATAAATAAAAGTATGATCAATTGACTCTTATTCATATCAAATAAAAAATCTCATAATTGAATGAGAAAATTTATGATTTAAAAGATTTTTATGATGATTTAGATCCATAATAATAATTTTCAGTTGATACTGATTTATATAGATTGGAATCATAAAAAAAAGACTTGAGAAGATTCTACTCAACTCTTGTTTAAATTCTAGGATAAAATAAGGAAACCTATAAATAAATGATGTTAAACAATCTATAAGGTATTTAAATTGTTGTTTCTACATTAACTAGTTGTGCATCTTCTTTACTTGAATAATATATGGAGGATAAATATGTCTCCTTATGTATTATTGATGAAGCTCCTATGTGTTTTGAACCTTCTACACTCATCCCCCTCTCCAATCATAAGATCTATAAATTAGTACTTATAGGAGATCATCGCCAACTTGGCCCAGTCATTTATGATAATACAAATGCTTGTGAATACAATTATAATAGAAGTCTTTATGAGAGACTTCTATAAACAACTTAACAATATATTATGCTCAATATCCAGTATCGATCAATGCAAAATCTTAGTACTGTCACATCTCAATTTTTCTATGATGGTAAAGTGCAAGATTCAGAATCAGTAAGTAAAATGATATTTCCTTAATATTTATCAAACAAATTGAATAATTCCAATAATTTTCTATTTTTCGATGTTCATGGTGGTACCCAATTTAACAGCAATAATTCACTCTTCAATGAATATGAAGCTTATGGAGTCTTCTATTTAGTTTGTTACTTATTATAGGATTATAATAACCAAAATGAAAAACCAATTTCAATTATTACTCCTTATCGCGCTTAGGTCAAATTAATAAAAAAATATCTTTATAAATTCAACCCTCAAATCTTAGATTATGTTGAAATTGATACCATAGATGCCTTTCAAGGAAAGGAAAATGATATCATGATCATATCACTTGTTCGAAGTGAAGGACTAGGATTCTTAACAGACTATAGGAGAGCAAATGTAGCCACATCAAGAGCACAATATGGATAATTTATATTTGGAAATTCTAAGGCTTTGTTAAATGAGTAAAGATTATGGGGTCCATTACATTAATATTTATATTAAAGAAAATAAATTAGAATTTTTGGAGACAAAGAAGCCCATGATCCAAATTATTTCTAGAAAATTTTAAGTTAGTGAACATGTATATTATATTTAACTTAATATTGTAATTATATTCGTAAGCATTCACACTTACTAGGTTGTTTCTTCATCTAACAAAAAATGAAAATCTAACTTATATATTAAATTATTAATTTATATGAGAACTTTGTTCTTTCAAATATTTATAAAATAATTTAAGTGAGAATATACTATATATAGTAATTAGATATTCATTTTTTAATCTAATTTTTGTGTAAGACAACTAATGATCGAAGTGGTTTATTGTAGAGACCATGTAATTTAAGTTGATATTATTATTTAAGGAATATATCGGCATCCTGGGGATTATTTTTTATTTAACACTCCTTCTGTTGTTAATTGCATAGTAAATAGTTTTAGAGATTATGAATCAATCTAGATTTCATATAAATTTGTTGTTCAATGCTTTGTTTTTGTTAAAGCTTTTGCATTTTTATTAATTTATTTATATTTAAACAAATTCAAGATAAAATATGAATTTATATAATTAATAGTGCATAAGAATATATATTTATGTAACTGTATTTTTCTTTTTGTTTTGTGTTGTTAATCTAAACATTCTTAAGTTTTCCACATTGGATTTATACAATAATTTATAAATAAATTGTATTTATTTATAATAGCTAAAAATCTAAGAATTAATGTTGCTCTATAAATGAATAAATATTAGATACTATTTCAGTTGAACAATACTGAATTTCAGGAATTCTTCTAGGTAAACAGACTTGTTCAAGCATTTTCATAAATAATTATTCACCATATAATCAAAAATGATAACGAAGGTATTAAACCTATTTTATGTGTAATGTAATCTCTAATTGAAATAAATTATAAAAAAATGAACGATTTTGAAAATATTTTTAAATAAAAACTGCTTAATATAAAAAAGTGATAGTTTCTTTGGAATATATTAATCAAAATAAGCTTAGATATTATATTCAATAAAAGAAAGGATGAAAAGAATTTAAATTGATTGTCTAAATGATTAATTAAATACTTTTTATTACTTAAGTATTTTCAGAAAAACAGAATTTCTATTTTATTTTAAACTAGAACACTTTAAGAAATTCTAAGAACAAAAAAAATATACATCGTTATTAATTATAGTTTATCATTAATAGTAAAAAAGCTTAATAAGTTTATTTAAATATGTGATTATTAGAAAACTTGCTCGTAATTTAACCAATATCAAATCAATCTCTAATTTCTATTATTCTAAATAATATTCAATTTACTTCATTGCTCACAGAAATTAATATAAATTTTAGGATATATATCAAGAATAAATTTAATTACATAAAGAGATATTAGAAGAGGAACTAGATATTGTAATTAAAAGTAAAGAATCGATTTCATTCACATAATAGATTAAAAATATTTATCACTTTATTAAATAACAAATAGATAAATTAATATTTAATCTCAAAAATAATATAGTTTTTTAATTAAATATTAATTAACAACATTCTATTATTTAAAAAATTCCATTTATAATTAATTTGTAAAAAATAAGAGAATAAGATTGACATGCAAATTATGAATATATTGTTATTGTAATTATATTTATAATTGTTTTCTGATAAACTCTTTAATTAGTATGTTCAATAATTAGAGTGATATTTATAACATCAAATTAATAATTAATTTTTAATAATAATTTTCATCCGTTAATAATTTAATGTATTCATCTATTAGAGAATCCCCACAAAGACATGATACAAGATCTTTTGTTCAAGAAATTGAGTTCTTAAAAGCTAAGTGTTTAGAATTAGAAACAGAGAATAGGTTATTGTTTGAAGAATAATAATAATTATAGAGAAGAGCACATGACATAGTAACGAATGATACTAATGTTGAATCCTATATAAAAGAAAACAATATGTTATAGACTGAAAATGAGAAACTAATCAAATTATCAAGATAGAGAAAAACAGATGCTGACTTATGGAAATCCAAATATGAAAATTAATTGCAATAGATTTTGTAAATGAAATCTAATTATGAATTTGAAATCAAACAATTAAATGCAGAATTATAAAAATTAGGAGCTGTCTTATCATAAGCAGAGGCAGAAAGATAACGATAATTAGTTGGAATATCTGGTTAAATAGAGAGTTAATCTAATTAAGATTTTGAGAATCTAAAGAAGGCTTCAAATTTATAAATAGAAATAAGTGAGAGTTAGATTAGAAAATTAAGAGATCATATTGAAGAATAAAATAATGAAATTAGTGATCTATAATAAAAGATACTAAGATAAAAAACAGAGGATGATATATAAATAGAAAGATTGTTGAAAGAAAATGAATTACTTAGAGTTAAAATTTAATAATAAGAATCAGAAAAATAAAGAGAATTAGAACATATGAATGATAATTTAAACAATTTTTCATAATAATAGATTTAATTATTGAAACATGAATTTGCTAGATAATCAGATGTTTAATAATGTGAAATTGATAAACTTAAGGGATTACTTGAGATTAAGAATGCTGAAATAGAAACATTACTTGGATAAAATGTTAAAAATAAGTAAATGTTTGAAGATTAAATTAATGATTTGAGAACTGAAATTTAAATTTTAAAGTAGAAATTATTAGATTAAGAGAGATAAGCAAGAATGATTCTTGAGACATCTCTTAAAGATTAATAGAATTAACATTAAAGAGATTAAGATACATTAAAATAATATTATTAAACATAGATTAGTAATTTAGAAAAAGAAATTAATGATTTGAAAGGAATTATTGAACATAAAAATTAATAAATATAAATTTAAATTGAAGAAAAGAATATACAAAGATAATAACTTGAATAATTAATTATTGATTTAAGAAGAGAAATTGAAAATCAAAAATTAATTACATTTGAATAAGAAAAATAAAAGAATAATGAAATCAATGAATTAGATGATTAATTCTAAAAATCAACAGCTCTTCTTAATGAGAATATTGATTAATAGAAATTATAAATACTCTTTTTGGAAGGTGAAATTGAAAGACTTAAAGAAATGTTATCATAAAAAACAAAAGATTAAGAATCATTAATAGCTTAATTTAATTTACATAAAAGATAATTAGAAGATGATATTAGAAGATTGAAAGATGAAATTCATTCTCTAAAATAAGAAATATTATCAATAACAAGTTCTAAGAATTAAGAAATTCAAGATCTTTAATCAAAGAATGATAGAGTAACAATTTAATATAGAGATAAACTAAGATAAAGTGATATCTCTTAAGAATAATAATTATTAGAAATTAAAAGATTAAGAGAAGCACTCTCTGTCAAAGAATAAGATAATGAAAATTTAGCAAATCAAAAAAATCTATTAGACAAAGATTTAAGGAGAGCAAGAGATGAAATAGAATAATTTAAATAGAGATAGTTAGCTTTAGAAAAAGAGAAGGTAATTATACAAATATATTTTTAGTTTACATAATTGGAAGATTTAAAAAATAAATTGGAAGCCTCAAATTCATATTAAATAAGTAATTTAAAAGCAGCTTATAATACATAAATCAATGTATTAACTGAAGAAAATGTTCATCTAAAATAACAAATAGATTAAAGAAGAATGTATGATTCCACTATTAGAATGTGACTTTATTATATTTATTTATAAAGATTTTTGATAATAATTTTGTTTACATAAATATTCTCAACACAAACGACCAAATTATATAGATGAAGATGGATTATAATATACATCTTTTATTGATTAAAGAGGTAAAACAATCAATCCAAAGGCAATTACAATTAGTAACACCTAAATAATAATTGATTCTCTTTTATATTTCTTAACTAATTTTTTTAAGATTCCTGCTATCATATAACTACCACATCCAGATACACTCTATTAATTTTTATGAATTATTACTGCCAAGATCAAAAATTGAGATAAATGATAACCTCCTGACAAAGCAATTATAAATACAGATATAAATGAAGTAAACATTACAGTAAAAGTAGCAGATGCAGCAGCCCTTGGAGGATGTATTCCTGTTTCAAGCCAAATAGGTGTTAATACTACACCTCCTCCTAAACCAACTAACCCGCCTAAAAAGCCTGCTTTCATACTTGATTTCACAGTAATTTCAAATACATCACTTATTTTCCCTCCAGAAAAATCATAACCCACTGCTTCTTTAAATTCCTCATCTTTCTTAATCTATTATCTATATCTTTAAACATTATAATATCCTATAGCAAAAATGATAAAGTTGATTGCATGAAATCCGTATCCACAATAGTCTATACCTAATATAGAAGGAATCGTCGCAGCTCCTTTTAGTAAAGTCAATGCTACTACTAAAATCACTGAGAAGGCTATCTCTTTTAGATTTTCAATAGGATATAGCTTAGATTCATTCTCCATAATCTATTATAGATCTTAAGGCACCATACTATAATCAGTTAACATAAATTCTTTCATCTCAACTTATAAAAGATTTTCATTTTTTTCTTTTTCCCTAATTTTTTTGTATACATTCTTTGTCTTCAGAAATACATTTAATAAAATGGCAAATAAAAATAACACTATAACTATTTTTGGTAACCATTTCCCAGTTGCAACTCCTAAAATGGCTCCTGCTAAGAGTAATGGAAGTGTTATCTATACTAATTAATAATTGATTAATGGACTATTCCCACCTGAAATCTAATTACCATATTAAATTGATAATTACTCTTTCTCTTCCTAACCTTGCATAATTACCTATGCTCCCTCCAAATAACATTATGTATGTATTCCAGATAGCTTGTTTACTTGAACATCCCAATAAAACCATCATAACAGGTGAAACAATAGGACCTCCTCCGATTCCCCCTGCTTATGCCAACCCAACTAATGATCCCAGAATAGCATATGAGATCCAAGTAAAAGGTTCTGATAATGATGGTAATTCGTACTCCATAATTAATTAATATTCTTTTAATGTATAATTTACTTAAATCTAATATTATTAATAATAGTATTCAATGAGTATATAATTAATTACAACTTTATGTAGAAATTTAGGAAAAATTAAATGAAATTCATTTAGAATCATATTAATAGATAATTTAATCAAATAGGTTTCAATTCAATTGTATCCATAAAAGATTTAACTTATTTTAGAGCTGATTGATAATTATTTTGATCCTCTTCCATTTATGAAACCTATCCTCTCAATCTATAGACTTCTTGAACAAGTACTTTCTTGTGACCCAATAATTTATCTTTCTCATCTTAGAGTGCTACTCTATCCTATTCCATTTAGCTAATCTAAAGTTTGAAATAAGAATTACTATCTTATTGTATTTAGAATTTAATTCAGATAAATTTTCTTTTACATCTTGTCTTTGTAATTCAGAAATAGAGAGTTAGTTTTGTAATATATTAATTTTAGATTGCAATTTTAAATTAACTGATTTCTCATATTTTAATGTATCAGATGAATCAGTTATCAAATCCTCTAAATTTTATATTTATGCTTAAGATGATTGAAGTTTAGTAGTTAAAAATTCTTTTACAGATTTTAATGCTTATAATTGAGCCAATGCATCTTCTTCTGAATCAAATATACTATTATTTCCAGATATATTTCCACTTGAAATAATCTCTTATTTTTCTTTCTTAAGTAATTGTTATTGCTATTTGGTTCCTCCAACTATATGTTATGCATTTCGACTTAAAGTCAATAATTTAAATCCTAAAGGACAGAACATTATCTTTCTCATTGATGAACAAGTAGCTGTAAATCTATATAGATCTTAGTCATCCAAAAATCCACAAATTCTTTGAATTAATATCACCTATATTAATCTATTGATTATACTTTTGGTAACTTTAGTATTTAAGTACTTTGATTGCGCTTAATCAAATCTTCTCTATGCTTTTGACTAATTTCTAATTCATCTAATTAAGCAATTATTTTATCAAGTTTGTCCATTAAATAAAAAATATTATAAAATAGATATCAGTATCGCTATCCTTCTCCACTTCTAGAATTTTACTTTCTTATGGTCTTAAGATCACCTCTTTATTAAATCTAAATTTGTTAATTCTGGTTTACAATAAGGATAAAACATTTAATGAATTTTATCCTTTCATGATAATATCATTAAATGCTAAGTATGTTCTGATTCTTGAGATAAAATATTTACATAGATAGTTCAGTTAGGATCATGAATTATATCTATTGAAGTAATGTAAACACCCTTACAATTAGATATATTATTCAAACTTTAATTTATGTGAATCTTACATCTAACTAAATTAAGCTTTCATGTATGGTTAATTCTATCATAATTTTAAAGTTGTTCTTTCTTCTATTTCATCTATTAATATTGTATATTTAATAGGAAAATTCTAAATATTTTTCATTTATTAATAAGGTTTCTTATTTTAAATACTAATAGGTATTATTTTTAAATAAATAATAAACAGTTGAAATTGCATTAAGTGGAAAGATTATAAATAAATCAAAATTTTATTATTATTTAGAATTGTTTATGATTTTTGTTATTAGAAACAAATCAAATGATGAGAAAGACTACATAGACTATTAATTAATTAAACATATTGATTTTTCACTTTGTTATGAATTAATTTTATCTTCCAAAAAGATTAACATTTTTTATTGATGATAATATACCTTATAGTCCTAAATCAATTTTGGTTGACTCAGTTTTATATGGATTTTTGTTGGTGTCTAATAATTGATTTTTAGTCTTTTTAATTTTGTAACTTTTTGCTTAAAATCATATTCTACTTTTCTTAAAAATATTTGGAATTATATAATAAAAAATAAAGTTTTATATAAAAAAGAGATTTTTAAGAATCTCAAATATATGTTAGCAAATTCAAAACATTAATTAATAAAAATAATTATATTTACTCTTTTGGAAATATATTCCTTTCTTGAGTTAATTACTTTTCAAAAAAATTCTCAAAATAATACACTTTTTGAGATTATCATTAACTGATCAATATATCATGAATTTTAATTAGAATAACAATATAGTTTCAAAAATATTAAAAAATAGAAATAGGATGTAAGACAATTAATTTAAAATTAGAGGAAAGTTCAAAGGATGAAAATAATTATAAGGATAAAATTATAATTTTAGTAATTTATATAAATTTAACACATTTTTAGATCATACTACCTCTAAATAAGTAGATAAAAAATATATTTTATTAATGTATAAAGAGAGCATAAATGGTTTATAGAAACAAATATAAATGAAATAAGGACATTAGAAATCTTATTTCATCTATTTAAACATACTTTAGAAAAATAAAGATTATTATATATCTATATAATTTCAATCTAACCATTTAAGTCGCTTTCCATAATTCCATTAACCTTTTTTATTAATTTAACCATTAAAATATTCTCCAATACCATGTTATTTTCCCAATTCCCATTATCCTGAATATTTCCTACCATCAGCTACCTTACATTAAATATACACAAATTACGCCATTCTAAAACTCCTTATCCATGTTTTTTATCATTAAAGTATTATCCTTAATATTTTCTTCCATCTGGCCATTTCATTATGCCATTTCCATCCATACTTCCATTTAACCATTAACCTTCATATTATCTACCATCAGTCCATACATATTTTCTAATTAATAATAGTGAAATTAATACCCATAACCACAAAAATAATTAGATTCAAAATTTCCTTCATAACTTTATCCATCAACCCAAATAAAATGGCCAAATCCATTCTTTTTTCCATTTTTAAATTATCCCTTATATTTAGATCCATCAATAAATTATTCTTATCCATAACCATCCTAAAAATCATTTTTCCATTCTCCTTAATAAATGGTTCCATCACAATGTACATATTTTCCATTGCCATGCTCTAAAAAATAACAGTAATATAACTTAAATCATCAACCCAATCACCTTCATACCAGTCTCCATCAGTATATATCATTCGTCCTTTACCATTAGCCTTATCCTTTCTCCATCGCCCTTAAAATATTGACCCATCTTGATAGATTAAGCATCCTAAAGAGATAGGAATTTTGTTGAAGTACCATATCCAAATTTTTGGCCTTGATGCCAACCACCTCTATATAGTGAACCATCTTTTTATTCATAGACTCCATAAAAATAGCCATCCTCATCATCTATTTCATATGTGCCCAATTCATCCATAACTTTCTTAGATAGTATTTTTAGACAAGATTACCTGAACTATTAGATTATAAGTAGTGAACTATGTCTGTGTTTACCACACTACTTATGGATTAGGTCGATGAGTATCATCAGATGTTTCATTATTGGACTTTATTGACTCTTATTATAATATTTGTTGAGCCTGGCAAAATTACAATTGTTGATCCTCAGAACTTTTAAAGTTCTCTTATTTGAATTCAAGAGGCTACATTTCCTCTGTCTTTTAGATGTCAGCTGATTAACATTGGCAATTCCCCATTAGATAATAAAAATAATGTATTATTCTGAGAATTTCAAAAATATTACATGAATTAAAATATACAACTTCATCTGTTATATCTAAACATAAGCATTTTTTTGAATTATTCCATTTTCTTCAATTGTAAATAATTATTTGTAATATAAACAGGTTTCTAATCGAATTTCCTAGGATTTGGACTTTATGATAGAAAGTGTCTATTTTTTCTAGTTGTTATTTTGGGCAAAGGTGATCTGGTTATTTCATAAGTGCAACTTTGATTTAGAATTTTTGATGTCAATTTTTAATTTTGAGAACTTTGAGTATGTTCTTTGTAAGTAGTAGGTAAATGCTCTGGAAAATCATTATTGCTCTTTCAAATAGACAAAAAGCAATACTAATTTTTTGATTTCTAAAATCTATTCATTAGTAAACTCTGCCATTTAAGTTATTTTTGTTGATGGTGGAATAAAAATTGATGCTTCTCTATTTTCAGTTCCCATACACCTCACATCATTTAGAAATACTGTTTTACGAATTTTATCAATTGCATAAACAGATCCTTCATATCTTATGTTTTATTTAGTCAATATAGAAACTCTATTTTATTTCATTAAATTAAATAATTCGAATATTTAATTCTATCTTAAATCAAACCTTCATCATAAAAATATAAATAATATAATTAATTCACATGAACTTTGGGTTTCGTTTCAAATAAACTAAGGTAATTAAATTCCCCAAATCAAATGTATTAAAAATAAGTAAAAATAGAATCAAACTCTGGTCAGTATAGAGGAGGGTCGTAAAAAATTGTTAAATTTTTAACAATAAGATTGTTTAAAAGGAAATCTTGATGCCTGTTCATAATTGGAGAAACAATTGCTTGAATATTTGATTCTTTTGGATGAAATTATGAAATAGCCTATCCAAGATGAAATTACCTTCTTTTGGAATGATTCATATGAACCTGTAAGTCAGATAGATATATTTTTAGAATAAATTTACATAATCAAATTAATGGCATTATGAATATGCATGTCAATTATATAATTTAGGCATTATTTATTATCACCAGTCCCAAAATGCATAACATATTAAAGATTCTTTAACAAAATGTCGAAACTAGCTTTGGTGTTATTAAAAACTTTAAGAAGTCTTACCCTTTATAAATTCTAAAATTGCATAACAAAATTCAGATCTCTCTATTGTACATATTTGTATGTTGAATACTTATGTAATAATTAAATATTCCACATTTAGGCATAAGCATTTGGATATAAAAAGTTATATGATCATTTTAAAACATAAAAAGGAAATTAAGAATAATTAGATAGTTTAAGCTTTTTGTAGGAAGCTAATAAATTATATGATGCTGCAATAAGATATTTAATATAATCAAAGTAATGCAATAAAAAATAGATTCCACCATTGATTTATAATTAATTATTAGAAAAGTTAACTAATGATAGCACAGTATCAGAAGTTATATTATATATTGAATTGGGAAGACTTATGTCAGAAACAGCTAAAGAATTCCCAAAAGAATAAAGAATGGGAAAGGCAATAGCTTATATCAATAAAGCTGAATTAGCTATAGTAGCCATTTTCAAAAAATTTAAATAAAAAAATGAGTTTCTAGTTACATAATAGTAATTCAATTTATATATAGTATTTAAGATCTTAAATTGCAATTTTAAAGAAAGAGTATATCTATTTGAATGATAAGATAAATAAGAATCCTATTGCAAAAGAATATGAATTGTTACCTCTAACTTTGAAATAAGATATGATTAAGGCAAAGGCACCTGAATTATTTGATTAGAATAATGAATAAAAACAAAAACAAGTTGATGAGAAGAAACTTGTAGTATAAAAGTTAATTGATGATATAAATTAAAAGAAGATGTAGGCAAATTAAAAGTTAGTAGAATTCTAAAATAAATATACAACCATATTCAATTAATATAATCTATAATTTATGTTAGATGCATTTTAAAATGCTGAATAATTGAAATTAACTCCTTCAATATAAATAAAAGTAGACTTTATTAAGGAAAGAGGAGGTTGGAAAGGGTATCAATAATAGATTAATAAAATTCATTAACTTTAATAAGAATAAGGAAGATAATTGATAAAAATTAAAACTTTAATTGATTAATAATCTTAGGTTGAAGGTAATGTAGAATAATAGGAATAGGGAAAGAAATAATTAAGTTAATAATAAGTTGAAGTTTTTAAAAGAGTGCTTGATGGTATTAAATAAATATATAAATTATATAGATGTTTAAAAGAGATTACTTGAGGCAAGTTATATTAATAAAAATAATGAGGATTAAGTTTCAAATGTAAGGGATCAATTATTATTTGTTGAATAAAATAATAATTAAATGATTAGTAGCAAAATACAAACTTCTTTATAGGAATCATAAAAGTTTTATAAAAAGAATATATAAAATTTGAGAAATTTATCCTTATCTATTGAAATAATCAATAATAAATTGGAACTTATAAAACAATAATTAGCAAGTTTAGAAAAATATATTGATGATTTGAGATTAGATAAAAGTATGAACACTGGATTAGATTAATTTATTTAATAATAGGTTATGAAAGTAATAACTTAAAAGATTAATGATTATGATGCAATAGTAATATGCATTTAATTATGATAGTTTTAATCAATTAATTTAATTTAATTAGAAGAATCTTCAAAACAATTGACAGAACAAAAGTTATTTATGGCTATTGCAAATCAAGATGAAGCAGAATTTGAAAATTCATTAAATTAAATTACAGAAGCCTTTCAAAATTTAGATTATGGTTTATAATTTTATGAGTATATAATTATTGTATTATTTAGATCGATTTCCTTGTAAATAACATAAATTGCTACAGCTTTGTAAGAACTAATCAATAGTATTAATAAATGATGGGATAATTTGTATAATTATTTAAATTAGATAAAATATTTAATTTATGGATTCTAATTTGTAAAATCTCATAAAGAATTATGCTCCTTTATCTGATTTCTGTCCAGATCCAAATTATTAATTTGAAGAGTTTAAGGATAGATTATTCTAACCATTTAGCAGATAAGAAAGAATAAGTAGATGTTGTGATTTCTCAAAATAAACTTAAGTATAAAAAGATTTGGAAGATGAATATGAAACAGTAGGATAGAAAGTAGTCAAAAAGCCAGTTCAAAAAAAGATAGGCTTTGTCCCTTAATAATAATAATAAGTTGTTTATTAATCTTATTATTAAACTGGAAAGAAGAGTAAAATGTCATAAGCTGCAAAAAGAGTAATGGTTTATAAGAAATGCAGATTCAAGGATTCAATCTCTATTAAAACTGATTGGATTAGTATTCATGAAACATAAAAGTAAAATATTGAAAAAGTCTAATATTCAATGATTGATATAAAAGAGATTTAAAGTATAGGAACAATAAAAAAATATAACAAAGAATTTGATAAAGTTAGACCAAATTATGAGAAAAAGATATCTATTATAGGAGGAGAAGTTATATCAGGATCTGTATAAGATGATAAATATTTTAAATAACTCATTGCAGAAAGATAAGGAACAGAAGAAATTCCAACAATCTATACAACTGATAAATTGTTATTTGCAGTATAAACACTCAAGTATTCAATTTATCCTTGGGATATTTTGGTAACTAAGAAAGGAAATACTTATATCTTTGATAAATGTCCTTAAAATAGAAGTGAATTAACATATTTAGAATTACAAACAATAAATGAAAATATAACTGTTGATATGCCTGAGGATGAAAAGACAGTAAGAAATTATTGTGAAGAAAGTACAATAGCTTAATTGAGTTGGTAATTGTTAAGTACATATAATTAACCAGTTTTATTTTAAAATTCATTATAAAATGATGAAGAGACAGAATAAAATGATTAAGCTGAAAAATATTTATTTTCTGAAGATCTTTGTTTCAAATATTTAGAAGTTTCAGTAAAAGATAGAATAGAGAAAGCTGCTAAAGGAGAAGAAGTGAGAGCTGGATAAGAAAGATTTAAAGTTGTTGTTAGAACTACAGTTGAAGCTGAAAATAATGATGGACAACCTGTTTTAGTAAAATCATTAAATGAATGTGAAACACCTCCTGATTGGAAAAAATAATTATTATCTTAAGCTGGTATTACAACAAAGTAAGTATTTTATATAAATAAATTAGTACTGCTTAAGTATATAATACAAATAATATTGCTAAATGGTTATGTTAAGCATAATTATTAGAATGTGAAGAGATAAAGGTTGGTTATTTGGCTAGATAAAATTAAAAGGATTAAGATAAACATTCTCTATTATTAGTGGAAACATTTACTTAAAGAGATTTGGCTGCTATAATTAATTTTAAATCTTATGAAATATGGTAAAGTGTAAGATATTTGGTTGATTATTTGAAAACTTAAGAAGATGGAGTTTATGTTTTATTAAAATAAGCTTATAAATAATCTGTTAGAATATTTAATGTTAGAGATAATGATGAATAGTAGGATGAAGATGAAGATTAATTATGATATTATATATAGTATTATTTAAGTAATATTAATTACAATAAGATATTGACTCTATTCATGGTATGAATTGTTTAAATTAATATTGTAAAAAATTCTTAACATTTTTCGATATTAGGGATCTAATGAATATATACATTTTGAATTAAATTAAAAAAGATTTTAATTTTTTCTTTAAACAATCATGGTAAGATAATGAGTTCTATTTGTCTAGGCTAGAGGACCTAAGAAACATATGAAAAGAATTACAGCACCAAAAAGTTGGATGCTTTCAAAATTAGGAGGAAATTGGACAACAAGACCTTCATAAGGACCTCATAAGTTGAGAGAATCAATTCCATTGTCTATTATATTGCAACATAAATTGAAATATGCTCTTTATGCTAGAGATGTCTAAATGATTCTTGCTGATAAGGATGGCAATATTAAAGTTGATGGAAAAGTAAGATCTGACTTTGGATATCCAGTTGGATTAATGGGTATTAATTAATTTATAATTTGTAATCAGATGTCATTACAATTGACAAGACAAGAGAGAGTTTTAGAGTATTGTATGATGTTTCAGGAAAATTCATTTTAAAATCCATTAAACCAGATGAAGCTAAATTCAAGCTTGTTAAAGTAACTTAAAAGAAGGTAGGACCAAATAATGTTCCATACATTGTTACAAATGATGCCAGAACAATTAGATATCCAAATCCAGAAATTCATGTTAATGACACTCTTAAAATAGATTTGGAAACAGGAAAGGTTGTTGATTTTATTAAGGAAGAACCAGGTAATTGAATGCAATTAATTATATTAGGAAATGTGTGCTATATTATTGGAGGAAACAATATTGGAAGAGTTGGTCTTATTTAACATAGAGAAAGACATCTTGGATCATTTGATATTGTTCATGTTAAAGTATTGATATAAATGTAAATATTTATTAGGATTCAAATGGAAAACACTTTTCAACAAGAATTAACAATATCTTCACTATTGGTAAAGGAAAGAAACCTTTAATTTCACTTCCAGATGATAATGGTTTGTATTTGACTGCTCTTGAAAAGAAATAAGCCAAAGAACATCATGAAGAATAATAAAAATAATGATATTTTAAAAGTATAGTACATATTTACAAACAAAATAGATAATTATGAAATTTCATTAAATTTAGCAACATAAATTTTAGGTTTCTATTTATTTTTAATTCTGTTTCTATATTAATTCATATTTAAATCGATCAAATATAATTAAATCATATAATTTTTATGTCTTTTCTATTCTATCTCTAAAGGATACTTATTAATGTCTTTTCTTTTTATCAATTAAATTTCCAAATTTATCATAACGAACCTTTAGAGTTATTTCATATACAAAATCTAAGGATAATTTGCTATCATGAGATATACCATCATCTGGTAATGATGGAGCTTGTTATTCCAATGAAAAGAAGTCTGGCTTTGGAGCATAGCTTTATGATTTCATATTTATTTAAATGAAATCTTATATATATATATATATATATATATATATGAAGATTTTAATGTTTTATGATGTTTTAGAGTATCATTTTAGTAAATAATACAAATCGAATCAGGAAAAGAAGAATATTATAATAATGATTTATTTCTTGATATATTGTACATCATTTTGATAATTATGCAAATCATTTCTTTTAAGCTTTAGCAGCAGCCAATTCATTTCTTCTTCTGACTGCATTTGCTCTGTTTAACTTTACCAACTTTCTAAGAGCTGCTCTTTGTAATCCAACTCTTGAAGTACCAAATCTCTTTCTGATAACCTAAGAATATTAATAAATTTATTACTCTGGAAGCAGTGTGAACTCCATGTTTAACAGCCAAGGTTGAGGCATAAACTGATTAAGTGTTTTTAGCTTTTCTATCAGCTTATTAGAATTTTGTGCTCTTCTTTGTGACCAAATTAATATTATTAATCTAATTCACTTTTCCTGAGGTTGAAACAACACCAACTGCATTCTTACTGATGAATCCTTTAAATTAATTATATCGACCCAATTACCTGTACTGCTATATGTCTATACACCTGTGTTATTGAATGGGTCTGTTGACAATGTCAATCCATTTCTCTTAACCAAAAAGGCATTGTTTCCTTTAACCACTTCCCAGAGAACTTATTGTGACATTAATTTTAAAATAGATATTAATTTTTTTCAAAATTTTCTATATTAAGTAATTCATTAATGCTAACCCTCACTATTAAAAATATTCTTTGCATGTGCCATTGCATTCTCTGGATGTAATGCATCTTTACACTCTTTCTCTGCCAAAATGCATACTACTATTGTACCTAACTAATAATTGAAACAATATCCTACTTTAATAATAAAGTTGATAACAGACAATACTAACACGAATGTTTGTATTCCATCTGCCCAATTATGTGAAAAAGTTGATGAATTCCAAAATGGACCCCAATAAACTAACCAAACAAAATCAATAATCCAAGAGTATACAAATAAGTATATCAATCTAATCTTTTATGAAACCTATTTTATTTCATAAATATTTATACAGGTCTATCGATATCCCATAATAAATATGCAAATGCAAAAAGAGGTAAATTATAATCTGGTCTAGCATAGCAAGTGAAACATGAAATGAATGCTATTGCTAAAAATAATTTCTTAGGCCACTCTTACATTTCAAATATTATATATATTATTATTTATATTATATTATATTTTCAATATCTAAACATATCTTAATTAGTAATACTCACTTACTAATTGTAAAAATAACTATAACTATATATAATACAATTTTATACTTAATAAATAAAGACTTTGAAATTTAATTTAATTCTTTTAATGAATAAGATCATATCATTATATTGAAGTATAAAATTTATTTGATTCTTATTTACAAAATTAATTTGGATAAGTGAGGTTACTCATATAAAATCAAATTTAGTTGAAAAGATATAAAAAATATCCTTAAGATTTCTAATCCATTATAAAATTACATTAACTTAATTCATAATTGTTTCAGATTAGGAGAATGAATGTATTATGATCATTAAATTATCAATATATTATATTATATTAATTTTAATTAATGAATATAAGTAAACAATTAAATAGTCATATACCAAAATCATAACATTACATAAGAGAATCTCTGTATACTCTAATATTTACAATTAATTAACTTGTAATAGCAGCAGGATTAGAAAAATTTATAATTTATTCATTAAAAAATGGGTAATTAAAATTTTTGGGCTAAGTTATATAAAATGATATTATATTTTCATTATGCTAGATTAAATGTTCTAATTCAATCTTATCAGGTAATATTGATGGAGATATTAAAATATGGCATCATACAGGATTATATCATTCTAAGTATTTAATGAAACTTTAGAAGCATAATAGTAAGATTTCAAATATTATTATGAATAAAGATGAAGATCAAATTTATTCATGCAGTACTTCTATAATTGTTATTGATAAAAAATAATAATATAAATATTGTTAAAATATTTTATAAAATACTACAAGTATAAGGTGTATGAGTTTACATGAATCTTAGAATAAATTAATAGTTTGTGGACTTGAAAAATAAATTATTATTTTATAATAAGATCCTCTTGATTTAAAATGGAATAAAATATAAAAAATAAATATAAAAATAAATGGAGAGAGATTATGTTTTATTAATGACAATCAATTTGTATTTTAATAATATCTAAAAAATCAAATTTAAATATTTGAATTCAATTATTCTACTAAATAATTTTAGTAATCAAAAGAAATTAAAATATTAAATATAAGTAATAAATGTAATTTTGGATTTTAAATGTAATTTTGTAAAGAAACATAAATATTAATCAATAAAAATACTTAGTTTGTAAATATATTTAAAATAACATCAAAAAATGAATTTATTATAATATCACAAATAGACTTCGATACATCTAAAATATTTGGTTCAATGAGTGAAGATGGAAAGTATTTGATAACATGGGATGATAAATCAAGATGTGTATAACTATGGGAATTGATAGATCTTCATTTTTGACATTAATTATATATATAATACTTTTAATTATTTATAAATACTATAATCATAATAAACATATTAATATTCCTTTACAGTAATGTCTAAATATGATGTAAGTAGAGAGAAATAATGTAAAACAAAAAATGATAGTAATCATTAATTATATTCTAAAAGAAATATAGTAAATTATAATAGAATATCTTTGAATATCAATTTGGTTTATGATGATAATAAAAATATCATTATTATTATTATTATTATTACTAAATCAATTAAGTATTTAATATAGAATTGGTTTAGGATTTATTTAATTTGAATGCTTTATCATGAAATTCCAAACTTCTTGAAATATTTTATTTTAATGAAGATGGGGATACAGATCTTTGTTTATCTTCAGTAGTTTATAAATAAGTTTTTGGAGGTTGAATAATTTATGATTATTTAATAGGGGATTCAAATAATGGAATCTATGATGGTTATTAAATTTAAACAACATTAGTCTTTTGTATTTTCTAATTTTAATAGTTGATTATTGCTTATTAATTTCTAAAATAAGTACTCTAAAATATCTTTTATCTATTTGGAGATATTTCAGAATTCGGTTTATGGATTATTTTATTATTATCAACAATTATTTTAAATGAATCTAATTACATTTAAAGATTATAATCTAATGTTGACAATATTTCATCTAATTTTATAGTCTTAAAATTTAATTATTAAACTAGAATTTATAGATCTTAATATAATTCATCTGGCCATAATTCATTTATTATTTTTTATTCTACTATTTTTGTGCAATGTTACACTGTTGTAATCACTGCTGATTCTAATACTTTTTAAACTTTATTGATGGCTAACATTATATTTTTTTTTTTCTTTATATTTTATTCAATTGTTAATAAATTATTTAAGTATATTGAATCATGTTATTAATATAATATTCTAACAGATCTTGATGATTTATTATTGTGTCCTGGTTCAAATAGTAAAGCAACTGTAAATCTTATATTTGCTAATTAATGTATTCTCTTTCTTATCATCTATTGTCCATCACTATAATTAATATAACAATGAATTGGTAATCCCAATATTGTAGATATAGCTATATAATGATGATCTTTCAATATGAATTAATTATCTTCATTCAAATTGCCCAATAATTCAAAAATTGCCTCTTATTTTGATAATTTTCTTCCATTTCTAACTAAACAAGAATTTGTTTTTTATGTATACAAACTCAATAAAATACATCTATAAACATTAAAAAGTAGTTCTATTCCTTCTTAATTATTTAAATGTGAATATATATATTCTCTTTATTATTTCAAATGAGTACTACCTTAATCTTTTTCAAAACATGGAGTAATTTGACTAATAAATTTATTATAATCTGCAACAACTTTTTTAGTTTATTCATTATCTGAATGCATTTATTCTCTTATTTCATACAATACATCAATTTCTTACCAACTAATCAAACTATCCATTATAGCTGCTATTAGTACTGCTGCAGTCTTTACATATCTCTTTGTATTATCCATAGGTAATTAAATTTCTGGTCCACATTTAGGATAATCACATATAAAATTATTCCAAACATCTTTTGGAATATCATTTGGTTTTACATTTAAACTTGTAGCTTAGTAATTTGTAATACGTAGAGATTGCATTCTAATTTCTGTATTTTAATTTAAATAATATTTCAGATAAACAAAAAAAAAGAATAATTCTATTCTACTTTAATGTTAGACTCAGAAAAAGAATTCATTATATAATTAACTCTTTTTGTATGTATATCATTTTATAATGAGATAACTAAATTTTTATTGACTGACTATGTTATTATATCAATCTAATAGGTTACTCTCATTAATAACATTACTTTTCTTTTATTTCTATATTTTACTATTTAATAATTACTTTAACAAATTTCTTCAGTCTTTTTTATAAACTTAAAAACATTTAATATTTTTCATCATTACTAATTTGATATTATTTCTCAATAAGTTCATTTAATATTTCCTTAGTATTAATCCATTAATCTCTTTCCTTATAAGCTACTATAATTAAAATTAATAGTAAAATAATAAATATGAGATATAGAATAATAGTAATCCAATATTTAAAGAACATAAAACATTATCCAAAAAATATAAATAACATACAAATATTGAACAAGAAATAACCACCTTGTAACAATTCTTCATATTTATCCTTCACAACAGGTATAGCATAATTTATAAATAAAAATTTATCAATCCAAAATACAATCAATAATGAAAGCATTGATAATGGAATTATTAATGGATATTGGAATCCAAACATTAAGCTTATAGCAAAAATTTTACTCAAAGCAATTTATTTTTAATAAAAATTAAATTCTCTTGATTAAAATAATTAATTTGCTTCTCTTTAGGTTTTATTATTTGTTTTTTTTGTTTTTAATCTTTACAATTTAATTTTTTTCCAAAAATAATAATAATCAAATATTTAGTTTATTGATGGAACAATTAAATTCAAGTAACTCAATGTTATTAGATAATCAATCATACCTTCATTTTATAACATTTTATAACTAGATTAAGTGAAATTATTTTAAAACATATTCCAAGTTTCAAAATCCAAACTCTATAAGTAAAACATATAAAATATCATATACTAAATATATATATATACATTTATACTTACAAAATGATAAATTACTAATGATAATCTATTTAATATTTTTTATCCTAATTGATCAAATATCATAAAAGTAATCATTGAAAGTAAAGTTAAGCATACATTTAAAAATTGTTTAATTATATAATCTTCTTCTTCATTATTATAACTATTAATTATATCATATCTTATTTTCAATATAATAAATTATGCTATAATCAAGGGTTAACTGTATATACCAGCAATAATAACCTAGATACAAAATTGAAAATATGGACTTCTTATTTAAAATCCATAATAACATTTTTAGTCTTATACCTTACAAAGTTGAATAAAATCATTTTTTATTTCATCTTCTTTGATTATATCATTATCTGAAAAAAATAGAAATGATTATTTTATGATCTACCTAATATCTTCATTGTCATCAAATACTTCTCTTAATACCATTTTTTTTCTTTTTTACTAAATAAATATATATACTGTTATTGTTTTTCTCTCAGATAAGGGGATTTTAATTTTTCAAATAAAACATTTTAATACAATTTTTAATTTACAAGATANCAATTCTTCATATTTATCCTTCACAACAGGTATAGCATAATTTATAAATAAAAATTTATCAATCCAAAATACAATCAATAATGAAAGCATTGATAATGGAATTATTAATGGATATTGGAATCCAAACATTAAGCTTATAGCAAAAATTTTACTCAAAGCAATTTATTTTTAATAAAAATTAAATTCTCTTGATTAAAATAATTAATTTGCTTCTCTTTAGGTTTTATTATTTGTTTTTTTTGTTTTTAATCTTTACAATTTAATTTTTTTCCAAAAATAATAATAATCAAATATTTAGTTTATTGATGGAACAATTAAATTCAAGTAACTCAATGTTATTAGATAATCAATCATACCTTCATTTTATAACATTTTATAACTAGATTAAGTGAAATTATTTTAAAACATATTCCAAGTTTCAAAATCCAAACTCTATAAGTAAAACATATAAAATATCATATACTAAATATATATATATACATTTATACTTACAAAATGATAAATTACTAATGATAATCTATTTAATATTTTTTATCCTAATTGATCAAATATCATAAAAGTAATCATTGAAAGTAAAGTTAAGCATACATTTAAAAATTGTTTAATTATATAATCTTCTTCTTCATTATTATAACTATTAATTATATCATATCTTATTTTCAATATAATAAATTATGCTATAATCAAGGGTTAACTGTATATACCAGCAATAATAACCTAGATACAAAATTGAAAATATGGACTTCTTATTTAAAATCCATAATAACATTTTTAGTCTTATACCTTACAAAGTTGAATAAAATCATTTTTTATTTCATCTTCTTTGATTATATCATTATCTGAAAAAAATAGAAATGATTATTTTATGATCTACCTAATATCTTCATTGTCATCAAATACTTCTCTTAATACCATTTTTTTTCTTTTTTACTAAATAAATATATATACTGTTATTGTTTTTCTCTCAGATAAGGGGATTTTAATTTTTCAAATAAAACATTTTAATACAATTTTTAATTTACAAGATAAATTTAGTTACATATTTAAGAATTTCTATTCAAAAAATCAAGAATTTCTTAATTTGTGATTCTTTCAGGAAAGTAAACTCCATTAAGCAACAACCAGAATGTTTTTAATGATATTGCAACTTTGACCATTTATGTATTAAAAGATCCACATTTAATTAAGATTATAAAAATAAATGATGTCAAAAGAATAACAATTGCATATCTTATATCTGTGAGACTAAAATAATTAGGAACTAAATTCCATATCGAGTATATTTTAAGTGAATTTTAATTACAATTTGGATGTTATTCACATTAATTCCCTTATCTATTATAAAATAATCCAAAAGGAACAAAAAAAATGCTTGATAATAATAAATATCTTGTTTACCAAAGAATAGTAAGTTATATAAGCATCCATTTAATTGTTTGAAAATATTCAGATGCTACAAAACAGTCATTATTTAACTCATCACATAATTTGAATTTAATATGATCTTTATAAAAGTTACAGCAATTGCATTATGTAGAATTCTTCTAAGGTTCCTTATAAACTCTATATGCTAACTAAAGATTGAATATTTTTGGATCATACTCCATGCAATTCAGCTTGTTTTAAATCAGCAGGAATCTTAAAGTAATTATAAATGATATCAGGGAATGCTTAAGACTCATGCCAAGAGATAGATTCATTATCCATCTGTATTAGATATTAAATTTAATTATTATTAGAAACAATTTTTACTCTTATTTGAATACATTTGCTTGAAACCTTTATAATATTCTTTTTAAAGGATCATTTCTTATAATATACATGTTTAATTGATTATATAAGTATAAAAGAAACAATTAATCTAACAGATTAATATTATTATATTCAAAATAATGAATGATGTTCTTATAATAGATGAGAGATTAAAACAATTGTAGGAAGAGGTTAAAATGATGGAATAACAATATGGATTTAGTGAAGAATTTTAATTGAAAGAGGTTGGAAATCGATTAAAGAAGGAAGATAATTCAAAACAATAAACAAAGAAATAGACTAATAGATATTAAAATTTACCTCATTTTGTGTAGTAAAAAGAGATTAAACAATAAAAAATGAAAGCATAATTGTCAAATAAATGGGTTGAAATATTTTAAGAGAAACCATCAATTATGCAATTTTACGATGTCGATAGATTTCTTCCTACTCTTCAAAGTCCATATGATATACAAATTAAGCCTACTGTACCAAATGACGAGGATATTTACGAAACCTATATTGATAATTTAAAATATGATTGATAACATATAATTCATGCTAAAATACTAATATTTTATTGATACTTGTAAAAACAAAGGGCAATAAATTCCTTAATTATGTGATATAGTAAAAGAGAAGATCTTGATTGGATATTCTGATTTAGAAATATGGTTTTCAATAAAAAAATATAGTGATCATATTGATTAAGTGGTATTTACTAAATAATTAAAGTGAATAGAAAAAGATATGGGATTAGACAGATTAAGTAAATTGTAAATCCTCTCTAGATAGTTTTCTTCATAGTTATGCAGTTGAAGTAAGAATAAAAGTTTTAAATTTAGATTCATAATGTATTTGTAAAATACAAATAACATTTAGAGAAAGTGAAATAATTATAATTGATTGATAAGAGAATATCAAAAATTGTATAGGATACTATAAGTTATGAAGAAATGGATGCAAATAAATCATTGCAAATTACATTTTAAATAATGAAAATTGATGAATTTAATATATTAGATTTTTAGAAGGATGATAAAAATTATGTCTATACATTAGAATTATCATATCAAACATTGTTAAGGAAAATAAAGGGAAATGTAGAGACGGTTGCATAGAGATTAAATTTTGAATAAGAAATAATGATAGATTTGACTATAGATATTGGAACATTACAAATTAATTTATTTTAAGAATATGATAATGATTAAATATGTATAGCTTAACGTAATTTGGATCCATTCACACATTTGAATGAAGATTTAAAGTAGTTTCCATTAAAAATTAATGGGAAAGATAAATATATTAATCTCTAAATGAAAATAACTTGTTTAGATAATGTTAATGGTTATTTAAGAACTAGACAGAAATATTTAAGAGATCAATATGAAAAATTATACAAGTATTATTTTAGTATAGTATTTAAAATAGAAAATGTCATAAATATAAGACTAAATTAACATTGTTACTGAAACCGTTTTAGTTAATAAAGTTTGATGATGAGAACATCTATTTATAAAAGATTTAATAAAAGTAAAAGAATAAGGAATGTTGGAACTGTCATATTTAATGAAAACCTTATATATATATATATATATAGATATAATTTATTATACTCCAAATATATGTTGTTTATTCTCTTTGTCTAGTAATTAAAACACATAATAGATGAATTTACCAAAAATCTCATTTTTTGATGATCCTAAATCTTAATTATGGATTAAGGATGTCATTTAGATATCAGATCCAATTATTAGTGGGACTTTGATCAAAAATTCAAAGAAAGGGGTTTAAAAAGAGATCAATTACTTTATATAAGATGGAAAGTTTGCAAATAATAAGAAATATATTGATCTTTAAAATGTGACATTGGATAAACTTAAGAATTATGGTTTCAAATTGACTAGGAATAGAAAAACGATTGAGTTGTTTGCCCATAATGAATAAGCATAAATAGTATGGTATGATTATATGAAATCGTTTTGCATTTAAAGAGGCTTTAATAATGTATACTCTATAAACAAATTGATAGGGAAGGGTAATTTTGCAAAGGTAATATGTAATATGATATGTAATAAGGTTTATAGTGCATAAAAAAAGAGTGATCAATCATTGTACGCTGTTAAGGCATTTGACAAACTGAAATTTTAAGACATTCGAATTGATAAGGTAGAAATGAAGATTTACATATTATAAGCCTGCATTAATAAAGGAGTTATCCATAATGAGAAAGATGGATTTTCGAGGAGTGATCAAATTGTATGAAGTATATGAAAATGACAATTACATTTTTTTGGTTTGTGAATTATTAGAAGGAGGAGAACTCTTTAATTAGATGAAGGGTAAGGCTTACGATGAGAAGACTGTGGCCAATATCATGTATAGAATCTTGTAATCTATTGATTACATACATTAAATGGGTGTATTACATAGAGATATAAAAGTACATTATTTGAGTCATAGTAGCCTGAAAACCTCATATTACGTACAAAAGGAGATATGACTGATGTTGTAATAGCAGATTTTGGTTTAGCAGATTATTATAATCCATCCGGGGATTATATGTTTAAACGTTGTGGTACTCCAGGATATGTTGCACCTGAATTATTACAAGATAAAATATATGATTTCAAAGTAGACATATTTAGTGCAGGAGTATTAATGTTTATAATGCTAACTGGTGCATCACCATTTAAAGCTAAATCTTATGATGAGATTGTTATGAAGAACTACCATTGTTAAATTGAATATAATTTAATTAACAATCATCCTCTCAGTGAAGAAGCAATTCATTTATTAAGAGCATTACTTGAAAAGAATGCTGATCTAAGAATAAGTACAGAATTGGCTTTATAACATTAATGGTTTTAGAAGTAGGCTGATTATCAATTACATCTGTAATTATATATTATCTTATAGTAATAACAAGTGAAGAAAATTTACCAAGACACAAAAGAAATTCTGATTTATATGCCAGAACACCATTAATGGGTTAAGAACTCAATTAATCATTAACATCAACTCCTCTTAGTGTGACTCCATAAATGAGAAGTAAATCAAATACAGCTGATATAAATCGAGAAGAATAAAATGGAAATACATTTAGATAATAGAGTTAGTCAGTAAAGGTTTAGAAACAAGAATGCATTTTAGAAGAAAACGATTATAATGTTAATGAGGATGATGATATTCCTCGTAGTAACCAAATAAAAATGTATTAAATCTAACCTAAATTAAAAAAAAGTATTCTTTTACAGAGTAATATTTTTAGATTAAGAAGATTAATAGAAATACAATGTGGATAATGCAAATAGCATTCGTGGTTCACTCAAATAAGCTTTTTGAATAATATATTTAATTTACATAATTTTGTAATTATAAGAATGTTTTCTTATTTACCTTCCAAAGTCAAACATTTTTTTAATTGGGAATTACAAGAGTATATTGGAACATAATATGATGGAACAGAAACATTTAATCCTTTTTCAAGTCCATTCAATAGGATTATAAATGCTGCATGGCATACTAATCCAGATTCAACACATCATCATACTATAGATTATAGATTAATTAAAGCTATTTGTGATAATGATATCAATGAAGCTAAATTAGCTATTGATTAAAATCCTAATTCTATATAATCAACAAATTATGAATTTACTCCTCTTTCTTTAGCTGCTTCATTAAATCGTACAGCTATTATAGATTATTTATTATTAAGAGGAGCATAAATTGATGAAATTGATAATCAAGGTCGTACTCCTCTTATTTAAGCAGTTATTAATTGGCAAATTGAAGCTATTAAAACCCTTACTGAAAGAGGTGCATAGATAGATAAAAAAGGAAAATATGGTTATAATGCAATAGATTTAGGTTATAATAAATAATATAATTAGCATAAATAAGGGGATATGAATAGATAACTAAATTTTTGATTTCATAAAATAATAGACATCTTAAATTTACATATCCTAAATTTGATGTGACTCTTAAGATAGAGAAATAAATAGAACAATATAAAGAGATTACTAAAGATATTGAAAATGTAGTATTTGAACCTAAGAAATTGCCATTCAATAATTATTAAGGATTATATTAGATTAATTTATTATGATTAAAAATAACTTGATAAACAATAATTTATCTAGAATATTCTTCTTTCTATACTTTTTACAATACACGCATTACAATTCAAATATATTTATCAATGAAATATTTCTTGTTAATAGCTCTTTTCCTTATAGTATTATCAAGAGAATAAATTGAAGAAGTCGATGGTGTTTTACAACTCACTAAAAAAAATTTCTAATAAGCTGTTAACGAAAATCCAAGATTATTAGTAAAATTTTATATTAACTCATGTGGATATTGGTATTTATGTATATTTAATCTATAAAGCAAAAAAATGAAACCAGTTTTCATTTAATTAGCAGAAATGTTAAAAGATTATGGATTTGTTTTGGGAGAAGTCAATGCTGAAGAATAAAAAACTTTTACTGCAAAAAATAATGTTAAAGCATATCCAACACTCAAACTTTATAGAAATGGTGTTGTATAAGACTTTCCTAATTAATCAGATTCTGTTGAATTATTGTTTGAGTTTGCTTTATAAAATGCTTATGATCATATTACTACATTAAATACTTAAGAAGAAGTATATAAATATATTATTTAATCAATTTTAGATTGATCTATTCTTAAAAAGATCCAATTTTGCAGTACTCAAATATGTGAATAATGATGATGATTTATAAACAATAGTTGATAAGAATTCTGGAATTAAGTTTGGTATTGTTGCTAATCCAGAACTTTAATAAGCTCATACATCAAAATATACATTATATTATAAGGAATTACCAACACCACTTAATTATGATGGTGAAATAGATGGATTATTAGAATGGATCTCTGTTAATGGATTTCCTAAACTGTTCTCATTTACAGAGGAAGAATTTCTAAAAGCAGAAAAAGATAAAATTCCTTTAGTTGGTGTAGTTGGTGTAAAAGATAGCTAATTATATGAAACATATAAGACTTTAGCAGAATAGTATGAAAATAAAATTAGATTTATTCTCATTGATCCAAATTAAATTTTATCAAATAAAAGATTCTAATATTTAATTAAAAAGAAAATAGTTGCTAAAAATGTTATTTATTTTTACAATTTTGAGTAATTTAATTACTAATAATAATAGAACTAAAAAAACAATTACTGTTGAATTTACAGATGAATCATTTGAAACACATCAATAATTAGTTGAATCTTTATATGATTAATCAATTAATGGTAAAGAATCTGAAAATGCTGAATCTGACAAATATTATAAAGGAGATGGTGAAGTTCATGTTTTAACAACATCTAATTTTAAAGAATAGGTTTATGATAATCCTAATCATGTATTTGTTAAATTTTATGCACCATGGTGTGGTCATTGCAAAAATTTAGCACCTATTTATGAAGAATTAGCTTAAGAATTGGGTAGAAAAGATATTGCGATTGCTGAAGTTGATTTTACAGTTGATAGAATTGAAGGCATTGAAGTATAAGGATATCCAACATTAATATTTTTCAAGTCTGAAGAAGGTTAAAAGAAGAAAATAATTTTTGATGGAATAAGAAGTGTTGAAGGAATGAAAGATTTCTTATTGAGATAATTAGAAAATAATACTGAACCATAAATTTAATTAACTGAAGAATCTTTAATAGTAAATGAATCTAATAGAGTTGATATACATAATGATGGATAAGTGATTTAATTAACAGCTCAAAATTTTGAATCAATAGTTTTATAAAGTAAATAAGATGTTTTTGTTAAATTTTATGCTCCTTGGTGTGGACATTGTAAAGCTATGTCAGCAGAATATGTGAAATTAGCAGAAGAATATAAAGATAGTAAAAATGTGTTAATTGCTGAATTGGATGCTACAGTTCATAAAATACCAATTGTTTAAATTGAAGGATTCCCTACTTTGATTCTTTTTGAGAAGGGAGAAACTAAAGTTAAATAACTCTAATTTAGTGGTTAAAGAACTGCATAAATAATTAAAGAGTTTATTGAAGAAAATGGAAGTTTTGCTAAGAAAAAAGATTTGTGAAGTATATATATAAAGATGTTTAATTTAATTTTATTATTAATATTAAAAATATAAAAAGATCTCTAAATTAAGAGAGATATCTAATAATGAAATAAATCATTAAATATTTTATAATTTTTTTATCAATCTTCCTTTCCATGGTTTTTATTAGATCTCTTTTGTTGATATTTATTTTCCCTCATAATCCATTTATTTAGTAGTTATATACTAACCTTGATATGCACTACATGGAATTAATTCTTCTGGTTTCATGAATACTCTTAAAGGTTTTTAATTTTTTTAAACAAATGATTCTTAATAGATAGAACGTAATTGATTTGGATATATTTTTGTTATAGTTTAACTAATTTATATGATATTTTTTTTACTGAAATTATTTTTATTTAACATCTTCAGCTGTTGGTTAATTTTCATCTTTGATTTTCCATATAAATTAATTTCTATAATTAGTTCTATTCATTAAATTGGCTTTAACAGTAGTGCGAAATTGTGGAGCCTTAAATATATTGGGAGTATAGTCCTTCCAATTGATAAATGTGAGCAAGACTATTGAATAATAATTCGTACATTGTTAGTAGTTTATCCAGTTGGTAAATTGTGAGATTCATACATAGATTTGGCTGCAGTTCTTGGTCTATCTTATGGTATCCATTTATAATTATCTCTTTAAGTAGAGTTGAATTACATAGATGCAACTGGTAAAGCAATATTATCATAATGAGATTGTGTTATAATTGGAGTAAAACATTTATTTTATTTTGGTACATAATCGAACCTATTAGATGTTAGCATTCCATATGCATAATTTAATTCTAATTTCTTTTTGTATTGACATATGCATTTATTACAAGTACATTTGGCACATGCACATTAAGCAAATATATGGCATAAATATGATTAATTGTCTTCTACATATTATTCAATATCTGGAATGTCTTTTAAGTCTTCCTTAAATATTTGTTTGAACTTCTATTCATCACAATAATCCAACCAATCAAAATCAATTTCAAAACAAAGTGGTTACGTAGTCGTTGAAGATTAATGTGATACAGCAGATTTAGGAGGAGCAGCACATTCCAAATTACTCAAGTTTAATTTATCTATGAAAGTGTTTCTTAATTATTCTGCTATCTTATTTGGTTTTATTATTGCTCCATCTTTTTTGTTTTTGTAAAACTTCTTTAATTAAGGTTTTTGTAACAGACTTGTTGCTCTGTTTCGAAGTTCCTTTTCATTTAGTATATCACTAAACCCAGAAGACTTTGTCATCCTTCCTTATTCTATCTCTCTTCCAATTGATACATATGTAGATTTTTTAGACATTTTTTATTTTTAATTATTTTCACTTTTATGTTTAACAACATGAATCAATTTTGTAAATTTAATAACCATAAAACAATATAAATCATTCAAATCAAAGATTATAATCATTTTCATAAAATAAAATAATCTTGATTGATATTTCTAAAAGAAAACCTCTAAAGGATAATAAAATTAAATATTTTCATTAATTAGAATAAATGATTAAGATTAATTTAAGAGTATATTGATAGTGTATTCATTAAATTAAATTCAAAAGCTACATAATATGTGTTAAGATTTTATGATTGCTCTTAAATATTCTGATTGATTTAAGATTAACATAAATTGTTAATTGATCATAACTATACAGGTAAATGTGAATTAGTTACTTAAAAATTATTAGAGTTTAGGACGTTAATCAGAATTTCATTTAAAATTGATAATCATATTATATTTTAGGTTTAAAGTATTATAGATAAAATTTAGAATTATTAATAATTAAATAGTTGTTTTGATTGATATAATAAGATATGTCTAAGACATTTTTAATTTTTTAATTTCTATTAAAGTAGGTATCATTTAAGTTTATTTGAATCTAAAATCTCAATATTATTTATAAAATTTATTGCTTATAATTACATATAAATTTAAGAACACATAAAAAGACAAAAATTATATATTTTATGAAAAAATGGATAGCATGCAAGAATCATAATTAAGATTTGCTAAAATATGATTATTGAAGTTGATATATATTTTAAAGATAATAAATAAAATTAATGACCCTAATATAACGATAAGTATAAAAATAATAGAAATGAAATAATAATAAATATGAATCTCGTCTTAATATGATATGTTATAATATTTTGCAAATGTCCATTAAACATATATATATATATCTGTTCCTTTTAAATTGTTATTATTTATGCATATAAAATTAATCTAATTAATAACAGATTTAAACTTCATTTTTTATATGAGAATAAATTACAAGATATCTTTACAAAAATTTATCTTTGAAGTTAATTAAGAAATAGGAGCACAAAAATTGACTTCATTTGAAAGTATTACATATTTAGTAGGGTGATCATTTTAATAATACAATAGCTATACCAAATTATTTATTTTTCTTTAACTTCTATAAATTTCTGTCCATCTCATATATTAAATTTATTTAACATATTGTTGTTTACAAACATGTATAATAGCTTTTAAATTTTCTAACTTTGTATCTATTTTTAGAAATATAATATATTATATATTATATATTATATATTATGTATATAAAGTATCATAATCCTATTTATAGAAAATCATCTATCTGTTATGAATCAATAAACATAGATATTAGAATTGATTCCTTTTTATTACATGAGGAGTATGAAGACATTAGAAAATGAATGAAAAGAAACCTAAGTAAACAAAATTAAAATAATGAAGAAAGTGTTGATTTATATATTGTATAAGAATATTTTGAGATTCTAAGGGATGATGTAATTTCTATCAAAATGGAATGGAAACTTTTCAGATATACCCAAAAAATGTTTTCTTTATAAAAAAGTTTATTATACTCCTCAATAAATCTCTGCCAATTAATGATATTTCTTTATTCATTTAATTTCATTTGAATGTACCTACTTATGGTAAGCATTGCCTATTATGAAATCCATAAGTATGAAATTTTTAAAATTAAAAATCATAAGATTGTGTACAATATTGTACCTAAATTTATTATGAAATTCTTTAAGAAACACATTATTTTGATTTGATAGTAATTTCTTAACTCTAAAATTGTAGTAAAAGCGATATAATAACAAAAATCTTCATATTTTTTAAATAATCTCCTATGAATATGATGAGATCCAAATTAATGTTTATATATTTCAGATTTAATCATATTAATTTATTGTATCTAAATTTATAATTTAAAGACGCAAATAAATAACAATAAGAAATTGATATTTTTTATATGTTGAATTAAGTTCTTTAAGTCATTGGTGTTTAGTAAAATGAGGAATAATAAATGGAAGCAATATATGATGATTTTTAGAGACCTCCAAAGATTAAGATTGCTATGATGCATGCTGCAGCAACAAAATTTGCCAAGACCGATCCAAATATTGACCTTGATAAAACAAATGTTTGTCCATGTTGTGGATTACCAGCAGTCATTGAAGAAATTCCATTATGTTCATCAAGAAATGAATTCAGTTTCAATGGATCAGGAATAGCATTGTATTTTGATTTCTTAGTTTTTTCTGGAGTTATCGTATTTGCTTATATGTATATTAATTTATGTCTATATATTAGAGCCATTAGTTGTGGATACAATATATATGCTAATTCTCAAGGGAAGAGATGCAGTTTAATAAAGAGTAGTATTGCTGATAAATGTAAAACAGATTTTTTCAACTAATTTTCATTGACAAATGATAATGAGTATTAATATTATTATATATCTTTTAGAGATTTCGATGAAGTTCGTAGCATTCTAAATTTTATATCTCTAATAGTGATATTATTTTTGACTTTATTTTACAGAAGACATATTAGTAAAATAGCTATGGAATTAGATGATGCAGCCATTTTAGCTTCTGATTTTTCAATAATTGTTGAAAATATTCCTAGAGATGCAAAAGAACCTGAAATTTAAGAATACTTTTCATAACCATTTCAAAATGAAACTGTCGAATTTAGAAAACTTTGCATTGCTTATGAAATATAACCTTATTTAAAACTTAATACTTAAAAATAACTAAAAGAAACGGTACTTACAAAAGTACTTGAATTAGAAGCAGAAGGAAAATAAATACCTAAATCAATACCACCTAGAGTTTAATTAAAATAAGAAATAGATAAAATTTCAAAGGAATTAGATTATATGGAAGATCATAGAGCTACTATTTTTGATTTCAGTGGAATTTGTATTATAACTTATAATTATGAAAAATAAGCAGATAATGTTTGTAAAACATTCAAAGCTACAAGATTTAAAATCTTATTAGATTAATTAGGAATTGAATAAAATGAATTTAAAAAATTTAGAAACAATAATCTTTTAGTAAGAAAAGCACCTGAACCTGGTGATATCATTTGGGGTAATCTTGGAATAACAATTAAAGAATAATATAAAAGAACATTAATAACAAATGCTATGACTCTCTTTTTATTAGCAATTGGATTTGGTTTATTACTTGGATTATCTTATGCATAAAATGTTATTAATAAGAATATCTCAAAAGGATCAACAACAGAAACAATTATTATTACTCTACTTGGATTTGCATCATCAATCCTAATCTCGATTATCAATGTTGTTTTGGCTAAAATGATTGTTAAATTTGCTGAATTAGAATAATAAGCTACTAGAACAGATTATAATGTAAGTGTAGCTTATAAAATGGGAGTAGCTCAATTTCTAAATACTGCTATCTTAACCTTAATTATTAATCTATTTATATAAGAAGAAATGATAAGTTTAGATTAAGCTATTTGGTAGACAGGTGGACTTAATTCAGATGTGATGTTGATTTTCATTACTAATTCTATTACACCCTGGTTGACTCTATTGTTAGATGTTAATTATTTTTATAAGTTATATGTTAGACAGAAAATTATTAAATAAGGAGAAAATTGTAAATATACTTAAAATGAAGCTAATTAGTAATAATCTTATTTATTTATAGAGCATTTGAAGGACCAACAATTGATTTATCCTAAAAATATGCTAAATTATGTAAAACCCTATTGTTTACATTTCTATATTCAGCATTATTGCCTGTTGGAGTTTGTTTTACATTTCTCTCAATAGTTTGTATATATTGGACAGAAAAGTATTTATTAATAAGAAGAGATTCCAAGCCTGCTCCAACAGGTAGTGCAATGGCTGAAGCTATGATCGATTTTTATATAGAATTAATTCTATTATTGTTTTCTGTAAAACTTTAAATTAATTATTTAGTTAGGATGTACTTTTTGGGAATGGATAAATTACGATAAAATTCATATCCTAACATGGTTATAATTAGGATTTTCAACATTACATTATTTAATTCCAATTTAAAAAATATGTGGTTGTATAGTAGATTTAGGAATTGATAATGCAACTATTGAATCATATGATGAAAAATTCTTAACTTTTTATGATGATTATGATCGACGTAATCCTGTGACTTTAGATGCAGCTAAAGAAAAATGGATTAAAATTCAATAGGAAACAGTATAACCTACTCCTTAACCAAAAACAAGGTAAAATTAAATAATATCAATCTTAGTAATTAACTAAAAAAATATCATTAAATTCAACATATAACAACAGGTAGTACAAAAATTCATCCTATAGAGAGTAGAAATAGTAGAGAAATAGATGATTTATAATAACTTTAAGTTTGATTTTACTTATAAATAATATTTATTATTTTCTAATAAAATATCAAAGAATTCTGTCAAAGTTATATTAAAATATTTATAACAGATTCAGTATGAAATGTCAAATCTCGAAATCCTATAATAAAATTTCAGATGTTTTCTCTCGAAATCAAATTAAGCATGCAGTTGAAGGGTTGAACACATACAAACAAAGGATTAAATTAATTGATCATATAATAGATAGAAGGGAATAAATTGAAAAATCTGAAGATATTGCAAAGTTGTAATAATATGCACACATCTTTAAAAAAATGTTAAATAAATACAAAAAAAAGAAAAGTGATCAATAATAAGAATAAAAATAATAGAGATTGGAAATGGTTATGCAATTACTTAGTGGAGAAAAAAATAAAAAACCTGAAATTAAGAAAGAGTCTAGAGCTGTTCTTAGATATTGTTAGATTGGTAACAAATTACATCAAATAATAAATAAGAGTGTAAATACACAATCTACAAAGGCTGATGATACTAAAATATAAGAATATTCATAACCTAAATCTAGAAAAATATCTAGATTTTTTACTGAGAAGGATCCCATGCAAGCAGAATCTTAAATAGAGAGAGAAGTTTGTGTATTTCTAGAAAAAAATAAAGAGCTCAATTATTTATAGAAAGAGAGGTTCTTGAGACTTACCAATGATAATAAAAAATTTCGATATTTAGAAAACTAAATAAAATAATAATTAAAATAATAAGAATATCAATAGTAATAAACAGCAGTAAAAGTAAATTAATAATTTTATTGTAGTAATATTATAAGGTTTAAAATCTATTCCATAAAAACTACTATAAAGGAGCTTCAATTAAAATAATTAAATCATAAAAAACATAACCATTATAAATAGAAACAGATTATTGTTATACAGAAAGATAAAGATTTTAAGAACCAGAATCTTTTGCTTCTTATACAGAATTAAAGTTAAATTAATTGTATACTGATTCAATTGATATTCAAAAATCATTAAGATAAAAAAATCAATCTTGTCCAAATAATCTACTTTAAACATATTTGATTAACACTAATACTGATATTATTGATGTTTGTAATTAAAAACTATTTTAAACAAAAAAATAACAAAAATGAATTAAACAATTTTAATAATTATTTGTGATAATTAATTATATGTTATAAATAAAATGATATCAAAAAATTGAGTATATAAATGCTCATAATATTGTACGTACAAATTTATTTATTTATTAAAAATGCAATAAACAATTGATACAAGAGAAATAATTAATGTATATTATGGTACTACATCTGGAAATTCATCACGTCTAGCCTTCTAGTTTGCAGATGAAGCTATACAACATAAATTTATCCCTAAAAGTACATTAGTATATTAAATTTAGTATTCAATCTAAAAGAGTTCAATCCTGATGTATTTATTTAAACAAGACTTAATATTTTCTTTGTTTCAACATATGGTGTTGGTGGACCAACTAGTGATGCTATTGACTTTAATAATTGGTTATAGTCTAAGGATAGAAAATAAAATGAATTATAAGGAGTACATTTCTCAGTATTTGCCTTGGGAAATACAAAACATGAACACTTTTGTGGTATGGGAGTCAAAACAGATGCTAGATTAGAAGAACTTGGAGCAACAAGAATATTCTAATTAGGAAAAGGTAATTCTTGTGATGAAACTACTGACAATGATTACTCTGTCTGGGTAGAAAGTGGATTATTTGCTGCATTAGAATCCTTATCTCCATTAATAACTGTACCAGCTAATTAAGTTCAAAGTTCAATTTACAAAATAAAAGAATTTGATAATATAGATGTTTTAATTGGAGAAACCTTGTCATTTTAGGCATAAAAATACAAAGATTCATATTCCCTTAAGGTTATAGAGATTAAAGAATTAAGAAAGGCTCCAAGTGCTGGAAATTCAACATTATATTTGAGTTTAGAATCATTAAATATTCCATACAAAGCAGCATAAAATATTGCTATTTATCCAGAAAATACTGAAGAATATATTCAAGAAATTTGTTCTATGTTGAATTTAGATCCAAAATTTATTTTTTAAATTGAAACAAAAGGTAATCATCCTTTTCCAACACCAATCAGTGTTCATAATTATTTGAAGAAGTATTGTGATTTTTTAGGACCTATTACTAAAAAATAATTATACACTCTTTCATTATTAGTTGATGATCCAAAAGTAAAAGAAGAATTAAAGTTTGTTTCATCTCATAAAGGGAGAGAATAATATGATACTAATTATTTATAAACAAGAGAATGTTTTTTCAACCTTGTGAAAAAATATAATATTAAAAACATACCATTATAATAATTAATAGAATTGTGTCCTTTAATATCACCTAGATATTTTACAATTGCATCAAGTCCATTAAAATATCCAAATAAAATTGAAATTATTGCAAGTGAATTATTAATAACTAAAGAGAGAGTAAAATATTTTTATATTTTTAGTTGGGATTGTGTTCATAATTCTTAAGAAATGTAAAAGTTGGATAGGAGATTAAATGTTATTTATAAGAATCAGCATTTACATTACCTTAAAATCCTTAGGCTCCTATATTATTATTAGGAATTGGAGCTGGATTGGCTCCAATGAGAGCTTTTATTTAAGAAAAAGATGAATTTATAGAGCAAAATAAATTAGATTAGAGTCCATTTAAAGGTCCAATGACATTATTTTTTGGTTGTAGAACAATGAATGATTATCTATTTAAAGAAGAATTAGAAGAATATGAAAAGAATGGTACATTAAATTAATTGAAAGTTGCTTTTTCTAGAGAGGGACAACAAGTAATTATTTATATTAATAATAATATAGATTAGAATTACTAATTATTTAGATGTTGAATTTTTAAATTAATTTTTAGAATCTGGTGGTATTATCTATGTATGTGGATCTACTTAAATGGGTAGAGATGTATAGATTGCTATAGAGAATATGTTTAAATAGATAAGAAAAGTTATGCCTTATTTGGCTTATAGAAAAGTGAATGAATTAGAAGAATAAAAGATATTTGTCAAAGAATTATGGGGATGAATTTGATTAATGTTATGATTATGATTATTAATCAATCATTTAACACGTTTAGAACAGAATGTTTTTACTGGGTTATATATAGGTCCTGGAGAATGAGCATCTTCTTTTTACAGTTTTTCATCTATCCAACTAATTTTAGCTGATTTTCCTATAGTAGCATTTGGAGATGTCTCTCTGATATCTAGAAGTATAAAAATTAAAAAATACGTTTTTATGCTCCTTCTGTTCTATATCTTCCTACTCCAGGAGAACTTGTTGTTAAACTATTATCTAATTATCTTTTAGCTTTATTGAAAGTTGTTGGAGATCCTCTCATTTATATTGACATCTCACTCAAAGGAATTGTTTATTATTGTTTAATAGTTGATATTTTACTAGGTGATCTACTTACATAAGATTGACTCATTGTCATTTTTTTAAGATCAGGTTCTGATTATCTCTCTATTTTTCTTGAAACTGGGGATATGATTTCAGATTTGTTATTATTTAATTAAAATGTTTCATCTGATATCAAATTCATTGAATTAACTATTTGATTCCATACATTGTTTGATGTAGCAGTTAAAATTAAATCAAAATTGCTCTTAAAAATTTGAATATTTCGATTTAATTGAATTGAGTATTCTACCTTCTATCCCTATCTTTACATTGCACTAATCACTTCTTTAAGTCCTTTTAAAAATGATACAAATATTATATTACTTTAAGATGCAAAGTTTATTTCATTTGTAAAGACTTCCTCCAAAAATGTAGTCAATTAAGTTAGATAGCCTCTCTTCTAAACAGTCTCAAAAATGTGATTTATGTCTGTATACCTACCTATTTCAGTTTGGATTGAGGAATTCATTTAATTAAATTTAATTATATATATTAGGAATGCTTCTATGCACATGTAATAAATTTTTGAAAAAATTAAAAAAAATCAAAATCTTTTTGTATGACTCAAGGAAAGAATAAGAAATTAGGAAAGAAGAAGGGATAAAAAAAGACCATTGACCCATTGGCTAGAAAGGAATGGTTTGAATTAACTGCCCCTGTCCCCTTCAGCGCTGGTGGATTTGGCTATACTTGCATCAATAAATCTGCAGGAACAGGTAATTAATTATAATAAACCCTTTAGTTGTGGCCACTGAAGCCATTAAAGGACGTGTAGTTGAGGCATCCTTAGCTGATCTTTAAGGATAATCAGATCAAATGGCATGGAGAAAAGTCAAATTAGTTATTGATGATGTTGAAGGTACAAGATGCAGAACTTCTTTCTATGGCCTTGATTCAACAAAGGATAAGATCTTTGGAATGATTAAAAAGCGATAAACTTTGATTGAGGTACTTTAAAATTCATAATTTTTAATTAGACTTAAGTTGAAGCCAGATCATCAGATGGATATATTTTGAGAATATTTGTCATTGCATTCACCAAGAGTATTAAAAATCAATAAAGAAAAACCACTTATGCTTAAAGAAGTTAAATCAAAGATATTAGAAAGAAGATTGTTGAGATAGTCCTCAAGGAAGTCTCCAAGAAAAGCATCACTTAATTACTTAATTTTTTCAATCAAGAAACTCTTTCAAAAGAAATTGGAAAGGCAACAAGAGGTATTTTCCCACTCTAAAACATTACATTAAGAAAAGTAAAGTTGGTTAAGAGACCCAAGGTTGATGGTAATATTTTTCATTTAAATGTTTAGCTCAAAAATTGAGAGAATTCTATGATGATTCCCAAAGATCCAAAGGTACAATTAGAAGACACGGTCAAGCAGAAGACTAAACTGCTTTAAATCTTATCAAATAAGGACAAATAGATAAGGAATAAACAGAATAAAAATAAGAATGATGATGAATTTATTACAGTATAAACAAAATAGTACATATATTAATATTAGAGAGATTAAAAACAATGTATGTATTTATATATATATTGTATTTGATATCTTAATCGATAGTGTATTTTAAATATAAAGATTTTTTTTAATTTAATTTGAGGAAATAAGATGTCTTAATAGGCTTAAAAGGGTGGAAAGGGAGCATAGACTAAAACTGATGCTAAACCATAAACAGCTGCATAAGCAAAAGTTGCTAAACCATAAGAAACTAAGGAGAATGTTATGAGAAAAATTAGAATTGAAAAATTGATGGTTCATATTTGTGCTGGTGAATCAGGAGATAAATTGACTAAGGCAGCTAAAGTCTTGGAAGATCTTACAGGATAAAAGCCTGTTTTTGGAAAAGCAAGATATACAGTGAGATCATTTGGTATTAGAAGAAATGAAAAAATCTCTGTTTTTTGCACCATTAGAGGCGATTAAGCTAGAGATATTCTAGTTAGAGGTTTAAGAGTGAAAGAAATGGAATTGAAGAAGAGAAACTTTTCTGATTCAGGAAACTTTGGATTTGGTATTCAAGAACATATTGATTTGGGATTAAAATATGATCCATATACAGGTATCGAATTCAACAAATATAATTAGGTATTTTTGGTATGGACTTCTATGTTGTGTTGTCAAGACCAGGATTGAGAGTTGCTTAAAGAAAATCAAGAAATTCAAGATTGGGCACACAATAAAGAGTGACTAAAAAGGAAGCTGTAGAATGGTTCAAATAAACCTTTGAAGGAAACGTCTATTGATACAATACAATATTACATTAAATACACATATAAAAATATAATTTTTATTTTAATATGGGTTGTGGATCATCGTAACCAGCTGCTGAACCTGATCAAATTTCAAAATCTTTGAAAAGTGCTAACACATCAGAAATAGAAGACTTGATTGGCAAAAAAATACCTAAAGTACTATGTAGATAATATTGGTAAGTTACTAATTTAAGCTGAAATGAAACATCGATTTACTGCTGATGAAGAAGCTATTAAAAAGTATTAATTTAAAACTAAAATTTTAGCGACTTAATTTAAATGTAATCTCCATAAGAAAATGAGAATGTAGTGGCAAGAGCTTAAAAAAAAATATAAAAAAAATATCGAGGAGGAGAGGATGTTGAAGGCTAAATAATTGAAAATGTGAAAAGAGTTGAAAGAGAGATGCAAGGTATAGTATTAATAATTTTTATTTCTCAGAAAGTGATGTTGATTTAATCATTAAAAGCTTCAAAAATCATTTTGTATTTTTTAGTCTTCCTCAAGATTCTCTATAAAAATTAATAGAAAATATGTTCTATTGTACAATAAAGGCAGGAGAGTTTGTTTTCAAATAAGGAAATTAGGTTAATGAACTTAGTTGATATAGTAGGCTAGTGCATATTTCGTAATTGAAAGAGGAGAAGTCTAAATAATTATAAATGAAAATCCCATAAGAGTGCTTTAATAAGGAGATTAATTTGGTGAAATTGCTTTATTATATAATGCTACTAGATCTGCTTCTACGAAAGCACTTACTAATTGTGGATTTTGGTCTTTAGAAAGAGCTACTTTTAAGAAAACTATTGAAGAGATAACTTTAAAGGAATATGATGAAAACAGAAAGTTTATAGATTAAGTATTTATTGACAATTTAATAGGTTAATTTCTTTTCTTTTATGACATCTGAATAAAGAGATATGATAGGACATGCTTTAATCACAACCAAGTTCAATCCTGGATAGAATATAGTAAATGAAGGAGATTAAGCAGATTCATTTTATGTTATAAAAAGTGGTTAAGTGTAAATATTGAAAGGAGACAAATTAATAAGAAAAATGGGTGCAAAAGATAGTTTTGGGTAAAAATATAGATTTAATAAATTTTTAGAGAATAAGCTTTATATGAGAAATCAGTAAGAGGGGCAACAGTTAAAGCAGAAACAGAGGTTAAATGTGTGGCATTGGGAAGAGAGAATTTGACTAAGATATTGGGAGATAAAATATAACTTATTATTTTCAATAATATAATGAGATGGAGTTTTGAAAAAAGCGAGATTTTAAAATAATTAACAAAAATTTAATTGGAAAAAATATCATAAAAAGCAAAGATTGAAAATTTTAAAAAAGGTTAAATTATATTTGAAGCTAATAAACCATGTGATAAATTAGTTGTTGTTTTAGAGGGTGTATTAATAAATTCAAAATAAGAATCAATCAGTAAAGGTTCTTGTTTTGGAGATTAATTTTTATAAAAAGAATTATATGGATCACTACTTGAATGTGCTTTTTCTATGGTAGGAGATGGTGTATTAGCAACAATTACTTATTAAGCTTTATTTAAGATATTTGGAGGGGATTTAGAAACTGCATTAAAGAAAAATGAAAATTCTCATGAAAAGAAAATATAATAAATTGGTTAAAGGGAGGATGCTTCTCATATTTTTGTAGAAGATTTAGTTTATATAAAGAAATTAGGTGAAGGACAATTTGGAAGTGTATATTTGGTTAAACACAAAGAAATTAATAAGGTATTTGCTTTGAAAAGTGTAAGCAAAGCATCTATTATTGAATAAAATTTAGAGAAACATATTACATAAGAGAAAAAAGTATTAGAATAGATAAACTTTCCATTTATAATGGGATTTGTAAGAACATTTAAAGATGATATGTCCATTTATTTTTTAGTTGATTTTATAAGAGGAATGGAGTTATTTGATGTAATAAGAGATATAGGATTGTTATCTAAACCAGAGACATAATTTTACATTGGTACAATGATTCTTTGCATAGAATACTTACATTCTAAGAGTATTGTATACAGAGATTTAAAACCAGAGAATATAATGGTGAATTCTCAAGGTTTTATGTATTTAATTGATTTGGGTACTGCTAAACCACTTCTAAAAGCAAAAGCATGTAGAACATATACAATTATTGGAACTCCTCATTATATGGCACCTGAAATAATGGCAGGAAAAGGTTATACATTTACAGTAGATTTGTGGAGTATTGGAATATGTATGTATGAATTCATGTGTGGAGGAGTGCCATTTGGTGAAGAATTAGAAGATCCATATCAAATATATGAAGAGATTATGAATACTTAAATTAAATATCCTACATTCTTAAAAGATAGATATGCTAAAAAATTGATGGAACAGTTAATGAATAGATAACCTGAAACTAGATTAGGTGCATCTTATTCAGCATTAAAGGCTCATCCATGGTTTGATGATTTTGACTTTGATAAACTTTTTAGTAGGGAACTCAAACCTCCTGTATTATTATTTAATAACATTTTTAGTATATGCCTAAATCAGAAAATATGGTCTCTGAAAATGATATTTAAAAGAGATTTAATCAGAATAAATTAGTTGTTTAAGAAATCAAACATGAACAAGATAATCACAAAATCAAATATAATAAGCATCTTGCTAAAGATCCTAATTGGGATAAAGACTTTTGAGTAAATATAGATGTATCAATTAATGAAAACAACATTTTCTATTTTCGACAAATTGACAATTACTTTTAAATATAATATTTTAAATTCATTATTTTTATTTAATGTCAATATTGTCAAAATTTACATCTATTATTCTAATTAAATTTTATATCAATTATTATTTATTACAATCAATCAGAATACTATTCCTATAAGGTATGTAAACCTAATTTTATGACAAAAATTAAACAGTCAAAAAATATAATTTAAAACATATTTAATCCAAAACTTAATTTTTTATATATATATTTTCAAAATTATTGATTAAAATAGAACTCTGACTATTAGATATACTCTTTCATAAAGTATATTATATTAAAAAGTATTCTTTGATTTTCTTAACATTCATCGATAAACTTTAACTACTCCTTTCCTGAATATTATAAGAATGGTTGTAGTTATTTTTAAGATTTATTTTAAATAATTGAATTTAATATCAAAGGACCAAGAAAGATGATACAGATATTGGATTCTCTACTAGAAAACCTAAAGTAGATAACCACAATTTTAATAGATTAATTATTTAAAAAGATTCTGTTATAATTCTTATTATATCATACTAATTCTGCTGATTAAGTAGAAATAAACATTAAATAATTAAAATATAAGACTGAAAGTACTATTCATTTATATAATATATGATCAAGAAATAGTGTAATTTAATTTATAATTTAAAAATTACTTGTATTTTAATTAATTATTATAATTCCATTTAAAAAGCTTTCCTTTATCAAATAGAACTCTAAAATATGATTTAATTACAGAACATATCCTGATTCAATAGTGTAATGAATAATTAAACTCAATTCATGATAAGAAAATAATTGATAATTGTAACATTTTGGGCTTTATTTGATTGGATGAAAAATACACAATTTGAATATAATAACCGCGAATATATTGGCGCGTGTTTACTATATTAAAATTAATGGATATCTCTGTTTGCTAAAATCCAAATCACGATTCTTAACGTCTAAAATATATATGTGTAGATCCTAATTGTTGTGTTCCAAAAAAAATAGGTATTATTTATAATTTAATTAAGGTTGTGCTGATTGTTTTCTTGATGATCATATAACTCATATTAGAAAAACAACTACTCAATTTAAGGAATAGGTAAGTCAATCTATTGAATAAATATCTCAAATAGAATTCTAAAAAATTATCAGCTCTCCTTAAAAGGATTTAGATTGTTAAATAGATTTTGAATTAGAAAATTGTATTGATTGTATTAAGTCAAGATTTACATCTATCAAAAGCGATTTAAAATCTCAAATTGACAGTGATATGACAAAAGTATAAGATAATTGCAATTAATTTCAACAAAATATGAAAAATGAAATTGATCCATTTAAATTCACTATATAAAATGAATTACCTACTCTGAATCATAATGAACTTAATTAATTAGTTAAATTTTATTAAGAAGCCCCAAAAATTCACAAACATTATTCTAAAACAGCTGAACTCTTATAAGATGAAAAATAAAAAGTAAAATAAAAAAAATAAAAATACTTAAACAAAATGAAAAGTATAATGCAAATATTACTGAAGGAGTTTAATGATTTAATGACATCAAAAAATGTACAATTTGATGATGGAAGTGAATATGAGACTCCATAAAAATAAGCAATGTCTCCAAATAAAATGATAAATCTTGTAGAAACTGCACGTTCTTCAAGACGCTTCCCTATGTCTTAATCTTAAAAAAAATATTTTTTAGCTGCTGTGACAAAAAAATTAGATTGATTAATTTATTTGTTATATTTATTATATATAATGATTTAATAAAATCTTCTTTGAATTCAAAACTATTTTCTTTAAATCATTTTTTATTTCTTATTAATTTTGTTTTTATATTGTATTTTATTTTATTAGTTTTATTGTCTATGTCTAACTCTTGCACAAATATATCAAATACTTAATTGATAATCACAAAGATGAATTATTATTTTGATAATCTTTATTATCTAAACTGTATTAAATCATTCTAAATATTTGATCATTTGATTATGACTTGTCATTTTCAATGTTTTATTATTAGAAAAAATAATCATTTAATAATTTAAGAAAACAATTGATAAATTATAAATATATGATATTATATAAATGTATCTACAAATAATAATTTATTTTTTACATAAAATGAAATACTCTTTTGATAAATCAAATGAAAAAAAAATGTGTGTATTATATATAGATTGACAATAATTTAAATAAATAACTTAACTATAGCATTTTCACTTTTTTTATTGATCCTTCAGATAAATAATTGATATATAACTTCTTATAAGAACTTCCTTATCTTATATTCTATAAAAATTCTCTTATCATCTTTGTTTTAATTTTTTATATGCTATCTATTATTGTTATTATTAAATTCTTATCAAAACCTTAATAACTACACATATATTAATTTAATGACTAAAATTAGTATATTGTAATCTATGAGGTTAGTGGATTTGAATATGAATAAAAATTAGATATTATTATTTAATGTTAATTTATAAGAAAGCAACTGCTTAGGGTATCATATTTTGAGTTATAAATAGAACTATAAAAGTATAGGGAAGATCAAGTTAAGAGTTGGAAAAAGGAGAAAGATTTATAAAGATTAACAGAAACCCAAGTCAATTAAATGATGGATTTATTTCTTTTATTTGCTAGTCAACGTACATTTACAATAAGAGTATTATATTTTGTGATATGCAGACAAAAGATGTTGAAGCCTAAAATACTCTTTTAAGAGTGAATGAAGAATCAACTTTATTTTAGAATGTATTATCAAAAATGATTCTGGTTGATGAAGATCTAAATTTTATCAACTTTTTAAAGCTCTATTTGCAATGCATTGTAAATATAAATAGCAATTGTTATAGGGGGAAGCATAATAAGAGGAATAATTAAAAGAATTGTATACAACTCTAACTGCGAAAGGGACAATCACTTTGGAAGACTTAAAGAGATTGGCTTAAGAGTTGGATCACTATCATCTTAAAGAGGAAGACTTAAATGAAATTATGAAAGTGATTTCTGCAAATGGCCAAGAAATTACATAAGAAGATTTTATAAGATTTTATACACAGATAGTGAAAAGTTAAAGATAATTATGATAAAAATTATATATAGGTTTAGTACATAATAAATAAACTATTACACTATTCTTGAACTCAATGCAACATGCACCTAGAAACAGATCAAACAAAACTATCTGAAACTAGCCAAAATCTATCATCCTGATATTTATAAGGGAAATGATACCAATAGGTGAGATTTTAAATATCATTTTAGATTCAAACTCATTTAGGAAGCGTATAATACACTTAAGACTCCAGAGAAAAGACAATCATATGATCAAACTATATTTAAGGAGAGAGCATTTGCAAATTAAGAGAGGCCTTAAAGTAGTGAATCTGAAGAAACTACATAGAATAATGAATATACAGCCAAACAAACAAAAGACGGAATCAATTTCACATTCACAAAAAAGGAATATAAGGATGCAACTGAGGAAAAGACTGTTGAAGAGGAGTTTAGGAAATTCATGTAAGAACCTCTAAAAATAAATCCAGAAGAAGTTAAAGTTTATGAAAATGTTGTTGCTAGACAAATGACAAAAGAACATAAGGCTTAAGATGAATTTATTATTGCTAAAGAAAATAAATGGAAAATCTTCTTTTTTTAAGCACATTAGATTGGTTATGCTTAATAAGTTAAGGAATATATTAAAGGTATAAATTAATAGTGGTAATAAAAAAAGAATGATACTGAAGAGATGATATAATTGAAAAGACAAATGTAAAAGCGTATTGCTAATGTAATATTATATATATCATTAATTTTAGACCATTTTCTTCATTTTTATTGGGTTATCATTACCATTCTTTTACTCAGCATTAGCAAGAAGACAAGAAATTGATAAAGATTTTAAAGAAGATTTAGATTTTCTTTATAAAGTAGCAGATCAAATGGATTATTTGGAAATATCAACAAGGTTTGTCTATTGAGATAAAATTTTAATTATATAATATAATAAGAAAAAAGATATTAATTAAATTAATTTTTTGAGAAAAAATGTCTAATTAAGTTAATTTTGGAGAAGGGAAAATTAATGATAATTATCCATCTGCTATAAAGACAATGTTAGAATAAGGAAAGGATCCAAAAGATTTATTAATTTAATATTGCAGACCATAATGTAAATGGTATGATGATAAATACGACAGATGTGTAAAAGCATTCTTATCATTGAAAAATGCTGATCCTGAGAAGAATTGTGTACATTTAACATATATTCATTAAATAGATGTATCCATATAGAGATTTGGTAACATGTGTTGAAGCATGTGTATAACCTAAAATATAGCATGCACTCAAAGGCAATGAACACGGTTTCATATTCCATTGAAATAATATGATCTATAATAAACATAAATAATAACAATTATTAAAAATCTCATAACATTCTGTTCTTTTAAGATTCAAAAATTTGTTTATTTTTATAATTATAATATATTTTAACAACAATAATCCTATATTATATAAGAGTATCAAAATTATATATATAATTTTTGATACTCTTATATGTTAAAGAAAAGAAGTTGGGACTAAATTTAACTATATAAAAATGCATATAAAGAATATGTATTCAAATATATTAATAGTAAAATTACTCTATATCTGAATATCATTTTGATTTCTCGCTTCAACACTCAAACTCACAAAAGAAAAATGATTAAAACTAAATAAAACCTATGAAGTTGTAAAAACCATGATAACATTCTTAAAAATAGCTGAAAAATATCATATACATTTTATAGAAATTTATGAATATTAAGAATATATTAATTTATCTCCAAAGGTTAATGATAATTCATCATTATTTACTAATAATCATCTTGTAAAGATTATGTATCTCTTATTTTATTTCTTAATTTATTAATTTTGAATGATAAGCTAAAATCATTAAAGAAGTAATCTAAATTTGTAAATAAGTATTTGCTTTTAATTTTCAATATAATTTAAATATTCTTAATAATTAAAACAAACTTTTAACAACAGAAATCACATCATTAATGGTTCTACTATTAAAATTATTTAACTCAGATTTATTAAATTTAGAATATATTGCCTCTCCTTAGTTTCTATTTACTTAATTTATTGAAATTCATAATCTCATTTATTATTATATTTTCTGCCTTTGTCTTTCAGGAATTTAACTCATCAAAAATTAATTAATAAAAATGTCATCTAAAAACTATAAATTGATTCATTAGAAAATTCCAAATACTACTCGTTATAGAGATGATCAATTACCAATCAATAATAAATACTATGTTCGATTAACATAAGATTCTACTAGAGTTCTAGATTTGATTGAATAGGATAAATAAATTCCACATAAATCAATGATTGATCGATTTTGGGGATACAAAACATAAAGACTACCTGAACCTATACATTAAGAAGAAAAACATGTTCAATTGCCTTAGGAAGTTATTCTTTAATAAGAAAAGCAAGAAATTCTACCTTAAATCGAAAAATAACCTGAAACATAAATGAAGAAAACCATTAGCCTAAAATAATTTAAGGAAAGTTTGCTCTATGATGAAAGAACTAGTTCTATACCTAAAACTACTATGCATAATCATATCGTTGAAGATTTAATAAGAGATAGTGATATTTTCTTAAAGAAACCTGAATTATTAGAGCAAGTGCAGAATTTGAAGAGATTAAAAGTGCTAAAGAAATATGAAGCTAATCAGTAATTTTTAATTCATATTTAGTTCTAACCTTCCTGGAGTAGGTAAATTACCATATATTATCAACGATTATCATTCAAAAAGCACCAATCCTGGATACTCTAGAAATAATAAAGGAAATTTTTTTACAAGATGAAGAAATATAAAGATATTTTTTAATTTACAATTATTATATATGAGCAGTCTCTCAGAAATAAATATTAACAATAATAGAATCTCTATATTAAAGAAGTCAAATAATTAAAGGTTTGCTTTGAATTATATTAAAATTGATTCTAAGAGAGATATGATTAGTAAAGAAAATTGAAATTAAAACTTTTCGTGCTTATAACATGAATAGAAGAATAGAAATTAAAATGTTCTTACTTGATCTTGCTAAAATAATTGAAACTGCCAATTTTCAACTAAAACATTAACATAATTTTTATTTAATAAAATAGTTTAGTTTAGAAAAGGTTGAAGAAATAGAATATATTTTAGCTATTATCTTGCATCTTAGCTAAATTGTAAACTTAATACAACTATTAAGCATATAATTGTTATTTCAAAAGAGTTAGTTAAAAATCTAATATTTTAATTAACAAAAAATAATCATAAATGTATTTGAAATCTAACTCTATCAAATTTGAATATCTTTTGAAGATTTTTCCAATTAATTGCACAACCTTCTATAATTTTTATTGATTTTTAACAAACTTGGCATTCAATACTTGTGTGTTTTTAGTTGTGTTATTATGAAATAATCTTCAAAGACTTTTAGTGAATCTAAAATACTTAAAGGATTGTAAGGCAAAAGATAAATATTTTAAATTGTTTATGATTATGTTGATAGTATTGAATCAGATGATTTATAGATTAATTTTTCTAGAATTAAATTAAATAGAAAAAATTAGTTTAAAAGATTTATACTAATCCTACTAATTAGAGCTGTAAAGATCAAAAACCTATATAATATTAAGTTGTTATAATTCCATTTTTTTAATTTTATTAGAAAACAAAAGTTTATAAATACAAATTTATTATTAGATAAGAATATGTTTTATATTTCATTTGTTAATGTAGTGTAAATAACCAAAAAATAATTTCATTCATAATTCAAATCTAATGATTTATAATAATAAGGTCCTCATCTAAAATAAAATGTATTTAATTTATTAAACTATAGAATTTATATTAACAATAAATTAATGAAAAAATAAAATCATATCAATTTAGATTATATTTTACACAAAATTTATGACTTTAGTTCTTCTCTTTCTAAAAAATCTTTTTCCCATTAGTCAAGTTGTAACATTTCTTAGAAATCACATCCTAAAACTGATATATTAATTGATTTCAAATTTAATTAATTTAATTAATCAAATAAGTGTTTACATTTACTAAATTAACTATAATTGGCCATAATCTAATTCTTAAGATTGAATCGTTTTTAGAAATCAGGATAATAATTTTAAATCAGTTTAAATTTATGGATTTATGTTTGTATAAATGGGATAATATCTCTAAAATTTGAATTTGCAATCTACTTAACCCTTTTGAAGAATTCGATTCTCTCTTAATAACTAATCATCCATTAATTAAATAATTCAATAATTTCTTAAAGCATCATTTTAACTTAATGATATTCAGAAAATTCTAATAAATATCAATAAAATATCTTACCAACATAATCAACAATGAAATCATTCATAATATTGATTTAAATTCCTAAATATTTAGTTTGAAGTCTTTGATCTTAATCTTAATTTTCTACAAATTTTTATCTTCTTTATTTCATTTATTTATTTTTACTATTATCAAGATCATTTTCTTTAAATAGACTATTATAACTCATGAATTATTCTTTTTAAGCTGGTATTTCATCATATTATTTTATGATAGTATCTATTCTATTCATTTATTTTTAATTATTTTCTTATTCCAAATATTAAGGTTATGATGTTTCCCCATGAGTTTTCTATTATTTAACTCCTTTTTCCAATTAATTTTAATATTATGTACGTTATTTCTTATTTTGATTCTTTAAGTATTATTAATTATGTTATTCTTATTAGTCTGATTTTTGTATATTATTTTTTTATTTTTATTTATGTAAATTAACTTAAGTATATGAAGATTCTTATGATTCATCCTCTGTAATTTATTTATGTTAATAAATTGGATTAGATTTATGATTATATATTTAATCTTATTTTTCAAGTGGAATATTGATTTATTTATCTTAATCTAGACTATCAAAATTTTCTTATTAACTTCTTAATTTTTCTTAGATAATTTAATCTTATAAGGCTATTTCTAATTATTAAGTCAATTCTTATATTTATTTTTGAAGTGATTTCATTATATCTTAATATTTTGTTTCTTAATCTTTTAATAATTAACTATGCTTTTTTTATTCATCTTGTAATTTCTTAAGTTTAACATACTCCACAGATTTCAATCTTGCAATTTCACTTTTTTCTCTTTCTAATCTTTTTTTCTCAGCATCAACTCTTTATTTCCATTCTAACTCAAAATCTTTTTACAATTAATTTTTCTCTTACTCAAGCTTTTTCTTATACTATAATCTTATTTATTTAGATTTTCTTTAAACCTCTTCATTTATTTACTCTTCCAATTCCTCTTACATTTTGAATCTTAATTATTGCTCCAATTAACCTCTTTAAAGAGAATCATCAAATTCACGAATAACATCTTAAGCCAATTATTCCTTCTATTATTCATAATCAATTCTTATTTGCTTTTCTAATTCATCTCTTATTTATTCTTCATTAAATTAAGTCAATTCATCTAATTCTTATTGAAATTTTATTTGATATTCAATTTATAATTCCTAACTTACTTGTTCTCTAATCTCTTTTTCAATATCTGGAAGCAATTCACGTACTGTTTCTAAAATAATTTCGTTAGACATATTTTTTAAAATATTATCAAAAATAATGGAATTAAAGTCAAACTTTGGTGGTAAATCTTCTTTGGATTAGGATAAATCAGCGATAGACAAAATTCAAAATGAAGTGAAATTGATATATTTCAAAGTCACTCAACAGTTATTAAAAGAGGAAGAACAATCAATCATTCTCAATTTACTAGCCATCATAATTCAATTCTTTTAAGCCACTTACATTATCTTCAATCGTCAAACATGGAAAATTTGGTAGACTTTTGAAGTAACTGAATGGCTTAATAAGATATTTGGGTAATGTTAAATAAGCTAAGAAGATATTCGATGCTAGTTCCTTACTTTCAAATGCTATCATTTCCAGCCCTTGTTGCTATGATGTATGTCTGCTTAGGTTTGGTTGTATTTGCCTTCATGTTGATCTTCTTTCTAAGCTATAGATTAAAATCAGCATTTACTTGGCCAATCTACATTTTGAGAATTTTGATTCAAATGTTTTTATCAGTTCTCTATATGCCAATAATGGATATATTTTTTTCATTAATTGCTTGCACAACTGATGAGAATGGAAATAATATAAACTAAATTTTTATTGAAGTTACTTGTTGGTAAGGTGTTCATATAGTACATGGCATTGTATCCATTTTGGGTATTGTTATATTCTATTTATTTTGTGTCACTTTTGCCATGATTTATTATGAACCAAGGTATTTACCTAAAGAACCACAATCGAAGAAATCTGGTAGAAGCTTAGCAATTTTTTTAACCTATGAATTAGTTATGATCATATGCTATACATTTATGATTGGAAGATCATATGATTATCTATTCATTTTGATTATGTTAGTTGGAAGTTTTATTATTTTTTGGAAAATGCATATTGAAAATCCACACAATAATGTATATATAGCTAAAATGTGGTCTATGCTTGTTTCTGTAAATATGTGGAGTGTTATATTATTATGTTTTGCTAAATTTCTTGAGGGTCAATTATTTTTTGGAACTATTTATGCATGGTTATCAGGATTACCTTTAATGATTATAGCAGTTTTGAAAACTGAAAAATTGAATTATGATTTACTTTTAACAAATCTTAACAAAGTTACAGATCCCCAAGAAGTACTTAATTTGACAGATCATCTTATCAAACTATATTATATTTAAGATGCAGATTCATAATTAATGATTGATGGATTCTTAGAAATACATAGAGCAACTTGCGCAAGGGAAGATTGTTATTTAAAATAAAAAAAATTACCAAATTAGAGATTGGCAAAACCATTCTTTAAAGATTAAAATCTTCAAGAAAGAGATGTTGATTTACTTATGGTATTAGGCTAAATTTACTTTAATTAAATCAAACGATTTCCAAATGAAATTGCATTAAGACTACGATATGCATTATTTCTACTAGATCTCATGAAATAGAGACAATAAGCATTAAATGAATTAATATAAACGGAACAATTATGTCCAAGCTTTGATAATGAATTCATCATTTTTAGATATAAGTAGATTGTTGAATATGAAATGAATGCAGCATAGAATGAGAATATGGGTAATTTAGATGTAGCAACAGAATTAGCATTTTAAAATCATATGAGATCATTTTAAAATAAAATTGAAAGAGCAACTTTAATGCATATGGACTTTTGGTCATAATTATAAGAAGACTCTCCTGATTTAGGTAAAATGAATAATATTGGAGCTAAAATCAATTTATCAATTACTTAAGTAGAAGAACTTTGGAATAAAATGCAAATGATGACTTAAAATTTACCTAAAGCTATGAGATTATATGGAAAATTCATTATTGAAGTATTATAAGATAAAGATTATGGAGAAGAATTATTAGAAAAAGCTCGTAGATTATAATAGTAAAATAGTAAGAACAAGAATAAATAAATGATATCAATATTAAGTGGTGAGGATTTAAGTTAAGAACCTAATCCTACGACTTTGGTTTCAACAGCAGCTGAGAAATTTGCATAAATTATTAATTTAAATTTATCATGCTGCAATTTATTTGGATATAGTAAATCAGAAATGATAAATAGAAAGATCAATATTTTTATGCCAAATCTTTATGCTAAGTTTCATGATTCTTATGTTGAACACTTTCTTTAGACAAATGATAATAAAAATATTAATAAAGAAAGATTAATCTACATTAAATTAAAATCAAATTATATAGCTCCATGTTTTTTAATGTTGAAAATCATTCAATCTTTAGATGACAATTTATAATTGGCTGCACAATTTAGATTACCTAAAATCTTTAGGCCAACATGCTACATTATTACTGATTCTGAAGAAATTGTTGATTCTATATCAGCCTCTTGTATTCCTTTGTTGAATATAGATTAAAAAGTGATTTCCCACAAAAAGGTTTCTTTAATAGATATCTTTCCTAAATTTGCAGAAAATAAATCTTAATATTTAACTAAAGTAGGAGGACTGTTGTAATTTTCTGCCTATTAATCTTAATTTAGTAATTCAAATATAACAGAAGAAAAGGAACAAGAACATATAACATTTATGTGTTATATGAGTGAAGTAATGAATGATTCAATTGATTAATTGGCTGGTTATATAATCAGATTAGAATTGTAAGGATAGGATTAAAGTATTAATTAAGAATTACTGGCTAATAATAATCATTTAAAGAGTGGGAGTAGTTTATAATTTAAATTTAATCCTTAACGTGCAATGTTTAGTGGAGAATTTGTAGCAGATACTAATTCTTAAAGAGTAGATTAGACTATATTATGGGATTAAAATGATTAATCATCTATGATATCTTCAAATTAGATTGAAGTTTTAAATTCAGGGAATATAAGATCATAAGTTAAGACTGATAAATCGGAAGAATAAAATTAAAATAATAAAATTAATTATGGAGAAGGAATTAAAATATTAAGATTATTTGAAAATAGACTCTAGGATATAGATGATAAGGATGATATAATGTCAGAAGATGAGGAGATTGGAAAGAATAGTGTATTTTAAAATAATTAAGAACAATCAATAGAGAATGATTAATAAAGAAATGAATAGAATAATATTTTTAGATCAAGAAAGAATTTATTCTAAATTATTAATAGTAATTAAACTCCAAAAGTCATTACTAAATTAAGTTGGACTGCCAATATACTTGCATTAATCTTGGTTGTACTTTCTTTTGTTGATTTCTTTATTATCTATGCATAATATGAGGATATTTATAATACAATCCTTCTAGTTAGAAACTAAAATTAAAGAAATGCTGAATTATAAACAATAACAACTAGTGTTTAAAATCTATTAATGTTAAATTTAGATGTTTGGTAATTGAAAACAGATAATGATAAGAAAACATATGAAACTACATGGAAAACTAAATTGAATAATTCAATTACAAATGTTGATATTTTAAATAAAGAACTTATGTTATCTAATGTTGGATTAAGTGATACAATATTAGATATGTTAAGTACAGATATTGTTATCATGAAATCAAGTGATGGTAATGAATAATTATATGATTTATCTGAGGCAATTTAATAAATTATAAGTAAATCTCTTATAATAAGAGAAAAAAACATTGTCAATATTAGTATGTAAGATATAGATGTAAGTTTTGTTTTATATAATTCTTTAAATAGTTTAATCTATTAATTAAGATTATTTTCAACATTATATGCTAATGAATTAAGAATCAAAACCTAAGATAATGGATAATCATTTCTATTAATTTTAGGGGTCTCAGCTGCAGGAATTGGACTTGGATTGATCATAATGATAATTGCAATGATATCTGTAAGCAAAAACTAAGAAGAAGTCTTAGCAATGTTTTTAGATCTTCCAGATAAAACTGTTAAATATTTGTATAATAAAAGTGAAAACTTTATTTCTAATTTATAAATGGGTGAAGATGATGAAATGATGTCAGAAATAGATGATGTAGAAAAGGAAGAATAAGAAGAATTAAATAAGACTTTGAAGACAAAGAGAAAGAAGAAAAAGTTTAAAAATACTAACAAAGATTAAAGAAATTTTATTTTTGGTATATTTTTTGTTTTGTCAATAACTTAAGGATATTTTGTGTTGAATTATATTTTAAGTAATACATTTCTAAGTAATCTTGATTAAATGATACCAGAAATAAATGCAACTGCTAGAGCTGAAAGTTTTTATAGATTTGTAGATATAGGAGAAAGAGCTTTATTTTTGGATAAAAATTCAACAATAATGAATTAAGATGCTTATACAATGGTTAAAAATAATCTTAATGCTTTATATACATTAGATTCCTCTATGCATCAAGAACATTCATTAAATGTTGAAATTACTAATTAAATTTATCTTGATGCTTTTAAAGAAATATTTATGTCTCAACCTTGTACAATATTAGCTACTGTAATGAATGAAGTTAATGAATAAGATTGTTAGACATTTGCAGATGGAGCAATTTATTAAGGTATGGCAGTTGGAGTTGCTCGTTATTTTGAAAATTTAAGGTACATAATGACAATATATGATTAATTTTGGAATAATTCTAAAGTTAATTTTACTCAACTGGCTCGTGGATTTGCTACTTTCAAAAATATTACTAAGAATTCAGATAATACAACAAATTATGTTCTTAATTTAAATAATTTCAATCATACAAAAGAAGCAAGATAAATGCAGGATAATTATCATAGAGGAACATTTCGTTATTTAATCTAAAAAATGATTGAAGGAATTTATCAAGATATGGAAAGCAGTAGAACTTAGCTTCTGGCATTTTTCATTGTATTTGAAGTTCTTTTATTTGTTATATATTTCATATTGTGGTTACCATTAGTTGTTAAAATGACTAAAGACATTTGGAGAACTAGATCAATGATCATGATGATTCCTTTGAGAGTTATCTAAAATATTAGATCTATTAAAGCATACATCAAAGAGAATATACAAATTAATGATATTGATGTTTGATTTTATATATATATATCTAATATTTATATTATTTAAAAAAATGGAGGGAAAAATATAATTTATTTTGATATTTTTACAATTATTAGTAAACATCCTAATTTTTAAGAGTCTAATTTTTAATCATTTAAGTTAATGAATATTCTTTCATAATTACTTCTAATGATTTTCAGTACTTAAAACTGAAATTATATATAGTTTGAAAATTAATCTAGATAATTACTGTTAATAAATTAACTAATTTTTTAATTTAAATAATTATTGAAATAGTTCTCAAACTTATTTTATTATATTTCTATTTTTTTTTTAAATATAATTTTGTTTATTCAAGCAAATTCTTTTGATATTTGCATAGTCAAATATGATTCATAACCTTCCTATCATTTTTTTAATGATGTTTAAACAGCTAAAATTATGTATTGGTTGATTTGGAAAAATTTTATAATTTGAAATTTATAATGTAAATTATTTACAGGCAATTTTAAGAACATAGCATTACCACATTTTTGTCAACAAAACTCAAGATTATTGTAACTGATTCAATTCTTATAAGGAATGGTAGTTTTAAAAATAATTTAATAATTCATTATGATTATGTAGGATGTGTTTTATTTTCTATATTTAATTATATGGAGTCATTATAAATTTTAATTAGAATTTCTTATAGAATGTTTTTTCACTTAATGTATTTTTTTAAATATGATTAATACTGGAATGATATTTGAATATTTGACTATATCAGTCAATAATAGACCTAATTTATGGCAATATTTATTGTGTTTTAAGTATTTTTTAGTCTATTTAAATAGTATTATACCTTATTTTGAATGAGATATTGGATGACTATAAAATTAAGGATTTAAATATTTTTATTAGAAATAAATAAGGGATATCTTGGAAATTTGGTGCAAGGGGAGAAATAATGAAATTTTATTTATTAAATTAACAATGGAACTAAAATCAAATTTTGGTACTACAAAAGGTTCTTTAGATTCTGAGAGATCCATAATTGATAAAATGTAGACTGAACTAAAAGGGGTGTTCTTCCGAGTGATCTAGTTGATGTTAAAAGATGAGGAATAATCAATTCCTTTCACTTGTATTGGAATATTGTTGCAATACATGCAGATCACTTATATTATATTTAATAGGTAGATTTGGAAAGTTTGGCAGAATGAGATTCTATCTAAGCAGCTAAATAAAATCTTTGGGTAAGGAATTATCTTAAATTAGATATGTATTGTTGACGCCATATTTTGAAATGATAAGTTTTTCAGGATTTGCAGCTATGATGTATGTATGTTTGGGTCTCGTTTTATTTTCGTTAATGCTCATCTTCTTGTTAAGCTATAGTATCAATAAATCAAAGAGTTCATTTACTTGGCCAATCATGCTTCTAAGGTTTTTGATAAGCATATTTCTGCAAGCCTTGTATATGCCTATCATTGATTTACTTTTATCTATGTTGGCTTGTTAAACAGATCAAAATGGTGTACTTAAACATCAACTTTTTGATGTTCAATGTTGGTCTAATATTCACATAGTACATGCAATTGTAGCAATATTTGGAACGATATTATTTTTTATACTCTGTATAATATTTTCCTTATTATACTATGAATCAAGGTATCAACCACATGAAGCTTCATCTAAATTGACAGGAAGAGCTAATGCAGTTTTTTTGACTTATGAATTAATAATGGTAATTTGTTACACATTTATGAATGGTAAGAATTATGATTATTTGATGATATTAATTATGATGGTTGGAAGTTTCACTATATTTTGGAAAATTCATGTTGAAGCACCTTTTAATAATATGTATGTTTAAAAAGCTTGGTCAATGTTAGTGGCTATGAATATGTGGGGTGCTACTTTATTATGTTTTGCTAAATTCTTAGAAGGAGTTCTCTTTTTTGGTACTGTATATGCTTGGTTAGCAGGTTTACCATTAATGCTAATAGCTATTATTAGAAGTGAAAAAATGCATTATGATCTACTATTACTTAATCTAAACAAAGTTTAAGATCCAGATTAAGTTCTACATTTGACAAATCATCTATTGAAATTATTTTACAAAAGTCAATAAAATCAAAATTGTTCATTGTTATTAGATGGATTTTTAGAAATACACAAAGCAACATGTACAAGAGAAGATTGTTATTTAAAATAAAAGAAATTAAACAATTCAAGATAATAAAAACCCATATTTAAAGAAGGAACTGTGACTGAAAGAGATGTGGATTTGTTAATGGTTATGGGTTAAATCTATTTTAATCAAATAAAGAAATTTCCTAATGAGATCAGTCTCCGTATAAGATATTCGTTTTTCTTACTTGACAACTTGAGATAAAGATAATAAGCATTAAATGAATTAATATAAGCAGAAACATTATGTCCTAGTTTAGACAATGAATTTATTATATTCAGATATAAAAAAGTAATTGAAGATGAAATGAATGCAGCATAGAATGAGAATATGGGTAATTTAGATGTAGCAACAGAATTAGCATTTTAAAATCATATGAGATCTTTTTAAAATAAAATTGAAAGAGCTACCTTAATGCATATGGATTTTTGGTCATAATTATAAGAAGACTCTCCTGATTTAGGTAAAATGAATGATATTGGAGCTAAAATCAATTTATCAATTACTTAAGTAGAAGAACTTTGGAATAAAATGTAAAAGATGACATAAAATTTACCTAAAGCTATGAGATTATATGGAAAATTCATTATTGAAGTATTATAAGATAAAGATTATGGAGAAGAATTATTAGATAAGTCTAGACATCTATAGACTTAAAATAATAAAATGAAGAATAAATAGACAATATCTTTAATAAGTAGTGAGGATATTGGATATGAGTCATAGCCTACTCTATTAGTATCTACAGCTCAAGAAAAGTTTGCATAGATTACAAATTTGAATTTGGCATGTTGCAATTTATTTGGTTATAATAAATCAGAAATGATCAATCGAAAGATCAATATATTTATGCCAAACTTGTATTCAAAATTTCATGATGCTCATGTTGAAAATTTCTTATCATCAAATGATAATAGAAATATTAATAAAGAGAGATTGGTGTATATCAAGATGAAATCAAATTATATCATGCCTTGTTTTATATACTTAAAGGTTATTTAATCAATAGATGATAATGTCTAATTAGCAGCTTAATTTAGAATTCCAAAATCTTTCAAACCTTCATGTTATTTAATATTGGATAGTGAGGAAGTAATAGATTCAATTTCATCATCTTGTATTCCTTTATTGAATATTGATTCAAAATTAATATCACATAAAAAGACACCAATTACAGAGATATTACCAAATTATATGCAATAGAAATAATTATTTTTATCTAAAGTTGGAGGTCCAATTGTTTTCAATCCTGCTACTCAATCAGGTGTTAGTAATAGTCAATTAGCCTCTCAAGAATTAGATGATTAAGATAAGAAAGATGATAATATCCAATTTTAATGTTATACTTATGAAGTAATGAATGAAAATCAAGATTAAGTAGTTGGATATATTGTTAAATTAGAATAATAAGGAATAGAAGCTAGCATGAATTTGGAAGTTTAAAATTTATAATAGAAAGTTCTAAGTAATAGTATGTAATTTAAGTACAATCCTTCTAAAGCTCTATACTTAGGAGAATATGTTGCTGATACAAATTCATAAAGAGTTGATTAAACCATATTATGGGATTAAAATGATTAATCCTCAATGATTTCTTCAGTTTAAGGTGGAGTTGAAATTCTTAAATCTTAAGTTAAAACAGAGAAATCAGATGAACAAAATGTGTTATAACAAATTAGAATTAATTATGCTGAAGGGATTAAGACTTTGAGATTATTTGAGAATCGTGTACAAGATATAGATGATAGAGAAGATATGATGTCAGAAGAAGATGAATAATAAGGAAAGAGTGTTTTTTAAAGATAGTAAGATGTAGACAATGATTAAGAAGGATAACAATAGGATTTTAATAATGTATTTAGATCAAGAAAGAATTTATCACTTGTAGTGAACAGTTAAGTTACACCTCCTGTTGTAACTAAATTAAGTTGGACTGCCAATATTTTAATACTTGTATTGGTAGCATTGAGTTTTGCAGATTTCTTTGTTTGTTAAGCATAATATGATGAAATATTTAATACAATATTATTAGTAGAAGATACTAATTTAAGAACTGCTGAATTACATACTATATTATCAACAGTTTAAAATTTGTAAATGTTGAATTTAAATATTTGGAGACTGAATACAACTGAAAATATAACTGCATTTGAATAAGATGAAAAATAAAAACTTAATAATTCTATATAGAAGGTTTCTTTATTAAATAAAAATTTAATGTTATCTGATATTTTTATAAGTGATGAATTAAATGAATTATAAAGTGAAGATGTTGTTAAAATGAAATTTGGTGATGAGTATTAAAGATATGATATAATGGAAGCTACTTAATAAATAGTAAGTAAAGCTTTAAATGTACGTGATAAGGCATTAAAAAATATTGTTTTTGAGGATGATGATGTTGGATTTATTATTTACAATCTTCTTAATGATCTAGTATTCTAATTAAGAAATTCTAGTAATTTATATGCAGTTGGTTTAACTAATAAAACAACAGAAAAGAAAGAGACATTTTTAATTATATTAGGTATATCAGCAGGAGCTTTAGGTTTTGGATTGATGTTATTGACAATCATAACTTTGTCTGTCAATAAAACACAAGAAGAAATATTATCAATGTTTTTAGACATACCAGATAAGACAGTTAAATATTTGTATAACAAAAGTGAGAATTTTATTTCTAATTTACAAATTGGAGAGGAAGAAGAAGTATTATCAGAATTAGAAGAACTTGAAAAAGAAGAATAAGAGGAACTTAATAGAACATTAAAAAGTAAAAGAAAAAAGAAAAAGTTTAAAAATACTAATAAAGATTAACGCAATTATATTTTTGCATTCTTTTTAATTATCTTAATTTTGTAAGCTTATTTTATATTTAACTATTTTATGTCTGACACTCTTTTAAGTAATTTGGCATAACTTGTACCTGAAATTAATGCAACTTGTAGAGCAGAAGGATTTTATCGATTTGTTGATAATGCTGAAAGATCACTATATATTAATAGGAATATGACAATTTTAAATGAAGATTCTTACACAATTGTAAAATCAAATATTGATAAATTATATGCATTAGATTCATCAATTCATTAAGAACATTCATTAAATGTAGATATTACAAATTCTATATATTCTGATGCATTTAAATAAATGTTTATGCTTCAACCTTGTACAATTTTATCTTAAGATATGAATGAAATGACAGAAACTGAATGTTAGACATTTGCTGATGGTGCTATGTATTAAGGAATGGCAGTAGGAGTTGCACGTTATTTTGAGAATATTAGATACATAATGACAATTTATGATTAATTTTGGGATAATCCTAAAGCAAATTTTACAGCTATTGCTAGAGGTTTCACAACTTTTAAAAATATCACATAAGATAGTGATAATGTTAGAAATTATATACTTAATCTAAACAATTTTAATTAATCAATAGAATCAAGAGTTATTTAAGAAACTTACAATAGAGGTATTTATTTATATATATGATTACTAATTTTAGGTACATTTAGGTATTTAATGTAGTAAATGTAGGCAGGTATCAATAGCGATATTGAAAGTGCAAAAACATAAAGATTAGCATTATTTATTGTATTTGAAGTCTTGCTTTTTATAATTTACTTCATTTTATGGTTACCATTAGTATTAAAGATGACAAGAGATATATGGAGAACAAGGTCAATGATAATGATGATCCCATTAAGAGTTATACAAAGAATTAGATCAATTAAGCAATTTATAAAAGAATTCCTACATGCAAAAGATCTTGATTCTTGATATAATTATCTATATATATGCTGATTTTATAAATTAACAGAAAAAAAAATGGATCAAAAATAAAAGATGTAACATCTTATGAACAATTTCATGAAGAAGGAATAAACAAAGCAAAGTTAGGTGACAATTAAGTTATATGTGAATAATGAGTTTTCTTAATAAATATAATATCCCACTTGCAATTAGACTGCCAATCAATTAGTTGGTTACTTGAGAAACTTATTAAATCAGACTTAAATTGTAGGGTTTCAGAGCTTAGAAAATAATATTCATTTAGATTACTATTTAACAACAAATAAAGATTTAGGATTATTGAGTAATCAAACTATCTCTTTAAAACCATTGTATGGGATATATTAGAATACAATCAACTTGGATTCATTTTATTTTTTATAATGTATAGGTATAGGTGGATTCAGCAGAGTATATTTAGTTAGATATAAGTTTAACGGCTAATTTATGGCTTTGAAGATGATTTCAAAATAATTTATTGAATAAAATGATAAATTTTAGATTGTACAGAATGAAAGAGATATTATGGTACATTTAGTAAACAATAATAATTCACATCCAAATCTTTGTAAATTGTTATGTTCTTTTGAAACTAAAAATTGGGTTTGTTTTGCAATGGAATATTGTCCTGGTGGTGAATTATTCTAATAATTAAAGAGAGTTAAGAAAATGGATGAATAATAAGCTAAATTTTATTTTAGTTAAGTATGTATAGCAATACATCATTTACATGAAAATAAGGTGATTTATAGAGATATTAAACCTGAGAATATTCTTATAGATGCAGAAGGTCATATAAAATTGGCTGATTTTGGATTAGCAAAACCTAATGTTGAAGATGATAAATTGGCATACTCTTTTTGTGGATCTCCTGAATATATGGCTCCAGAGATGCTATTAAAATTAGGACATAATTATTAGATTGATCATTATTGTTTAGGAGCACTTCTATATGAATTATTAACAGGATTACCACCCTATTATTCTAGTAATCCAGAATAAATATATTAAAATATTTTATAACATGATCTACCTTTACCAAATAAAAATTTAAGTATTGAGGCTAAAGATTTAATATCTAAGTTATTATAAAAAGATATGTAAAATAGATTAGGAAGAAATTATGGAATTTATGAAATATTAAAGCATCCATGGTTATAAGAATTCAATTTATATAAGTTAATTAATAGATCATATGATCCTCCATTTAAACCAGATCTATTTAAAATCAATTTTGATTAAAAGGAAATAATAAGTGGAGAAAATTAGTTTTAGAAAGAATTATAAAAGTCAATTAATTCAGAGACAGAAAGTATTTTTAATCCATTCTTCCATAATTTCTATTATTCATCATTTTCTTGTAAATAACCTTAGAGATCATCCTCAATTACATAAATAAATATCTCGAATACTGATGATAAATTCACTAATATATTATTGAGTACAACTAAATCTAAACATGCATCCTAAGCTCATTCATCATCTAGTCAATCTTAATTAAAGAAGAAAAAGATAACATAAAATGATTTTGAGAATAAAGAAAACTTAGTTAAGAATAATACTTAGATGATTATGAAAGTTGGGACTAAACATAAAAAAAATAATTAAAGTATGCCTGATAATGTTTTGAATGTTCAATAAAATGAATTGAGATCATATTCATCTTAAAAAGTAAATGAATAATTACAAAAACTTGCAAATAATTATTAAACTAATTAATTGAAATCACCTTCAACTGAAATTGATGAATAAAAGTAATAAAAATTATTATTTGGTGAAAATAAATAGTTATGTAAAAATTAGTCTAATTAATGTTCTCTTATCAGATATTTTAAATAATGATTTATTCACAACATATCAATAATTTCAATCTTATAAAAACTTTGAAAACTTAACATTTAATAGTTATTTTCTCTCTCTTTCCTCTTTTCTATATAAAGTTTCATCTAATTAAGCATGTTCAGTTCTATCCTCTTTTTCTGCATCAAATTCTATTTATTTATCTCCTTACTTAATTGTTACTTATAATTTGACTTAAAATAATCTCTTATAAATTTCTGCCATTACTATTTCTATTTCATTTTTCACTTACTTTATAGCTCTACCTTCTTCTCCAATAACAATCCTTGCTTATGATGATGTTTAAACATTAATTTAAATTTCAATCTTAGCAGATTCTTTACTTGTTACTCTAAATTCTTTCACATAAATACCAATAATGAATGGAATTTCATTATAAAATCTTTTAAATATAGCTTATCTAACTATTTATTCTAATTAATCCATTGGTGTAAATAGATGTTTCTAATTTTCATTATATTTCCATCTACATTAAAAACTTTGAGAATATAAATATTATTTCAATTCTTCCATTCCATATCCTGTTATAGAAGATATATAAAATGTTTAATCATATTTTCCTAAATCTTCCATTTCTGTTTATAACCACTTTAATTTTTTCTTATTAAAACATAAATCCATTTTATTGAAAACAAGAATTTTTGGAATAGGTTTATCTTCTGACACTCTAAAATCATCTTCATTTCTAAAATAACTTCTTAATTATTCTTAATCTACTTTAACTTTATTTAATCTTGACATGACATTCTTCATACTAATATCTAATGTTTTAATTGCATCAATTAAAATAATCACCATATTAGTGTCTTCAATGACATCCCAAGCTTTAGTTACAAAATGCTTTGAAAATTTATATCTCTTAGTAACTCCTGGAGTATCTACAAGCTCTATTTAAACACCACTTTTAACATCTGTATGTACTCCTCTAATTTCTGAGACTGTTGTATTACTCTTGTTTGATACTGCACTTATAGGTTCACCTATCATTTAATTCATAAATGTAGATTTGCCTGAATTAGGAGGTCCAATAATCGAAACAGATAAAAATTTCTATTCTTAAATTGAAACAGATGGTTTTTATGCTAATGGTTTCAATAATATTTTATTTGAGACTTTTGTTCCCAATTCAGTAGTTTTAATTGCTTATTCATTTATAGTATATAGAGTAGCTGGTGTTTCATAATCTTCTAATAGAAATCTCTCTGGTTTTGTAGGAGATAAAATATCAATTTTTTTAGATAATGGATTAGATGGATGTTAATAGGGTCTTAGTGTTTTTACATCTAATTTTTTAGGAGGTGCATACTTTTTCAATTTTTGCAAATTAGACATACAATAACCACAAATTTTGATCATTATATTATATTTGAAAAAACAAAAAATAGAAAAAAATTATGTTAAAAAAATTCAATGCATCTTATTTCTTTTGAGGACTTTCATAATTTTTGGTTTATCAACACTTCTCTCTGTTTTTAATTTCATTTAATACAAATCTAAGACTTTATCTTTTTTTGGTTAACTCTTTGTGCTTGTATTGAGGGTACTTCTATAGGAATTTTGTGTTAAGATGTTAGAATCTTCATTTTTTGGAATAAGTAATTTTCTATTTTAGAGCTGTTAATATGTTAACTTAATTTAATTCATTTTCTGATTAGTTTTGAATGAACTTGATAAACTTGAGCCTTATGGTTTAGGTTTACTTAAAAGTTTATGAATTTGCTAAAACAGATAAAAATATTGAGTAGTACCTACTGCAGTTAATAGCTAATAGAAAAAGGTTTTAAGACATTATTCAAATTAGCAGTATTGGATAGTTTCATTTTTAAATCTCCAGCAGATTTAATTATTTTCAATTGCTTCTTAACTATGAAAGTTCACAAACTGAATTATATACCATCCTAAGATTTGAATCCATAAAACTATTTGCTAAGAGACTTGAAATAGTCATCATCGTTGTCTTTAAAGAGTTTAGATTCTACAACAAGTTGAGAGTCATCATTCTCAACCATGAAACTAAGAAACTATTCATCATTTCTCATTGTTTTATTTATTTAATAAATGGACTTGCAAGTTTAGAAACTATAGTAAGAAATCACTGAGTAATATAACTAAGAGTATTTTATAGTTTAAAAGAATATGAATAGATGCTTGAAGATTAAATAAAGGAACATGAAGAAACTATAGATAAATAAAAGTTAGATATAAATAAAAAAGAGACTGAGATCAAGAATCTCAAAAAATAATTATAAGAAGCAATTAAAAAAGCAGATGTTATAGTATATAAATTAAATGATCATTAAAGAATAATTCTGATGATATCAGTGGAGCAAAGATTATATAATTGGAAGTAGAAATACATGATCTCAATTAACAATTGCAAGAATCCTCTTAAAAAATTAAAGCACTTACTCAATAACTTAGGTAATCGTTTCTAATCAAATTAGTGCTAAAATTGAAGAGAATGAAATGGAAATTGAAATTCTAAAAGATGATCATGTAAAATAATTGAATGATAAACAAACTGAAATTGCAGCATTATAATAGATTATAGATGAATTGAAAAAGATGTAAAACAATGGAGATTCAAAATAATCTTAAGAAATTGTTCCAATTAAATAAAAGTAAGTAATTCTATGAAATTAGTGATTAAGAGGAATTATTATAACAAATTGAATATTTAACAAATTAAATTGAATAATATGGAAAGTAGTTAGAAATTAAAGATAAATAAATTGAATAGTTATAATTAAATCAAGGGAAATAAGGAAGTATAGAAGAAGTTGGTAAAAGAACATAAGAAGAGGATTAAAATTTGGAAGAGAAGATTGCCTAATTAGAAGAGACAATATTGTAATATTAAGAAGAGAATTCTTAATTTGTTATAAAAGAAGAAGAAAATCAAAAAGAAAAACAATTATTGAAATAATAGTTGGAATCATTAGAAAAACAAATTTAAGAAATACAGCAATAGGAACAAGATGCTAGTGTAGTATAATAATTGGAAGATCTGAAATTGGAATATGAAGAATTAGTTGAGGAATATACATCTACTAATGAAAAATTATAATAATCTGAATTGGAATGCTAATAATTAACTGATAAATGTTCAGAGTATTTATCAGTTAAAGAATAATTGTAGGATTAAATAACTTAATTTGAAAATACATTATAACATTATAATGAAGTATTAGAAGAAAATAATGAATTGAAATAATTGATGAATAAAGCATAAGAATAAATTAATAATCTATAAAGTAATAATGAATATCAAACACTTTATCTTTAATTGAGAGATGAGTATGAAGAATTTAAGGAGTAACTACAAATCAATATCAAAGATAAAGATTAATAGTTATATTAGGCAGTTTAATTTTGTTAAGAATTAGAACCTTTTAAAGAATAAGCACATATGTTAGAAGAAAATAACAAACTTTTATCTAATTAATTATAAACTCAATTAGAAAATAATTAAATTTATTAATAGAAAATTGAATAATTAGAAAATTAATTAAATATTCTAAAAAATTAAAATTAAGATATTAATGATCTATTATAAAAGTTGGATTAATTAAAATAAGACAATGAAAATCTAAAGACATAAAATTATGATTATACTGAAACAATTAAGAATTATGAAATCTAAATGGATGCACTTAAATAAATTGAGTGTGATTCACCCAAGAAAATTTCAAAATTATAATAAGAAAATTCAGAAACAACTGCAGAATATATTAAATTAAAAGAAAATACTTAAAGAGAAATACATTTATTAAAATAAGAAAGAAGTAATTTATAAAATGAAATTAATGAAATTAAATCATTATTAGATACTTATATTAATAATGGAGAAACATTTGAATCTCAAAAACAATATATTATTGATTATTGGAATAAACTCTAATCTATTCAAGATGAATAAAACAATCTTGTTGAAAAGTTTCAATTAGAAATATAAGAATTAAATGAAAATATTGGTTAAATTTAATCTTAGTAAAATTTAAGTACAGATCATCATCATTAATTAAATTAAGAATTTTAAATTAATAATAATGATAAAAATGAGAATTTAAATTAATCATTAGAATAATTAGAAACTAATAATTAAATAAACTAAAATAATTTTCATCTTGATGTTAAAAAAATACAACAAATAGATTATGTAGATAATTCTACTTAAACAGAAGAAATTATAGAAAAGAAGATTGAAAAATAAGACTAAATTTAGTTACATCAACCATATTCAATATAATAAAAAGTATTTTAATCATAATTAATTTAAACTGATGATCTAATTATATCTCTTCAAGAAATGAATGTTAGACAATTTAATAATTAAATAAGTTAGACTGATGAATAAGAAATAAAATAAATTGAAAACATTGGTTAATATAATCATGAGTAAAATGATTAAATTAATGATCTTAATATTCAAAGTATCTAAAAATAATCAGAAAATGATTAAATTATTATACAATAATTGATGTAACCATCTGAAAATTTAGAAGAATAATCTAATTAGTTCTAAGATTTGAATTAAATGGATTAATTAAAGTATTTTTTTATTATCATAAAATTTTAGAAAAAAAGTTGAAGATATGGATAATTTAAGAAAATCATTAGAGAAAGAAATTTATAATCTAAAAGATAAGAATAAGAAATTAGAAGACAAATTATAAAATAGTTAAAAACCAACAACACCTAGAAGATAATCAGATGCAAAAGATGATAGAAAAAAATTGTAGGATAATGAATTAATCTAAAGATTATAAAAATAAATAAAAGAACTTTAAGAAGAAATTCAATCTCTTAATGTTCATTAATTAAATGAATAAATAGAATAATAATCTAATGAAATAGAATAATTATAATAAGATATTTAATAATATAAAGAATAACTAATTAAATAAAGATAATAAACTATCAAATTGAAGAATTAATTAGATACAATTTATAATTTAGGTCCATAAGCATTATCAACGTTACAAAGTGAACCAAAAAGAGAATTTTAATCATCTATCTAAACAATTTAATAAGAAAAATATTAAATTTCATCTTTTTTGTATATCAAATCATAAAAGTCTTATTAATGTTAATTTATTGAAATAATTAGGAAATAATTAAAATTATTTTAATCAGTAAAAGGAAGGATTGAAAAAGCTGTTTTTGATACATATACTTTTGATGAAATATTCTTTGATACTTAAAAAATTTATAAATTTTTAGATTAATCAAAATTAAAGTTATAAAATGAATTAACCAAAATATATCTTATATTAGGTTAATCTAAAACTCATAAGAAATTAATTATGATTATGTTAATAGAATAACTTTATAATTTAATTTAAAAATAATAATTGAACTAAAAAATAATATTTTGTTATTAAGAAAGAATAGGTAAGTAATGGATAGAAATTGAACAATTTAATACACAAACATCTTCTATTTAAGATTTAGATTATACACTTTAAGCTATTAAAGTGCATTTATTGACGAAATAGAAATCTCTTGGAGAGAAAATTCGAAAATTATAAATTACATATCAATCGTATATTGATAATCAATTATAAAATACAAGTACCTTTATAATAGCAACATGTCCATCATTACCTTAAGGAGATTTCAAGAATGTTATATAAAAGATATTGAATTGCTCAATTAATAGTAATATGTAATTTAACATATTTATAAATATTTCACCTGCTTTATAATATTATTAAAAATCTGCTGAAATAATATCAATGGCTAAAACAATCAAATTAGCAAAGGGCCAATTAGATATTGCTTTATTGTCAGCATGCAAATCTCTTAGTGAATATAATTTAATTGATGAAGAATCTCAGAAATAATTGAGGATCATAAATAATAAGTTAATACTTAAATAGTAAGAAATAGATTAAGTTAAAAAAAATCTTGATTTTTAAATAAAATAATAACAAGAGCTATAAATTAAATTTGATAACTAATTAGTATATTAAAATACAATGGTTGTTTTATTAAATAACATAATACTAGAAATAAAATAAAAGATAAATATGAAAATGAATTAAAAGAAGAATAAGAAATCTTAGAATATAACATTCTTAGATAAATTGGCATTTTAATTAGATTAAATTATTAGAAAATAACAAATAAGTTAATCGAATGTTGAAAATGTAGATAAATTCGTTAAAAGTAAAGCTAGTGAAATTGTAAATCCGTTTTTATGAAAATCAAATTTTAAATTTAATTGAATATTTTATTTCATAATTTTTTGAATAGACTCTTCTTCTTAATTAGAAAAATTCTTTATCAAAATTATGTTTCTGATATTTCTTTTTATATAATTGCTATACATATAATTTATAATTAAAAAAAAGAAGTAGATTATTACAGTTTATGGTATTTTACTTGAAAGAGAATTAATTTTTTATAATTCTCTATTATATTATTCTTTTAATAAATATAATTATAATTGTATATACATAATTCAATGAATAATTATTAGGGTAATATATATTTTGATGAATCTAAAATGATTGAGAGATATTTAAAACATTTTATGAATGACTTAAATATTAATTATGAAATCAATAAATAAAAAGTGTAATTATAATTACATCCTTTTAATTATGCCAAGATCTTGATAATGCAATTAAATAAGTAAGTTAAGAATATGAAATAAAAGAGGTAAGTTCAAATAGGATTATCAAAGTATCCTAAATAAGTAAATTCTCCAACTAAAAAGATATATATGGAATATAAAATTATATAATTAAAGAATAAATTCCTTAAAACAAAGCTATTTATTTTATATAAAAATGAATAGATGAGAATCCATTAAATTCAATAAATAATAGAGTTCTTGTTTTCTTATTTTTTTAAATAATAATGAAGAATTAATTGATAGGTTGGATAAATAATGTAAATAATGTAATCAATTCCCTATCATATAACCTGCTACTAATGCTATTAAAATAGCTAATAATAGTTAAGAAAAACTCAGATTACTTTTATCTAATTATTAGTGATATTTGAATTACCCTTTTTTAATAATGCTTATTAAGTTTCAAGTTCTATTTTCTTTTTAAAATCTAGATATTCTTGTTACTATATTATTAGATAATAAAAATATTTACAAGCTTTTCATATTAATCTTAAAATTGTTTAATTTAGTCATCCTTATCTGTTTTTGGTTCAATAATAGACTTGAACATTTTAGATTCTTATTATTATGAATTACTTGAATTTGATTCAAGAATTTTAGAATCAGGAACTGAATTATGATGTTAAACATCTTGTTAAACATTCTATTATTTTATTCTGCTTTTAATTTATTAAGATTAAATTGTTGATTGATCTCTGTTTTTCCAAAATTAAGTCAGATCTAAATGATTATATATATATAATATCAATTACCTTGATCTTGAAAATCAATTTAACAAGCATTAACTTAAAATTTAGGATCAAATTTAGCATCACTCTTTATAGGTTGACTTGTTGATATTTCAATTATTTAAGTTTAATTAGTGTTGATAATACCCACACTTGGTTTTACTTGAAACAATTAAGGTGTTGTTGTTTTTATCTATATAATTTGAAAATTAATAATACTTTGTATGCTACATCTTGTTATGTTAAATTTTTAAGGGATAATTGTGCATGTGCTAATTTGTTTTCTTCAGCTTCAAATTCTAAATATTATTTAGGTTCAATTTCAATAAGACCTTGCATAGAGTAATCAAATTAAATTTTAAATATTCGATATTAAATTATATGGTTGTTGATAATTATTCTCTCAAAAAAGATGGAAGGATAAAGAAATTCCATCTATTTTACTTTATATATTAGATAAATAAACAAGTGAATATTTTTTCAATAAATATATTAATATAAATGGCCGAATAGTCAAGTATTATTTTGCATTTGCATTCATTGAAGGATAGCATTAAAAGTGCATTTAAAGTTTTTGAAGATATTGATATCTAGTGCTAAGTAGAAGAGATTAAGTAAAATCATACAAAGTTGGTAAGTAAGCAATTTATCATTAGGTTGAAGAGAATAAACAATATCAAGAACCAAAATACATTACATTAACTGATTAAAAAAGGGTACTCAATAATTTTGATAATATAATTTGTTAATTATAATTAGTAACACCATTCTATAGTGATCAAAAATAGTACTATTTACAATAATTAGTTTAACTTTTGAGTCGAGTGATAAGAACAAGAGACAAACATAAATGAAAAATCAATAGATGTGGGATTAAATAAAATAAGAATAAAAAGAACGATTTGCTAAATATTAAGATGAAACAATTCTAGATAAAATATTCTAATTGGATACTAAATTAAAGGAAGATTATGAATATAGTCTTCAATATATGAGTGGTAATTAAAAAAAAACAATACAAATTAAATTTCATGATATTCAAAAATTAAATCCACCTAATTATTTGAATGATGGCATTATTAACTTTTATCTTAAGTTTATAGAATTTGAATTGATAGAATAATCATTAAGATCTAAAACCTATATCTTTAATACATATTTTGTATAAAAACTATGTGTTTTTGAGAAATTATAGATGATAGGTTAAAATGATCATCTAAAACTTAATGAATTATTTAAGTTATCTTATGAATAGATAAAAAAATGGATAAAAGAAGATTTAACAGAAAAAGAATACTTGTTATTTCCAATTAATTTACCAGAACATTGGTCATTATTGATTGTTCATAAAAAAACAAAATCATTTGCTGACTCTGTAATAATTTACTTAGATAGTTTTGGAATTATGGATTAAAAACTAATTACAATTATAAAAATGTAATATTTATATTTAATAACATTTTAAGGTATCTTCATAAAATTAATTGTGATGTGAATTCAATTGAAATTAATTATAATGATTCTCCTATTAAATTGATTCCAGCATATTAATTATTAGTACCTCGTTAAGTTAATTATGTTGATTGTGGAGCATTTCTTTTAGAATATGCAGAATCATTTTTATCAAATCCAAATTATTTATTATAAGATGTTGAATCTTAAGATGGCATATACAAATTAAAATTATTTCCAAGATCATTAATTTGTAATAAAAGATTGTTGATGAAATAATTATTAATTGATTTACTTGAATTTGATAAGGATATAGCCATATCTCAATATTAATAAAAAAGATAAGCTATAATTGATTAATGCAGTAATATTTTATTTTATATTTTAGAAAATGATGAAGATGAATATGATTAAATTGATTAAGTAATTTTTAAGGAGTTTATTAATTAAAAAAACCAAATGAATATTGAACAAAGACAATTATTGTTAGATTTCTATATGAATCCATAATAAAATTATTATTAATAATGAAATAAAAAATTTCTATTAATTTTCATTTATATATATAAATAACAAATAGATTTATTATTATCTAATTTATTAAGAGTATTAATAAATTTTATAAGTATATTTATTAAATCATCATAGATACAATTAAAAATTAAATTTATATGATCTAAATATATATATTAATCTATAATTAATTAAGATATTAAGATAATATACTTAAAGATTTTTATAAATATATATTAATATGAATAATATATTCAAATAAAATATTTCTAAAATTAATTATAAGTTATTTAGTAAGGATAATCTTAAAATTATTAAAAGAACAATAAAATGTGTTTTCCTTTAATATCTAACACTTTAAAGTCATCTTAAGTAATTATTCCATCTTAATCCAAATCTATAAAATTGAATATTATATCTATATTCTTCATATCCTATCCTAATTGATGAGTTGATTCTTTTTTATATCTAATTAATTCTAAATATTTCTATATCAATATTTTTATGATTTTCTTAGTTTCATAACTAAATGCACCAATGTAATTATTTAAATTTTACTTGGTTTCTGGGAACAAACATTTAAAATCAATGAGACTAATAAAATATCTTATTTCTTACTTCCATTAAGTTTAAGAATGATGACTTGAATAATTATGGATTAGTTATCTAATTATAAAATCATTAACATCTATTCCTAACTATAAAAATACAAGTTTTAAATCTTATAATCCTATTGAACCATCAACATCAAGATCAAAAAATTAAAATACTTAAGAAATTGAATAATCACCTCTACTTGAAAGCTTAATATAAATATTTATATACTTCTAATTTTATCTAATCTAATTCTTCATATAGTTTTCCTATTGTTAATAAATGCAATTAAAATTCCAAAATTGATTCTTCCATAATACTAGATGATTTTTTTAAAGATTTAGTTGATGATTTCATAGTTGAAAAATGAACATTTCTATTAGAATTAATGTTTTCTTAATCTGTTTTTTATCTAGATTCACTTCTATTAATTGATTTTGAACTTTATTATTTATTAATCTATTTTTATAAATTTCCTATTGAAGTTTAATTACTTTTTGGAGGTTTTAAACATTTAAAGAATTCTTCCCAATCAAATCTATTTACATCTGAATCTTAATCTTTATCTAATCTTCTCATTGCACAAATAATATCTTCAAAACTTATATCTAAATCAAGGTTTTTTAATAACTATAAGAATATTGGTATATTTTTATCTGATTTTGGACATAAATAATTTAATAATGTGCTTTTATCAAATCTTAATATCAATGCATCTAAATAAGCTTATATTTTTCGAATTATCTCAATATTCTTACCTAAAACTTTACCTATTATATTCAGTATATCAGAATTTGGATTATTATAATTCATTTGTTTTTATTGGTATTGCTTTAAAAATATCTGATTATTAGGAAGCATTAAGTCTAAAAAACTAAAGGATTAATATTTTATTATACTCTTAATATGTTGTATATTTAAACATTGATATTTCTCTTTAATCAAAACGTATTTACTAACTTTATAGAAATATTTCTAAATCATTTCTTGTTATTCTATCTTTCTCATAAGCAAGCTATTAATTATTACAATTTTCATAACATGTAAAAAGCAAGTTTAATAACTTACATTGTTATCTGTGATTTAAAGAATTAGACTTTGCTTTAAGTTTTCTAATTCTTTTTCTCCTTTAACAACATCTTTAATCAAATGAACAATTGTGTTTTTACTCTAATTTGAAAACATAATTATATTAATTTTTGTAGCTGTTATGATAAATCACTTAATTATACTATGGTATGATTATAAATTCATTTTTTAAATATTTACAGATATTCAAACATAAATATATAATTGTTAACTATATTTATATAGTCTATAATATTATAGTATTGTATTTTAAGTAATTTTAAAGAAATTAATTTATCATATTAGTTTATTTAACATAATAAATTCCGTTTATTTAACATAATAAATACCATTAATTATCTAATCTTGTAAATATAAATAGAAGTAGTTATAAATTCAATATTTAATTTTACACTTTCTTTAATTATTAATAGATTTCCAAAAATGAGTAATTATATATATATATATATATTAATATATTCTACAATAATATAGTATTTTATAATTTTACAAATTATTAGATTATTATACAAACTCAAAGTTATCTAAAATATTAAAATCTAAATAAATAATAAGCAATTTTATAAGATTTCTTAAATGTTTTAAAATTTAGCTTTTATGAACAGTTGAATTTCCATAATCATTATAGATTATTGACTAATATAATTAAAGAGTATAAACTACAGAATGAAATGAATAACATAGAAGGGTTTTCTTATTATATTTTTAACAATAATATTGAAAAATATAAATTTATTATCAAAGAAATGTCACTGTTTTTACTTTTTTTTCTAACATTCTTTTCAAAGTGAATTAAGGAGATTAATAATCCTAAGTTAGGTATATTGATATACAAGAATTTTTCTAATATTTTCAGTTAATGAGTCCCTTTTTTGTTTAATTTATGGAGGATCTCTGATTGTAATTATTGATTATCTCTAACTCAAGCTTGGTAGCTTAAATTTGATTGATTAATTGCCTTTTTTTATTATGGTTCTTTTCGTTAAATCTATTAAGTAAGCATTTCTCTCAACCATAAATGATCTTATTTGAGGTAAACTCTCTTAATGATGTGATGACATGTTATTATATAAATTTTAATTAATTTTGCAAAATTGATATTAAGTTCTAATTTTTGATGAAGTCTTGATTAAATATTATAATATAATTGTAATATTCTATGAAAAAGAAGATGATGAATCAAAATTAAGAATAATAATATAAATCTAATATAAAATTATTAAAATTGTAATCTGAGATTACCAAACATCCATTAACAATATTTGTGAATATTTTCAGTCTTATGATTATTGTAATTTTTTTTAAAAACTGTTAAACAAACCTTATAATTTCAGATTAAATTATAATAAAAAATTTCAATAGAGATATTGAATATGGGAAAATTAATATTGTAGATAATGGATATATATTAATTTATAAATATAAAAATAAATGCACAAATAAAGTAAGAGTTCTGCATCATTCAATATAATTATACATTGTATTTATATATATATAATTAAAATTAATTAACAATATGAATTAGAAATTTAAATTCCATGAGAAAAGCCCATCGTTACCATTAATAGTTAGAAAACCAATAGCAGTTATGAATTATAAATTGTATGAAAAATATCAGCACTCACAAAATTACTATTACATAAGAGACATTAATGAAATATTAAGTGATGCTTGTACAAAAATAGTAATTCATTTTAAAGATTAAATGGCTATCGATGAAGATGTATCTATAGTAATTAATATATATAGGAAGAATATCTTAAGAGATTTTATTAAATTAAGGAATTCTTTCAAAAAATAGGGTTACTTACAGAATATTATAAAGTATATTATTGATATGAAATAGTTTCATGTAGATATTGCACGAATATTTTAAGAGCCAATTTGTTCAATCTTAAATAAATATTATGATAAGAAAAGAAAGTACGATTATTTTAGGATTGCTAAAATGATTGAAGAAGAAAACAAATTAAATCCAAATAAACCACCTAAAGGAATTGTTGGTGAGAGACCTTCACCTGCAAATTCATAAGAATCAGTTCTTTAAGAAAGAGATGATAAGGAGGATCAGAATATCAAAAATATTTAAATATTAAAAGAATTGAGTTGGTTAAAAGTAAGACTTTACTATATAACTACATTAGCATGAAAAAACTTTGCCTAAAGAAGTCTCTCAAACCATAAATGAATTCTGCAAATAATTAGGATCTGGAGGAGATTAATCAACCCTATCATTAGTTAAATTTACTAAATAAGACAAGGTATCATTAGATAATTTCTTATTATATATTGGAAATAAAGCGAATTTAAATTAGAGAACATCTCCAACTGCAAGATAATCTTAGGAATAATTGATCCAAGAATTAATTATGAGTTAGAAGGCTAAAATGTCATAAAAGGATAATAAAAGTTATAGTATGCATAAAAAGAATGAAACTAAGTATAGTATTGGTTCAATTGAGATAAGGAACAATTTTGTAAAGGATCAATTTAATAATATCTCAAAGAAATCTAATCGATAAGCATCAACAGATATAATAGAGAGTGGAACTAGATTAGAAAATAAACCTTAAGATTTAATTAAAGTGAAGTCAAAGACTATAGTAAGTAAAAATTAACTTAAAATTAATAAATTCATTGGTGATCTTAATTCAAATTCTCCTACTCTATCTTTACATAAGATATCTATAGGTTCTACATCTTTGAAATAATAATAACCTCTTATTTAATCTTAAAATAATCATAAACCACCAAATCAATTAACTAAACTATTACTAGAAGAAGCTGAATCATAATAAAAATTAAGAAATGGAGCAATAACACATAGACCTATGTCTGGAACAAATGCATTTTTTGGGTCTTCATCAACTAGAAATAGTCCTACAATTAATTATTAAAAATTAAATATTCCAAAATAATTCAAAGATGATTATTAAAAATATTAGAAATTAAAGACTACTAATTCACCTTAAAAAAATCATTAATTAGGAATGATTGCAAAAGATCTATTTATTAAAGCATTGAATTCTCAAAAGTATAAGAATTCAATTCATATAAAGTAGAGTTCAAATTAAGAAAAAGTACTTAATCAATATAATAAACAAAAGCATAATAATGTGTAATAATAATAATAATAATAATAATAATAATAATAATAATAATAATAATAATAATAATAATAAAATAATTTACTCGAAAAGAAATAACATAAAAAAAATAAATCTGATGGTAGAGCTTTGTAAAATAAGTTGTCATTTCATGAAATTGGATGTTTAACAGATAGAAATATTAAAGAAACTAATTAATTATTAAGTAAATTAAATAAAAATAGTTCTCCATAAACTAGAAGATTACATAGTGAAAAATAAGAATCACTCTCTGGTAATATGAAAGGGATTTTAATTTAATAGATGTTAAAATCATTTGCCAAATAAAATCTCTAGAATTAATAGGATCTTAGATGTATAATTAAAAATTAAAAAAAAAAGTTTTGATTATTTAATTCAATTATTTCTAAAATAATAAATGTATTATAATCTTTATTAAAATTGATATTTTATAATACAAAATATTTATATTTTCAAAAGCATTTTATATTCAATCATAGATAATTAAACAATCAATTTAAATTTATTTTCTAAAAGATGGTTACTTTATTGCCAAACTTTTTAATTCATTATACAATTTATATCTTTTTGTTTGTTTCTCATAATTTTCTGAAATAAAATTCAATTAGATTGATGTATTTCTTCTCAAAACATCACCTAACATACTAATAGGATTTTAGATTTGATCTTCATTATTTATGCTTTTAAAATAATCTAATAGTAATTTTTTTGCTTAATATAACCAAATCAACAATAAATTTTTTTAATCATTTCCTTCTTCTTAATCTTCCTTTATTTCATAAACTGAATCATCTTCTTATTTTCTATTAAGATTAAATATAAACATACAAGTTTTTGTAAATATAATTTTAAATAATATCTTCTTCTTCATTGTATATCATTTATTTTATTATTAATTCTAGATCATAATTTATAATTGTTATTGGTCTTTTATAATTGAAACTTTCAGATTTATTACAATTCAACATACAAATTTCAAATAATAATTTAGAATCTAAGAATTTAGATTTTTGTAATTGAAATAAGTATATTAATACATTTGTTTTGGCTTAAATGATTGGAATTTGATAATAAAATTACTCTTTAGGAATCATAATATATTAGGATTCACAATCAATAGTTCCAAAATATAATAACTATTTAATATCAGAATTTCCAAAATTAGAAATTATTTATTTCATTTTTATTCCTCCACCATTCAATCTTATTTATTATATACAATAAATAGCATCAATAGAAAATCTACTTTCTATTAAAAATTATTGCCAAACTTAACCTCTGATAGTACATTCAAAAAGTAAGACAATATAAAATTGTTTTGATAATCTAAATAATATTAAATTAAATTTACATAGATAATGTAGATTTCAATTCTTTTTATAATGCACATGCACAATAAGAATTATCACATTTTGATCCAATTATTTATGAACACATTGTTATTTCATTTTGTTACTCCCAAAAAGATTTTCGTTTTCCAAGCACCAAACCTTTGATAATAAGTCAAACTTACTATCAAAATTCAAAACAATAATTTTATTTATTTATACATCTGTTCGTTATGATAAATATAAACATTTAATATTTACTCCTTTTTTCAATTAATCATGTATTTTGTTTTATAATTTGATATTTATTTGATGATCAATAATTTCTTATCTACATAATAATGGTTTAAATATAGAGTCTTTCATTTTAGTAACAACAATATTTTTATTAGGAGTTAAGATTGGTGAATAAATTTTTGGTAACATTAACTCCTATGAATTACGGTCAGTATAATCCTCATTTTGTTCCTATCTACTTTTTAGTTAAGTACTCTTGCTCATATTAAATATCTTTTCCTCTTTTGGAGATAAACTTCTTTCAGAAACTTGAACATTTCTTATTTTAAACACTTATATTGAATTTCCACCATCAATCGAGATATCTCTCTCTTAACTTGTATTATTTCTGCTTGATGTTGGTGAACCTCTAGAACGATTTGATTTATTAGAACTCTCAATTTCTGGGAATTTAAACTTTCTATGTATTAAATTGATTGATTTTTGCTGCATAGTTATTAGTAAATTAGAATAATATATCAAACAAATCAATTGTCTGATAATATTATATTTTTTATCTTATTATATACTAATATCATATATTAATCACTCAACACTTATGAGATAGTTAATTGAATAAATATAAGAATGATGATAATATAATTAAAAATTATGAGAAAAAAAGATTATAACTTAAATTCAAAATTAATTCATATAAAAGTAAGATAATATTTATTAATAGAATTCAAAAAGACCAATGCAAGATAGCAAATTTAAAAAGTAAATTAAATGTTGATAATATAAATAAGTAATAACAAATTGAAATTGTAATGATTAAATTGTCCTTTTAAATATAATTATTCAGTATTATAATTTTAAATAATCAATAAATTTTGGAGTCATTTAAAGAAGGAATATTATTAAAGGACTTTAAAATTCTAAAATTATGATATTAAAATTATAAATAACAAATGAATAGATTCTTATAAATTATTTATATGAATTAATGAAATATGTTTTTTATAATTGTATTTTTGTATAACTTAATATTTTCAAAGATATAGATGTGAAGTCACATTACCTATAATTATGTAATCTATTTTTCTAAAATAAAAATATCATCTCTTTAAAAAGAGAATATTTATTTTATAAATTATGGAAATTCTGTAATAAATTAAAGAACTTTAAAGGTTTGGTGTTGAATGCAGATACGAGAAATACTTATAATTAAATATTCAAGAGAATGTTAATGAAATTATGTGAAACAAATAATCAATTGTTGATTTAAGATTGAAGACAGATAAGCAGTAATAAATAAAATAATTGCTATTGATGCATTAATATAAAATTGATCATATAGAATACAAATGATCATATATGTTATTATTTGTCATTTTTATAGATCTTCTATCGATCATAATTCTAAAATAAATATTTACACTCAGCTATAATATCAAAACAATATCATTCTTAAAGTAATAAATTGAGAATATAATTTAACATAAGATTTGTATATAGATTATAGAGGATTTTTAGACATGATTTATGATTTTAGATTAGATAAAGTTTAAGAAATATTGGGTTTCATTAATGATATACTTATTTATAAAATAATTTGAGTTCTTATCTGTTTTATTAATGGAATAACAAATAATATCATTCAAAATATAGTCACTTAGTATAGATATGATTAGTTCATTAGAGACTGTTCATGATGATAGATTGTTTAATGATGTAGATATCTAAAATTATATATATTTGTTATAGTATTACTTCGATAAAATGTTAGAAAAGTTCTTTAAAAATTCAATTACAGAGAGACAACTAATTCTGATTGCTAATCTACCAAAAGTGATACATTTGTAGTGAAAAGATTGCCATAGGTCGTCTATTAATATGAATAACATATATAGCATTTATAGTAAATTTAATGACTTTCTTGACTTTGAAGATAGACCAACTACAAGTCAAAGTGTATAATAATAACTCAATAATGTTGGATAGAAGATGAAGGAATACAAGGATAAAATATTCACTTCACATTAAAGAGCTAATTCTAGTGCAACAAGGAATGAATAAAAACATCATACTTAAAAGTCTAAGTCTCCTATTTGGGATAGAATGAATTCATAGAATTCATAAAAGAAGAAAATCTTTGATGATGCTCCTGTGGTTAAAAGGACTAAGCCTTAGATTTTTAGTAAACCTGAATGGAAATAAACAAATCTTCAATTAACCAAACATGTCTAATCTTAACCATCTGAAGATTTAGATGAAAGTAGTTTGACTGTATAATTTTTAATGACTGAAGATAAAGACATAGATGAAATGTATTATAAAGAGAATAATGAATGTGAAATTTTGAGTTATTTGATTACATAGATGGGTAAGAGACCTACACTTGAAATATAAGGTACTATGATAGAAAATTTGACTCGTAAAAATAGTGAAATAAAGAAACAACTATCTCTAAAATTAATGGAAAATTAACATTAATTGAATTGGTGTTATTATATGTGGGATGCATTATCTTTTAGAGTAAATTAATGTTGTGCGAGAATTGCTAGGGCTAGATTAGTATTAAAATTATTGAAATAAACACATAAAGATTTGGGATTGAAAATATAAAAGAAATAAAAATAAAAGGAAGAATTAGAATTATAAATATCAAATGTTATCAAATTTAGATAAAGATATCAATAAGTATTTGAATTAGTATGTGAATTAAATAAGGATCAAATAACTAATGATAGTTGGTCCTTATATAAGATAATTTCTATTAAAGATTTAGTTTGGACATAATCAAGGGATATGAAATAATAGATGCATTTATATTATTGCTTTAGTGATATAAGAGGATATATTGAATCTTTATTTCAATAATAATTAGAATATTCATATCGTTTCTTTACTTAAAATATAATTCTAACATTTGTTTAAAATAATAAAGACAAAGAAGAATTATATAAAATGTTAGACAGTATGTGTGATTATCTATAATATTATGAATTGAATAACAAAAGTATAGATATTAGCAAATAGATTCGAACATCACTTTAGAGTTAATTTAGAAGTATTATAAGACAATAATTGAGAAATGAGAATGTAGATATCTAACCATTGAATTTTAACAAATAGCTTATGGTATTTTAATTAAGTATTCTATTAGAAAAAAGGTGTTAAATATGATTGTTTACATTCTTTGAATAAATATTTGACAGCATTTTTAACTTCATTCTATCTTACTTCATATTCTTTAGGTCTTATTGTTTAATAATTCTAAAGATTATTATAAATCAATACTTAATAAAAGAAATAACCTTTATTGAAGAAGATAGGATTTCAATATAATATTGAAAAGAATCAATTTTGGCAATATATATAAGATAAAGTTGTAAAGAGCATAAGACATACTAAAATGGATGCCTAATGTGTTTATTAAGATTGGATAAGATTTGAGGCTTTGATTTTTAAGATCATATAAATAGGGGAAGAATTAAGTAATTTGAAATCTTATACACTCTTATTTCATTTAAAGAATACATTAAGATTAATTGCATAAGGATTAAGCATTAATGTTATACAATGTTTAAGTATTTAAAAAGGAATGGGATCAACTGATATTGTTAAACCATAATATTAATGTGTATTATTTAATAAATTAGATATTTATGTTGAGAACAGAAGACTTAATGTACAATCTTAATATTTGAATTAATTATTAGAAGTGAAATAAATATTACCTCATTTTGAATAATAATAACCATTGTAATCAATAGAAAGTCCATATAATAAGAAAGAAGAATATTTCTTTATTGTAAGTAAGTTTTAGGAATTACTCTTTTTTGCTTAAAATATTTAATAATTTAGAATTGATTGTTTTTTACATACTATTCATTGTTTTGAATATTATTGTTATCTTTTGATTAGAAATGATCTCTATCCTCAAATAAAGTAACTTTAATTTGAATTACCTTCTTATGAAGATAATTTTGATAATCTTGTAATAAGTCATCATCAAATAACTAAATTTGCTAGATTTAATAATCTATAATAAATGTTAATGAAATAAATAGATAGTATTAGATCTACTAATCTTTAAATTTAAGTGATTTATACTTCCTCTTGTTTGAGAGAGATTTTGGAAAATTTAACATTATGTTTTTAAATTTATGAGTTTATTAAATAATCTTATAGATATTAGGAAGACATTGAATTTATTGAATCTTATTTAAAGAAAACAAAGTAATGGTTAGATCAATTAAAATTCTTATGGATCTATAATTAAGGATTGAAAGATAGTGAGATTGATAATAAATAAATAACTAGTTATTAGATTATGTATAAAATGACTCAGATTATGCATCAAATATCTGTTATATCTTTAAATAATTAAACAATAAGACCAGAAGAGATAGGTTAGATTTATTATCAAGCATATACTGAAAATTTAATGGAATTGATAATAGGAAGTTTAAATAAATAAAATAAATAATAAATATTTGGAGAATTATAAAAATTTATTAAATAAATTAATGGATAATATTAGAGTTAACAATTTGATTGTTTTGTAAGATTACTTGATATAAGAACATAGAGTCAATATTTAGAATAGATAAATAAGTTACAATTATTGAGTCTAAAAACATAAATATCTATTCTATAAAAAGATATCAATTTAGATTTGAAATAAATTACTCAAATCTACATAAATTATGTAAATGAAAATAGTTGATAGTTAAATATTTAAAAAAATCACTTTTTTTTATTGATTTAAATAGTGGATGACCTCTTTTTTCGTTCATCATTTCTTCTAATTAAAACAGAAAAGTTATTATAATCTAAAGATGAGACAGATCTAATTTTATTGATATCTATAGATTCAGTTTATATTCGAGTCTTTGGTTTTATTATTTATTTGATTGTTGATTATGATGGTATTCCATTTATCATTAAATATTGCTTCTTTTAGATAAAATACTTACTCTTGATTAAGTGTCAGTTACACTCTTTTCAGTTTCTATTCTTCTTCTTGATGCAACATCTATATCTTTTTTTAATTTGATAATTTATCTTTCATACAACTTAAAATTGAAATAATGATTACTTCAATTTTCATTTAAAGAATTTTTTATTATTCATCTTTTTAAATAAGACTCTCTTCTAATTAATCACAATGAATTTTTAATCTTTGTTCTATCTAAAATAAATGATAAAATGAACATGAATGTGATATCTATTTTCAGATTCAATCTTTTATAATGATTGTTCCAATAATTCATATTATTCTCTTATCTCTTAATGTAATCTTTAATGTATATATATATAAGTTTATACTCTATAAATTAATCTAGAATGCGAGTAATATATTTAAATGCTACTGTAATATCATCTGGAAGTATTACACGTATATCTGAATATCCAATTTGATTCAATTTATTTTACAATTCTTCAAAATACTCTATGACTTATGATTTCAGATCACTATTTTATTAATTCATTAACTAAATAATGATTTAAGAATCCAAATAAAACAGAGTTTGTGTTCCAACATAATGTGCTATTTAAGAATAACTCTAATATGTAAAACACAATTTCTAATAATATAGGTTACTTGTGGAACTGATAGTACATTTTGTATCACAATCAATAAAAAAGTATTTATGTGGGGATAGGGTATTCAAATTCCATAATAATTTGAACTGCAAGATATTGAATAGATAGCAGCTTCAAAAGAGCATTGGTTTGCATGGTCAGAAACATAGGTTTTTGGATGGTAAGAGAGTGGTTATATATAATATTAGTGGTTCAAATAAATAAGGAAAATTAGGTATGAATAATTCTGTAAATACTCCTACATTATTTGATATATTTAGTGAAGCTTCATAATATGGATGGTAACTTTAAAAGATAGCTGTTGGATTAGATCATAGTGTAGCATTAATTGAAGTAGAGGATGAAAATAAAATTTTCGTTTGGGGTTCCAATACTTATTAATAATTGGGTTTCGATGCCTCAGAATAATTTGTTGCTATTCCTCATCAATTAGATTTAGATAATCTTCCTCGAATTGTAGATATTTATGCATAACATAATTATACAATGGCAATAGATGAAGAAGGTCGTCTATTTTCATGGGGTAGCAATGAATTTGGTCGTTTAGGATAAAATGCATTTGCTAAATGTATGAAATTACCATCTCCAATAACATCACTTGGCAATTTTAAAATATCAAAATTAGCTTTAGGAACATTTCATGTATTGGCAATTGATACTCAAGGTAATCTATATTCATGGGGTCGTGGATTATAAGGATAATTAGGGCATGGAAATTCTAATGATTGTAATAAACCATAATAGATCAATTCTTTATAATAAATTAGAGATGTAGCTTGTGGAGAAGCTCATAGTATAGCATTATAAAATAATGGTTCAATTTATGTATTTGGATCTGGATAATTTGGATAATTGGGATTAGGAGATTATAAATAATAAGATACACCATAGATGTTATAGATTAATGGAGAAATGATTGCTTGTGGAAGACATCATTCAGCTGTACTTACAAAAAATGGAGCATTGTATATGTTTGGAAACAATGAGTAGAGTCAGTTGGGATTAGAATGTGGAAAGAGTGGTGCGTATTTGACTCCTTTACCTAAATAAAGTCCTATGAATGTATTACAGCACTTATGCAATTTAGATAGACCAATCATATCTTTGAGCTGACTGATGAATTTATGAATAAGATTGAGGCTAGTAAGAGTGAAGATCTTGATTAAGTAATTCTATCTTTTGATTCTAGTTATTGATTGAATATCAATAAAATACCTCGTAAATTCCAAATACATAAACAACTATTTTTATTAAGGATTTAATGGAAAGAGTCATAGCACTTATAAAGAAGAAATGATAAATATGAACAATATATATATATTTTGAACATTAACATATTATTCTCTTATTTATCAAATGTTAAATAAATTAAATTTTAATTAATGGAGTAAGTTGATTATGAAAAGCAGTTAAAACGATATCAATATTCATACATTAAGCCTAATGTTTAGTTAAGATAGTATTTATAATCATTACCATATGAATAATACCCTGATTTATTTTAAAAGATTGAAAACTTAAATTATGATGCTTAAAAAATCAAAAGATTATTGAGAATGCTCAAAAAACCATATTAAATATCTCAATATTTCCATCTTAAATTAAAACATAAGTTAAAAATTAATGAAAATGTACCCAATAATATTGTTGATTTCAATAAGAAATATACATTAATTTTAACATCTTAATAATAGGGATAATAATTATTTGATAAATTAAAGGAAGAATTTTTTGTGGATTCTAAAATTAGAAAGAGTGGTATGTCAATTTTAATTCTATTAAAGATTCACTTACATTTAAACATTAATATTATAAGGCATTATAGGATAATCTAACAAATCAATGTATTGAATAATGTTTGCGTCTTCTTAAGAGATCAGAATATAATATGGATACATTATATATTGTATTAAATGAATTAGTTAACACATAATATGATATTACATAATAATTAGGATCAATTCATAATATATTGGCTGAATTTATTAAGAATGATTTATCAATCATATGTTTAAAATTAGCACATTATTGTGTAAGAGGTGATTTAAATTATGCAGTTTAATTTGTAAGTAAAATGATTTAAATTACTCATGATGAAAATAGAAAATTTTTATTTCTTGGTACTCTTCCTCATAAATGTTAAATGTAAGTTGAAATTATATATAATTTGGCAACAATTCTAAATGATGACTAAAAAGTATTTGATTTGGTTAAAAGAATGAGAGATCTATAAATTCCCTTAGGTAATTGGGCATATTTAAAGAAATTATTAAGTATCAATAAATATACAAATACATTTGTATCATTATTGGTTGTAGATTGGTTATTAGATAAAAAATAAGAATCAAATAGTAAAGATTTAGAATCTATTATGGAATAAATTGTTAATGGATTATCTACTAATGTAAATTAATATATTTTGATATATTTTTTAGTTTAAGAATTTTGCTAAAGTAATTACTTAACCAGTAATGTTCTTAGCTTAATTAAAGTGTGTTGTTTTATATGCACTATTTTGTGAAGATGATGCACCAGCTAAATTAATGATTACTATTAATGAAAATCTGAATAAGAATATTGAAATATTTAATCCAAAAAGTCATTTATGTTAATTAAAGTATTTAATATCACCATCATGTTAAAATGAAAGTTAATTATTTTTAGATTGTTTATTTGTATATTAGGCAATTACATATGATGAAAATGATCAATTCAATTATCTATTACCATTAATAATATTAGTATCATTTAGTGGTAAAGTTAAGAATAGTGTTAATGTTAAATAATCATTAGAATTATTTAAATTATTTAAAGCAATCGATATGAATATACTATACAATAAAATATTTACATAATTACATGAATTTTTATATTAAATCAATCCATATTAAGGAGAAGGAATTAATTTCAGAAAAGATAGATTAATACATTTTGTTAGATTGATGATGGTTCAAATTGGAAATACTTAAATTTAATCACCATAATATATTTACACTACATTTTCTCATACATTTATTTCTCAATTTAAATTTAAATTACCAAATTATTAAATTAATGTGAATCCAATTAATTGGTTTACTAATCGTGGATTAATGAGCAATAATCCTTATACAGTTCAATCTACAATTAATTATTGCAGACTTCTAATTGAATAAGGATATATTAATGAAATTGTTAAACCAATTGAAGAATGGATAAATCCATTAAATATTTATAAATTAAATAGTTTAGATAATTTAGACGAAAAATTAGAATAATTATAATTTGAATAATTTGATCATAATAGTTTATAAACATCAGGTTTAAAATGGTTGACTGATGATAAACCAGTTGATGAAGCTGAAAAGTAACTATAATAAGAATTAAAAAAGTTTGAAAACAATAATGCAGTATTTATGGATGAAGGAGAAGCAAAGTAATAAATGTTATTGAAATAAAAGAATAAGATATCTTAATAATATTCATTGTGTTTACAATTATTTGAAGGAATACTTCACACAAAATTTAAAGAATAATTTATCAAACAATATTTTGATAAATTATCTGTTTTTGCTAAAGAAATCCAAACTAGATATGATTGTTGTATGTTTTTACTAAAGTATTTTGAAACTAATCCATTATTATAGCAATTTAAATGGCCTCTTACTTACTTCTTTTTAGAACGTAGTATGAATTCTATACCTAATGATAAGATTCTAGAAAAAATTAATTAATTTTAAGATTGTCTTATGAAAGATATCAAAAATCCACCTATCCATATAATTCATTTAATGAACTTATACATTATTAATTAAAATTCATTTACTTCTATTACTAAATTCAAAACATTTGCAATTATTCTAAAATATAAGAATTAATTATCAATTAATGAATATTTTACACCTTTTGTTAACAATATCAATATTTGTAGACATGCAAAAAATGCAGGATAAGTATTATAATTGATCTTTAATAAAGATAATGATGAACATTATAATTTATTCTTCAATAATATATTGAATCTTGTACCAGAAGCTTAAAATTTAATTTTGAAAACTATACCAAGTTTACCTGATAATTTTGATATTCACATTAAAGTCAGAGTATTAGCTGAATTTGATGATACTAAAGAATCTGCCTTACCTTTTGTGGATTAAGAATTTAAAGTTTTAAATTAAATTCAAAGATGGGACATAGTAAGTTTTGTAAAGAAATTTCCTAGAGAACATAGTGAAATTATGATTAATTTATTGAATGATGTAAATGGATTCCCAGAAATGATAATTTAAGCAGCATCTAAATTGGTTGTTGATTAATCATTATTAGAAGAATAATTAGAATTTTTCCCTTATTTTGTTAGTAAATAATTAAACACATATCCAAAATAATTAATTGGTAATACTATAGATTTATTAATTTAATATTCATCTACTCCAGAAAGATAATAATTAGCAGTACTTTGTAGAGAAGCAGGTGTCTAATTAATTAAATGTGTAGGTAAAGAAAACTCTAATGATATTTTGAATTAAATTGAAAATCATCTCCAATCAAAAAATACTTGTGCATCTATACGTGCTTTAACATTTTTAGGTGTTTTGTCTTAATTTTTATAAGGACATAACTAACGTAAAACTTAAGAATAGATTGTTTAATTATTTAGAAATAGTGATGAAGATTCATAATTAGAATTAGCCCGTTCATTATAAGAATTATTGAGCTTTTTTCCAGATACTGAAAATCTGGTTATTGAATTATTGAAATCAAATAAACAAGAAAAGGATGAGAAGGTTAAGAGAGGTAATGCTTATATGATAGCAGGTTTAATAAAAGGTTTGGGTGTAGAAAAGATGGAGAGTTTTAAGATTTTTGAAAATTTAGAAGTGAAAGAAAAAAAGGAAAGTTTAGAGGATAAATTCAATGTTCTTATTTAATTATAAGCAATGATTGAATTATTTTAGAAGACATTAGAACCATATGTATTAAAAGTGATGTACTTATTAATGAAATATTTTGGAGAAGGTAGAGTGGAAATACGTAATTTAGCCATGAAAAATGCAAGTAGATTATTGTAATCTCTTTCAAGTTATGGTGTTAAGATTATGTTATAATCATTACTTACAGGTTTAGATTCTGATACTTAATGGAGGGCTAAAGTTGCCAATATATGGGCATTAGGACATTTGGCACATTGTTCACCAAAATAATTATCAAGTTGTCTTCCTTAGATTGTTAATTCTATTTCTAAAGCTATTTCTGATACTCATCCTGATGTAAAAGCAGAAGCTTATAAATCATTGAATGAAATAGGATCTACTATTAAAAATCCTGAAATTTCAAGTATTTCAGATATACTCATTATCTCATTATCAAATCCTTATGATGAGAATTTAAGAGGATTATAAGTTGTATTGGAAACAAAGTTCAGACATTATATTGATGCTCCTGCTATGTCATTATTAATACCAATTATAGATTATGGTCTAAGAGCATAAGACAGTGATTAAAGAAGATAAGCTTCTATTTTAACAGGAGGATTACCTCATTTAATATAGAAAAGTGATGATTTAGTACCATATATGAATTTAATAACTGGTGGATTGGAAGTAGTAATAGGAGATCCTTTATTGGAAGTAAGGACAGTTGCAGCAAAAGCAATAGGTTAATTATCACAAAAGATTGGAATTGAAAATACTAAGATTTTCTTTAAATTTATATGGGATGTATTGGAGAATAAAGAAGCAAGTACAAATAAGAGATCAGGTGCAGCTCATGCATTTGCTGAGATTACTTGTATTCATGGAGATAATTATTTAGAGGAATAATTATAATTTATATTCAATTAGATATAGAGACAAGAAATATATGTTAAAGAAGGATATATAGGAATATTTATTTATATTCCAAGTATTTTATAATAGAAATTTTAAAATTATGTAAAAGATGTAATTGAGAATGTTTATGAATGTGTAAGTCATGAAGATGATGTAGTAAGTAGTATCACATTGAGAGTATTAAAGATTTTAATTAAGAATTTTGGTATTTTATAGAATGAATTATTATATCCATCATTGACAGAGACTATGTTAAATGAGGATGCAAAGAAACGTAATGCAGGAACTATTTTAAGTGGAGAAATGCTCAAAATAACACAGAAATATGTGTATGCTTAATTAAATAATCCAGATAGTCACTAATATATTAATATTGATTTATATTATTTGAATTTGATGACATTATATACAATGTAATAGGATGTTGTAGATATTGTTAGATAAAATGCAGTTGCAATTTGGAAGGAATTTATAGATAACACTCCTAAGACTTTGAGGAAAGGATTGAAATAATATGTTATTTAATTGTGTAATATTATGAGTAGAGATCGTGTTGTATAGAATGGTATTAATACTATTAGAAATTTCTGTGAAAAATATGAAGAAACTTAAATTAGTGAAGCATTCAATCATATAGGTTATGTCTTATAGAATTATTAACATAATTTGTCATTAGTTAAAGGAGCTTATTCAACATTAAATCAGATATATATTTACATATCTTTAGATTTAGCTACAAAATATAGAGATTAATTTATTGAATATTCAAGATTGTATATCTTTTGTAAAGATAATTTGATTAAATCTTAAATATTTTAATCAATAGGTACAATGATTAATAAAGTTATGTAAACTAAATTTATTGAATTAATCATTGAACCATATTTAAAAGATTTGTCTAATATGAATGAAAATGATCCTAGATATTCAAGCTATTTAGAAGTATTTTCCAGATTATGTTAATTGAATTAGACTTTAGTATTGCATTATTTAATAGTGTTGATTTTGGTACCACCTCTACATTAATTCAAAATTGACATTCTAACTAATAATGCATCTACATTCTCTGGTATAATATATAAATAATATGATAAAAAAATACCAATTTAGATATTGTTTAATGATCTCTATTTATGTGCTGATATCAATGATCATAATGAATGGAATGATAGAACTTAGTCTCTAATATATTGTATTCAATAATTGAGTATTCACATTAAATCTGATCTTGAAAACTATTTAGCAATATTTATAGAAGATATTCTTAGATAATTATAAGCTAAAAGTAAACCAATCTTTGAATTTGAAGGACAATCTAATGAATATAAACATTGTCTTATTCCCTTAGAATTATTATAATACTTCTTATAAAATACATCTGAGGATCATTAATAATTCTCTCAAGTAATAATTGAAAAAGTAACTCCTTTCTTATATTTATAATCAACTAACCTTTCTTATCAATAACTTGAAAAATTCTACAATTTGGCCAATAAAATCATTTATGCAATTAATAACACATTAGATAAGTAACATCATTTTGATAATATGCGAAACATACATACTTGTTTCATGAATCGAATAAACATAGATCTAATACCTGGTCTGAATACATAAGATGGAGCAGGAATAGAACCCTATGTCTCTATGCTCCTTGATAGTTTTGTATTTGGCAAGGAGGAAACATTCAAACATGCCTATGACTTCATGAAAGTTTTAATAAGATTTTCTGAATAATAGTAACTTCAAATTTATATTCTTAAATTGATCGGTTCTCTTATTCGTATCCTAAATTATAAGGGCAACAACGAACTTAAAGTCTTAGCTTTATAATTAGTATATGAATCACAAGAGAAAGGACTTGAACTTCTAAAGTTTAAGCCTCAATTGGCTATCACTTATGATAAATTAATAATTGACATTAATTAAGTATAGGGAGGATTAAAATAACTTGCAAAAAATTATAGTTAATTACTTAAATTACATAATAAAAAAGTATATTATATATTCTATTAATAATAGGATCTACTTCTTAATCAACTCTTTAATAAGGGTGTTTAAAGTGTTACATAAGAGGCTAGAGAATGTCATTTGAAAATAGTGAAGAAAATAATAAAGGATCAATAAGAATAAGTTTATTCCTCTGCTGTCTTAGAAAGGTTCTTCTCTCTCTCTAAATAATATTTTGAGAAGTGTATCCAAACTTAAAAATTTGATCTTGCTTCTCCTTGTGAATTGAATTTTCTAGGTATTTTGATATAAATTATATTCAATTAGCCCATATTCTTGCATTAACATATCATTACACTAATAAAAACAATAAGGAATAATACATTCAGAAATACCTTTAGTTTGATCAATATGGTTTACTTTTAAAATTACAATTTGTCAGATATTAAATGAAAGAATTAATACCTGATACAATAAAATATGCTATTGAATAAATAAATTCTAATGAAAATATGTCTTATGTGCTATAATTATTGAGAACTTTAAGGAAATTCTCAAATATATAGATTAAAAAATAATTAAAGCCAAAATTCATGGAGGTTCCACAAATTTTAAGTGCGTTATCAAAATTATAATGATATTAAATATATTAAATAACAGTCATAATAATGATCGAGTCTTTCTAATAACAATTTGAGTAGGTTTATTCTGAAAACCAAGAAAGTAACATCTAATATTATATTCTAGTCATAAAATAGTTAAACAAACTCAAGTAAAGTGCTATTGAAAAAAATCAAGAAATATAGAAATTACAATATCTATTTAAAGAAGTTGAATAAGAATATTAACCAATTCATGATAAAATACAATCAATTAAAGATTAATTCTAAGATTTTGAACTCAATAAACAATTAATCTATGATTCTTTTGATGAATTGGAGAATCTAATCATGCGTTAATTTGCTGAATAAATAAAGTTGAATAAAAAAACTAAAAAGACCTAAAAAAAGGAATCTCCTTCAAAAGGTAAAATTAACAATGAAAATGATCAAAACACAATCAATCTAAGAAAACGAACAATTAAATTATAAAATTATGATGAATATTCTTAAACAAGTGAATCTAGTTAACCAATTAAAGTAACAAAAAAGAAAGTCAAAACAAATACTGAAGCTTTAGATAAAGCTAATTGTCTAATTAACGAGATTTTTAATTTTAATTGAATATCATCTAATTAACAATAATTTTATTTATCTATCAATGGGAAATAACAATGTCTGTCTAGCTGAAATACCTGTCAATCAAACAAATCACACCTCTCCTAAAACTAAATCAAAATGGAAAAGGGAAGATTTAACATCTGGTTCTTGTATCTAAACACTTGTTGATAAAGAAAATAATCCAGATTTCTATACTCATTTTTAATGTGGTTAAGCATTACCTTAATATCGCAATAACTTATCTTAATAAAGATGGATGGAGGCTATCAATAGCTTAAGTACAATCAATGATTCATAAGAAACTATTAATTCGTTACTTGATAGACCAGAATTTAAGGAACTAGTTTTATTAGGTCCACCTAAACAATTTAGATGGTTAAGTTGGATGAATTTGTTAACTAAATGTTAACCACATGTTAGTTATGAAAAGTATTTAGAATATGCACCATCAGATATATCTAACATCATCAATGATATAAATCGTACTCTTGTTGATTCTGCTTTATTTAAACATAGAAGTTGTGGATAAGAATAATTAAAAAGGATTCTCTGTGCTATATCTAATGCTTTACCAACTATGGGTTATTGTTAAGGTATGAATTTTATTTGTGCTGTTCTTCTTATTGTTTCTGGTTGTGATGAACATCAAGTATTTTAAGCTTTTATGTAAATGCTTATTAATGAATAACACTTATTATGTTTTGCATTCTCTGATGATATGCCACTTCATTCTTTTTTGACTAACTTGATACATTAACAAATTAAAAAGAAATTTCCTAAACTTAACTTATAGAATATATGTGATTCATTTTGGCTAAGTAAAATGATTTTATCTCTTTTCACTTATGTATTCAAAATGGAAGATTGTATAAGATGTTGGGACTATTTAATGGTTCGTGGAATGATTCGTGGAATTCCTGAATTAATACTAGCATATATTGATGCTACTTATAATTAATTATCTAAATTTCATGAGGAAGATTTTGCTTAGAATTTCAAGAATCCTGAAACTACAACAATCAAATTTAATGTTGGTGAACTCATATATTTAGCTAATTCTAATTATAGTTTAGATAAATCATTCATATCAAAATTAGCTAAGAATATGAGAGATAAAAATAAACCTTCATAATTATTAGACCTTTTATAATATTTCAACAATCCTCAACTCTATAAGAAACATGTATCATTTTATATTAACACTATTTTTAATTGATTTGTATAATTATATTTTAATTTTTAAATTTTATATTATATTTTTAATCAAAATCTTTAATAAATATAATTCATATATATGTAATTTAAATATATGAATTGAATAAAATCTAAGTTGATATCAATTATATTTAACAAATTAAATAAATTTATCACAATTTTTAGATATTTTATCTAGATATATAAGTAATATACAAAAATTGAAATTTAAGATTATATATATATATAGATATATAAATTCCCTATTATTCTCAATATAATTATACATAGTCTTTAATAACTAGATTCAAAATATTATTTTTATAATAATTAAATTAATGTTAAGAAAGAAGAGTCAAAGTAAAGGAAATACCCAAAAATTATAAGTAGAAGTGGATATTATGGTTTGATTGTTTTTTATTCGCCTAGGAATAACGAATTGTTGGACTTAAATAAATATTACAATCTCAAAAAGAGAGTGCTAAAGAAAAAATGTCAACAAGCTAAGGATCTACGAGATGGTCAGCAGCTTCCACTAATGTTCCTCTTAGAAGTATGTTAATAATATTTAATAATAGATTATGGGAAGCATGTTTTAGAAAAACATAGGGAAGTTGCAAAGACATTCCAACAGAAAAATAAATTAAGCAAAGTACCATCCAGGCCATCATCTCGTTCTAGTTCATTTTCTAAATAGAGCAAACAATCAGAAACTTAATCATAATAGAATCAAAGCTATTTGACTTAGAGTCTGAATTTTGCAGGCAAGAATTCAGCTAATGAAAATTTGAAACGAGCACTTCAAGTCTAATAATGTAAATCTTACAAACTTAGGTTAGTTAGAATACTCTAATGAAGTTGTCAAATTCCTCAATTCCATTAATCTTGATAAACATGCAGGAGTAATACTTGAAAATGGATTTGATGAGATGGAGCTTCTAAAAGAAATATCAGTTGATCATTTAAAAGATATGAATATACCTCCTATGGATGCAAGGAAGTTATTAAACAGAGTGCAAAAATTAGTGGAAACAGAGGAAAGAAAGCTTCTTCAATCTTAAAAATAAGCTTAACGTTTAAAAGAATCCTAAAGTCATATATAAGAGATTACTAATTCAGAAATCTATGATGAGGAAGAACAACATAGATTATTTTAGGAGGCAGTTATGGAATATAGATAATCATAATAATAATAGAAAGAATAGAAAGAATAAGCAATATAACATACAGAGGAAATTTTAATTGAAGATGAATCATTAGGATACATATCAAGTAGATAAAATAAAAAAGAAGAATAGTAAAGAAATAAGATGAAATTTCTCTTATCAGGAGCAAATGAATGGAAAATGTTTGATATTGATTATGAATAAAAATAAGGGACTGATTAATAACCTGTAATAATTGATAAAACATCTTGCTATTAATGTTATAGATTGTTTGATTAGAAATTTGGAATAAGCAATAATGGCAAAGAATTTTGTACAAAAGAATGTCTTGAATCATTTAAACTATAAAATCTAGTAATAAATTATAGTTAATTTTAGTATCTCTGTCGGTCTCAGTCATGTGCTAAACAAATTGATATTGATTAAGCATATTATGAAATTGGTTAATGGTTTTGTAATTAAGACTGTTTTAAATAATATCAATGGGAAAGTGTCAATATCAGAGGAAGAACCCATATTAGTTTATGATAATTAAATATATATATAAATATGCATAACTTTAGAGTTTTATAAAATCTTTTTCGTATATATTTTAATCATCAAATTTTAGGATGAGGAATATGTACTTTTGAAGGAACCTTTACCATCAACTACTTAAAATGTCCTACTTTGGCTTCTCTTGTTGATTTTCCAACACTGAATGCAGGATATGATTTCTTTTTAGAATTCACTTACACACCTACAGCAATCCTTTTTATCTTATTAAGTTTACTATTTAGTATCATATGTTTGATTCTTATCCCATCCTTCAAAGATCTTCCCTATCTTTGGACCTTTTGGAATAGTCCAATGAGAAGCATCTTCCAAATTGCTTGTATTAGCAGGAGGCTTTTGTAAATATGCTCCTGGTCCAACAATAACAGGAGTTGAACATGTAGGAGCTAATGCTGATGCTCCTGGGATATCTCTTCTATATCCGAAAGAAAATTAAGGTGGAGTTGGAACTTCAGGTTTTATAGCTGGATCATATTAAGGGCCAGGAGTTCCTTTGAGCCTTTTTTCAGGAGGAAACTAAATAATATTTAATAATATTATACTCTTGATTCCAATCCAATTTTGACATTAGAAGCTTTAGGCTTTCTAACTAAATCAGCTTCTTAAGGTTCAAACTTTAATATAAAAAAACTCTAATACATCAACATCCTTTCTTTGATAGTAATCAAATTTAGCTCCTGTGTTCAAAGTATTACGAGGATCTTTACCAAATTTTGTATCTGCATCTTTTGTATAGAAAAATTGATCTCCTCCTCTAACATTATAAACAGGTCCAGGACTTGCCTTTCCTTAAAGTATTTTTAAATATGATTAATACCTGCAAAATCGATTCTGGCAAGTTCTTTATTATGATAAAGTTTTGCTTGATTTGCTCGTTCAGCAGAACCGAAACTGTAACTTGGTAGAGTTTGCTTTGTGGATATAGGCATTTTGCCTATTGAACTAAAAACTTGTTTATTTTCGAATTCAATTAAGTCTGCATATGAATACACTTTTGGTTAAGCTTTAACTTCTTCCTTTGTTTCTGCCATTATATGTATTATTATATAAATTATTATTAAATATATTTTAATCTATATAAATAATTAATAAGTAAATGATAGGAATTTATACAATAAAATGTAATTATAAACACTATCCCAATCTATAATTGTCTATTAAAAAGATTTTGTAGCATTATATTTACTAGAAAATCTTGAAAAGCTAGATATTTATTTAAAATCTTATAAAATTAATTTGATTTCATTATTTTGATCAAATAAATCTCTATATTTTGTAATTACTATAAATAAATTTCATTCTTAAATTATCTTCAATTGAATTTACATTTTTTATTTGTTTTTTAATATTATATTGATATTAAAGTAATAAAAGATGTATAATATCTATACATTAATATAATTAATTAATTAAAATATAATGAATTATTTATTTTATGGATTCATAGGATATTGGGCTTTGTCATTAACCTTTTTTGTTTTCCCTTACAAGAAGAAGAATGTCTTTAAACATTAAAAATACTAAAAATATCGTCAAAGAAAAAGCATCATTCACATTTCACATAGAGGTGGATGTCGTGAAAATTTAGAAAATACAATGTAAGCCTTTTAACATGCTTATGATCTTGGTACAGATTGTTTAGAAATGGATTTATGCATGACAAAAGACAAGAAAGTATATGTGATTAATAAAGTAGATTGTAGTTTTGCATGACTCTTCATTATTAAGAATGTGTGGTGTAGAAGCACATGTGAAAGAGTATAATTATGCAGACCTACCAAAATTCTTAGAAAGAGTCAGACTAGATTTTGCTCCTAATGATTACATTTCAACTTCAACATGCAAAACTCCTTATATGCCTTTGTTTGAAGATGTTCTTAAAAAGTTCCCAGATGTTTTAATTAATGTTGAAATTAAAACTCCTGATCCAGAAGTTGTTCAAGTTGTCAATGATCTAATTCTAAAGTATTAAAGATAAGATACTATCATATGGGGAGCTAGATGTATTGAATAATTAATAAATTAATAGTTTAAAAGTAGAATGAATTACTTAAATCAATTAATCCTTCAATACCTAGATTTTTCACAGTCGAAGGAATATTGAGAGTGTATTTACTCTATATGACAGGTCTCTTACCTTTCTTTGATATACCAGATGATTCAATGTAAGCACCACTATATACAGATGACTTTTACTTGTGGAAACTATAAGTTGCAAATTCTACTTCAGAGAAGTTTTAGCAAATGTTATTGTAAATTTAAATTCTAATTTATTAAAGTCATAATTTTATTTGGTTCTTGGGTTTAATGTCTAAGCCATTATTTTATCATTTACATAAAAGAGGGATCTTCGTATACTATTGGGTTTTGAATAATGAAAAGGAATATGAAAGAGCTCTTAAAGCTGGATGCCATGGAATTATGACTGATTGTCCAACTGTTTTGAAATAATATCTAATTAAAAATAAGCTCTATGGAAAGTAGTGATCTCTATAAATAGAAATTTAATATATATATTATAATTATTTAAATATTGAACTCCTTCTTATATAATTATTTATAGTAACAATACAATAAATTCTAGATATCACATTAATAAGAAATATTTTTTATTGTTATTTATATATTCCTTATAATTATACTACAAAGTAAATAATTTTTGAAATTCAAATCATATAAACAATTCTTAATTATATTTATCATACTTTTATAATTGATAATTAAAAATTGTGTCTTATAAAAAACAAAAGATAGATTTAGTTTAATTATTATTTACTAAATAATATAGTTGTATGATAACTAAAATAGTTTTAGAATATAAATTAATGAAATTTATAGGATCTTCTTTATGTGAATTTCAATTAAATTTTTAATTGAATACAAATTGCTTTAATAGTTTTAATTTAATTAGCAAAATAATGATATTTCAAAGAATATTAAATATTTCGAAAATATAAATATATAAAAAATTAAAGAAAAAACAATAATATGTCATTGAATATATTGAATAAGATCAGTAAATTGAAATTATTGATTGAATAATTTATAGAATTATGTTGTTAAAAAATTCAATAGAGTTTGTTCTAATTGTTTATGAATTTTTAATAATTGATTATAATATTCTAAATTTAATAAAATCAACACTTATTATCTCAACTGTTAATTATTAATTCTTATAAAGAGGATATATTAATTCAACAAAATTAAGAATATGCAGCAATGAAATTGAATTTTAAGATTCAGATTATTAATAGTTTGAATTATGAATTATTTTATTAATGATATAATTCAATCCAGATTCAAAATAAGAAGAGATTCTCAGTGAATAATAAGAATCATCAATTCACATATATATGCTAAATTAAGAAAAGAAGAAAAAAATTATATTTTTAATTAAAAATACTCTGGTATATAAAGATTTCATGAAGCCAACTTATGATTATTCAAATCCAGTGCTGAATCTTCTTAGCTCTAGCTCAACCTAGAGTAGTCCAATGACTAAAAGTGAATTGAATGATTCAATTGAATATTATATAGACTAGAAAGTCTATCAGACTGAAGTGGAAATAGTGAAGTATCTGCATGGTCTAGGAGTGCGAACAAAAACAGATCCTTTGATAAAAGAATAATAATATTGGAAAGAAAGAAAACAGAAGAGTTAATTACTGCTTGAGACAATTATCAACTCCTAAGAGAGAGTGATACTAAATTCAAGTGTAGGTCGACTGATGAGAAAGAATGTAACATATATTCCTAGGAATTCAAACAATCCCTATTTTTTACTGGATTAATTATGATTCTCCTTTTTATCAAATAACAAAACAATATCTCTATATATTTGAANATCATACTTTTATAATTGATAATTAAAAATTGTGTCTTATAAAAAACAAAAGATAGATTTAGTTTAATTATTATTTACTAAATAATATAGTTGTATGATAACTAAAATAGTTTTAGAATATAAATTAATGAAATTTATAGGATCTTCTTTATGTGAATTTCAATTAAATTTTTAATTGAATACAAATTGCTTTAATAGTTTTAATTTAATTAGCAAAATAATGATATTTCAAAGAATATTAAATATTTCGAAAATATAAATATATAAAAAATTAAAGAAAAAACAATAATATGTCATTGAATATATTGAATAAGATCAGTAAATTGAAATTATTGATTGAATAATTTATAGAATTATGTTGTTAAAAAATTCAATAGAGTTTGTTCTAATTGTTTATGAATTTTTAATAATTGATTATAATATTCTAAATTTAATAAAATCAACACTTATTATCTCAACTGTTAATTATTAATTCTTATAAAGAGGATATATTAATTCAACAAAATTAAGAATATGCAGCAATGAAATTGAATTTTAAGATTCAGATTATTAATAGTTTGAATTATGAATTATTTTATTAATGATATAATTCAATCCAGATTCAAAATAAGAAGAGATTCTCAGTGAATAATAAGAATCATCAATTCACATATATATGCTAAATTAAGAAAAGAAGAAAAAAATTATATTTTTAATTAAAAATACTCTGGTATATAAAGATTTCATGAAGCCAACTTATGATTATTCAAATCCAGTGCTGAATCTTCTTAGCTCTAGCTCAACCTAGAGTAGTCCAATGACTAAAAGTGAATTGAATGATTCAATTGAATATTATATAGACTAGAAAGTCTATCAGACTGAAGTGGAAATAGTGAAGTATCTGCATGGTCTAGGAGTGCGAACAAAAACAGATCCTTTGATAAAAGAATAATAATATTGGAAAGAAAGAAAACAGAAGAGTTAATTACTGCTTGAGACAATTATCAACTCCTAAGAGAGAGTGATACTAAATTCAAGTGTAGGTCGACTGATGAGAAAGAATGTAACATATATTCCTAGGAATTCAAACAATCCCTATTTTTTACTGGATTAATTATGATTCTCCTTTTTATCAAATAACAAAACAATATCTCTATATATTTGAATTCAATTAACCATAATTAATTAGTTATTCATTAATAAACAAAGTAGCCTGATGTCTTTCTCTCAATAGATTCAAACTCTATAGATTATTTATATTCGAATCTGAAAAGATCAGGGAATTCTTTTTCAATAATATCCTTTGTTTCTTGAGATACTTACACAAATCCTTTGGCTCCTTTGGATTCCATCTTATTTGCAATCAATACATCAGGTCCATAGATATCATACCTTACTAACTCTGTTCCAAGAACACCCCCAATTATAGAACCCTAATATAAAATGTAAATTTGAATAAACATACAGTGTGAACTCCAATTCTCATGTCTAAAGTAGGATGATTAATATGAGCTCTTACTCTTCTTATGGCATCAATCATTGCAAATCCCATTCGTACTACATTGACTGCTTCTTATGATGGATTTCTTTAGATTCCTTTGCCATAATCAACCATTCCCATAACAACATAACAATCTCCAATGGTATATAATTTGAAAACATTATGTAAAAGACAATTTTTATCAAATTCAGTAAATAGATTTCTCAACATATTAACTACTTATTCAGGTTGTACACTACTTGAATACTCTGTAAAACCAGCAATATCAGCAAATAATAAAGTTACTTCATCAGCCTATTCTCTTAATACACGTTTTTCTTCATTTGGTCTAAAAAACTCTTCAAGAACCTAATAAAAATAAATAAAATTATACATTTTTAGGTAATAAATAATTCAATAAAAATTAGTATTTGATTGATTTTTCAATTAATTATTTGTTGACATTATATGAATTGACATTCTTCAAAAACATGAATAATTAAATACAAAAAGCAAATATAGAAATAATAGCACAATAATAGAATCTACTCCATGGCCAATCATTTACTATAATAGCAGCTATTGTCACTCCTAAAAATAGAACTAAATAAACTAATTTATGTTAATGTCTAAGAACTCTATTAAGTAAAACACTAAGACAATATATGATTCCTTTAGCTATTTAAATTTCATAATGATCAGTAATTAAAAAACAATCCAAAGCATAACTACCAAGTAATAAATAAGCTAATATTGAAAAGTATATAACATTATAAAAAGATTCATATTTATGTATTAAAGTGCATAATAATAAATGTAATAGTCCAACAAATACTCCTGTTATTAAATTGGCTAAAAATATCTATTCATTCAAGCTCACACAAGACACTGAACTTATTAAAACACATGAACCTATTGTTAATAAATATTAAACTGCAAATGGTCTATATAATGAAGATAAAAATTCATAAAATTCTAGTGTTACAGTGGCATCTTCATTAAATTCTAAATATAATTTCTTTGGATTAAGAGTCAATAATAAAGTTTGACCTTGAGCATCTTCATCAACACTATAAAGAGCCCTAATTTTATCCTTTTCAACATGGTATTCCATATTTAATTGATAATCAGAAACATTTAATTCACATCTTGTCTTCTTTTCTAATAATTATATTAGATCTTAATGTTTTTAGTGTCTATCATCAAATCCTTAAGATTAAATTCCACCAACTATAGATTAAGAAGCATAATTTTTAGATGATCCAACACCTTAATTTAATGCAAATTATGCTATAGATTATTAAAATACCATTTATTATTAAATTGATTTATTTGGACTATCAATAATTATTTACTTTTATGTTTTTGTAACATAATTGTAAATCTCACTTTTTTGTTTTTTATTAAGAATTAATGGTTATGGATCTTCATTCCTAGTAATTAAAGGTTGTGCATCTTTAATAGAACCAATTCCAAATTCTGATAATAAATTTGAATTAACTTAATCTAAATTTTAATATTCTTTTGGATCTCTAAATGGTTATTTTGGAGGTCTTTAAATCATTATTGTTTATTTTCTTTATTTACCTCCTCTCTTAGTATTAACAACATAAGTAATCAATTTTCCCTTGCCCTTTGCAAACACATCTCTCTAAACATAAACTAATTCAAATTTATTAGTCTATCTATATGCTTATTCAGAAATAGCTATATCCCATGGTTCAGCAGTTGAACAAATTCTACTTGCTGTATTGATGGTATCACCTATCAAACTGAATTATGGTTTATGATGACCTATGACTCCAGCAATAACATTTCCATAATGAATACCAATTTTAATTTAAAAAACTTCATTTGACATTACATGTCTTTTCATATCTAATGCCAAAGAGATCACTTTATTAACAGGATTAGATTTCTAACTAACATGAATTTTGAGTCCTGCAGCAGCCATATATGTTTTACCCACAGTCTCAATTTTTTAGACTTCATATTGTTAACAAAGTAAATCAAATCTTCTAAATAACTTATCTAAAATATCAACTACATTAGATTGTTCATTCTTTATTAATTGATCAAAATCAATGATGTCACAAAATAGTACAGCTACCATACCTTAATCTTCCTAAATATCATATTAACCTGCTTTATTGATACGATCCCTTATAAATTAAGGAAGAAGTATAGATAAGATATCACCCATTATTTGGTTCTCCTTATTCATATTAATTCTGCCTAAAAAGACCTCTAAAAATATGTGAATAATTCTTCTAAATGTTACAACCAATAAAAACAAAGTTGCAATACTCATTACATATTGATTGATGAGAATATATATGTCATCCTCATCAGATTTCTTAATTAAATAAATTATCACATAAATAGCAGAAAATACTTAACTAATCAGTGGCTATTCTTAATAATGATATATATTGACTGATAAACTTAATTATAACATATTTAGATTCATTTATCCTACAGATTAATCTTAATTAAATAACCAAATAACAATAGATGAACATCGAATAAATAAAATAATGAAATTTACTTCAAAGAAATATACTTTATAATAGCGAGACCAACTAAATAACATTAATAATAATAGTACTCCAAACATTGAAATATAAAAGTAATCAGTCCAATAAATTAATGAAAAATTATCAAATGTTAATAATACAATTGTATAAATAGCTATTTCATAGAATAAAAATGTAATTGCAACTATTATTCTATAAGTTCTTACTATATATATAAGAGTATCTTCTGTAAACTTATTTTGTACCAATTACGATTTGAATCTCAACGTTATTGAATTAATAGAATTTTCTGTTTCATCAGCAAATGCTCCACTCAACATCTACTTTATAATTGGATCCATATCTTCATCTCCATTAAAGAGTTTCCTTGCAAAATAAGAGATTTTCTCTATTGTTGCTCTATGTAATTTTATTTATCTGGCCACATCACCTGAAATTTTATTATATATTTTAACTATCTCATCATACTCATTACTAGTTTATATGAGTAATGGCATAAAGAAAGGTCTATTTACATAATTGAGTACCAAATTAGCAATAGTATGAATAGCTACTATAAATATAAATGAAAATAGAGTTTAAATTGATGCTGCCCATTGATATATAATCGAAATTGAATCAAATTAAAGAGAAATTAAAGTATACAATCCAAAGGTTAATCCTATATTAAAAATCAACTATTTCTAAGTAATATAGTTTCTTTATACTAATTTTGAAGCATCCACAATCAATAATAATAAAAATAAGCCTGATCCTAATTCATTAGAGGATATAATGATTCCATTATTAGTTGATAGATCTGTATATTCTGTGTATAGATTTATCAATAAGGCTTGAATTAATGGAAATAATGTAATTCTTGTTATGTATTTACCAAATTTATTATTATTTAATTCTAATTAGTTATTTTTAAATACAAAATACAAGAAATCACTATGATTACAATTTTCAACCTTTTCACTTATCTCACTTATAATAAATGTGCTTGATAATAAAAAGAATATATTAGAATGAAATTTAAGATAATCTTTAGATATCACATCAACTTACTTTCTAATCAATTATGTCACACAAACCAAATATATTATAGCGAAACTTCTAAATAATGCAAATATTAGAATTCTCTCAAAATATAAAGCCGATCTTCTAGAATCTAATGCTATCATTCTATGTATTAATTCAAAATCCTTTATATAGATATCACTATTATATAAAGGTTCTATAAAGCCATGATCCTATTTATGTTAACAGAATTATGATTCTTAATCCAAATATTTTATTGAGACTCTTCCATGTTGTAGATCTTCAAAATTATTTTTATCATGTGGGAATATTTATCTTTAAGATTACATCTAAAAAGTAAAATCTGAATGATTAAATAAATTCATATCACTAAAACTATCTCCTATGGACAATATAAATTTATAATTTAACTTTCTATCTCTTAATAATTTTATTAAAATAGACTTTTATTATGGAGTCATCCTATATCCAATAAAATTTGATGTAAATTATAATAGAAATTAAAAATGTTTCTTCAAATAAGCATCTCTTAATATCTATTCTAAAGATTCTCCATTTATAATAATTTGAAATTATCTAATATGTAAATTCTTTTATCCACCTGAAATCCATCTAGGACTACAAGTAAATGAACCTTTTTTATGAATCAAAGTATCTGAATGTCTTAATTCTTTCTTATTTGAATGTGATCTCAATTACCCACTCAAACTTTATAACTATTATTTTAATTATAGAAATAATTCATCTTAAGTTTTTGCTTATATATGAACAACTGTATCATTTGAATTAAGCAATTAAACTCTATATGCTATTGGCAATACTTTCTCATAGTTGTCTCCACTAACTAGCCAACATGGTATACCTAATTATTTAATCCCATTTAATGTAGGTGTTACATGTTTATTGATTTTTTCTTAAACTCCAATAACAGTTACAAGATCGCAATTCTTTTCAAATTCATGCATTAAAAATTAATATTCATTCATAAATTCAATTTTATTTGATTGAATATCTAATAATTTATTAGCTTCTTTTATAAAGGTTTACATTTGTAATTCAGTCATTAAACTTCTATAAAATAAAACAGGTCTGCTACCTTAGACTTATATATCTTTAATCATTAAATCTAGTTTAGCCACTTAATCCTTTTCTAAAGATAAACAACCTATCATATCTAAACTATCATCTCTTAAATATTATAAATATTAAGAATCATCATTTTCTAGACCTAACTTTTTACATAATTCTTCTTGTAATCTAATTATAATACTGAATTTTCTGGAATTAAACGAATGTAAAGCCATAACATCAATTAAGTGAATATCTTCTCCATCTTAAATCACATATCTGATTTAATTTTCACATTTACTTCTACAAATAAATTTATAACCATAATTTTTGCATAAATGTAATTATTATTTATCTAATTCTGAACTATATTCATAAAAGATTGAGTCATCACTTTTCTAATATAATGATCTAGTATTCTAACATAACACTAAAGCAAACATAGCTTCAAAATAATGAGGTTTAAATTCATCATCTTAAATTCTTCTAATCAAAGTGATTTCATTACCAGAAAATTCAACTTCTGAAACTATTTCTAAATTTGATGGAATTCTTGGAGCATGAAACTTTTAACTACCTCTTTAATAAGTTAATTATCTTTTGCTTTCATGTAAACTGTTAACTATAAGACTGCTACCTCTCTGTTATGATTATTTTTATATTTATGCTCCTTCAGCACTTTAATCAAATTGACTACTTACTTAAGATTCTGGTCTGAATCTTGGAGGTTAAGTACGATGTAATTCATCATATGGAGGATGATCATCATCTAAATCTTCCAATTTGAAATTCACTTCCTCATTATTACATTTTATCATTGGAGTAGATTCAGGTTCTATTCTTTCATCAATTGGTATATTTAATTCTTATCTCATTTTTGTTTATTTAATGGCATTTTAAAATTCCTTTTCTGCAAATGATCTGTATCTTAATTTATAGAGGGAATCAAAGATGAATATCCATTTGATCTTAAAATTAGGTGTTGTTAAAGTTCCAGTTTTATCAATTAATACATGATTAATCAAAGATAAATTAGAAATTGGAGAATAATTTACTTGCAAATGTCTTAATTTAGTATGTCCATTATCTAATAAAGGATTAGCATCTTAGACTGAATTTTTTGTGTTTCCCTTTTCTTTTTGGAATAAGTAATTATAGTATAACATTTAAGTAAAATAAAGTAGGTCAATTAAAAAATAAAAATAAAGAGGTAATAAATTAGAATAGTTGATTAATTAAAATTCTATAATGTATTCATGTTCACCATAATATTCAATAATATATTAAATTACACTAAGCAATATTAAAGAGAGTATGGCTATAAAGAAGTACAAATTTGCTTTTTATTCAAAATAACCATATTTTTCAATTTGTTTAAATGATTTATAGCATCTACAATCTAGTCCAACTGAGAGTATAACTCCAAACATATATAAATCATTTAAAAGTAATTATTCTCTGAAGAAGATATTTTCTTTATTTATTTCTAAAGGTTTAGGATCCTTCTTCAATTTTACCATACCTTTATAATATTGATCAGAATCAGTCTAATCATATCTAATAACACCATTTAAAATAGTACGATAATCTAGTAATTAAATGTTATGTTCTTTGGAAATAGTAGTTAAAGGACATGCTCGTTTTCTAACTTCATTAGTATTACCACTCATAACAGTATTACTAGCCATGCTAGCAGATTAACCCATATCCAAAATTAAAACATCAGCTGGACATATTTCATTATTTTTTAAATATATAATATCACCAACTTGAAGTTAATCCCATCTCTTCATAGAAAATAATGGAATTCTAGTTTATTTATCCTATTTATATGTGACTGTATCTATACTTACCTTTCTCATACATATATCTTTTTAATAATTGTTATTATTAACCAAGTTTTCATGTTCAACTATATTTTAATTTAGTGATTTTCTTCCTCCTTATATTATTAATTTAGATGAAGTTGTATTTAATACACTTTTTTTTAAATCTGCAAATACTGTTGCTTAACGAGAGTTTGTTTTTTCATCACGCTCTCGTTTTTAAGTGTCAAAGTATAATTCAATTATAGTATGTATAGTAAATGTTAACAAGAGTGAAATTAAATAATTATAGTCTAATTATATCATGTTGATGACAAATAAGTACAAATTGAGAAATCGCTTAAAAAATTTAATTATCAACACATATAAGCAATTTGTTAATGTATATCTACTTGTCTTTACTAAATTAAATTAATTTTCATTTCCTCTAACATTTACACTCTCTCCATTTTCCAAAACAATCTAATGGTATATATTTCATACCTTCTTTGAATACTATTAATTTTCATGTAAATGATCATTATTAGTCTAAGGAACTTCTGATTTGAATATTTAAGACAATCTTCTCAAAAGACCCATTATAATAAAATTAATAAATTCATTTCATATGAATAGTCCTCAATCTTTCTTTAAATTATTTATCAATCTGACTTTTCTCTTATTCTAATTATAATAATTGCTATTATTCCTTCTCTCTCAATTAATTCTTCCATTAACTTTGCTCAATCTCTAATTAGTCCTTTTAATTTAATCAAAAATTCATACTTATTTTATCTAAAGCTATCTTATAGACCTTTAGAATCTCCCATCTAATTCCTTAGCTAATCCAACAAGTTCTTCAATTGGTACTGTCATTTACTTAGATGATTATAAACTTGAATTCTCCTACTATTGAAATTTCAGAATATCATCCAACTTAGATGATACATATTCAACATCTAAATTTGATCTCAATCTCTACATTACTAATTTTAAGCTTGTTTTAACTGTTCATCGATTTCCTCTTATTATTTTGTGATCTACTCTATATATAACTTTTCCATTATATAAATAATTATATATATTCATAATTTAATCCAAATGTCCACTTATTCTAAAACACGAGATAGTTTAACTATTAAATTTGCAATGCTTTGAGTATCTTTTCTTTCAAAATAAGGATCTATATTTTGAGTCTGTTTATAATTTGGTACTGCTTTGTTTAATTCCAAAAATTAATAATTTACCAATTATCTATTAGGACTTAAATGATTCAACATCACTGGTAATTGATGTGTATTTCGAGTCTTGATTTTATTTTCTAATTGATGTAAACTCCTATGTTGAAATATTAAATTCTTTCTAATAGGATAATTAATAAGACTTTGTCTTTATCCATTCTAAACCAATTGATCCATTTTTTTAATTGCAACTTTATTTGGTAAAGAATCATCATCATTAAATACTAATTCAAATCCTTCTGCATCACTAGAAACATTAATTTCATGATATTCTACCAATCCATAATTCTTTTTGCCCTTTCCAATTGATCCTTATTCCAATTTACGTATGCCCAATACTCTCAAAGATGAATGAGGTAACTTAAATTATTTTATTTGGATATATTACTAAAATGGCTCCATTTACCATTCTCTCATGAAATGTTGTGGCCTTGTCTACATCTCCCTCTTAAAAATAGTACTTCCCTAAATATTCATAAGCTTTCAATTCATGATTCTTTTTATTTAATTTCCAACTACACATCAAATATTTAGTAAAATATATTTTTGATTATCGATTCCTTAATTTAAAAAAACAGATTCCTAAAAGTTTGTAAGCCAATAATTTATATTTTAATAAATGTTCATTATCAGACATTCTCTTTACTATTTTGGTTAATATTATGCTAAAGTAGAGCAATTTATAACTGCATACAATTTTAGCTAATTTAAGGTGTATGAATATTTTTAAGTCTATAATTACTTGTGATCATACCTGGAATCTTAGATTTCAATACTTAATTGCTTATTTCATTGATTATTTTTATTGCCTAATCTCTATCCTTCCTTTCTAAAAATAATTAATTTAATTATATTAGAGTATTCTGAATGATAACTCTATTTTATTATAACATCTCAGTACTTATATAATCATATAAACACTTACATCAATTATTATTACTTTTCAGGTATCCTTATTTCCTCCTTAATTTTATCTATTTCCTCTTAAAATGCTAATTTTATATTTGATATCATCAAAGCTTCTTTTATACCATTCTTTCCCTTAAAAGTAGATCTACAAGTCAAATCACCTTTAAATCGTGTATCATTTGTAGATTACAATTAATCTTAACTTGCCTCTGTTTGCAAATGTCCAGAATGTTTTGGTAAACGTAATTAAATTCTTGATTTCACTTTCATATTTTGATAAAATAATATATTAAGTTATATAAACTGATCAACAACATTACTAACATAAGATTAATAAATACTGAATTATTTTGGTAAATCATATACCAAATAATTAATATAAATGGAGGAACATAAATCTAGAAAAGATTACTAATATAATAGTAAATATAATAATATCATATAGTAGTATTAATAGAACATCAAGTTAATTTATAAGTATCATTATATTACTATTAATATCAAATATATTAATTGTGAATAGTAGTTCTCAATTAATCAAAAATATTATACCATTATTAAGGGTTAATAATATAATCATTATGGACTAATAAATAATAAATGAAAACGATAAAGCAAATCTCACATATCTATTAAATTAAATTCTTAACACATTATTAACAAATAAAAAAATGATACAAATTTTAATTATCTAATTATTTTAGAGAGGTTGAATTTGTTTTAATAGAAATTTGCAAGATAAATTCAATACAGAGTTTCAAAAAGTCAATACTCATTTTTAATATTGGAATAGACATTGAATTAAAATCTTAAAGATTGTTATTGAGGAATAGATAAACATATTTAGAGATTTTTAAAGATTTTATGTAGTAGACTATTATCAAGTTTATTCAGTTGTAGGTAGTACTTAGGATGTTTGATCTGTAGGTATTAGAGGTACTCACTTCCTTATGTTTATATTCAAACATGAATATGTCTTAGATTTTGTAGAGTTACCAAATTACAGATAAATTCTATTTAATATTTGATGTGGATATAAAAATTTCATAAATAAATAATAATGCTTAATTAGTTGAAAAATATTCCCAGAATTGAAGATTGAGAAAATTTAGAAATTGGAGTTATCATTAATTAACAGCTTCATATATTTACTATGCTGACTATGTTTAGTTTTTGTGAATATTTGAAGTTTAGTAATAAAGAAATGATATAAATTCAATCTAATTCGACAGAGTATTTTATAATAAATAATCAATAGAAAAATTGTGGGTATGCTTCAATTACTGGATGGTATTTCATTAAGAAAGCAGAAATGAATTTCAGAGAGTTGTTTAATTTGATAATCCTAAAGATATATACAATGAGTGTGTATATCAAATAGAACTATCTATAAAATAAATAGGAGCCAATAATTCAATCAAATTATCGAGCATAACTAATTGAAACTATTAATTAAATATATATATTAATTTTACAAATGAATTAATCTGTAGGTGAAAATTAACAATCTTAGCCATCCATCAATTATGGGAATGTGAAGTATTCATTCAAATGTTTACGTCGACATCTTTTTAAGGATAAAGTTTATCATGTTCATGCACTTTAGAATATGATTACCATAGGAGAGGTATACCAATAATTAAAAGTAGCATTTCAATGACCCTAATCCAAAGTATAAATTGGAATTGAATCTCAAGAATACTGTTTTTTGGAAATAAGAGAATGGACAGAATAAAGCCTTTGGAATTAGATATAAGTAAGTAATTATTTTTAAACTAATATTTTCAAAGAAAGAATGTGAAGTATTTTGAGGCTTCTTCTGAACAATTAACAAAATTTCGTTAGGCTATTAGCTGTTTAATTGGGTTCCACTCACTTGATGAACATTATAAATTAGAAAAAGTGATTGGACAAGGTTCATTTTCTAAAGTACATAAAGTTTATAGGATGCATGATGATAAGGCATTTGCAATGAAGCAAGTTTCCAGTAAGTAAAAGAATGATAAAGAGAATATGGTATATATTTTATTTAATTGAATTCAGTAATTATTAGAAAACGAAATTGGAATTTTACATTCTTTAAACAATGAATCTATTCTTAAAATATATGAAGTTTTTAGAATAGAAGAACATTAGTATGGAATTATTGTTGAATTTATTGATGGAATTTGTTTAGCAACTCTTATTGAACAACTCAAAAAACATCAAAATAAACTTAAAGAATATGATATCAAAATTATGTTGTAGGCAATTCTTAAAGCTTTGGTTATTATTCATTAAGAACAAGTTATTCATAGAGATATTAAACCATAAAATATTATGATCTCTTAATCATCTTTTAGAAATGTTAAAATTATTGATTTTGGATTGAGCATTAAAAATTAATTGTAATATAACAGATGTGGAACACCTGGTTATATGGCTCCAGAAATTGTTAATATGAAAAAAGATTAACAAAAAGCTTGGACATCTCTTTGTGATATCTTTAGTCTAGGAGTTGTGTTTTTCAAATTGTACAATATTCCCATCCAATTAGATTATCCAAAGGCATCAGTTGTTTTTAAGGACAAACTTCTGATCAAGTCTTAGCAAACAATAAAAAATGCTAAATAGACTGGTCTATTGTTCAATAATATAATTATTCCAAAAATTGCATCGTAAAACAAACGATAATAAATTTAAGTCTTTATTGAAGGCAATGTTAGCCAAAGATCCTGATGAGAGGATAACTGCTTACCAAGCACTTTAGCATCCCTTTTTTGCTGACTTGCCCCCAGTATTATCAACTGATTTTGCAGGCAATTCTATGACATTTAAATCAAAATGCATAATGAATCAAACTATTGACAAACCAAATCTCGAATCCATAAATAGCCTGAATGATCTCTCGGGCCTTTAAAAATAGTAAATTTATGTCAGGGATTTAAGACCATCAATAATTAGCAGAAGAGTGTGATATTATAATTTTTGTATTTCATTTTTTTAATTATTTTATTTTCAAAACAATAAATTATAATGTATGTAACCATAAAGAAATTTTCATATCTATCTATATTTAAAAACAATAAATAATGCAAACCAGTCTAATTTATTGAAATTTTTTTAACAATCAAAATTTAACACATAGACTATCATTTAAGTTTTCTCAATATTAAATTGAACAAATTATTCATAAATTTCGCTCATATTATGCAATTTTAATATGAAAACCTAAAAATACAAAATGATTTTTTAATTTTATTGAGCAAAACAATTGAATAACCTTAAAAGGGTTATTGGAAAATTATAGAAACATAAAAAAGGACTTTTTTAATTAATTTCCTAATCGATCTTTCAAGAAGATGATGGAATAGGTAAATTGCTTTAGGCTAACGGTAACGACAACCATGGTGGATTGTAAAATTGATTTAAAATGGATAAGAGATATATGAAATGGAATCAATAAAGACTCTTATGTTGAAGAATGGTGATTATAGATAATTTGGATGATTACAGAGTTTATTTTAAATGAAGAGAGTTTATTTTTAGTGCATGGAGATAAATATAATAATTTAAACACTAAGAAGGAATTGAATTTTAAAAAATTCAAGCTATTTATAAGAGTTAGTATGTGAATGTAAAATCAGACTGATTGGTATAGGTGGAATTCAAATAATTATTACAATGGTATTTTTTTATATTGATTCAGACAGAATTTTGGTTCAAAGTTAGTAATGCTACTCCTATTGATATTATGATGGGTAATTTATGAATGATAAACCATGAGGGATTATGAGATTTATAAATGGGCTAAGAGAAGTAAATACGAAGGGAATTTAAAGATGATTTCAGACAAGGGTAGTATGTATTTATTTGAATGATGAGTCATTTTAGTTTGGGAATAAAATATTTTCAAAAGTTGGAATTTTTGAGAAAGATTAATTGATTAATTAAGTATAAAATCGAGTTTTTATAGATCAAGCATTTAGAAATTTGAGAAAAAATAAGATCATGTCTATATTTATAATTAAATTAAATTAGCATTAATAGCTAATAGCTAATATTAATTATTAAATAGAAGACAACTAACATTGAAAAAAATAATTGATTGATTGAAATTTTTCAAGGTTTTCAAAAATTATATGATTTCTACTTAATTTTTTTAGATTAATCGATAAAATTATCTAAAAATTCTGAAATTCTTATTTAATTCTTAATCTTAAATTTAATTATAAGATAATATAAGCTTGATTAAATCATGATTAATTATTTTAAATTACTGATATATAAATCATCCTATTAAAAAATGCTTTGTTCCTATTAAACATCCACATTCTGGACAATAATGCTATACATCTTTGAACATTTTTAGAAAGTAAACAAGAATTGCCAAAGGTATTGTAATAATAAATACAACAAACAAAAGTATTAGTAAATATGCACCTTTTCCATTTTTGTATTGTAATTTTGAATTAGATACTTTTTAGCAGTTTACACATTATAATTTTTGAGATTCTCTACTCTATGGAACTTTAGGATATGAAATATCAGTTTGACTAATAAGAGGTATTTCTCCATTATGTGATATTAAAACTTATTTAGTTGTTTAACATTATTCAGTTCTTAATTCTGTACTTTTATTATCAACTTGATATTTCATATAATATTTATATAATTATATATATTTAATCATCTTTTATATTTATTTGTTTCCTATCTTTTCAACTATTAAAATTCTTATTAGAATTCTTATTGTATCTTTTACAATTAGGAATCTGTTTTTCTAAATTATCCTGTTTATTGCATTTCTTTGAAGGTCTCCTAAGTAGAAAATGCTTTGTCAGTGGTTTTAGTAGATTAAATACTTTGAAGTACTTTAGGAGTGGCTTTGACAGGATTCAATTTTTGAGGCTAAGATTAAGGTTTAGTTTATTGTCTTTATTATTATTATTATTATTATTATTGATTATTTAATTATTATAATTATTATCTTTCTTATTGGAGATTTTACATTTACTATTTAACTTTCTAAGTTAGTGCAGTATTGATTTATTTAATAATTTTCTTAGGTGGATTAATAATTTAATTTTATTCTTGTTATTATTATTATTATTATTATTATTATTATTATTATTATTATTATTATTATTATTATTATTATTATTATTATTATTATTATTTAACTTTATTTAAATCGAAACCCCCTCCTGTTAATAAATCTTTCTTTAATTATCTTTCTTCCTCTTTTTATCTTTTTTCTTCCTACATTTTTAATTAATATGATTATAATTTTTCATCAGCTCTTTTTTCTATATTAATAAAATATAATTTTACTTGTCTCTTATTATCTCTACAATAATTCTTATTATTATTCATTCAATAATCTCTATCTCTCCTCCTCTTCCTATTATTTTTTCAATAACAAAGCTTGTTTCCTTTATAATTCTGCTTATTATTGTTATTTTTTTAATTCTTCTGCTTAAATCAATTCCTCTTATCTACTTCCTGCCAATAAATTGATAGTTAAAGGACAATCAATGAGTAATTATTCATTCAAATATAAATAAACTTAATAATTCCCTGGTTTATTTATTTATATAACTAGCTTATGTTTAGATGGTTCTTCAAGCTCCTTAATCTCAGCTTTATAACCATCATTCATCAAATTAAGATAAATCTTATTTTCTTATTATGACTAGATCTTACTCATTGAAACAACTTGACATTTATGTAATAACTATTCAGGAGTGATTTCAGAATCATCAGTAACAAAAATATTATATCTGATTGGGTGAGTTTATTTGATTCCATAAGGTCCATATTTATCTCCTAAATTGATAATAAGATTAATATCTGAAAAGGTTTCGAATTCTTCTTGATCCTCATCTTCTAATTCCAATTTACACCATTCTCCTTATAAAGCAGTTGATTCACAAAGTCTAATTCCTCTACAAAGATGAAGTTGTCTTACAGGAGCAGAGAAAAATAACTTAGATTTTGGTTCTTTGTCAATATCCCATTTAAATATCTTTCCTTGCAAATTCAAAGCATATATTACCCCTTCATATGTACAAGCTTATATGATTTGAACATCTTCATCAATTTATAATGTTTTTGGGTAATCAATAACTTTTTCTTTGCTAACTTAACCACAATATAAGACTTCACCATCAGAAGTAACAAAAATACTAGCATTTTCATTAGCATTAATATAAAAGCATTCTTCCTCTTATATTTATGAATATTATTAATGATTATTAACTCCTAATTGATGAAATTTATTTTATCCTATTCCCCATACTTCACCTTATGAATTGAGTGATAATAAATGATTGTCTCCACCTGCAATTTAATCAAGATTATCTGCTAATTTTGTTAATTTTGGATATTTAATATTGTCATCTAATTCACCCATAATAAATAATGATTTTTTAGCAAGAATAGCTCCGAATTTGAAACCCAAAATTATCTATTAAATATCAGTAATTGGATCTATTTTAAATATGTGTTTAGCTCCCCATTGATAAATTCGACCTTCAGAATCCCATGCAATTGATGTGCTTTTATATGCTTGAACTCCAATAATTTTTTTATTGCTTAATTAACTAATATTGTATGGAATACTAATAAAATTTCCATCTTATTCATTCATTGTAACTTAACCTAAGAAATTCTCTCCCCAGCCAAATACTTCATTACCATTATTACATTTTTCACCCTTACATTAACTGACATAATAGGGATTGATACATGAACATCCACTAATTAAAACTAATACATGATGTTCTCCACATCCAATCGAGAGTATTTTTCTATTTTTAAATATCTATAATTAATTTAATTCACTACATTAAGTTAAGTCTCCTTAACCCAAACAACCAGTTGAACTATTACCTTATACACCTAAAAGAGATATAACTTTTTTATTATCTCTCTAGATCTTAAATATATTATTTTAATATATGTCATCTATTTGTTTATAAATTTACTCTGGAGTGAGATCATAAATACCAAGATTAAATGATGGCATTAATTTAACTGTTTCAGCATAGCTTTTTAATCTCAATGCTTACATACATCCATTATATGTTTCATTTGTCTCTAATTATGCCTTACATAATGATAACAACACCTTCACTTTGTCTAATGTTGCTAATTCCTTTTCTAATAATTCAAAACATTCAGTCTTCGCTTCCTCATACATTCTATTTTTAATCAAGAAATCGCTTCTCTAAATCTTATACTATAATTATTGCTAAGGTGTGGCTTCTTTATGATTACTTAATGCTTTTAAGATGGTGCAAATTTGACCTATATTTTCACATTTATTGAATTCTTTTTATAATTCCTTGAATGTTGCCTAATCAATACTATGTACATAAGTGATGGCCTTCACTTATTTAGTAGTTTGTTTCTTGAATCCCATCTCTTCTTCTGTAATGTCAACTTCCCTTAGCATACACACTATGTACATCCTCTCTCTCTTAACAATTTCTATGCAAATTCTTAGGCAAACTTAGTGGATTCTGGATCTTAGATGTTTGTTCGAACTTAAGACTTCTTTGCCTTCCTATTGAATTTTCGATAATCTTCATCAGATGAGCTATCTGACATTTTAAATATGTATATATATATTATAATAAATCATTCCTTTTTGATTTTCGGTAATTGTAGTCTCTGTGTTACTTGTTCCACTACTGCGCTCTATCTAAAATACTCTAACACTGCTACTTGAGCTAACGCTCTTGCTCCTTTGCTGGTTTCACCAACTAGCTTCTTCTTAAAAAATCATTCTCTCTAATTGCCTCAGGAGATGGGTCATAATGCCTTAATCTCCCTAAAAAATTTAACTTTGGCTGATAGCTATAGAAACCCCCCTAAGACTCGCTTTTTTTTCTAAACATTTCCAATACCTAATGTATGAATCTCGACCTGTCCCATCTGTATGATAAAGCTTAAATTTGCTATTAATTATTGGCAATGAGTTTTGCTTAGACAATTAGTAAAAGGACTCTTCTGTATGTAATGAGTCTGATTTATAGAATCCACCATTTCCATAATTGATATATGTATCTCTTCCAGAACCATTTACTTTGTAATTGACAACTTTCGTCATTAATTATTTTATATTTTCAGTTTCATATGATAATTTATCATCAATTATTATTTTTCATAATTTAATAAGTGATTTTCTTTTATAAAATATATTAAGGGGTAGGTAAATTAATTAAAAAAAAGATATTATGAGATGACCCATTTTAAGCTAAGTGGAAATTCAAAATTCAAACATTAAATAAAACAAAATCCTTTTTCGTAACCGTCACAATGAGAGAAATAGTACATATTCAAGGAGGACAATGTGGTAACCAAATTGGTGCCAAATTCTGGGAAGTCATTTCAGATGAACACGGTATTGACCCAACAGGAACATATCACGGAGATTCAGATCTTCAATTAGAAAGAATCAACGTCTATTACAATGAAGCCACAGGAGGTAGATATGTCCCAAGAGCTATCCTTATGGATTTAGAACCAGGTATTCTAATTTTTTAACCTCTTCATAGGAACTATGGACTCAGTCAGAGCTGGACCATTTGGACAACTCTTCAGACCAGACAACTTTGTCTTTGGTTAAACAGGAGCAGGTAACAACTGGGCCAAGGGTCACTATACTGAAGGTGCAGAATTGATTGACTCAGTTTTGGATGTAGTTAGAAAGGAAGCTGAAGGATGTGATTGCTTATAAGGATTCTAAATTACTCACTCATTGGGAGGAGGTACTGGATCAGGAATGGGAACATTGTTGATCTCAAAAGTCAGAGAAGAATATCCTGACAGAATTATGGAAACCTTCTCAGTCGTCCCATCACCAAAAGTGTCTGACACAGTCGTTGAACCATACAATGCTACTTTATCAGTTCACCAATTGGTTGAAAATGCTGATGAATGCATGGTTATTGATAATGAAGCCTTATACGATATTTGTTTCAGAACATTGAAATTGACAACACCAACCTATGGTGATTTGAATCACTTGGTTTCAGCTGCTATGTCAGGAGTTACATGCTGTCTTAGATTCCCAGGTCAATTAAACTCTGACTTGAGAAAATTGGCAGTCAACTTGATTCCATTCCCAAGACTCCACTTCTTTATGATTGGATTTGCTCCACTCACATCAAGAGGATCATAATAATACAGGGCTCTTACAGTTCCAGAATTGACATAATAAATGTTCGATGCTAAGAACATGATGTGTGCTGCTGATCCAAGACATGGAAGATATTTGACAGCCTCAGCTCTCTTCAGAGGAAGAATGTCAACAAAAGAAGTCGATGAATAAATGCTTAATGTTTAAAATAAGAACTCATCTTACTTTGTTGAATGGATTCCCAACAACATCAAATCATCCATCTGTGATATTCCACCAAAGGGATTGAAGATGGCAGTTACATTTGTTGGAAACTCAACAGCTATCTAAGAAATGTTCAAGAGAGTTGCTGAATAATTCACTGCTATGTTTAGAAGAAAGGCCTTCTTACATTGGTACACTGGTGAAGGTATTTAATAATTTATATTCTAATCTAGGTATGGACGAAATGGAATTCACTGAAGCTGAATCCAACATGAATGATTTAGTCTCTGAATATCAATAATATCAAGATGCTACTGCTGAAGAAGAAGGAGAATTCGAAGAAGAAGGCGAATAATGATAATCTTAGTGATGTTTATCACAAAATATATAAATTACAAACAACCTAATTTTTATTTCATTCTTTAATACTTCAAAAATAGATAAATTTTCTCCTATTTTTGTAATATAATAATAGTTGATTTTTATATTCTTAATTAAGTTCAGTCATTGAAGAATTTTAGTTCAATTTTATAATAGAAAATCATATATGGTTGATTAATATTATAAAGAATAATTTGTTTGAATAATTTTGTTAAATCATTAAAGTGTTTTAAAAACAACTTCAATTTAGGATTATACTTAAATAAGATAATATTTATATTAAAAATTCATAAATTTAGTCAAACTCATCATTTATATTTGAATTACTTGAGTTCCTTTAACAAAATATCTGTGTTTTTACCTTCTGCTTAATATTTTTTAACCATTTAAGAAGCCCATTCATCAAATTCTTTATCTTGATTATCTAATCTTGCTAAACACTTATCTTTTTCATCAAAATTTTTCATAATTTCTTAAGTTCTTTTTTGATTTCTTTCATTTTCTTATTAATGATGAAAATCTTTTAATTCTTAATTTTTTTTTCTAATTTCCATTTTCTCTCTTAATTCTTATTCATGTAATTCTTTATTTCTATTAATCCAATATTATTAGAATTCTTAATTTAATCTTTTTTCTTCTTCTTCTTATTATTATTTAACTTCCATTTTAACTTTATGACTATAACTTATTGCACTTTATAATTTACGTCTCTACTCTTTTTTCATTTTTTCAACTTCTTCTGCTTTAATCTCAGCTTCTATAATATTTTTATTTAATAATTTTTCTTATTCTTCTTTTTATTTTTTTAATTTTTCAGTTTAAGCATCAATTAATTTTTATCTTTATGCTTATTTTTCTGCTTTTCTTTATTCATCTCTAATTTTTCTAATTTCTAATACTCTTTCCTTCTTTTTAGCATGTTCTTCAATTTTTTTTTCTTCTTCTAATAATTTCTATTTTTCTATTTCTCTTTGCTTCTTCAATATTTCATTTCCTTAAATTAATAATTATTAATTCTCCATGATTTTATCTTTCTTTTATTTAGCAATTCTTTATTCTTCTTCTAAATCTGCCAATACTTTAGCCTTCATTAATTCTCCTTCAATCTTTTCTTCTTGAACTTATTTTATAAATTTATCCTATTCTAAATTTAACAAACATTACTCTCATAATATCATGCTATTTCTTAAGCATATCATGTTGTTATTTTTTTTTCTCTTGTAATTCTTACTATTTCTTCTTTTCTAAAAAATCTTTTTCAGCCTATAATTCCAACATTTATTCATATTAGACCTTTTCTCTTTCTTTTTCTAAGAGTTTCTACATTTCTTTAATTTATTTTTATCCTTCTCTTTCTTAAAGTGCATCTACAACAAGCATTTTAGATTGAAACTATCTAATACGTTCATTATTCTCATAGATTTATTTATTAGCTTTTTCTAAGATTTATTATTTCACAAGTGCCTAATATCTACGCTCATCCTCATCTATTTTTCTCCTTTCTTCTTCATCTTACTTGAAACGTTCAAACCTTAAATAAGATTTACAAATTGAATACTTGGTTCTATCCTTCTAAACCTTGTTCTATTTTAAAGTATTATTCCAATTCTTTACACGATCCTACGATAATTTATGCCTTATGTGAACAGTTATTAATACAATTCAAATTTCTCTGGAGTATCTTGATGATATACTGTAATATGATCTTGCATTCTCTTTAACTCTGAAAGTGGAATCACTGCTGTGGTTTATTTACTTGAAGCTACTGCTGATTAAACTCTACGAACACTCATTTTTATATTATTATATATAATCAATTTATATATATAGGTTATAGTATATTAAAGATAAATAAAGTATTTGATATTTTAAGTATGCAACTATTTTTATTAGATCTTTTAGCAAAAATGGTTAAATAAACTAAGTTTGTTAATCAAAAAAAACAATTCTTATTTTTTAAATCTCATCTTCTGACTTATACTCTAAAGTTTATGATTTATAGATCATTATTTTATAAAAATGATTTGAAATTAGATGGAATTTTAATTTTTACTTTAATTTATGAAATATTAATATTTCTATTATCAAATATCAATCCAAATAAACAATAGATTACTTTATTCTAAAAATATTAATTAATTCAAAGGAGTATTAGAATAAACATTAAATTATCTTAAAAGAATCTTTTCTGTTGATATAGTTCTTATTAAAATAATTATTTTTACTCTATAGAGTTTAATTCTAAAAATAATATTTTTATGGATTAATCAATTAATGATGCTGAGGCTTTCCTCAAATAAAAAATCAAGATCAATCCATTGAAAGATTAGATGTAGCAAAATTAAAAGAATTATGAAATTCAACTCCAAGTTGCTCATTATTTCAAGAAATCTGAAAGTTATACCAAAAAACCAGCAATAAAATTAGTGAGTATGATTTTATATCATTTAATTATACAGGCAATGAGAACGATGAAGTACAAGTTTATTTCATATATGGAGAACATATTCCAGATCAAAGTAAAAAGTAAGATTATGAATCATTTAAAATTGATATCATTGAAACAATGCATCCAAAAATTGATAGATTTTTTATCATAGTCTTTTTCAATACTAATATGATGACTGCTTCAACTCTCAATGATTTCAAAGACTTTTATGGAACTCTACCTGAAAAATACTTTTTTCATATGAAAAAATTTATTGTCCTTCATGCAAATTTTATTGTTAAAGGTGGAGGTATTTTTGGAATGAATGAAATCAAATCTTTTTTTAAGAAAATCACTACCTTTGCTGATACGTACAATTTTAATATTAAACATATAGACTTCTAATCTTATCTAAAGAAGAATGGTTTAAATATAAAATGTTAGCTGCATTACCTGAAAGTGTTAAAGCATATGATTAATCTTATAGAGATATTGAGAATTAAAGAAAAAAAACTGTTTTCAGGAAATAATAAACACAATAAGCAGTTGGAGATGATGAAATAGATTCAGATGATAATTTTAATAAAGATTCTAAAATTTTAGGATTGAATTTAGATGAATATGAAAGAAATAAATATGGAATTCCAATTATTTTAGATATGCTTGTTTAATACTTTGAAAAATAACCAGAGAAACTTAAAACTGAAGGAATATTTAGAAAATAAGCTGCTGTTTATGAAGAAAAAGTAGTTGAAGCAGCATTAGCATGTTAAAAAGTAGGATTTGTCAATAAAGTTGAAAATGCTCATACTATAGCATGTGTTTTTAAACAATTCTTCTTAAAATTGAAAGAACCTATAATGACTTATTAATTATATGAATGGGTTGTTTAAAATAAACCATAAATTGAATAAAATTTGGAAGTGAGTGTATAAATGCTTTTTGATTATATGCCAGAATTGAATAGAGAAATATTACTTTTCTCTTTAGGATTCTTAAATTCAGTCATTTAAGAATAAGAACATAATTTAATGACTACTTATAATATGGCTGTTGTATTTGGTCCCAACTTTTTTAGATCTGAAATTGTCAAAATGGCTGATTTAGGTCATGTTACGTAATATATTAAATAAATTAAGCCTTTTTGTTTAAATAGTACAAATAATGTTGGAATTGAAAAAAGATTATGATTATAAAAAGATGTTAGAAGTCAGAAGTGATAATCTAAATTTTGATGCATCATTAGTTCCCTTTTTGCCAGATGATTTAGCCAATTTAGATGATATATTAGATATGGTCTCGGGTATATATTGCTTACTAAGACTCTAGACAAAAATGTAGTAAACGAAACTGAGAGAAAAGAATTAAAGTCTAGATATAAATGAATTGAGTATTTTGTTAGATCAAATTAGTGTGATTTTTAGTTAGTTATAATTATTCAATAACTTTCTTTAAGTGTATGTAAAGTTGTAGATGTTAATTATTTCTTTTTAATGTCTAATAACTAAGTTCCAAATAGTATGGATTCATTTTTGTATATAGTTAATCGAAATTATTTGTGTGGTTAATTTCTCTAGATTTAGGTTTTTTACGTGCAGGCTAAATGGATGGCTATCCATTATTACATGATCTATTTATTCTAGCTTCATATTGTATAATTTGAGCTATTATTTAATTATTTCTTGATTTAAATTTATTTCTATTCATTTTTTGATTTTAATAATGAATCCTTTACAAATGATTTGACAATTTGAGAGTTAAAAATAAAAAATTAAAATTATAAACAAAAAATCTTAACTTCCAAATATTAAGGTATTTTTTTTATTTTCGTAATTTATTATCTTTTCATTTTTCATAAGTTCCTTAGTTTCAATATGTTGCATTTTAATAATTAAGAAATCTTATAAACGATAAGCATAACAGATGATAAAAACATAATGTAAATGAAGATTAAATTTGAATTATTAATATTTGTTCAAAATTAGATAGCTTTAACGTAAGCAAAAATTTTAAGAAGGAGAAAAGTTAATTTTTTTATGTTCACATTAAAGATAAAATGATTATGAAAATTAGTTTATTTAAAATTAAACAAGTAAGGCGACTTTTATATTATTAAATTATCATAGGAATTATTACAAGTACTGCTAAATAATACAATATATAATAAAGTAATGATACTCCTTTGTTTTTTTTATTTAATTCATTTGCTTATATACAAGCAAATAAGTAAATTAATTTCTATATTTCAATTAAAATAATTGATTAATAATTGAATTTAAAATTAATAAGAATGCCTATTCCATATTAAATGAAATAAGGATGCATTCATAATGATTTAATATATAATCGAGACAAGTAAAAAATATAAAATCTAAATGTAAATAATTTATAACATAAAAATAATAAATAACATATACATATATTTTGTCCTTCAGCAAATCTTTTTTTATTAAAATGTAGATCTCTTATTATTTAATGAAAGTCAATAAATATAGTGATTAAATTAGTGATATAATCAAGTTATTAGTTCATTTGAGATATAGAATATTGTATAATGTTGTTGTAAGGATTTAATAACTTTTTATGAAAACTATTTAATATTACAAAAATATCAATATAAGGAATATGTGGTTTTTAATACATTTCATTTATATTTTAGAACTTAATATTTTATCACTATTTATATTATATGAATAATGAAGATTTGGAGCGTATCACATTTTCAAAGTAAAGTCAATGAAGCTACATAGTTAAACATCCATTTAAGACATTGCTCATTTTAGGAGTAGATTAGGGAATGATAAATTTGAAAACATGAAATCAAATTAACAATTAAAAAGTTCTAGCGTAAATACTTTTGAAAATGGTACACCAAAAGGAAGAAAATAGAAAAAAACTAAAACAAACATTATATTAAGGAATGAAGAAAGTGTTTTTGGTAGTAGATTTGATAATGATAATTTATCAAGAAATGATATCTCTTCTGTAAAAATGACATTTGGAGCCAGATCTGAAAAAGCTTAAAAGGAAAGTACAAAATAAGTAATGAATACAATTAGTTTAGATTGTTTAATAAATAAATGAAAAAGTTTAGAAACAAAAATACAAGTTTGCTTAAGAGAAAATGAAATTAAAAACTGAGAAGACCTTTAATAATAATAGCGATAATTAATTCTATAAGATGAATAAAAAATATGAAAAAATTAAGCAAAAGACTGAATAAAGTTATTTAGTTGATTTATATAAAATATATGGTTATCAAAGATTGAAATATGAATTGAATGTAATTTGTTATTTAAATAGATTTATCAAGATAATTATAGTTTTTTGGAACTTAGAAAAATCATAATCAAATTTATATATGGTATACTAATCATTTTAAACTACATGCAAAGAACTATCTTTTATAAAATATTTATGTCAATAATAATATTGGTGAATCTTGTTATTTTTGTATCCAAAATCTTATCTATAGAAGATGATTAATTTATAGTTTATGAAATAAGTAATATAATTTTATTGAAATTAGTGGTAATATACATATATATTGCTGATTAAATATTTCGAATACTCTCTAAAGGAATAATAGGACATAAACATGCATATTTTAGAGTTGTTAAAAATTGGTTCGATTTAATTTTAACAGTCTTATAAATTAATACTACTTTAATCCCAATTATAGAATTTGTAGATCTTTCACCTTTGAGATTAATTACATTACTTTTGTATTTGGGAGATTTTGTACCAGGTATATATTTATGAAATTAGGTTTAAAAATTATGTTGAAATCTCTTGGTAAATCATTTAAGTACCTTGTTGAAGCTTTAATAATTGTGATTATTTTTGGATTATTTTTTGCAACTCTTGGTTAAAGTCTATTTCATGGTCTAATAAATTATAGATGTTTACCAAAATAATATGATTCTCTTGATACATAACCATGGATTTCATGTAGAATCACTTCTTGTCCTGACAATTTAGTTTGTCAATATGTTTCATAAGGTCCAAATATTCCAACATCCTTTAATAATATTTTTTCATCTTATGCTTAAGTCTTAAGAACAATTACAATGGATGATTGGACTTGGGTCATGTATTTTACACTAAAAAGTTATGGTACTTATATATGGGTTTATTATTTATTGATAATCTTTTTTGGTGGTTTCTTTGGATTTAATTTAGTTATTGCTGTATTAAAAATTCATTATAGTTAACAAACAAATTAAAAATTAAATTAATTTAAAGAAGATGATTAACATCAAAAAGAAGAGAAATTAAATTTATAAGTTCTGAAATAATTTGGTTTATATCATCCTATTTTATAATACAAATTGTATTTGAAAGGTGATCATTCATTATTAAATAAAAGTTTTTGTTCAATGGCATCTAATTTGTCAGAATAACCTCGTATACTATCAGGAAAACATTATTCTAAATATGAAAATAAATATTAATTCTTGTAATAATTCTCATTAAAGACTATATTACTGCCTAAATTCTTAGATATTAGAAAATATTAAAATTTACTTTAAGATTTATATGATAATTTAATGGAAAAACCTGATATCAATATGTAGTGTTTGACTCATAATGAATTTACAAGATATTGGGCAAATGCATAAAATGTGGAATACATTTCAAATAGTACATCAGATGTTATGTATTGTAAATCAGAAATAAGTTAGAAGATGTTGGTTCAAAATAGAGTATTATAATTTAGATATCATACAAAAACTAAGTAGAAACTGAAAAATTAAAAGGAATTAAAATAATTTCCTATCCTTAAAAGTATAAGATTAAAAGAGAAAATTGCATCATTTGCTTCAAGTGGAATTACATTGATGGATATTCATCATCATTAATCCAAAGCCACATCTTAATAATAAACTATGTCAATTCATCCTAATAATAACTTATTTATTACAACTTAAATAAAAAAGAATGCAAATACATTTATATTACATAAAGAGAAAGAAATATATGTTAAAATATATGGATTTTATCATAATTATAAAGCTGTATCAGAATTGATCAATAAAAAAATACAAATTAGAATTGCTGATGAGATAAAAGATTATGAAGAGTAATATTTATAAATAAAAATGTCAGAAATGCAGACTGGAATTATTGGATCTAAAAATTGTTCCATATCTAATGTTATTAATAATTATGAAAATAAAAATATTATTAAACATTCTTTAAATCATATTGATAATTTAATTTGGTTAGTAGGAATAAGAGGAAAAATTATAATTATTAGAAAAATAACATTTATGATTATTACAAATAAATTTACTAATTTGTTTGTTGATTGTGTTATTTTAATTAACTTTTTATGTTTAAGTTTGATAGGTATTATATCTAATCAATTTCTTACAGTAATAGAAGATTTTACAACAATAATAGTTACAATTGAACTTACCTTAAAGTTAATCTCATATTAAACATGTAATAATTATTTTTATTAACATTTTAGCAAAATTAATTTAAAAAGAATAATTAATCCTAGAATCAATTATAATTATAATTAATTTTTATGAAATGACATTTAGATAACTTTTAAATTAATAAGATATAATTGCTAGGTTGTTAAGAGGCACAAAGATACTATTATTTCTTAGATGCTTAAAATATATTAGAATGGCAGTTCTAATAGGTTTAATAGCTAAAAGAACATTTAAATAATATATCTATTTGACATTTTTAATGTTTTTAAATATTCTTATATATGGTTTATTAGGAATGGCAGTTTATGCAAGTAGTTTTGATGAAACAACATTACTTGGACATTTACATTCATATAAGGATCCTTTAAAGTCTTGGATGACTGTTTTTAATATTATGACAAATGATGATTGGTATGGTGTATTAGCATTAGGAACAAAGGTAAATTAAATATTTGCATTCATCTATTCATTTTCTATGATTCATTTTTTAAATTATATTACTTATGGTTTAGTGATGGCTATATTATTGGATGGTTTTGGAGAATATTTGATAGAGATTAAGAAAGATTAAGACATTAAATTTAAAGATGAAATGTCTGATAAACAAGATTCAGATTCAGAAGCTGAAGAGAATTAAAAAGAAAAAGAAAAGGAAACCAAATCACTTAAATAATTATCTTAAAATTAATAAGTTTAGAAGGATACTCAATATTGGTATCTATTAGAATCTATATGTAACAGATTTAAATATATATAAATAGAATAATTAGTGAAATCGATAAAAACAAAGAGGAGAAAGATTTATTTAGGAATTAAGTGCAAAGAATCCTTATTTTTTTTTGATAAGATCAATAAATAGAGAATATTCTGTGTTAAGACTATTAGATCTGAAATCTTTTATTGGAGTAGATTGGGATTGAATATAGGGTTTATTGTTTTAATTGCAATATAAACATATAATGTGGAATATATGATAATAGTAGATTCTTTAATTCTGATAACAAATCTATTAATAACAGTATAGACAATGATTTTAATCATAGCATTAGGATTATTTCATGACAAAGGATCTTATATACAAGTATAGTTAATCCTTTATTTAGCACATTTGGTAAATCACAGACATAATGTATTTAGTATGTTATTATTTATAATTGATAAATACTGAAAGTAGAATATTACATTTATTTTTGTATTTAAGATATTTAAGACCATTTAAATTATTGTATTCATTTAAACCAATAGTTAAATTATATAATTCTTTAGTAGCTGCCTTATATAATATGAGTAATGTATTAATAACATTATTAATAATTTGGACAATGTTTGCAGTTTATGGTATGATATTATATTAGAATAAATTTGGATTCTGTGATGATTTAATGTAATTTGATATAAATAAATAATAATGTGAAGATGAAGGAAGAAGATGGATTACATATTAACATAATTTTGATAATATTACAGTTGCTTTGCCTACATTATTTGTGATATCTACATTTGATGGTTGGGGAGAAATCTTATAAGTAGCTGAAAACTCAAGACCATCATATTAAGGTCCATTTCCATTTGCAAATCAATTACCCACATATATCTATTTAACTTTTTTTTGTTTCATAGGTTCCATGTTTTTTTTAAGTTTATTTACTGGTTTATTATTCTTAAATTTAAAAGCAAGTTAATAGAAAATAGAATATGATGATTTAACAGTTTATCAATAAGAGTTTATATAAATATCATAAAAAATTCTTAGGGATTCACCTTCATTTTCATAACCTCCTAGAAATATTATAAGAAGAATAGCTTAAAAATTAAATAATAATTAATACTTTTAATATCTATCATTTCTTATACTAATACCAGATACAATAATTTAAATGTCTTTTTATTAAGATATGGATGTAGAATTGGCAATAGAATTGAATAAGTATTATGAGATAATATCAATGTTATTTACATTTTGGGTTATAGTGTAACTCTTAGATTATGGATTTAAAAGATTTATAGATGATTAATGGAGAAAATTCTATTCATTGATTGTTATAATTTCAATATTTGAATTGATAGCAACACAAAAATATGATTTATTTAGAATTTAATTTACTTCTACAATGTTTACTGAGAATTATCAGATTATTAGATTATTGTTTGCTTTAAGGAATCTTAGAATACTAATATTATTTAAAGGATTTGATGATCTCTAAAGATTGATTAGAGTAATGATTTTTTCATTTCCATTTTTGGGAAAAATATTATTTATTTTGGTAGTAACAACTTTGTCTTATGCTTTATTAGGATGCTAATTATTTGGACATATAGATAAAGGTATTATTATTGATTCTTAGATTAATTTTTCAACATTCTCAAGTTCACTTTTGACTTTATTAAAGTGTGGATCTTGTGATAATTTTAGAAATATAATGGCTGATACAATGATCCATAATATATACTGTTATGATGATCCTAGTTATTGTGGATCTTAATTTGCTTAAATATACTTTATATCCTTTGTTTTCATATCTAACTATGTGTTATTAAATTTATTTGTCTTGGGATTGATTGAACAATTTGAGAAATTTTTTTAGTCTGAAAATTCAATTCTTCAAGTATATATTGAATCTATTGACAAAATAAAAACAGTTTGGTGTAAATATTCATACTAAAGACATGGAAAAGCAATACATTACTTATAGATTTGCAAATTTCTTTTAGAAATTGGTTAACCATTCACACATGTCAAAGATAATATTTGGGATGCAGCACGTTTTGCTGGATATTTAAAAATTAGAACTGATGATTAAGGTTATATCTAATTTAATTCTTTAATTTATGAAATATTTAGAAGAACCTTTAAATAATAAGTATTTAAATAAGGTTCAGAAGATTCAATTAAAATAATTAAAAAGTTTAATAAGGAGATGTAAATGAGACTCTATTATTTTAGAAGAGACAAATTGTAAAAAAGATCATTTATTGCAACTTATGTTGAATTCAATAGTAATTTTAGTATAGCCAGTGATTATCTTTCAATTTTAGTAATTTTTAAAGCTTGGTAAAATTATACAAAACAATTAATTAAAAGATCTAAATTAGAATAAGAAGATTTTTCAGATAATTCTTCATTTGGACAAGAAATATAGTAATTTATATTATTTATAATAATATTAGAGACTTTGATATATTCTCAAAAGTAGATGAAGAAGAAGAATAAAATCAAGAAAATCTAACTAGGAAGATACCCTCAAATCCTATAAAATCTAATTAATGTTTATCATTTGAAAGTGATAACAATTTAAATTTCAAGAAATTAGATTTACCTGTTTACAATGAAAATTAACATTATTTAACTCCAAAAAGAGATGTTACTAAAATGACATCTAATCTTATTCAATAATTACAGAAAAGAACTATAATCAAACCAAAAAAAGATTCAAATACTCCTTCCTCTATTATCAAATAATCTAATAAGATAGTTATACATCCAGCAGATATAATATTTAATTAATAGAACCATTAAAATAATCTCAATTTAAGTGCGAATAATTCTTTTAGATCATTTATATCGCATAGTGAATCATCATTATCTTCATTTGATGGAATACCTGGAATGATAATCTGATTATATTATATATGATTAATAATTAAAATGAAATAGAGATTAGTAACTTAAGCAGATGAAGGATCTCAAGATAATTTCATCCAAAAATCTAATTCATTATAGAATCAATTTCAAATACTTTAAGTTGTAGGTAATGGCACTTTTGGTATGGTTTATTTGGTATTATATTAATTAATATCTTATATAGGCTATTGATACAAAAACTAATGAAAAAGTTGCTATTAAGAAAGTATTTTAAGATAAACGCTATAAAAACAGAGAACATCTTATTATTTAAGAATTAAATCATCCTTGTATTGTAAAATTAAGATAAGCATTTTTCACATAAGGAGATAATTCTAAAAATGTAATATAAATAATTAAGACTTTAGCCAGATGATATATTTCTAAATCTAGTAATGGACTACATTCCTGAAACCTTAAGCAAACTTATACGAAATTACAAAAAGAATAAAACTCCATTTCCAAATATTTTACTGAAAATCTACAGTTATCAAATGTTAAGAGCATTAGCTTATTTATAAGGTAAATTAAATATTAAGAAATTAGGTATTGGGATTTGTCATCGTGATATTAAACCTTAGAATATTTTGGTTAATCCAAATAATCATGTTTTAAAAATTTGTGATTTTGGATCAGCAAAATAATTAGTACCTGGAGAACCAAATGTTGCTTATATTTGTTCAAGATATTATAGAGCTCCTGAATTAATATTTGGAGCAACTGAATATACAACATCTATTGATATTTGGTCTATAGGTATTCATTAATTATTAACTAAAGGATGTGTTATTGTTGAAATGCTTACAGGTGAACCACTCTTTCCTGGAGGATCAGCAACTGATCAACTTGTTGAAATCATTAAAATATTGGGTACACCTACAATTGAATAAATTAAAAAAATGAATCCATAACATTAAGAATTTAAATTTCCTTAGATTAAATGTCATCCATGGGCTAAAGTAATTTATTATAATATTAAGGTATTTTTTAAATTTAAACCTGAACCTTTATTTGTTGATTTTGTTAGTAAATTACTTGTATATTCTCCAAAAGAAAGATTAAAACCTTTGGAAGCATTACTTCATCCATATTTTGATGAAATTAGATAATAAGGATTCTCAATTCCAAATGTACAATTACCTAACTTTTTTGATTTTCAAAAAGGTAATTATAATTATTATCATATAAAAGAGGAATTGAAAATTTAACCTGAAATTGCTCATAAATTAATCCCCTCTTGGTTCAAATAAAAATAGTGATTTATAATATATATCTATAATCTATTCTATATATCAATAATTAATTAAAAACTAAATTCAAAATAATTTTAATTTTTTCTCAAATTCAGGTGGCTATAATTGTCTATCATAAACTAATTTCCAATTAGTATTTTTAAAATACTCATGGTCTTAAATCTCTGAAATCCCCATCTAATATCCAATTCTTTTTGTTGGCTCCTTGCATAATAGCTGAAATAGAGACTCAAAAGATTACTTTCGATAATAGATCTTTTAATTGAGGATCTACCTCAATTTGTATTGGAAATTCTAATTGGCAGTTTAAAATATAATCAAATGTTAAATTCTAGTCGTAATCAATAAATGGGGGATGACCATAAGCCATTTCATACAAAATGATTCCCAATTGCCAATAATCACTATAATATTGATAATCTTTATTTTATATTGTTTCTGGTGGAGTGTATTCAGCAACTCCATAAAATTCATCTTTTCTTTTCGAAGCTCTCCTTAAATATCCAAAATCACATAAAGCTATGTGATAACTTTGATCTAACAAAACATTCTCCAATGTTAAATCACCATGGATTATCTATTTATTATGCAAGTCTCCCAAAGCCACAACCAATTCTTAGGCTATGAATAATAATTATTTTTAATCAAATTTTTTTAATTCATCCAATTTCTTGTACAAATCGCATTTAGCCTATGGCATAATAAAGTAATATCTATCAAAAGTCTCGAAGCAATATTCTAAAGGTATTAGAAATGGATGAAGAGACTAAATCTAATAAATCTATTACATATTTTTTAAAGGTGACAAATTCGTTTAGATTTAATTAACTATGATCTTCTTTCTTGATACATTTCATAATATGATAAGTATGAGTTTTAGAATTCATTATTTAAACTATTTATGATATGCTTCCTTCACATAAAATCTTTTTTAATTCGAAATCTTTTAATTGTAATAAAAACTCTCCAAATAATAATTTTGATTCAGTATCTTATTAATATATTTGTTGCATTTTTAAAAAATTCTCTTGTTCTTCCAAAATAGGTTTATAATTTAAAAAGTTTGCTTTAACATTAGGCAATTTACATATATGTTTATGTCTATCCTATTTATAAACTACATATTTCTTCAGATTTAAGTCTTGAACTTAATATGAAGCTAAAGGAATGTGAAATTCAAGTGCATAGGTCTTAACAATAAATTCAATTAATCTAGATCTGCTTTCAGTTTATAATCTAAGATCATCATCATCATATTCATTTTTAAAATGCAATATGAATTCGAAACTCTTGGAGGAAATCGTTATTCCGATGATAAAGGATAGTAGTACTTTCCTTCTAATTGCTTTTAAATGAAATCGTTGTTACTTGATTTATTTAAAAGCAAAATTTTTTTATTGGTTAACACAAAATATCTGGTATGTTTATTTCCATATTCATTTATTTTACTAACTTTCATGCTCAACTGTAAGAATTCTTAGTTCAATCTAATTAATACCATCTTTTGCAAATGTATTTACAATTTTTGGAAGCCTTAAGATGTGCAATTCATCAAAATTATTTAACATAATATAATAATAATAATAATAATAATAATAATTAATCAATTAATCTTGGTAAAAAACTTATTTAATTGAGGAACATCCTATCTTTTTAATTGTTTTAGTCCTAGAATCTTATCTAAATCAGTAGGAGCAGATTCATATTTTTTAGCATAATCTGGGAAATTTTCTACAAATTTTTCAATACTCATTTGAATCAATTTCAAAATAGAATCACTTCTTGATAATGTTTTCTATACAAAATTATTAAATGATTATTATGATTTAGATTCTTACTTCAATTTTGAAATTCTCACTAAATTTGTCTTTAATTCTGAAACATCTAACATTAATTAAGATAATCCAATCTAAAATTTTAATAATATTGATAAAATACTTCACTTATTTTTTTAATTCTAAAAACTGAATTAATAAATTTATTATTTAGATAAACAACAAGTTTATTCAAATAAAATATTAAATAAGACTCTGATAATATATCTTTTATTGTTTTAATATGTCCTTCCAAAAATGTAATGGTTTCTCTAATATATTTAGATGCATCTCCCATATTTTCAAATTCATTCCAGTCTATTTTTAACATCTATTAATAAAATTGATCTATTTTAGAATCAACATAAACTAATAAAGTTTCGATTGATTTATTCATCATTTAATTGAAATATTCTTCTTCATTAGATAATTCTACTTAATCAGAAAAAGGAGAATCCAAATGTTAGACCATAGTCTCTTATAATCCTGGAATAGTTTCTTTACAATATTCTGCAGTGTTAATCACAAAACAACAGAAGATCTATGAATGTTATTCATTATTTCTGGATTAATTAATTTTCAATATAATCTCATCAGAATACCTTTTCAAAGCTTTCTTAATTAATTTCTATATATCGAACATTACCTATGTTCTACTATATTGTGAAGCTCTTTTAAGCAATTATTTAAAGTAAGCAAACATACTCATAGATGAATTCAACATTTTTAAGTCACCTTCAACATCCAATTTATCTGAGTTTAATATATTTTAGATGTGTAACATTAACTCTCTCTCTTCACTATCTATATATGGTCGTAAGTATGGTTCAAAACTATCAGATATAGCTCCTTTAATTTTTGGTAATTCTGAAATGGCAAATTAATTACTATTCTTTTTGCCAAGCCATTCTTCATATCTTTTCTTCATTTCATCATTGAGTTTCTATTCAAATTTAAGAGTTGCTTGTAATGCTTTCATTAATACAGCAACATCCAAGTCTTTTAGAGATTCCAAAATATCAGTTATTTATAATCTAGTTACTGCACAAAATTCATAATAAATCTAACAATGAACTGCCCAATATTCTGGGAATACATTTTATGTTTTAGTATCAAAATCTTTAATGGCTCTAGCCATCCAAGCATACCTTCTTTCTGTAGTTTCCAAACTTCTATTTTCAATTTATTGAAACAAATCTTAATAAGGAGATATAATGTATTTGCATACTTTCTGTATTAATTCATCTCTGAATTTCAATCCTAAATGTTCAACTGTTTAACATGCATCTTATAGATCTTTAATTTACATTAAATTTGTTCCTTTTTAAAATAAAATGAAATCATCTATTAATTATAGCTTCAAGTCTTTTATTAATTATTCTTTTTCTCCATTTATTTCTAATATTTATGGAATATTTTAAAATTTAACAAAGTATTATGATAATTCTGTAAATGCAGAGAGTAGATTTGCTACTTCTGCATATTTTTTTTCTTTACAATGTTCTTTCAATTTCTCTATTGCTGTTAACATCATAATAAATTTTTTAAGAGCTGCAATAGAAAATGTAAGATTTCTTTTTGCAATGTCTAATGATTTAATATCTTTGCACATTGAATAAACTAAGTCTTCACTTTTTTCTGCTTTTTATTTAATTTCTTGAATTTCTGTAACAATTCCTTAAGATAGTTATTCAACATCTTAAACATCTCTCCATATTTTATTTTGCATGACTGCATGTTCATGTATGTCTTCTTATAATTCAGATTAGAGTTGAGTTAGCTCTGATTAGAGTTTCTCAATTTCAGTATCTATGCCTACAAGTGATTATTCATTGGGAAAGAGTGTATTAATATGCTTAATACAATCAAAATTAGAAGAATACGGATTCATACTTCAAATATTTTTAATTAAAAGAATTAAAAGATATGAAATACATCTTGACTGAGGAGCATGTTCAAATTCCTGAAAAGATTGAGATCACTTAGAAATCTAAGATTGTTAAAGTTAAGGGTATTCACTCATGTTTTATCGTCTCTTAGGACCTAGAGGGGAATTGTCAAAAAATTTCAGACATTCTGCTTTGGACATCTAAGTTTAAAAGAAAGTGAATAAGAAAACTAATGTTGCCAAATCAAGAGTCAGTGTTAGAATGTGGCAATCATATAGAAAATAAAGATGCCAAGTTAACTCAGTTGCCTCTCAAATTAGAAACATGATTAGAGGTGTTACCACAGGTTATAAATTCAAAATGGTTTTGGCATATGCTCACTTTCCAATCATTATCAACCTATTGGATAATGGAAAAACCATTGAAATCAAGAATTTCCTTGGAGAAAAGATCATCAGAACAATCAAATGTCTTTCAGGTGTGACCATCACCAGAAATGAATAAGAAGAAAAGAGTATTCAAATCTTAATATACACTTTATAGATGTTTTAACACTCTAAGGTAACGATTTGAATAATGTTTCACTCACCTGTGCACTTATTCATCAAGCTTGTGCTGTTAAGAACAAGGATATTAGATAATTCTTGGATGGAATCTATGTTAGTGAAAAGCGTCTAGAAATTTGATCAATAATATATATAGATATAAGTACAATAAGATTTATAATTATGAATTGTTGTCAACCTTCTACACTATAAAATATTATATTCTAATGAATAAGTACTATGTTGATATTGAATACACTCTACCAAGAATAGCTGAAAAATGTACCTTAGAGTATTTCTAGAGTTTAGAATAAGCAGAAGAAATCTCTCATAAGTAAGACAAGAGATCAAATAAGAATTTACAAAGTATTTAAAAGAAAAGAAAATATTTTTGAAATGAATTTTAATTAATATCATTATATATATGAACATGCCTTATTTTAAGCCTCGTTCATAAGCCAGTTAGAATTCTTTTATTAAACAATATTAAGATTTTCTATAAAAGAATAGAAAGAATACTGCATCAATCTTGGAACCTAAAAAACAATAAACTAAGTAATCATATTCTCCGCTCTTTAAATAACCTAAATTAAGTTATTCTAAACTTAAAAATTTGAGATTACAAACTAGTCCAAGTCCAAAAAGACAATAATGTTATTCTTTAAGTAGTCATCATTAAACTGATAATTCTACTTAAATAGATAGATCATTAAGTCAATATGAATTTGAAGTAAAAGACAAATCTGTTAGCAGTGCTAATCTATTTTAGGAAACTTAGAATAAAGTAGAAGAACTTTAATAACAGACTCCTGAATTACAATAAGGGATCGTTGGAATTTTAGGTTTAATTAAAAATGAAAAACAAGTTATTTTGAATGATATGAAATAAATGACAAAAGAAATGAACTAATATAAAAAATAATATGAAGAAATTTAAAAGCAATAAGAATAATTATAACATAAATTCAAAGTTGCTAAAGATGGCAATGAAATTCATGAACGTTCTAAAGATAAAATTAATGATACCTATCTTTAGATGATTTAATTATTAAAAGGACTTCAAGTTTAACATAATGATGTTTTACCTTAATTAGAATATAATTAATAAAATAATTTTGAAGATGCAGATGAAGAAGTGAGAATACCTGATAAAGATGAGATTATTATCTTATAAAAATTAATCATTAAAAAATTAGTCAAAAAAATTGAAGATTAAAAATAATTGAATTAACTACTATTAACTAAAATTAAGGAATATGAAATTTGATTTTACTTTTATATTTAATGTTTAATATAATACTATTTCAAATAATCACAACAATCTTTGCATTTCCAGATGTAACACTATCATTTGGCATTCTTATCCCTAAATAAAAAGACCTTGAAGAAAACCTACCTGCTACTATTTATTAAAATAACTAAATGAATAGATATTTTGATTATGATCAATTCCCATTATTATCATGTTGTCCTACTAATCTCACTAAATATAAGGTTGATTCATTAAATCTTCATGGACATAGCAGATAGAAATTTATATTGCCTTTGACAATTACTAACAATGAAAATGAAACTATTATTTTGAGATAATTAACAATAACTGATTATTTGTCTTATTAAGATATTCCTGTTGCACCTAAATTATCCACTTTACCTATTTTATAACCTCATTAAAGCATAGTTGTTGAGTTTATTCATAGTTGTGAAAGATAAGTAGATAATACCAATTACTGGAGTATTTAAAATGTCTTTATTCGATTTCAAGACTTTTAAGGTTTAAATTTCTAATATTAATTTATTTGTGATGGCAGTTTCCATCCTAAAAGGTATTATAATATATATAACTTATAGATTTGATTGGAGCAATATCATATTAATTACATTTGATTCTATTGTTATCATAATTTTAGCAACTTTTGGAAAAATTTATTCATTTCGAATTGCTTTTGTGACACCTGCTAAAAGAAGATAATTTTAAGAATAAAATATTTAAAATGTAGATCTAAGTCCTTTTTAAGGATTTTATTTATATTGGCCTTAAGCTTTGATATATATGGGATTATTATTAATTGCTTTATTTACTTCAATGAGTTATAAAGAGTAAGCAGAGAAAATTATTAAATTATTGGTCTATTTAATTTGTGTTCTTACTTCATTTCATTTTTTCAATGAAATCTTTGGTAAATTTAGAAACACTCTCCCATTTTTATCTGAAAAGGTTTTATGCTTAAAAATTAGGGATTATTTATCAATTATCCTATCAACTTTGCTGATCTTCTTTTACCTCTATTATGAATAACCATGGTTTGTATGTATTATATATTAATTACCCTTAGGTTAGTAATCTTTTATCTATTTGTATTTTAGGATCTTTTATTAAATTATTTAAGATAATATCCTTAAAAGATGCTCTCTAATTTTTTATACCTCTCATGATAGTTGATATTTTCTGTTCCATTTATTTGAGTTAAACTGTAAGATATGAATGGGATAGTGTTGCATTGAGATATTTCAACACTCCATTTTCCGCCTAATTTCCTTATTTTAGATATATATACAAAAAGAAATGTGCATGGGTATCTATTTTTAACTTGCTATTTCCTGGTAATTATTCACTTATAATTAATTAGGTTTCTTTTTAGGTTATGTGAATAGATTTGACAAACATAAGTAAACATATGTCTATGAAATTATTGCTTTCTTTGGTTTACTTGTTGGACTCATTTTATGGGTATTAATTCAATACATTTTTTCATTCCCACTTCCAACGTATCAAATAAATATTATCTTTAGCTCTATCTTTACAGAAATTATAATGATTCTCACAACAACTTTGGTTGCAATATAAAGAAATGAATTCAACATCTTTTATTCTGGAAACTTTTATGATTAAATACTTATGGATCCATTTAAAAATGATATTGCTCTTCAAGAACCAACAAACTTAGAGATGTTTGGATTAGGATCTAATACATAAGTAATTAAAAAGGACACTACTTAATAATCAGATCTACTCTATAGAGGAGATTAAGGTGTAGTTTTAAATAGTCAACTCTTTGCTGGACTTGCTTCCATTAATCGATCATAGTAGTAATCTAGCGTTCTATAATCGAAATAATAAAATCATTATTGAAAATTGTATTTCAAATTTTATTAAGAATTAAATATTGAAATAATATTTTCTAAACTAAATTTACATATTAATTATTTAAGAACTCATTCTCATATTTTTAATTATTATTTTATTTAGTAAATAAAATATTACTTAAAATTGGATTAATAAATTAAAGGTTTTTATAAATATTATATGTTTTAATANTTAATCATTTTAACAATCATTGCAAACACAATAAGACAATTAGGCCAAGGTAAATTTTTGATTTATTTATAACAATCTTTCCTAATATGTTGTTTAATGAAACTACCCAAATTATTTATTATCTATATTCACAGTATATTACAGTAATTTGCCTGAATAGCCTACAAAGATTTATTCATTTATTTCATTGCCAGTAATAGATCTATACTGATAGAAATTTTTATTAAAAATTACATAAATATTTGTATCACTCTAATCTAGAATAGTAATAGACATAAATATTTTACAAATACCAGCAAAAGTCAGATTATATAATTTAGCATAAATTGTAATATCATAAGTTATTCCTTAAACTTATTAATCTGTTAAATTAATTTATATTTATGGTATTTTCAATTCATAGACTATAATTTATGTATTAAATGTAAATAAGTAGTTATCTTAAGTATTTAAATATATTTAAGTGTTGTTATTAATTTAAATATTGCCAATTGAGTGAAATCCATGTAAGTTATACATTATAAGACGCAGTGATGATTAAAACAATAAAAATTCATTATTCAAAAAAGACTAAATTACTTTTGATTCTTTATAATCAATATTGTCTAATTCAAATTAATAATAAAGATTATTTTAGCATTCTAAATATTTACTTGAAGACATCATTTATTTTTTATCATTATCTTGGAATCTATAATGGTAATTAACCAAAATTTAATCACATTAAGAATAATCTTAATAGTTATAATAAACTTGAAAATTATCAGCTTCAATTTCATTATTGTTTGTAAATATTTATGTTTATTGAAAAGTATTATTCTAAGTAATGATAAATTATTTTATGTATTATTTGTAAAGTATATATATATATGGGTTTTCTCTTAAAGGAATACCAATCTGTATAAATTAATCTTAATAAAATGTTAAATTTTTAAATTGAGATGAGAATAATGTAATGATGGATAAATTTTAATAATATTAGGCATATATTAGGAATGTTTTTGATTCATTATAAATTCCTTACATTTATGATTTAATTGGCTTATTTGCTTAGATAGAATAAACAATGTTCAAACTAGTATTCATTAGTTATAATAAATAAAAATATTCTTCAGCATAACAATCAAGTAAGACATCTACATCAGCAAAAAAAATAATATTATAGCATTGATATCTTTCTTCAATTTTAACTTGTTATCCATACTGTTAAATATTTAAGTTTTACCATTAGTAAAGGATTACATCATTTTCTTTAGTTATTGTTGCAAAATGAGTTTGATTAGATGTTACTGAAATAAATTCTAATATTATGATACTAATAAATACCGTATCCTTTTATATGTGTTATTTCATTAACAATATTTGTTATTTAAACATTTGGTACACTAGGTTCATAATGGTAAATAAGTTTGTGATCATCTATAAAATATTCATCATAATTAGTTACCATAGTTTTATATTAAACTGCTCAAAGGATATTCAAAATACTCTCCATTCGTTGGGTATAAAGTCATGTCTTCGTATTCCCATAAGCAACTTTGAACAAAAAAGATTAAAATGAAAAATATCATTTTTTATTATTATAAATATTAATAAAGAGTATTATGGACCTATAAATTTACAAAAATTTTCTCAAAATACATTAAGAAATAATAAAATTTAGGTTTATCCAACCAATATTACTTACAACTTGTTAATGTAATAATAATGGTTGAAATCCAACATACATGAAATTTAGCATGGTTTATTGATTAGGTCTGTCTTAATATTAATTTAGATATATAAATATGATATTTATAATAATATTATTTTTATAAATTATCACAATAAATGTTGATTTAATTTCATAATAATAAAAAAAGTATAATTTGAAATATATGTTTTTAATTATTAATCTAATAAATTTATTGTATATATTATATTTATATTTATTTAAGATGTTTAATCACTAATTATATAGGATTTTTATATTAAAAAAATAAACTAAAATGAAACCTAGTCAAATGATTTATTGTTATTAGATAATATATTTTATTATGTTTGAACCAATGAAAGATTATACATTAGTATTTCATTTAAGAACTTATTTAGTGGATAAATATTCTTCAAATAAAAAATTAAAATAAAACTATTTGGAAGTTATTTGATTATTTTTAGATTAATTTTTGAGTTTTTCCAATGTATGTTGATAATTTATATATGTCTAACTCAAGTATATCCTTTTCATTATTACTCAAAATAGGTCTATTTGACTTTAATGGTAATACATTAAAGTAGGTATTGTAGAATTGCTGGTATCTCAGAATATTGAAATATTTGTTATTAATAATATATATAATTTATGCCATCTTATTTATATTCTTTAACAAAATCAAGATGCCAGTTCAGTGCACAAAAGCTAATTCAAAATTATGCCTTTATATATCAATAGACTAAAACTTATTTAAACAAATAAGACCTATTCCTAGAGAAATTGCCTTTCATTATATTAGAGTCTCCAAAAATAAAAAATTAAAAAAATTAGAGATTTTGTCTATTAATGATAATACTAATTTTCTTTTAATTTATAAATAAAACATATAAAAATAATGATAAAACATCTTTATAAGTCTGAAATTGTTTTAATAAATAAAAAATTCTTTATTAATTTTAAGATTTATGAAATAGCAAACAATCTCTGGAAACGATGTAAATGAAAGTTACACTTAAGGTAATTAATGAAAATCTCAACTTAGGTTTAAACTTAATGAAATAGAAAAAATATTAAGAAGCTATTTAAATCTTTGAGAAAGTTTTAAGGATTGATTCAAATCATTTCTAATCTTTGTATGAAAAAGGTAAGAAAGAATATATTATAAGGTGAATGCTTAAAATTGCTAGAAAAATACTCAGCCGCTATTGATTGTTTCCAAAAGGCATTGAAGATTGAACCAAAAAATGTAGACTTAATACTCAAACTAAGTATTCTTAAAATCTTGCTTTTAGGTTTATGCTTAATGAAGATGGAAAAATACTCAGATGCATAATATAATTTAGATATAGCATTAAGATATGATTCTAATAATATTGATCTTGTGTTCAATAAAAGTATTAAATTTATTTTACTTAGGTTTATGTTTAAAGATGATGTAAAGATTTGATACTGCTTTTTATTATTTGGATAAAGCAATTTAAATTGATAAGAAAAATACATCACTATTGCTTAATAAGAGTATTTGTTTTGTGATTTTAGGCTTATGGTTATAAGAACTCAAAAAATATGATGAAGCATGTCAACCGTTAGATTAAGCCTTATAATATGAGCCTAAGAATATTGAAATATTATTGAATAAAAGTATCAAATAAATTATAGTTAAGGCATTTGCTTAAGAATGATGAAAAAATATGCTTAGGCTTTGGAACTCTTAGACAAAGCACTTTAATTGGAACCAGAAAATGTGAACCTGATACTAAACAAATGTTGTTAATATATCATTTTTAGGTATCTGTTTACTAGCCTTTAATAAATATGATCAAGCTTCTACAGTATTGGATAAAGCATTATAATAGGAACCTCAAAATTTTGATATTTTATTATAGAAAGGTACTTGAGATTTCTATTTTTTAGGGTAGTGTCTAAAGATTTTAAATAAATTTGATGATGCATTATAGTATTTAGATAGAGCACTTAAAATTTAACCAAAAAATTTAGAAGTATTGTTAAATAAAGGTTTACATTTATTAATATTTAGGCATTTGTTTACAAATGAATAAAAAATATGATCAAGCTTCTTAAGTATTCGATAAAGCTTTAGAAATTGATAATTAAAATGTAGAATTATTACAGAATAAAGGTTTAAATTTAATAGATTTATAGGGAATTGTTTACAATAACTCAAAAAGTATTCAGAGGCTTTGAAATATTTAAATAAAGCCATTAATTTCGAACCAAAAAATGTTGAAATATTGATCAATAAAAGTTTTTATATCTATTAATTTAGGTGAATGCTTAATGATGATGAAGGATTATTAATAGGCTTGCTAATCAATTACTTTGGCATAAAAAATAGATTCCAAAAATATTAAAGTACTATTAATAAAAAGTAAATTCATATCATATTTTAAGGTAAATGCTTAAGAAAGTTAAATGAATTGAAAGAAGCGCTTGAATATCTAGATCTAGTTTTATCTATTGAACCTAAAAATTTTGAGGCTTAAATAAATAAATGTACTTTCTTGTCATATTTTAAGGCTTATGTTTAAAATTATAACGATAATATCCTTAAGCATTATAATAAATAGAAAAGGCTTTAATTATTGAACCTAAAAATTTTGACCTTCTTAAGGACAAGGGTAAAGGAAGTACTTATTTTTATAGGCATTTGCTTAACATATATGGAAAAATATCAGGAGGCTTTATAATAGTTTCAATAAGTAGAGAAAATTTAACCAGACAATGTTGAAATATTGCTGAATAAAGGTAGGAAATATAATAATACGAGGTATTTGTCTATTATAAATAAATTAATATGATCAGGCATTGATTTAGTTTAATCATGCATTAAAATTTGATTCAAAAAATATTGACTTGTTGATAAATAACAGTAAAGCAATTTTAAAATTTAAGGCATTTGCTTATATAAAAAAAAGGAATATAGTTTAGCACTTTAATGTGTTGAAAAAGGTTTTAAGATTGAACCAAAAAATATCACAATTTTGAAAATTAAAAGTGATTGTTTAATTGAATTGAAAGAATATAATAGAGCATGTGATTCTTTAGATTTGTTGTTAGCAATAGAACCAAAAAATATTGAAATTTTGTTAAAAAAATGTAATTATCGAACTTAAAATAAAGTTAATGCTCTAAAAATAATTGAAAAGTATGATGAAACTATTAAAATTTTGGATAGAATATTAAGTATTGATAATCAACATTAATTTTGTATTTTGTAAAAAGGTACTTTACAAATTAAGTTTATAGGATTTTGTCTAAAATTAAATAACAATTATGAAATGGCTATCTAATGGTTTGATAAAGCTTTGAGATTTGATTCTAGAAATCTTGATGTGATTGATGCAAAAGGTAATTAAGGGTTATTATTTAACAATAGGATAATGTTTATTTATGTTGAATAAATTTGATGAAGCCATTTAATGTATGGATTTGGCATTATAAATTAATCCTAAACATGTTCAATCTTTAGCTATTAAGGGTATAAACTTAATTAATTAGGTGAATGTCTAATATCAAAGAAATTATATGATAAGGCACTCTCCATATTAGAATCAGCTTTGCAAATAGATGCTAATGATGTTTGTACCTTGTCTTTAAAAGGTATTTGTAAAAATTAGAAATAGGAAAATGCTTATTAATGATGTAGAATTATCAATAAGCTATTTAATACTTTGATAAAGCACTAAAATTTGATAAAAATCATTTCAATACTTTATAATTAAAAAGTATTATTATACTAGATAATTCTTAGGCAAATGCTTATTATTAATTGAATAATTCGATAATGCTATAATATATGCAGATCTGGCTCTAAAGATAAAACCTTAAAATTTTGATTGCTTATTTATTAAAGGTTTAATAATAATTAAGGATAGGGGAGTGTTTAAAACGTATTGGAAAATACTAAGAGGCTATTAAATACTTATAAATAGCTATATCTATTTAACCAAATCATTTTCTTTGCATTTATTTTAAAGGTATTATTAAAAATTAATAAGGTGAATGTTTACAATAAATTGGCTCTTATTAGGAGGCAATAAGATCTTTTTAATAAGCATTGTAAATTAATTAGAATCATATATAATGTTTAAGAAACCTAGGTTTTAAAATATTTCTTATTCTATTAGGGTAGTGCTTATTTTAACAAGGTTAGTACTAAGAAGCATTTAAATAATTAGAAAAAGCATTGCGATTAGATCCTAATGATTTTAATTCATTATATTTACAAGGTAATATTATTAAGGAATTTAAATTATAATAGGCTAATGCTTAAAACACTTAGAATAATGTTCATTAGCGATTTAATATTTTGAGAAAGCCTTAATTCTTAAACCATTAGATATCAATTGTCTAAATTCAATAGGTATATTTATTTAAAAGAAAAAGGTGGTTGCTTAATGGTTATGGAACAATATGATTAAGCTATTGAGATAATAAATAAGGTTTTAAATCTAAAACCAAACAGTGTTGATGCATTAATTATGAAAGGAGAGTATTTACAAATAAAATGCAATTACAAAGAAGCTATTGTGAACTACAAAGCAGCAGTATAAATAAATGGAAAAATATATAATGCTTTATTTAAATTAGGTAGTAAAGGATTTATAGTATTAGGTATTTGCTTAAAATTGATAAAAAATTATTCTGAAGCCATTATTTATTTAGAAAAAAGTATTCAAATTGATCCAAAAAATCTATATTCATTATATGAAAAAAGTAAAACAATTAATAATTTAAGGTGAGTGTTTAAGACTTCTTGGATAATATTCTGAAGCTGTTTAGTGTTTATAACGCGTCTTTGATATTAATCCAAATCATATTGAATCCCTTATTTCTAAATGTAAATTTTTATATATAAAATATAAAAGGTGATTGCTTAAAAGGTTTAAAAGAATTTGATATTGCAGTAAGGCTTATAAGTAAAGTTATAAAAAGGATCCCGTTTAATATCAATCTTCTATTCTTAAGAGGTTTATAAATTCTATTACAATTAGCTGAGTGTTTAAAATAGTTGGGCAGATATGAAAATGCTATTTAAGATTTGAATAAAATTCTAACTGTTGATCCTTTACATTTATTATCAATAATTTTAAAAGGTAAAACATGTTATAATATAAAGGTGGTTGTTTATCCTTAATGGGATAATATTAAGAGTCAATCTTTTGGTTAGATAAAGCTTTAAGTTTGGATTAAAATAATGTTGAAGCTTTAGCAACAAAAGGTAAATTTAGTTTCAAAAAGTATAGGAATGTCTTTAACTATGATGGGAAGGTATACGGAAGCTATAGAATGGCTTGATAAAGTATTGGCTATAGACCCTTAACATTTATATTCTTTATCGTGTAAAGGTATTGAATATTTGTATCAAAGGTGGTTGCTTAGTAAATATGAATTTACCTTTGGAGGCTATCATATATTTCAATCTAGCTCTATAAGTGGATTAACATCATTTATATTCTCTATCTTCAAAAAGTAATTATTGATATCATATTGATTAGGTATGTGTTTAATCATGATGGGATAATATCATTAAGCAATTGAATGGCTAAATAAAGTTTTGAATATCGATCCAAACCATTTTTATTCCTTATCTAGTTTAGGTTACAATATTATATTTATTCAAAGGAGGATGCTTATTAATGTTGAACTAATTTTAAGAAGCTAATATGTGGTTTAATAAAGCATTGTCTATAAACTCTTTAGATGTGTATTGCTTATCTTAAAAAGGTAAATATCAATATTCTATTTAATAATTAGCCTGTTGTCTATCTATGATAGGTCAATATTAATTGGCTATTAAATTATTTAATAAAGCTCTATCTATCAATAATAAACATGTTTATTCGTTGTCTGCAAAGGGTAAACACAATAATAATTTTAGCTCATTGTTTAAATCTTATTGGTGAATAATCATAAGCTCTTAAATATTTGGAAGAAGTATTGATATTAGATCCAAATCATTAACCATCTTTAAAATTAAAAGGTTGTATTTATTGAATATATTAAGATGATTGCTTAAAATCTTCATTAAAATAGGATTAATAGATTTAGCAGAAATGAATTAAAGAATAATAATGAAATATATATTAAAAGAAATTATTATTAGTAAATAATAAGGATATAGTTTCTAATTATTTAAATCATATCAATAATTTACATTTCAATAGCTATTATAAATTGATATCTTGTTGTTGTTTAAATTAATATAAATAGTTTGTAGTTAATTGACAAATTCAATTTTTAATTCTCAAAAATATAGCAATTATATCTTATTTATAAACAAGAGGATTAAATTAATCTCATCTAATTGAATTATCATCTATTACAATATATATATCAAATATATAAGTAATTTTTGATTCCATGAAATAATAAATATATGACTAAATTTTGAGAATTGATAGTATAATCATTCTAATAATCAGAATAACTTTTAGTTAAGCATTAAAACTAATATTAAATATGTATTCTTAAACTTCTAATTTTAATAGGATCCCATTACCTTTTTTATAAATTTTGATTAGTTGAAATCGTGATATAAAATAATTTTTTTATCAATTAAAAATAATATTGATTATCAAATACATTAATTTATCTTTATATCTTATAGATTTATATTACATTATGTAATAATATATAATTATAAATTCAAAAAATTATAAAAGCTTACTAATTTTAAATGATTAAATATAATAGACATAAATTGATTGTTAAAATTGAAATAGATAGAGATATTTTAATTATAATTTAAATCACATAATAATAAAGTTAATAATATAAAAAAAGGATGGATTTTTAAAAAGGCTTGTAATTTATAACAAGTTTTAATTAGATAATTATATTATAATTTATTTTTCTATCAAAAAAAATTAAATAAAGAATGAAAAAAGTAGAACTTGCTATAAATAAATTATAATATTAACCAATTAATGATGAAAATCATGAAGATATTTAAATAGATGGGAAATATTATGAAAATATTAGATAATTTGATTAATAAGGTTGTTAAATAATTAATTTTATTGGTTATTCATCAGATAATCTAATGTAAGAGATAATAATATAAACATACTAAGAATTGAAGAATGATCATTTAAAAGTCTTGGAATAAATTAGAAAATATTAAAATCAAAAAGAACCTAAATGTCAACATATTATTTATATAATTGGATTACAGGATAAAATTATAATCAGTCAATTACATAATGAACCTAAAACATGTGTTGTTATTGAAAAAGGATAATATAATCTCTTAAATTTGTTTGATTAGATTAAATCTATCCATAATATTTAGAAATTAAAGCTATTTGAATAAGTAAATAAAATAATTAATTGAGATGGTGTAAGGAGTGAAAGAATTATAAGATTTAGGATATTTCCATAGATATCTATAACCAAATAACTTTGTGTTTTTTGAAAATTAAAATAAAGAATATAAAATTAAATTAATAGATTTTGGTTTAGTAATTAATAATAATTAAACAAATAAAACATCTCAAAATGATAATTATAATTATATGGCACCTGAAGTTGTGAAATGTGATTCTAAATTTGATAAGACTGCAGATATTTGGAGTCTTGGAATAATTTTATATAAAATTCTTACTAAAGAAGATTTGATTCAAGGTTTTTATAATTTATTAATATTTAGCTAAAAATCGTCAAGAATAGAAAAATTAATTATNATATTGATTATCAAATACATTAATTTATCTTTATATCTTATAGATTTATATTACATTATGTAATAATATATAATTATAAATTCAAAAAATTATAAAAGCTTACTAATTTTAAATGATTAAATATAATAGACATAAATTGATTGTTAAAATTGAAATAGATAGAGATATTTTAATTATAATTTAAATCACATAATAATAAAGTTAATAATATAAAAAAAGGATGGATTTTTAAAAAGGCTTGTAATTTATAACAAGTTTTAATTAGATAATTATATTATAATTTATTTTTCTATCAAAAAAAATTAAATAAAGAATGAAAAAAGTAGAACTTGCTATAAATAAATTATAATATTAACCAATTAATGATGAAAATCATGAAGATATTTAAATAGATGGGAAATATTATGAAAATATTAGATAATTTGATTAATAAGGTTGTTAAATAATTAATTTTATTGGTTATTCATCAGATAATCTAATGTAAGAGATAATAATATAAACATACTAAGAATTGAAGAATGATCATTTAAAAGTCTTGGAATAAATTAGAAAATATTAAAATCAAAAAGAACCTAAATGTCAACATATTATTTATATAATTGGATTACAGGATAAAATTATAATCAGTCAATTACATAATGAACCTAAAACATGTGTTGTTATTGAAAAAGGATAATATAATCTCTTAAATTTGTTTGATTAGATTAAATCTATCCATAATATTTAGAAATTAAAGCTATTTGAATAAGTAAATAAAATAATTAATTGAGATGGTGTAAGGAGTGAAAGAATTATAAGATTTAGGATATTTCCATAGATATCTATAACCAAATAACTTTGTGTTTTTTGAAAATTAAAATAAAGAATATAAAATTAAATTAATAGATTTTGGTTTAGTAATTAATAATAATTAAACAAATAAAACATCTCAAAATGATAATTATAATTATATGGCACCTGAAGTTGTGAAATGTGATTCTAAATTTGATAAGACTGCAGATATTTGGAGTCTTGGAATAATTTTATATAAAATTCTTACTAAAGAAGATTTGATTCAAGGTTTTTATAATTTATTAATATTTAGCTAAAAATCGTCAAGAATAGAAAAATTAATTATGTAAATTAACTTAAGAATGGATAGATGAGTATATTATTAAAACAAAGGATTTGAAATTATTTGAGTAAAAATTAATAAAAAGCATGCTACAAATAAAAAATACTGAAAGAATTCGATTAGAAAATTTGCTGAAGGAAATTAATTTACAATTAATTGAATAATAGAAGCTTGATTCTTAATAAAAGAAGGAGAAAAAATAATAATAAGTTTAAGGATAAGATTATGTTTAAGATATTAAAACATAGTAATTAAATCAATTGACTGAATAAATCAATACTCAATCAGTTTTTGAACATTAAAAATAAATTAATAATTAATAAGAGATATCTACATCTATAAATTAAATATATGAAAAAGAAATAAATATAATAAATGATCATTTAGGAAAAGTTTAAAATAAGTTAAATTATCTAAAATAATTATTAAATTAAAAAATAATTGAAAATTATTAACATATCCAAGAAAATTATGATTAAATTTAAAAATTTTTACAAGATTTTTTCAAATCATATAATGAGTTGTATTAATAAATGTAAAATTCAATGAAGGATACTAAACCAAAAATTGATCAAAATTAATCTTAATCAAAAAGTCAATATTAAAATTTATAATATATCAATGAATTAACATCCTTCTATAATGGTGATAATTAAACAGGTATGTAATTATTGTAGGAAAAATAAATAATAGAAGAATAAATAATTAAAAAAATATAAATTGATGGCATCAGTGAATAAGAAAGAAAATTTTAACAATTAAAAAATCCGTTATAAAATTGTTTCATACAATTTCAAAAAGCTTAATAATATTTTAAACTTGCATGTGAAGATATTGGATGTTATTCATAAATGATTGATAAACGAAAAAATATGGAATAATAACTTTAAGAAAAAATAAAAACTTTAGAAGAATATCATAAAATTTATTTAAAAAATATGGAATTATTTTAGAAAGAATTTGATTAATTTGGAAAAAAAGGAATATCATAATAATAATATGAAGATATTGTTAGGAAATAACAATAAATTTGTGAGTAAAAAGGTACAGAATTATGTTAAGTTTTAAATATTGTAAAAAAGAAGTAAAATGAATTAATATTTATGCCTTTAACAAATCCAATTAACATTTATGAAGAGCTGAAAAGGCAAGAAGATAATTTTACAAATAAATTAAATTAAATTAACCAAATCAAATTTGATTAATTAATAAACCCATCTTCATTTAATAGATTAAAATAATAAATATTAGAATTAACTTCTAAAATTGATGAATCTATAAAGAACATTCCATAGAATAATTAAATATAAGAACTTAATAACATATATAAACAATACAAAGAATAATATAATATACTATTTGGTTTAGTTAATTACATTAAGTACTATCACTTAAAACGATATGATGAAAGAATCAAAAAAGGTTAAGTTAATTAGTAAGTAGTCTTAAACTAAGAGCTAGAAGTTTAAGATATATTTTAGAGATATCTCAATTTTTAATTTCATGATGGAAATAAAATTTTAATTGAAACATTGATATAAGATCAAGAATAAATAAATAAATAGATGAATCAAAAAGAAGATTTCTTAAAATCAGTTAATTTAAATACATTTACATAATAGATGTAAGATGAATAAATAATAAATGAGATTTTCAACATCAAAAAATACTATAAAATAATAAAATTTGCATAAATGCATATTTTATATATCATTATGAAATTAAATCAACATTTATTGTGATAATTTATAAAAATAATATTATTATAAATATCATATTTATATATCTAAATTAATATTAAGACAGACCTAATCAATAAACCATACTAAATTTCATGTATGTTGGATTTCAACCATTATTATTACATTAACAAGTTGTAAGTAATATTGGTTGGATAAACCTAAATTTTATTATTTCTTAATGTATTTTGAGAAAATTTTTGTAAATTTATAGGTCCATAATACTCTTTATTAATATTTATAATAATAAAAAATGATATTTTTCATTTTAATCTTTTTTGTTCAAAGTTGCTTATGGGAATACGAAGACATGACTTTATACCCAACGAATGGAGAGTATTTTGAATATCCTTTGAGCAGTTTAATATAAAACTATGGTAACTAATTATGATGAATATTTTATAGATGATCACAAACTTATTTACCATTATGAACCTAGTGTACCAAATGTTTAAATAACAAATATTGTTAATGAAATAACACATATAAAAGGATACGGTATTTATTAGTATCATAATATTAGAATTTATTTCAGTAACATCTAATCAAACTCATTTTGCAACAATAACTAAAGAAAATGATGTAATCCTTTACTAATGGTAAAACTTAAATATTTAACAGTATGGATAACAAGTTAAAATTGAAGAAAGATATCAATGCTATAATATTATTTTTTTTGCTGATGTAGATGTCTTACTTGATTGTTATGCTGAAGAATATTTTTATTTATTATAACTAATGAATACTAGTTTGAACATTGTTTATTCTATCTAAGCAAATAAGCCAATTAAATCATAAATGTAAGGAATTTATAATGAATCAAAAACATTCCTAATATATGCCTAATATTATTAAAATTTATCCATCATTACATTATTCTCATCTCAATTTAAAAATTTAACATTTTATTAAGATTAATTTATACAGATTGGTATTCCTTTAAGAGAAAACCCATATATATATATACTTTACAAATAATACATAAAATAATTTATCATTACTTAGAATAATACTTTTCAATAAACATAAATATTTACAAACAATAATGAAATTGAAGCTGATAATTTTCAAGTTTATTATAACTATTAAGATTATTCTTAATGTGATTAAATTTTGGTTAATTACCATTATAGATTCCAAGATAATGATAAAAAATAAATGATGTCTTCAAGTAAATATTTAGAATGCTAAAATAATCTTTATTATTAATTTGAATTAGACAATATTGATTATAAAGAATCAAAAGTAATTTAGTCTTTTTTGAATAATGAATTTTTATTGTTTTAATCATCACTGCGTCTTATAATGTATAACTTACATGGATTTCACTCAATTGGCAATATTTAAATTAATAACAACACTTAAATATATTTAAATACTTAAGATAACTACTTATTTACATTTAATACATAAATTATAGTCTATGAATTGAAAATACCATAAATATAAATTAATTTAACAGATTAATAAGTTTAAGGAATAACTTATGATATTACAATTTATGCTAAATTATATAATCTGACTTTTGCTGGTATTTGTAAAATATTTATGTCTATTACTATTCTAGATTAGAATGATACAAATATTTATGTAATGTTTAATAAAAATTTCCCTCAGTATAGATCTATTAAAGGCAATGAAATAAATGAATAAATCTTTGTAGGCTATTCAGGCAAATTACTGTAATATACTGTGAATACAGATAATAAATAATTTGGGTAGTTTCATTAAACAACATATTAGGAAAGATTGTTATAAATAAATCAAAAATTTACCTTGGCCTAATTGTCTTATTGTGTTTGCAATGATTGTTAAAATGATTAATATTAAGAATAGTTATTTTTTATAGGAGTTACGAATGAATAACTATAAATTACTAAATTTATTGCCCATTCTGATTACTAAGTAAATTTTACGAATATTACAATAACTATTTAAGCTAAGTAATTATAAGCTTCTTGTAACGATGATGGAAATTTAATAATAGGAGTTAGTGATAATGATACAATTTAGCTTTATTAAATATACCCTTTTTAGGATAAACCCTATTTCCTCTCCTTGGAGTTTAAGTTTGAATAATAATTTTAGTAATTTTTAGTTACGTATAATAATTTGATAACTTTGTTTGTAAATGAAGAAATTTAAATCATGACTTTGAATTTTACTAATTTAGTAATCATTAACGAAACTATGATTAATAAATTATTTAAATCAGACAGTTAGCTAAAATTTAATCCTATTTAAATAGCTGTAAATACTTAATCATTATCTTCATGTTTATTTATCAATAATATTAATAATGTCATAATTATTTCTATTGGTGAAAGCAATATGCCAATACCAATTTCCATCATAGATTTTAAATTCTAAATCAAATAAATCAACATTGTTAATCAATAATTAGTTTTATCCTATATTTGTAATTAAGGGTTTGATCTTTGTTTCTAAGTTTGGAGTATACAAAATTTGAAATAGCCATTTTTTATGAGAAATATGACCAGTTTACATAATATTAATTACCTATAAATACTATCAGATAAATTGTTTTATTATGTTTAATTTTCAAATTTCACCGTGTATGTTNTGGAAGCTGATAATTTTCAAGTTTATTATAACTATTAAGATTATTCTTAATGTGATTAAATTTTGGTTAATTACTATTATAACTATTATATAGATGAATACTTAGGATGTTAAAATCAAATGATTGAATTCTACAATTTTAACACTATTGATATTATTAAAAAATCAAAATTGATTTAATCCTTTTTGAATAATTAATTTGTCGTAATTTAATCAGAACTGCATCTTACCATTTATAAATAATAAGAATACTTCTCTATTGGCTAAATTGTAATTAATAACAACACTTAAATATATTTAAATACTTAAGATAACTACTTATTTACATTTAATACATAAATTATAGTCTATGAATTGAAAATACCATAAATATAAATTAATTTAACAGATTAATAAGTTTAAGGAATAACTTATGATATTACAATTTATGCTAAATTATATAATCTGACTTTTGCTGGTATTTGTAAAATGTTTATGTCTATTACTATTCTAGATTAGAGTGATACAAATATTTATGTAATTTTTAATAAAAATTTCTATCAGTATAGATCTATTACTGGCAATGAAATAAATGAATAAATCTTTGTAGGCTATTCAGGCAAATTACTGTAATATACTGTGAATATAGATAATAAATAATTTGGATAGTTTAATTAAACAACATATTAGGAAGGATTGATATATATAAATCAATCATTTAACTTGGCCTAAATATAAAACCCCTAATACTTTATAGGAGTTACTAACTAATCAATATAAATCTTAAATCTCGATGATAATTATAATTCTTCTGAAACTTTGATGGATATTAATATTTATATTTAGGCTCAGTAATTATAAGTTTCTGATTGTTACGAATAAAATTGTGATTTAATAATAGGAGTTAGTGATTATGATACAATCTACCTTTATTAAATATACTTTTTTTAAGAAACACCCTATTACCCCTCAGAGATTAAGTTTGAATAATAATTTTAGTAATTTTTAGTTACATTTAATAATGTGATAACTTTGATTACAAATCAAGAAATTTAAATCATGAGTTTGAATTTTACTGATTTAGTAATCATTAACGAACCTATGATTAATAAATTATTTAAATCAGACAATTAAATAATATTTAATCCTATCTAAATAGCTGTAAATACTTAGTCATTATCTTCATGTTTATTTATCAATAATATTAATAATGTAATAATTATTTCTATTGGTAACAGTAATATGCCAATACCAATTTCAATTATAGAGGTTAAATTCTAAATTAAATAAATAAACATTGTCAATCAAAATTTAATTTTATCTTATATTTGTAATAAAGACTAAGATCTTTGTTTCTAAGTTTGGAGTATACAAAATTTGAAATTTCCTTTTTTTATGAGAAATATGACAAGTGTAGATTATAATAATTAACTATAAATACTATCAGATAACTTGTTTTTTTATGTTCAATTTTCAAATTACACAGTGCATGTTTACAATCCTTACTTACCTTAACATATGAGTTTATATTATTAACTCATTTTATCATCAAAATTGATATGCACTGGTATTGTTTAATCTTTTTAATTTTACATGAATTATTATTCTTTTTTATATTTTGAAACTTTTATCAATTCATTATCAGCAGAACAATGTTTTTAGCTTTTGGTAAATTAATCTCTAAATTTTTCACGCTCTTACCCATAAATGATTTATAATTATACTGTTACTTCTTTGTTAAATGTAACTGCTAATTAATCTACACCAAATCAAAGCTTGACTTATTTATCAAATTTCACTTATTTCTAACCCAAAACTAAAATAATCAAAGATTTGTTGATAAAGGATTTAAATTTAAATGATCGAACTTTCACAATTCCTATGAATATAATCCTTGATAGGCAAGCAAGTCTTTGTTATTTTCCTAAAAGTTCTGATGTTGATAAAGTTCAAAAAGTTGATAATGTTGATTAATCTGATTAACAATACTTTACAAATGATGAATGCAATTTAACTAATTTTGGTTACTTTACAAAAAATATTGATCTTAATTACACATAAGTAACTGCAGTAAATAACAAATTTTTTATTCTGTAAAACAATAGTGTAATAAGAATTGTTAATTAGTATTTTGAATTTCTTTAATCTTACGATTATTCTAATTTAAATTTTATTGAATGCTTGAAATCAACATCTTATAATTTAAGTTTATCTTCAATATGTCAAAACGATACTGCATAATATTGGCTAAGCATTTATTTTGACTCTAATGGAAGTGTTATAAATACATGCTTATTGTAAATACCTTATAAATTTACTTATATAACGAAAATTAGTAATATAGCCACTCTTAATTTTATTTTAGGCTCTTATTTATAAAAAAATACATATCACACAGGCTTGTATTTATTGAACCCGTTAAACAACACCATGCAGTAACTTGATTATTAAAATCTTAAATATGAAATTACTATAGATTTTTCAGTAGCTCTATTTAATTCTGGTTTAGATATGAATTAGTCAGATTTAGTTCTTATTATATACGTTGATAATTAAGGTAATGTCAAATATATATATTTATTTTTCAATAATAATTCAATTACTTTAAGTGATACTTAAGAGTTAGTTTGGGATGGTTTTAATTATGCTTAAATTTTGATATTGCAAATAATAGACAAATAAATATACATCCTTTTCACTAGTACTGAAGGTTTTGGATAATTAAAATATTATAAGTTATCTTAAAACTAGTTGAATTTATTAAATTTAATAACCACTATCCCAGCTTATGAATACGATGATTTTGTGCAAATTCCAAATTCTGTATATTCTAATGGATTTCTACTTCAACAATTCAAATAAGGAAATACCTATATTATAGGAGTTTACGATATTACTGATTTACTTATTAACAATTTGGAAGAGCCTATTTTGATGTTAGGATAATTAAACTCTACATCTCCTGAATATGCTTTAATTACAAATATAGAGGATCGAAACTCTACATGCCTTGCATTAAATAATGGATCAGTTTTATATTATCCAATATATACTAGAACATTAAAATGCCATTATAGGTAAGATAGAAATACTGTCCATGTGAATATTACTTGCAAAAATGATTTTTCAAATGGTTCTTATGAGATAACTTTTATACTTCCTTAATTAGATGAACCTTCAAGAAGATGGATTTATTCATTAATTACCATAATAATTTTCTAATTAATAGGCTTTTATATTTTGGTTAAATATAGAATGAGAAATATTGGTTATATCAATACAGAAATAGAACTATGAAATTATTATAGAAAATTTCATTTAATAGTTAATTTAATACATTTTAATGATCAAATCTAAAATATTATAAATTTTCTCCAGGATAATTAAGTTAATGTTTATAACTTCATTTTTTATAAAACATTATTTGAATACAATAAATGTTCTACAAGGTATCAAAAAGATAATAAGTTCATTCATAGATCAATGTTATTTTTTATTATTTTTATACTTACTTTAATATTAATAAGAGATCATATGTTTGATTAAAATGATAAATCAATTAAAAGTGATGATTTATAATCAGATGGATGACATTGTGTTGAAATAAGTGATTGTTAGAGCTACTTTAGTCCAATTTCATGTATTAATAATTCAGTAGGTTTAATATTTGTATTGGAATGCCACTTAGTGAAAGTTTAAGATGCAAATGAATGTTCAAAGTTACCATAAATATCAGCTTAGATTGAAGGAGGATTTGTTGAAGAAGGAAATAATTGTTATGATTAAATAAACTGTGTTTATAAAAAAAATAACCAAATGGTTTTTTGGTTAGATGGAAAATGTTTAGATAAAATATGCAAAAATGCTCCATAGAATTCAATACACATTAATTATTTAATGAATTTATGAATACTTGTACAATAGGATCAGATTAGAGATGTGTATCTCTGATTTGTGAAAATCTATAAGAAAAATCTAATTGTAATTTTGATTTGAATAATAAACCATGCATTTATCATGAGGGTTGTTTTAAAAATATTTTGCATTAGAAAAACTTTACCCACTTAGAATAAAAACTTCTTTCACTTTATAAATTCTTATATAAGTCAAATTTGTATTATTTTCTAATACACAAATAACAAATTGCAATTATTAATAATAAGAAAATAGTTTATTTGTCAAAAATGAGAATAATGAATTATTAGAATTGAAAAAACATATTTAAACAAAATCAGATCTGATTTATTTTAAAGAAATAAGTTTTTAAATAATATTTATTAATTTTAGTACTTCAATTCAAAGAATAAATTATAATTTTTATAAATAAAATAAATTTATTAAAAAATAATAATATAATTGAAGCTGATAATTTTCAAGTTTATTATAACTATTAAGATTATTCTTAATGTGATTAAATTTTGGTTAATTACCATTATAGATTCCAAGATAATGATAAAAAATAAATGATGTCTTCAAGTAAATATTTAGAATGCTAAAATAATCTTTATTATTAATTTGAATTAGACAATATTGATTATAAAGAATCAAAAGTAATTTAGTCTTTTTTGAATAATGAATTTTTATTGTTTTAATCATCACTGCGTCTTATAATGTATAACTTACATGGATTTCACTCAATTGGCAATATTTAAATTAATAACAACACTTAAATATATTTAAATACTTAAGATAACTACTTATTTACATTTAATACATAAATTATAGTCTATGAATTGAAAATACCATAAATATAAATTAATTTAACAGATTAATAAGTTTAAGGAATAACTTATGATATTACAATTTATGCTAAATTATATAATCTGACTTTTGCTGGTATTTGTAAAATATTTATGTCTATTACTATTCTAGATTAGAATGATACAAATATTTATGTAATGTTTAATAAAAATTTCCCTCAGTATAGATCTATTAAAGGCAATGAAATAAATGAATAAATCTTTGTAGGCTATTCAGGCAAATTACTGTAATATACTGTGAATACAGATAATAAATAATTTGGGTAGTTTCATTAAACAACATATTAGGAAAGATTGTTATAAATAAATCAAAAATTTACCTTGGCCTAATTGTCTTATTGTGTTTGCAATGATTGTTAAAATGATTAATATTAAGAATAGTTATTTTTTATAGGAGTTACGAATGAATAACTATAAATTACTAAATTTATTGCCCATTCTGATTACTAAGTAAATTTTACGAATATTACAATAACTATTTAAGCTAAGTAATTATAAGCTTCTTGTAACGATGATGGAAATTTAATAATAGGAGTTAGTGATAATGATACAATTTAGCTTTATTAAATATACCCTTTTTAGGATAAACCCTATTTCCTCTCCTTGGAGTTTAAGTTTGAATAATAATTTTAGTAATTTTTAGTTACGTATAATAATTTGATAACTTTGTTTGTAAATGAAGAAATTTAAATCATGACTTTGAATTTTACTAATTTAGTAATCATTAACGAAACTATGATTAATAAATTATTTAAATCAGACAGTTAGCTAAAATTTAATCCTATTTAAATAGCTGTAAATACTTAATCATTATCTTCATGTTTATTTATCAATAATATTAATAATGTCATAATTATTTCTATTGGTGAAAGCAATATGCCAATACCAATTTCCATCATAGATTTTAAATTCTAAATCAAATAAATCAACATTGTTAATCAATAATTAGTTTTATCCTATATTTGTAATTAAGGGTTTGATCTTTGTTTCTAAGTTTGGAGTATACAAAATTTGAAATAGCCATTTTTTATGAGAAATATGACCAGTTTACATAATATTAATTACCTATAAATACTATCAGATAAATTGTTTTATTATGTTTAATTTTCAAATTTCACCGTGTATGTTTACAATCCTTACTTACCTTAACATATGAGTTTATATTATTAACTCATTTTATCATCAAAATTGATATGCACTGTTTAATTATATTATGAGTTTGATTTTAAATCTTCGATAGGATCTATTTTGTATATTGAAAACTTTTTTAATTAATTATCAAGAGAACAAAGTTTTTAGCTTTTGGTAAATTAATCTCTAAATTTTTCACGCTCTTACCCATAAATGATTTATAATTATACTGTTACTTCTTTGTTAAATGTAACTGCTAATTAATCTACACCAAATCAAAGCTTGACTTATTTATCAAATTTCACTTATTTCTAACCCAAAACTAAAATAATCAAAGATTTGTTGATAAAGGATTTAAATTTAAATGATCGAACTTTAACTTATCCTATGAATATAATCCTTGATAGGCAAGCAAGTCTTTGTTATTTTCCTAAAAGTTCTGATGTTGATAAAGTTCAAAAAGTTGATAATGTTGATTAATCTGATTAACAATACTTTACAAATGATGAATGCAATTTAACTAATTTTGGTTACTTTACAAAAAATATTGATCTTAATTACACATAAGTAACTGCAGTAAATAACAAATTTTTTATTCTGTAAAACAATAGTGTAATAAGAATTGTTAATTAGTATTTTGAATTTCTTTAATCTTACGATTATTCTAATTTAAATTTTACTGAATGCTTGAAATCAACATCTTATAATTTAAGTTTATCTTCAATATGTCAAAACGATACTGCATAATATTGGCTAACCATTTATTTTGACTCTAATGGAAGTGTTATAAATACATGCTTATTGTAAATACCTTATAAATTTACTTATATAAAGAAAATTAGTAATATAGCCTTTCTTAATTTTATATTAGGATCTTATAATTAACATTCTTAACATTTTTATTTATTGAACCCTTTTAACAATAGCATCCAGCTAATTAGTAGTGATTGTCAAGATTTTTCAGTATCTTTATATAATTCTAGTTTAGATATGAATTAGTCATTTTTAGTTATTATTTTATACATCTCTTAGAATAGGGTCTATTGTTAATAATTAAATTTCATTAAATACTTGATTACTTCGGGATAATTTGCTTTTTTTAAATTTCTGCATAATATACCGTTAGTTTAAATTTTGATATTGCAAATAAGAGACAAATAAATTTTCTTCCTTATCACTAGTATTGAAGGTGTTGGATATTTATTAGTATATAAGTTGTTTTCGAAATTATATGAGCTACATCCTTCTAATTTTATCACAACTATCACAGCTTACACACACAATAATACTGTACTAGTGCCAAATTCTGTTTATTCTAATGGATTTCTACTTCAATAATTTAAATAAGGAAATACCTATATTATAGGAGTTTATTACATTCCTGATTTACTTATTAACAATTTAGAAGAGCCTATTTTGATGTTAGGATAATTAAACTCTAAATCTCCTGAATATGCTTTAATTACAAATATAGAGGATCGAAACTCTACATGCCTTGCATTAAATAATGGATCAGTTTTATATTATCCAATATATACTAGAACATTAAAATGCCATTATAGGGAAGATAGAAATACTGTCAATGTGAATATTGTATGCTAGAATGATTTTTCAAATGGATCTTATGAGATAACTTTTATACTTCCTAAATTAGATGAACCTTCAAGAAGATGGATTTATTCATTAATTACCATAATAATTTTCTAATTAATAGGCTTTTATATTTTGGTTAAATATAGAATGAGAAATATTGGTTATATCAATACAGAAATAGAACTATGAAATTATTTTATTTAATATTAAACTTTATTTTAATGATCAATTCTAAATTATTATAAACGTATCTTAAATGATTATCAAGGTAATTATGTTAATATTTATTGCTTCATTTTTATAAAGCAATATTAGAATTAAATAAATGTTCTATTAATATTAATAAAGATTTCATAATCTATTTTTATATTATAAACCAGATTAAATGATTAAATAAATCATATTATATTTATATTATTAAAATAAATGTTTGGCAAGGTATTAAAAAGATAATATGTTCAGTCATAAATAGTTGTTATTATTATTCTTATTTAAATATTAAATAATAGAAATATAGCAAATAATAACTTATAAATTACATATTAAATATATCTTTATGTTTCAATTAAAATAATATATAAATTAAAGGTAAAGATTTACAATTAGAGGATTAAATTGTGTTGAAACAGGTGATTGTTAAAGCTAAATAAGTCCAATTTCATGTATTAATAAATCAGCAGGTTAATACTGTTATTGGAATGCCACTTAAGCTAAATTTGAAGATGCAGATGAATGTTCAAAGTTAACATAAATATTAGAACTTAATGTAGAGCTCAAATTTCTAATGTACAGCTTAGATTGGAGGAGGATATGTTGAAGAAGGAAATAATTGTTATGATTAAGATGATTAAATAAACTGTGTCTATAATATAAAAAATAACCAAATATGTTTTTAATTAGATGGAAAATGTTTAGATAAAATATGCGAAAATGCTCCATAGACTTTAACAAGTGATAAATAATGTCAAGATTTCCATTCATCTTGTACTAAAAAATAAGAGGATGGATGCATTGATAGATTATTATGTTCAACTTATCAAATAAAGGAAGCTTGTAAAAAAGATGCTATTGGTAATGATTGTTATTGGACAGGAAAATAATGTGTTGACAAAATATGTGAGAATAAAACAAATGAAATATGTTAAGAATACTTGGATACTTGTATAACAAATAGAAAAGATTGTGTATTGAATTAAAATTGTGGAGCAGCCATAATATAAGAAGCATGCAATAAAACTATGTATGGTACACAACGTCATTGGAATGGAAATGTTTGTATACCCAAGACATGTAAAAATGCAGGTCCATCATATATCGGACATGATTAATTTACATAGTATATGGACACATGTACTGAGTCTACAGATGAAATTACAGGATGTACAGAAAGAACTTGTGATAATGCTCCATCGTCATTTAATACTTAAAAATGAATTGTGAAGATATACCTAATGGATATATATATTCATCATGTAAATAAATAGAAAATTGTATTTCTAATGGTATATAATGTATAAATAAGGCTAAATGTACAGATTATAATATTAATTAAACTTGTTATTATGAAGGATTAGATGGAATTTGTGTATGGATTGAAAATGAATCATAAAATAATAAATTAAAATAATGTAAATTAAACTCATACATGTTAAACTTATTCTACTTAAATAAGTAGTTGTAAGAACTTTAATAGATGGGATAATAAACAAATTCATTTATGTCACTATCATGAATAATAATGTGTTACAATTAATATTAACACTTTTAAATAAGTAGATTGTTATATAAAGACAGTTAAGCTTCATCGATAGGATCCAAATAAAGGTTCGTGTGCTTCATGTGAAAAATCTGTTAGATTAATAACTGAATTTAGTGATATTCTTGGAATATTAATAATATCGTTGTTTTTGAGTTATTGAACCATTTACAATTTGTAAATATATAAATTTTAACAAAACTTATTTTTTATTAAGTTGATTCTATTAAAAATTATATAATTCTTGAATATTGTTATTATTATTATCCAATATTAGGATATTTGATTAAAATAGATTAAGAAATCATGAGTATCATTGAATGAAAAAAATCTGTTGAATTAAAAATATATAATCTTTATTATATTAAATTTTCGATGCTATCCTCTTTAATATGATAAATATTAATATGGTTGCAAATTAAATTACAAAAAAAAAATAATGTCAAGTGAATTCAGGTATACCATCTCGTTTGTAATTGATTAATTAGATTTTTAGAAAATTATATCACTTTATCGTCAGAAAGATCATTTTCTGCAACCTAAATAGCTTTTGATAGAGCATCAAAAAGTTATGACATGCTCTTATGTTGATACCAAGTGTTTGATTCTGCTGCTTTATTGCATTAAAAAGAGGCGTCTTTAATAAAATATCCTGGACAATCTGTTAAGTGATTTTTACATAAAATATCTCCATAATCAGTAATGAATGAAGGATTTCCACATTTTTTATGATGCCAAATTCTTTCAACTTTAGATTAACATACACAATCAGAAGGGCAGATGAATTTTAAAGGTAAAATTATTCGTTCTTGCTAATTAAGTCCTCCCTTTGGTACACTACAAGGATCATAAGGTCCTGGATTTTATTACCTAGAATCAGCCATTTTAGGAAAATATTCAAATAATAAAAAAGCAATAATGAATAATCGAAATAAATATCAAAGTATTATTCTATTGGATTTTATTCTATTAAATATATTAATAATTCTGAATAATCATATGAATTGTAATTAAAATGATTATACCTTTAAAACTTCAAACTAAATATTCTGAAGCTAACAATAACATTGAATTCATTAGACCAAAATTTCTAATTGTGTTCATTTAAATTATCTAAAAATATTTCTTTTCTTTGTCTTGATAGATTACAATGAGAAAACTATAGACAACAATAGAATAATTCAATAATTATATAGTTTTTATAATGATTTTATTATAAAATGATGAATATAAATATCAATATTAAGCTTTCTTAGTTTATACTATTTTTATCATTGTTTATTAGGTTAAATTTAAAAATTAAGATGATTTCAATTATTATAATTATTTTCCATCAAATGAAAATATGGAATTTATACCTCCTTATGCATAATTATTAACAATCATTTAACATAGTTATTTTGAACCAAAATTATTATATTATATCTTTTATGAAGCTTGTTTAGCTTAATTTAAATCTTAAATAATTCCAATACATTTATAAACTACTTTATTATTATTTTTCTATATTTGTATCATCATATTATCTAATAATCTTTAAGCTTCTATAAAATTATTTTAATCACAAGCTTATTTTGCATTATCAATAGTTTCTGTACCTTTTACTCTTAAATATTGAGAATAAACATCAGTACATTCTTCAATAACATCTACACTTTCTTCTTAATTAAATAGAGTTAAATTAAGTGTAGCAAGATTTTGTAATAATTTCTCCAATTATAGGATCTTTCATACTTAAACTGGCTTCTAGTACTTTTACATCACTTTCATGATCTAAGAATTATACACTTGAAAATCATAAATAACAAGAAGATGTTAAGTATAAAGCTTATTTATTTACTGAAAGAATGGATTAACTTATTATCCTCTATAATATCAGATAAATTTCATCATCCAATTCAAATTATTAAATTTAGGAAATAAGAATCTTGAAAATAAATTAGTTTTTGGAAAATTCGGATGTGAAATTTGAGTATTAAGTATACAATCATCTATTCTTTTGTATTAAAGATACTAAAATCACTAATAAAACTAAATTTAAATCCAAGATTATGATGAAAAGACATTATGCAAGGGGACTATGTCTATTCTTATAGAGATGATGTTGTAATGGAGTGTATCTCAAAGAAAATAGAAATTATTCATTAGAACTGTCTATGACTCTAATGTTGTGGATATTAAATCCGATGAAAAATGGTTTAGGCAGAGTTTATGATAGAGAATTAAACAAAAAGAATTACTTTTAAGTAACTAAAGATTGGATTTCAGATATTAAATATCACCAAATAAGTTCATTTATTAAACACATAGATTTCAGTGTAGAGAGTAAAAAATTAATATTCGCATGTGGTAGTTATGATTTAATCTTTTAGGCAATGACTATTAGTAAATAGGTTAATTTATAGAGAATTCCTTTATCTTTAAAATATTGAAATCCATTCATTAATAAGAAATCTGAGGTCATTACTCCCAACTTTCATAAATATGTATAATTTTAGTAAGTATTGGAAAACATGAGTATAATTGGAGAGTCATCAAGAAATTATGATATTTATGTTGAATTTATCAGAATTGGTTTTAACTTCATAATCTAATATATTTTTAATTATTAATGTTAACAATTATATTTTTATATATTTATATTATATTAATATACTTAATTCAATCATTAATATAATTATATTTTTTTTTTAACTTATGGATTAACAAGATTATCACAAAATAGATCCAACTATCATAGAAGACCCAATGTTGGATGATGGATATACTAGGTATACAATTTAGTTTTATAATTAATTTAGAAAATTTGGTGCATACAAACCTAAATTTCATGGAACTACTCCAGGTTATTACCCTTTTGAATGCATTGATTACTTTTATGTTGTGTTGATGACATTATTTACATGGGGAATTTGTTTGCCTATTTGGTATGGATTAATTGAAGCTGGTATGTACTTTATATCTAAAAATAGCTAAGGCAAATTCAAAATAATATGCAATTGTTTGTGCAGTTGTCTTTGTAGGATTCTATGTTATCTAAGCCTTAGCTACATATTATGGTGGTAGAATGAAGAAAGTGATTGAAAATCAAATGATTGAGGATAAATTAAAAGAGATGTAACAGAAAGAACTTGAGAAGTAAAAACTTCTAGCTGCAATTTGATTATTAATATTATGTATTCACAGTATCATGATCTTATATATTCTGTTTAGTTATAATATATCAATACTGTAGATTAATCTTTATTATATGTTTTATTAATAATTCAAAGAATACCCTAAAAATTCATAAAGAGAGAAAACTCAATAAGAACGTAAGACAATCAAATCAATGGATTGGAATTGTAATGGAAGTTATTTAGCTACATCAAGTGATTCTACAATTAAAATTTGGTCTTTTGATGGAAATAATATTAAGAGATCAACTGATTTAAAGTAAGGATCAGAATAATTGGAGAAGTTGTTATTTCATCCAACACAACCAGACATTATAGCTTCTATAACAAAGGAGTATGTGAAGATATGGGATATTCGTACAAAATAAAGTGTAAGATAAGAGAAGAAGGAATAAATGGGTATTGCTTGTTGGAGTCCTAATGGTAATGAATTGGCAGTGGGTACTAAATAGAATAAGGAAACATAGATAATGTTTTTAGATATGTAAGGAGGAGAGAGATAAATAATGTATTAACCAAAAGATAAGGATAAGAATTTTGAATTGAAGAATATTATGTATGATAAAGACGTGTTTGTAGCAGTTGGTCAACAAAATGGAGTTGGTATGATATAATTTATGGATGTTAATAATCCTTAATTACCTCCTCTTCATTAAATGGAAGCTCATAGAGCTAGTATTACTTAATGTAAATTCAGTAAGGATGGTTAACATATGTATACTGGAGCATAGGATTCTTTGATTATATTATGGCAATTACCAGATTTATTATGTGCAGGATAATTAATGACAGTTGAATCAGAGATTAAATCGATATCTGTTTTTGACAGTAAATACATAGCAGCAATTGGTTTGGAAGAATAAGCTTATATCTATTAGATAGACAGATGTTTAGCTGGTAAGACAGATCATATAGATTCTATAAAATTAGAAGGATAACCATCTGAAATTTGTTTCCATCCAAATAAATTTATTTTGGCAATAGTATGTTAGGATAAGAATAAATAGGAAAGTGTGATACATTTATATGGTAATTTAGGGGTTTGATTATTTATATGATATATTTTAATTATTTAGTTGATATATGGATTTAAAAATGTGAATTTGTAAATAATATCATTTCTTTTTTGATTTACGTTTCTCCAAAAATTTCTTCATCCAAATATGTTCCTTTACTTGTTAGAGTGATAATCTTTTAATGGGATCTACTTCAAATAATCCAGCAATAAGTTCTTTTACATCATCATTTACACATTGCCAAAATTCATCTTAAATATCATAATTGCCATCAATAATATTCTCTTTGATTTCTAATAGTATTTCAGAATAGAAAGGTGCATAACCACATATCATAAAATATAAAACTCCACCTAAAGCAAAATTATCAATTTTAGATGTCAATTCTTTACATTATTAATACACTTCAGGTGCAATATAATTCATAGTTCCACATTCAAAGTTCTCTTTTCTCTCATTTAATATAGATAAATAATTAGCAAATCCAAAATCAATTATCTTCACCTATTTAATAGTATTCTAATTCAAAATTATCATTATATTCTCTGGTTTTATATCACGATGTACAATTCCCATTGAATGTATACATTACAATGCTTCAATCAATTAAGATAAAACCAAAGCAGCCTCTTCTTCAGCCAAATATTTCTTCTCTTCTACATAATCATAGAGATCTCCATCCTTTATTAATTCTGTAACTAAGTAGATGTGACTTCTATTTTCAAAACTTTCAACTAATCTTACAATATATGGATGATTTATTAATTTCATAATTTCAACTTCATGTTTTATAGCTTCTACTTAATTCTATGAAATCTATTATTTATTAATGATCTTCAAAGCATATGTCTCCTTTGTCTATTTGTCCTAACATTTATACACCATAGACGATTGACCCTACCCAATCTTCTCTAATATAGAATACTTTTTGCTTATCTCCCCACTCCAATAATACTATCATAATTACTTATTATAAGCTTGTAATGCATTCTACCATAATCTAAATTACTTATCATCAGAACATTCATAATTCTTACTCTTATACTATTTTCCAACATGTAATACTTCAAAACCATACTTCTAAACTTATTGGTGTACTTTTTCCTCAATTATCAAACCCTACAAACAAATTACTTTTGAAGGGTTTTCTCCTTTTTTTCGAAACTCTAAAAGGACATGGGGATAAAGTTCACAATATTTCTATTTTATTTCTTTTTTCTTTGAAATTCTATATAAGTCTCCTGACATTATCAACATTCTATTTTGTATTCATCGCATTCTTACAGTTATTTATAATTAGGCTATTTATCTGTGATCCCCCAAATATTATAATTAAATGCTGCATAAAGAGGTTGGATTAAGTTGGGATGTTTTGCAATAAATGCCTAGAATTCTTGCAATGATAATAATTAATCATTCTTATTTTTATACACTAAGTCAACATATTTCTTTATCAATAGACTTTAATTAACACACATTTCAATCTTTTAACCATCAATCTAATTTATTTATATAATATACTTAAGCTGTTATTAATAATCCAAATCTTTTTTGAGATATACCATTTTCTTAGATCATGCTATCTTATACAAAAAGGGCATCAGATTATTTAGAAAAACAACTCTATAAACCTTCTGAAATTATTTTATTTGAACTCTCATATTATTATTCAGAAATATTCTAGCTCTATTTTCTAAATTATTAGACTTTTTCATTATTCAATTATATATACCTGACAATTCCAATAGATCTGCACTATTCTTATATTTTTTATGACGATGTTTACGTCTATTACCAAAATCATCAATAATCAAAGATTCATCTAAAAATAGTTAATCTTCACAAATCTTCTTTAATTCATATTGAGGATAATTCTACATCTATTTTTATTTAACACTTAACATACCATCTATAAAAAGTCACTCTTTGCTATACCCTTTTAGTTTTGTAAATCATAAAGTTAATACAAATTCACAATTCTTTATTCATCTGAGCACTTAATGTACATTTCCATTCCTGCTAAAAACTCATCAAAATTCATGTAATCTTCTTGCTTATTTGTGAACTTGTTAAATATTTGTTCTCCCCAAAATCCCTACATTAATAATCTATATGCTACAAACTATTATTTAAAAGAAGGTATTGAATGTATCTCTACTTAACAATGAATTATTTTATCTGGAAGCTAAGTCTTTGAAAATAAGAGTAAGCATATCCAGTTCAAATTGTTCAACTACACTCTAATTTCAATGTTTACATTTTCCCAAGTATTTTTGAGCAATCAATTTATGAGTACTGCTTTTCTTTGGTCTTCTTTGGATTCCACATTGTAAGGTACTTCCCATAAGTTAATAAATAATCAATATTTTTTTTTTTACCGTAATTTTAAACTCAAACCAAAAATCATTCAACTAAAGACACTCATCAAGTCATGAATTACAAAATCTAACTATACCCTTTTACATTCAATTTTAATATTCCTTAATAAAAAGCACTGAATTTATGAACATATACATTCTTAAATTTTATAAACATAATTCATTCCTTATCAGATTTCAGTACCAATTAACTATCTTTTAATTTCCCAATTCATCTTAGAAATTTTAATTTTAATTTAAATTTCCCATATACCATACTATAACTATTTATCACTTGTATCTCATGATAGAATAATTATACAAAATCCAATAATGAAGAACATTTTAAATTACATATATAATTTGACCATTATTATATTTTTTAAATATAGTTATTTCTAACATCCTTTTTTATTTATTTTTGTTAATTCTTACAACTTTTAAAGATCATTATTATTTTATTATAATATGAATACTAAAATTAAAAGACAATCTCATATGAATTACTTTAATTAAATTAATTTAACTGTCATATGAACAAATTAGTTGTATAACAAGTTAAGAGTATTTTCAATAGTCTTCCTAATAAAGATTTAGATAAACTATTAAATTTGTTACTTGCTGCAGGAATTACTAAAAATTAAAAATAAGTTGGTTATAAATGTGTAGAATGTAGTATAATGTATGAATAATTAAATAAATTAAAAGGTTTAAAGGTATTAATGCAAGTGGTTTTGGAAGAGATGAAGTAGAAGCTGTTCATATTTGTTTAAAAAATTTTATTGAATAAATGTTAGAAGAAGAAGGACATTTAATATTCTTGAGAAATATTTTAAGAGAACTTAAATAACTAGATTTCTAAGAATAAGATATAGAATAATTATAATAGAAAATAGGCAATATATCAATCATCTAAAATAATCAAAATTATTAAACTGTAGATAGTTTGTTAAATGGAGAAAATGAATAAATTTTAGGATAAATTGTTGATAATAAGTCTAAAAAATTTGAAACATTATAAGACAATAGCAATAAAGAGAACATTTCAAATTAATATCAGAAATGTTGTAATCATGAATAAGAATTAAAAAAAGAGAAAATGAGAGTTGAACATTTAGAATTAAGAATTAAATTGATTTTAGAAGAAAATAGAATTTTGAAATCATTACTTAATGAAAAGAAAGAGACTACAAGATAAGATAGCAATAGAGAAGGTGATACGAAAAGGATTCGTTAATAAGTTAGATCTAGTAGTGTAAAAATGAGTAAAATTTAGTAAATAAATGGAGTGCCTAAACTAAATCTGGATGCACTTCCAACCTATATGGGTAAATAGAAAGCATTATTTTGATGATTTTTTCTATCTAATTAGTTTTATTGATTCATTTCTTATTAGAAATTTGGATTGTCTATTTCTTAATATTTTTGCTTTGAAATTATTAAATAATTTATGAATTTCTAGTAGATATAGTTTAAATTGTATTAGTTTTACTAGGCTATTAGGAGTATATATTAAGACCTCTTCCCTTTTTCAATTAGATCCTTTTCTTTATCTTCTTTCTTAAAATATATTACCTAATACATTTAATGATCAACTTTATTGCTCTTTTTCTTTTAATTAATCTTCTATATCTCTTTCTTTATAAAAACCCTTTTATAAATGCTTATAATCTAATAAATTTCTTTAGTCGTTTGAGTCTACGTACATATCTTTTAGATTTGATCACAAGTCTAAATGACTATATTTTCATAATAGACTTTAGCCTTTAAAATCCAATATACCAAATATTAAACATAGCTACTCTTGATTTATGTCTATAGTAAATTTTTGTTAATTTATTTAATCCATTTTGAATAATACATAGTTTCTATTATTTTTTTGCTAATATTATTCTCATTAAACATTATAATAAAATAGATGATTATTCTTATTCCAATCTTTTTCTTAATTTTATAGCTTTAAATCTTTTGTAATTTTTCTAAATTACTATAGATGATGTATGATTTTTAAGTAATTTCTTGTATTTCTTTTTTTAAATAAAACTAAATTAATGATAATATGATGAATACCATTTTATAATTGAATTGATTTTAATACTTTATTTAATTCTCTTTCTATATAATGATTTCCACCATCTTTGTATCTATTTATATTTATGTAGTTTGTATTTCAATTAATTAGCTACTTTAGATGATATTTTAAATGAGATTAATTATTCTAAATACAAAAGTGCTAATTCTCTTTTTAATTATTATTTAATTTATATTGATTGATTATATCTAAATCTACATTAGATTTTAATTGCCATTTTTGATCTTTTTAAATGATATTTCCTCTTTTTAGCTAGAAATCCTCTAATAAGTATTTATATTTTTCTTGCTGAATAATAATTTTTTAATCTTATCCTTAATAATTTAGAAAGCATTCTCCTTACATATTTTTAGATAACAATAGCATATTTTGTATCTCTTAAAAACCATTTTATCTTTTTAGCTTTGTACATTCTATAAAATTTTTAAATCATTAAAGCTGCAAGTGATTCTATATATCTTTTATCAATCATCTTTTCTCTTTTAATATTACATTTCTATCCCCATAATTCTAATTAATTATCATTCTATTATTAATTATTATAAGTTTATTATTCATCAATTAATAATTCATAATAGTATTTTTTAGGTCTAATAAATTCATCACCAAATATTATATTAAACATACTCTCAGCCATAGAATCCAACATTTCATGTAACCAATCTGCTCTTTCTGAACATGCTGGTGATAGATTTACTTCTAATAACCATGGTTTACAATATTCATCTAACATAATATCAAATCCAAATAATTCAAAACAATATTTAGATTCACTTTCAAATTGATCTTACAATATTTTTAGTGTTTTAATAATTAAATCATTGCATTATGGTCTAACTATCTTTTACCAATCAACAGGAAGCCATAACTACATAAAATCACTACTGTAAATTGAATCATTTTTACTAATGTATTATTATTATTGCTCAATTACTTCTTAAATTCTGATTTATTTAAAGAGAAATTTGTCAAATGCTTTAATAAATTCTTTGTATCTTTTATATCATATGTTTAACTACACATTCTCATATAGCAATGACTAAAAACATATGCTTATAATGGTTAAAAACTCTTTACTAAAACCCATTATCTCAAATCAAACTTAAATCCCTTATATAATAATGGTCTTTCTATATACTTTTACACTAATCTAGCTTACATTTATTAACCACTATTAATTGCTTCTTTAATATCCTTCTCTAAATAAATTCCTTATCCTCTTGCACATCCTCCTGGTTTAATAATCCAAATATTATTAACCCCATCAACCTTATAAGCTGAATCATATTTTTTTAAAAACAAATGATATCTATATAACTTTCTAATTAAAAATTTGCTTGGATTTTAACCTTTATCAAATTTCTAAATCTGTGAATATAGAATTATACTAAATTATTTATATATATTACTTAATTCTACTTTTTGATATATATTGATGACTCAATTCAAAATTCTTATCATCATAAAATCCATCCTTCATTTATCTTTTCATATCTGAAAGTCTAGATAACACTTCAGACATAATAGAACAATCAAATTTAATATCAGATGCTTAAGATGAATCTTACAATTCTTATGCTGTATAAATGTTTTTGTATTTCCTTTTTACAGTTTTTTTCATTTCAATTCTTCTAATCTTTAAGTTGTCTTCCTTCTTTTTCCATTCCTAAAATATTACTTCTTTTATCTTCTTCATTTCATTTTTCCTCTTTAATTTTAATGCTATTATTGCCTTTTTTAATATTATAGTAACAGCAGTTCTTTCATATTCTTTAATGAAATCCTCTCTATCTGTTATATTTCCTAAATCAAATGCCCTTGGAAAGAAAGTACTTGTATCATATCCATATTCACATTAATTCTTGAAATTTGATAATAAACATGATTTTGTTGTAAGTTCTTTGGTGTTACTAAAATGATTGTAAAATTATCCATCCTATAATATTTTATAATCATCAGGATTCTCAGTATAAACCCATTTAAGATCAAAAATTTATTAATTACAAGATATTTCAAGCCAACCATGTCTTTATAAACATCTTCTAACATATTCATCTTATGAATTAAAACAAAACATTTTAGTTGCTAATGTAATATTCTATCTTTTTAAATAATCATTCATTAAAGAACGATTACTAAAGTAAGCCGTATTCTTCACCAATGGTTCAACAATTTGCTTCTTTGTTTGAGACTACAACCTTTATTATTCTTAAGAAATTATAGTTTCTATGCTACATGATTGTCTTGATAGATGTGACTATGATAAAGGATTCTAAATAGCTTGTTTCATCAATTTCCTATATATTCATACTCAAATTATACAGAGGAGTCTCCAATGAATCTTTAGATTATCTCTTTATTTCTGGCAATAGTGGTAATTGAGTAGTTATTTTTTATTTTGGTGTAATTTATTATTTCATATATAATAATAACTGTTTATGAGAACTTCATATACATTCATCATTTATTTAGGAATCTATAATTCTTTTTATTTTTTTGTATATAAAACAATTTGATTGCTGTGAAGTATAAACTAGTTTGGAATTAATAATCAAGATGGTAATACTATTTCACTTTTTTATGATTCTTACAATTTTGATTAAAAATTCTTTGAAAACTATAGAATTACATTAATAAATTATTATTCTCTAATTAATATATAAATATATTCATTTTCTGAGGTAAGATCTATCAATTATTATAAAATGCATTAAATGTCAATTTCAGAAAAGTATTATAAATTGAGTATAAAAAGATTAAAATAAAAAATCCAATAATATTAATATATTAATCAAATTTATACAGTGAATTTATATTAATGTACATTCAAACTGAGAAATAGATTACAAATTTTAGAAAATAAGTAATTCTTATTTAGGTTAAGGTTCAAATGAAATAAGATTAATGATTTAATTATTATAAATTGAATCCATTAATAAGTTATTCCTTTTTAATATGTTTACATAAAATAATTACTATTTTGATTGATTATTTATTATCTAAAAGCAAAGATTAAGATATTGTAATTAAAAATGTTATATTCATTATTGATAATTACTTTATATCTAAAGGAAATTTAATAAAATCAAACTATAATTTATTATAAATATAAAGTTAATAATAAATGGAATTTAATTTTAAATAATTGAATATATTATTTAATTTATTTTTCAAAATATTTTGCAACACATCTTTTCTTACTGTTCTTAAGGTTATTATCGAATTTCAATCTTTGCAGAAGGTCTCTTATCTTAAGTAGATTATAATTAAGGTTATGTTATAGTTGGTTATTCAGTAACCTTTACTATTCCATTTAATTTATCCTATATATCAATAGCAGACATTATCAATTTAGTAAATATACTCATACTTCGATCCATTCCTAAATTTTCAGTTGCTGAACATTCAGAATAATAGACATTTTATGGAAGTCGTTTAGTTGCAAATTCTATAATATGATCATCATTCCATTTTTCAGATTAACGAATTCCACTTATTGGATGTGCATTTTTTGAACCAAAGACTGCTACTTTATATTCTGAACATTTTTCATTAATCTAATTAATTATTTCATTGTATTTTGGACATTTTCTCTCTAAATCTCCCATAGTTCCTAAGAAATAATAATATGCATTTGTTTATTTAGCATTCTTCACACATAATTAAAACCATGTATTCAATGCATTTTCTAAGGTCACCATGTTATTTAAAGAGAATGCTATAATGTAAATGTTGCTTTAGAGTAGAAATGCTCTAATCATGGCACTATAGATCAAATCAATATAATAACATATTCTTTATTTCTCCAGAAGTAATCCAAACATGAATTTTTTATGTAATCTTATTAGGTAACATAATTCTTGAAATAAAGAAATCTACAGATTAAATTTATTTATCGTTAACTTTAGATTCAATATTAAGAAGACACTCCATTAATTTACTTTTACCTACAGATTGATCTCCAATCAAGATTACTCTATGTAGATCATTTGCATTTACTTTATTTTTCTTTCCTTTTATTCACATAAAATAGAAACGCTGTCCTATTCCATATCAATCAATTATTTATATAATTATAAACAATGAATTTATTTTTCATTTATTAAATAATTTTTCATAAAGATCTTTAAACTCTTTTTCTAAACCTGATGAAGTTAGTAATTTCTCTTCAATTTTAAATGGATCAAATATATGATGACTTAATTAAAGTGGTTAAAAACAATGTAATAATCTAATTAACATTTTAAATAGTTTAGAGTTTTCTTCTTATGTAATTGGCTTATTCTTATAATGTGATAAAATGTGCATCAATATTTAACTATAAATTTCATTGTATGTTTAACAAAACTTTTGATTATTTTCATCTTATTCAAGTGCCTCAATTATATTATTAAACTATTTTAAATAAACTTATATTTACCTTATTTTAATTTTCATTCTTCTATTCAGAAATTAAGAATTTATCAAATTTCTCTTTAGTTTGATTATAAAATTATTTCTAATTCTCATAATTTTTCTTATAATTTTGAAGTATTGAATAATATTTATCACTTTTCTTAAATAACTCAAAATCAGAAGGAAGAATTTATATTGAGAACAAACTCTAATCTAGACATTATTAGAATTTACCTATCCTTTAAGGATTCCTTAATAGAATTTCAATTCATTCACCATGTACTTTATAGTAATTATCAAAAAACTTAATTATTACTCCCTAGAAAACATTACAGCATCACGAAGTATTTATACATCTATGATTATCTATCTGATGAACTATAAAATATCTAAAATATAAATGAAATATTAATAAATATTTTCCACCTTATTTTCATTTTAAAGTGTTTATTTCATTATAATAGCTTTCTATTCACTTATTTAATCTAAAATTTCATTATTTTAAGGTATTATTAAATGTAATAGATTTTCTGCAAATAATTCATCCCAAAACATTCTTTTATCAGGATTCACAACAAGCATTTTCTTCAATAAATCTATAATATCTCCAGGAATTTTCTTATTTTCTGGACATTCAAGAACATCAATTTTTTATTCTTTATAATTTACTTATTTCAATATCTCTACTGGAAGTGAACCATATATCATATAATAAAATATTAATCCTAAAGACCAAATATCTGCTTTAGATGAAAAATGACCAGTCCTAATTTCTGGTGCTGCATAATAAGGTGTTCCAACTCCTGATTGAAGAATAGTTTAATCAAGATCATCTAAAAATTTAGAAAACCCAAAATCTCCTATTTTAGCAATTTTTTTTGAAAATAGAATATTTTCTGGTTTTAGATCTCTATGAATTATATTTTTATCTCTTAATTCTTTATATCCATTTACAACTTATTTAAAAATTTATAGTGCCTCCTCTTATGGAAGTGCCCCTTTTTCTAATTTTTTTTGAAGATTTCCCCCTTCACAAAACTCTAATATAAAACAACAATTATCATCATCCTCAATTACATCAATCATTCTAATTATATAAAAAAAACAATACTTTACGACATTAGGACTTTATAATTACTATTAATTAACTTTCTCTCTATTTATATAATCTTATATAAAATTCTTTCGATTCTTTTTGTTTTAAAATTTCTTCTTATCAATAATCTTAATTGCAATTAATTCATTCTTATTATCAAACATATGCCCTTTATAAACAGATGCAAAACTTCCCTTCAATATATGTATTTATTCAATTTTACTTATCCAAGCATTTGGTTTAAATTTACTACGTATTTATTTTAAAGTACTTCGATACTTTAATCCTCATTACTCATTCAAAATTAAAAATAATATTAATATAAATAAATATATTTTATCTGAATTTTATAAATCATAATTTCATAAGACAATCAATTCGGTGATTGACTAATGATTTAAATTGCCTTGAGAAAGTTTCTATCAGAAAGGATGAAATATAAATCTCTTGTTTAAAAAGAAGAAAGAATCAAAATAAAAAATGGTTGAAGCTTTTGTGACTTTTGGTTTCTAAAGAAAATATCATAATTTGATATCAGCCATAAGAATCAAATTACTCAATAATTAAACTGATGAATTATTTCAGATAAATTTCTTATATAATGGCATCATCACAAATAGGAGGAAATATTCGGATTGGTGAGGATGAAACCAAAATTATTAAAAATAGAATCAATTACTTACAAGTAATGAAAAGAGGGGACTTTAATTTGGCGTTATGATAAATTAAAACTTGCCCAACAACTATGGAAGCTATCCTTAGAAAATTGATAAATATAAATAAATTAAGGATAGGAAGAATAAAACTAAAAATTATTCCAAGAAAAAGGAATAAGAAGTGAACATTTAGACAGCGATCCTCATCTTACAGATTTTGAGTCAAAAAAGTAGATGTCATTAGAAAACAGTATGTAAGCCTCATCAAGTTTTGTGAATTGAGTCAAATTAAGAAAAGAATAACAATATACCTAAGTAGAATTTCATAATATTTTCAAAATATTTATTAATATAAATGGTTTTTATTTCTTCAATAATTTACTCCTTTTCTAAATTGCAGAATAACTTTTCTATATGATTATTAATATTAATTGCTAAAATTTGCTTATACATATTGAATATTTCATTTATTTTTATTATTCAATATATTTTTTATCCACTAATTTATTATAAGTAATTTATACATTTTCTCAAATATTAAGTTGTCATCTTAAATCTATATTTTCATAATATCCCATTATCCCACTTTTTCTCCATCTTAAAATGATCCTATGTATGTAATTAGGTTATACCTAAATATTTAAATTGAAACTTACATAAAAAAATTATCGCTCAGTAATGTCCATTTACCATGTTTTTAACAATTTTTATTATATAATCCTCCACCTCTAATTTATTTATATTACTTATAAAAAATGTACATTTAAATGCCTTAAAAGTAACTATCCCATCTTCCAACCTTTTTATTATTTAAGTATTCCCCTTTATAAGTATTTTGACAAAAACTATAATATTATACTTAATTTAGATACTTCAAGAATCTAAAATATCTATAAATAAAATAGGGATTTTAGTAGAATAAAAGGAATTTTGTAATTCTGTAGTTTTTAATAAGCAAGGATCAATTATGGTATCTACTTGTGATAGTTAGATAAAAATATGGGAATTTTAAAGAGGAGTACTTAAATTAGTTTACTCTTTATAAGGTCATGAAAAATTTGTGCAAATCTTATATATTAGGAATTTGAATACTTATTTAATTTCATGTTCAGATTAGATTATAAAATTATGGAAATTATTTAATAATTGGTAATGTTTAGAAACTATTAGCCTAGGATAAGTTAATATGACTTGTATTGTAACAGATTCAACAGAGAAATTAATAATATTCGGAAGCGCTGATAATTCGATTTAAACTTGGCAGCTTAATCAAAATAATAATTTAAGCAAAACATGTAGTCTTATGAAACATAGCCGATAAGTTAATTTATTAAGTCTAAATTAATCAGAAACTCTTTTAGTATCTTGTGGAGTATCTTGTCCACAAGACAGGGATTAAATTATAGTATGGGAAAGAACGAAAAGTTAAGAAAATCCCTTTCAATTCAAATACTTTGTTAGATAAAATTTAGATATAAAAGGACCCTAAATTAAATTTATAAATAATGAACAATTTGTTTTAATTAGTAGTGATAATAATAAAGTATTATTGTTTGAAGATTGTAAAGGAGAATTAATACAAAATTTTGGAAAGGATGTTGAGTTATCCACTATAGGTAATTCTGAACGTTTATTTCCAATTTAATACAATATTTAGAAGAAATTATTATATTTCAAGATCAAATCTTGTATCTATATCTTAGATAGTAATTTATAATTATAATCATTTTTAAAATCAAATGGAGAGAATATTTAAGGATGTGTGACATATGATGGGAAGTATTTAGTTTATTGGGATGGTAAAAATAAAGGATATTCAATATTTGAAATTTCATATCTTTGACCCCTTATATATATAAATCATATATACTAAAAACACACAATCATATAAAAAATGATCTTATTCTGATCTTTATTTTTGATAATAAATGATATATTTATTCGTAATAAGAAAGTTAAATTTAAATATTATTTTTTATAATCTTATTTACTTTTCAAAATTATTCTAGAATTGATGATGTAAATAAAATATTCTCTTAATTTGATAACTAATTAATCATCATTTATATAAGTATATTTAATTTTCATAATAATTATAAATTAGTTGTACAATATTTCTTTTATATAATTATTAATATATATATATATCCTCTTATTAACAGATGATAAAAACAAAGTATAATTTATTGGAATACTATTATTAAATAATTATACTTAAAATTTAAATTAAAAAAAGTAATAATGGAGAGGTATTCATGTTGTGTGTTATTTTAATAAAAAAGATTTAATTTATTTTGAAATATTCAAGAAGATGACATTCATAGTAAAAACCAGGAAGGTACTCTTAAACAAACTTTTGAACAGAAGACAATTAGTAAAGTGATCAATTAACTTTAGAGTGTTGAATTACTTCATCCAAATAAGCCAACTCCTTCATAAGAATCAGTTGTTAAGGAATTAGCAAGCAAATACAAGGCAGATGAAAGAAATGTTGTAGTCTATGGTCTTAAAACAACATTTGGAGGTAATAGAACAACTGGATTTGCTTTGATCTACGATACATAATAGTATTGAGTTTACAATTAATATAGATATCTTCTTAAATTTGAACCAAAATTCAGATTGAGAAGAAGAGGTATCATTCCAAAGAGAGATGGTAGCAGAAAAGGATGGAAAGAAGTCAAGTCTAAGTTAAAGAAAACCAGAGGTTCTGAAAAAACAAAGATTTACATTTCAAGAAAGACAGATAAGAGAGAAGTCATCAGAGCTTAAAAGGAAACTTACCTTAAAGGTTTTGTTGGAAAATGAGTGCATTTATACCACATTTAATAGTACATTATAAATAAATATAAATATTATTTTATATTGTTATTTAATTAATCTTCATTTAAACTTTTCTTATTCTAATCCTAACTTCTCTGTTGTACTATGATAATTAATGATACGAATTAGTTTTTCAAATAGATTTGGCAATTTATCATTAAAATGATCTTTAAACTTATTCATATTCTCTTATTTTTAAAGAAGCATAATCTTTTCAGGACCAATAGCATTTTTAATATAAACCTCAAAGTTTTCTAATTTATCAGTCTTATCTTCATTTTCAATGATTTCAACATTAGGAAATAATTCTTTGAGAAGATTTGTTACATATTCTGTTTTTTCAATAAAATCTTTCTCTTAATGTCTAGTTGTTTATTGATGTTTATCACAATTTTAACATCTTGTAATATTGATATAGAATTTGCCTAGATTCCAACTATCAGGAACTTAAGGTAAACTCAAAGTTTCCAATTCTGTTTCTGGATCCATTTCAAGTGGCTAATATAATTAATAATAATATTATTACAGGAATTTCTTCAAGTATTTTCTTAGAAGTTTATATCACAATTCTTATTTATTTATCTTATATATTAAATTTGACTATTTTTTCATTTTCTTATAATTCTACTTCATGACTTAATGTTATTTCACTTTATTCACTCAATAATAAAGAATTTGTCTCTGTTTTGATTTCATTTATTTATGAATCATTAGAAAAAATAAAACTTATCTTTCTTTAATTGCTTAAATTTAATGTACCTACAAATGCTGCTGGTAAATATTCAAGAGGGAAGGTTTATACAGATTCATTTTTTTATTTGACTTCTAATTGAATTTCTTATTCATTTTTTATTATTGAAATTTCTGTAATTTCAACAGCATTTGATAATTCAACTTCTTATTCTTCTGTACCTGTTGATTTTATGATTATTTCTTTATAAGTATATCTATATGATTCAATTATTTATGGTGGTTATGGTTCACCTTTTTCTTAATCTTTCCTCTTCTTTAAATCACCTCTAGGCATAATACATTCTCTTAAAACAATCAGAAAGTGATCATAATGAATATATTGTTCTTTATCACTTGTATAGATGACTTCCATTAATTCACATAAATCATGTAATTCTTCAAATGTTACTCTTAATAATCCTACAAATTATATATATTTAAGAAATTGTTTATAAGGCATCATATAATATGGAGATAATTAAATTTTAGGTTTGATTATTTTATGAAATTTAGTAGGAGGTTATTCATCATTTCTTGGTGGTTATAATAATTATAATCCTAAACTAATATAATCATAATTTTCAATAAATGGACTTAATAATCTTTTATAATTGAAATTAGTATATAAAAACTTTTTGAGTTTATCTACTGAATATTTTCTACTCCATTAAGGTTACTCTTAAATTTCTTCCGGTTTAGTTTCTTCAGTTTTTGTTTAAGTATTTGCTAACTCATATTAATTAACTAATCCAGCTGGAATAGTTCTATTATTAATAATTACTGCTTATGTTGGAGGAGGAGATTTAGATCTACTTCCTGATTTTGGAGGAGATTATTCATGTTGTTAAATTAAAAAGAATATTAAATCTCCTGCAGATAAATAAGATATATTTTCTTTCTTCTATCCATATCTTCTACTCATTTTCTTAACTCCATTATATTTTTATTAAAATGTCTAATATACTTCTTTAAATATATTGATTCTTTATAAATTCTCTGTAATTACTAAACAATCTTTTAATACTAAATGATGAGTTGTGTATTTTCCAAATGATAATTAAGCTTCTGGGAAAATTAATGATGTTGAAATTGAAACTTAATCATCTCTAACTCCATTTAAACATAAACCCATATCCATATATTAACCAGATTCATTTAAAATAAGTGCTAATAATTAAAATTCTCCTAATTTTATTGGTAATTAAGATGTAACTGTTAATGGATTTTATTATTTAGTATTTTTTGGATGATTATTAGGAATAAATGTACTATATACTTATTTGCTATCTAAATAAACACCCATTTCTAAAAGTTTTTTATTTTCAGTACTAATTTTTAATATAGGAAGCATTTCTTTAGAATTAGTTCTATCAATTTTAACCCAAAAACATATTGTAAGATGTCCTTTAGATCTACTAAAATCAATATCTGAAAATTTCAATTATATTTCTTCATTTGTAGAATCTTTAGAAAATACCTTATCTTCAACAAAGATTTGTTAAAATGTATTATTTCTATGTAATGGAATTTAAGCTTATTTTGGAATTATTTTAATGTCTTTACTTTAATTCTAAAGAGCTTCTTCTAAAATTTCTATTTTGTCTAAACATTTTTATAATTCCTCATCAAGTTAAAGATTCTTTTTTTCCAATCCTTTGATTTATGTTAAATATATATCTTATTATTATTCTGATCTTTCTTTAAATTAATTATATTAAGTGTCATTATGTTTCTTATCCATTTCTAATTTAGCAAATTTATCTTTCCATTCTTTAAGTTCTTCAATTGTTTTATTTAATTAAATTTGTAATTCATTGTTTTATTTTTCTAATTAAACTTTTTCTTCATAAACTGTATTAATTTAACTAGCTATATCTTTTAATTCATCATAGTTTTTTTTTGATTCTAAATCTAATTTTAATTTTTCAATTTCAGTATTTAATAATTAAACTTCAGTTTTATCATTTTAAATATCTTCTATTTTTTATAATAATTATTATTTCTCCTTTTAAAATTCAATAATTTATTATTCATATTAAGAAATTATTTTCTTTAATTCTTAAATTTATTATTCCAATTCTAATTTTTCATTCTACAATTATTAAATTTATTTTGAATAATTTTCATTATCATTCATTAACTTTTTTAATTTATCAGATAAATCTTTATCTTAATCTTAAAATTCTTATAATTTATCATGCAATTTCTTTATTTCTTCATCTTTACCTTCAATAATCTTCTATTATTATTAGATTTCCTTTTAATGTTAGATTTTTAAATCTTCAATATCTTATTTTAATTTATTAATTTCAGAATATAATGAAAATGTTTTTTTAATTTCTTCATCTAATTATTATCTAAATTAATCTGAACTTTAATTAGCTTATGCAATTTATTCATTTAATCTATCCAATTTTCTATCTTAATCTTATTTTTCCCATTTTAAACCTTCCAATTCTTTTTTCATTTAAAATGCTTATTATTTAAGATCAGATATTTCATTATTTTATTCACCAATTTTATCCATTAACTAAGTACGTTCTTTAGATATTTCTTCATTTTATTATTCTGCATATTCTAAATCTTAATCTTTTTCTTAAACTTCCTAATTCAATCTAAGTATTTCAATAGAATTTGCTTATAAAGTTTATAACTATCTTTCATTTAATTCTGATAATTCTTTTATTTTAGCTACTGCCTATTCTACTTCATGTTCTTTCTATTAAACTAATAAATCAACTTATTATAATTGTATTTCTAATTAATTCAAATCTCTTTTATATTAAACACTTTATTTTTCTAATTCTTTATATTTCTTTTACCATCCTTTTTCTAATTCTTCTTTTTCTTATCTAGCTACATCATCAAAATTCTTTAATTAAGTTTCTAATAAATTAAGTTTATTCTATAATAATAATATTAATAATAATTTACATTTAATAATTTATTTTTTTTTTCTTATTCTTCTATTTCTTCTACTCTTTATTAAATTACTTTCTTTTATTTTGCAATTTCATCTTATAAATTTTATACTTTATTAACTCTAGTATCTAATAATTCAGCATGTAATTATTTTGATCTTCTTTATTCTTCTTCTAATTTTTCTGTTTTATTTCTCATCTCTTATTATAAAAATGCACTTTCACTATCTAATCGTTATAATTTCTTTTATAATTATTAAATTTATGTTTCTTTTTCTTTCAATGTTTCTTCCAATTTAGTAATTCTAATTTTAAATTATTCATCATGTGTATTACATTTTCTTTACCAATCTTATACTTCTAATTATTTCTCTCTTAATCTTCTATTTATTTATTCTAATGATTCATTTGACATTTATAATTTATGTAATGCATCATGAAGATCATTTTCAATACCTTACATTTTTAATAATTTTTCATATATTTCCTAATATTTAGATTACCAATCATCTCTTTACATTCCTAACATTTCTATTTCCTCTCTCATTTATAATTAATCCTTCTCTAATTCATTTTTTAATTATTATAAAGATAATAATTTTGATATCAAACCTTCACTATTATAATTCTTAACCATCCAAATAACATTCTCCAATTCATCCTTAGCTTTTATTGTTAATTATTCACTGGCTTCCTTAAATTGTTAAATAAACATATCTTACCAATTTAGAAATAAGATGTTTAACTTATATTTCAAAGTGACAATGATGATTGGGTCCTAATAGAGATTTAATCCCTATTATTGAATCTAATTAAACCAAACTAAGACTTTCTTCTTTCTTAGCATTCACTTATTTTGATTCATTACTTTAATTATTTACAAATACTACTTCTATTTATCTCTTGTACGTATTTAAGGAAATGAAGTACCCATTATTTAAGATCTCTAATAGAATCCTCCTCCAGATGTTTCTTTGGATGTTTTTAGAAAGTTTTGTGATTGAGGTTTCAAATTGAATGATTTAAGAGATTGACCACCACTTTTGATTTGACGCTCTTTTATATATAATTGAATAGTTACTATTTCTTCTTTAAGAATCTTGACTAGGGGATATACTTCTCTCACCGTATTTCCTACTTAAAGAATCTACTTGCCCTGATATTTAATCTAATCTTTCTTATGTATTCATTATTAATAAAAATAAAACTGTATTTTTGTTTATGTAAATAAAGAAAAGATTATTGCAAAATAATTCATGATTAACATATATAAATTAAAATATATTAAACCTAATTAAATGTAAGGGATTCTGATACAACAATAATAATTCACATAGTAATTAATGAGGATCATTTCAAAAGAGTTTGAGCCATCTGAAGGACTTGAATTAGAATTGAAACATGTAATGGAGTCTTTCTTTATAGAAATTAAACAACTAGAATATGAAATGAAAGAATCTATAGGTAAGTATTGTAATAATTGTGCAAAGTACAAGTAAAATAGCTAATCATACTAGATAATCAAATATTGATGAATTTCACGATGTATAGCATGATTAATGGAAACACCGTTATGATGAACTCAATACCGAGTTTCTTATCCTCAAAGCATGCAATCAACAAATTGAATTATAGAAATCAGAACTCTAATAGAAGTTAATAGATTAACGGACTAAATATGAAGAATTAAATAGATAAAAAAAAGAAGACAAAGATAATTATCGTCAATAATATGAAGCTCTAAAAAAGAAAGCTTAAGATAAAATTCATAGATTAAAAGATAAGCTAGTACTCTTTTAAACATAACTATAAACTTATGCAATAGAAAGTGAACATCTTAGAATTATAGCATCAGAAGGCAAAATTAATACTCCTCAAATATCCTCAGCCATTAAATTCAAATTAAAATCTATACTAAAAGAAGTACATTCTTTACGCAATTTATCAAACACACTCCTATTAGAAAATTCGAAAATTATTTTATAAGCTAAAGAATAATTATAATTCCTTAATTTCAAAAAAGATATTCAAGGCACAATCATAAGAAGAAATAATACTCCTCCAGAACCTGCAAAAATTAAGTAATATTATTCTCAAAGTCAATCTATACAAAATAGTCCAGATCGAAAACTCAAAACAGAAAAACCAAATATGATAAGAAAATTAAATGTTACTAGATCATCTATAAGTAAAAATTTATTAGCAGAATTTGATGCATCTGCTCAAATTACTAAATTTATTAAACAATACTATAATGCTGATTAATAATTAAGAAATAGCACAGGATTTCATACAAAATTGTTTTGATAATTAAATTAAGATTACATACTGTAATTATAAAACTCATTACTTTATCCAATATTATCTCACTCCTTCAAAATGTTTCACTGTTATATCCTATATTTTTATCTATTATGCCTCTCCATTTACGTAATTCTAACAACTTATCAACCCTGTTAAATTATTAAATTTCAACAAGTATAATTATGTTTTTAAACTTAAAGAAGATACTTGTTTCACTCTTTCTTCATTAAAGAATTCATCACATCCTAATATTGCACATAATTTAGTTAACTCGTTTTCTTTAAATGTTTTAGTTACTTCATTTTCTGATTAGACATCTAAAAATATTAATTCTATTATAATCATTTACTTAAAATTGATTCTGATTATTGATTTTTCATTATCAAAAAATGACCAATATTCTCATTATTCTTATTACTACTATAAATCAAACCAAATAACTAATGTTTACAATTTTTTAATTGTTTAAAATATTCATCAATTAATGATTAAGCTATTTTTATAGTGAATATTTATTTCTATTCTGGAATATCCTTAATCTCCTTTAAATTATTTTCAATTTTTTAGATTGCTTCATAATATTCATCCTATGAGTTAAATTCTCCTTCATCCTATATCTTTTTTACTTCTTAATTAATATTATCATCTTCCAAAAATTTAGCAAGTTTTAAATATTTCTCATTATATAATTTAAAGAGATTTTAGAAAGAGGGATAACTATAAAAAGCTTCCCTTAGTTGAGCATCATTATTTGAACACTTTTATATAAATAATACTCTTACATCTCCAAGTGCAATATTTTAACAAATCTCTTCGTCTGCCATATATATTTAATTATAATTAATTACTATAACTATTTAAATATTCTAAAACATCTAGAAATAAATAAATTAAATAATAAAAAATGCAACCTCCTGAAGAAGTATCCATTTAATTCATCACTAGAAACCAAAAGAAGAAGGAGAAGAAAAGCCAAAAGAAGAATAGTAACAGTAGTAACAATCCAAACAGTAAGAAAAGCCTCCTGCCAAGAATTATTTAGATTTATCTAATAAACCAATTCCACCAGATACAACTGTGATTCATTTTGAAGTTTGCATTAATTGCTAAAAATCACATTCGTTTTGTACATAACATGATGAACTTAGATATGCAAAATTATATCATGAGTTTAAAGAAGGTAACTTATGTTATTATATTATTATCTAGCTGTTGAAGCTGCTATTCCAAATTCATTTTGTGTAGTTAACCATTCAATTTAGAAACCATCTATTGGAGCATTTGAAATCACTCATTAAAGTAATAAATTCATTTATAAAGTAGATAAAATAATATATTCTAAAAAGAATTCTGGTTTATTTCCATGTGTTGCACCTACAGTAGAAAGAATTAAAAGATTTCTTGATGATCTAAAAAATGGTAAAGATGTTAAAGGTTATGCTACAACCAAAGAAAAGAAATAAGAGAAACCTATTGAAAAAAAATCAAAACCAACATTTTAAGCTTATATTAAAATGAAAGAAGAAGAATTTGCAAGATAAGAAGCTATTAGAGAAGAAAATGAAAGAAAAAGAAAAGAATAAGAAGAGAAAGAAGAAAAAGAAAGATAAGAAAGAGAAAGAATAGAAGCAGAAAATAAGAGAATTGCAGAAGAAGAAGCTGCTAAGAAAGCTGAAGAAGATAGATTAAAAAAAGAAGAAGAAGATAAAATTAAAGCTGAAGAAGAAAAAAAGAAAGCTGAAGAAGCTGCAAATAATCAATAAAATTAGGAAGGTGAAAAACCTCAAGAATAAGCTTAAGGTGAAAAACCAGCCTAATGAATTATTAAAATAGATAAATAATAAGATATATTTATGTATTTTTTATAATACTCATATCATAATCTATCTGTAGAGATAGCATTAACTTTAATGCCATCTTACAATGAAATTACATAAATTCTATAAGTCTTATTTCTATATTAAATATCTTCAGAAGCAAAAAATGTTTAATTTGTAATTTTGGAGAGTTATCCATCTTTGAATGCCTATTTCAGAATTTAATTTTATAGAATGGTTTATGAAATGACAGATAGACTGTCTCTCACTTTTAGATTTTTGAAATAAAATGGTATATGAGGGTAAGGACTTTAGCATGGTAATGATGTTTAATGAGCAAGAGCAGCAATTAAACCATCAAAACTAATAAATAATGTTTTAATAAATATTTCTGCTTCTTTATCTTATACAAAATCTTTGAAATAAGGTAATTATCTAACACTTAAATCATTTTAATTAATAGATAATAATTCTAATTTAAGTTCCTTTTCTGGAATGAAATGTTATTCACCATTTTCAAAAGTTTACTTTTAAAATATGTTTACAATTTTATGATAAGTTTCATCATTTTTAAAATGTGAATTACCTGCATTCTAAAAGATAATTAAATATAATTATTTACTAAACAATCTAAAATCCATTTATTTATTTTATCTTTCATATTGTATCCTCCTTTGAGTTAGAAACTAAGTGAATTAGGTAAATAAGTTGGATCATATTATATATGTTTTTCTTTTTTTGGTAATTTATTTTTCTTTTCATTAACAATAACATCTTCACTTTACTTTCTCACAACATCATCTACTTTTATTGGTTAATGTTTAGTTATTTTTGTGACTTTAGGAAATAATTAATGAATAATATTCTTGATTTCTTCATCAAAAGTATCATTATTTTAATTTTACAGATGAACTTCTTTCAGACTTTTAAAGAATTGATTTAAGTTTTTTTTTGAATCATTATGAAATATATCCAATAAATCATCTTCAATATATTCATGATCAATTTTAATATCTTCATCAACAAATGGAAATTCTATTATTCCATTTACTAATAGAGAATTTATTTTAAAATTCTCAAAAGCTTTAACCTTTTTAATAAAAGATTGAACTCTATCAAGAGAAGCACAAGTTCTTTTCATAGCTGTAATAAGTAATTCATATGAAAATGGCATTTTCAATTCATTATAAGACTTTTTGGTATATGGATACAGGATGATTTTGTTGTAAAATTAACTACATTTTGATATAATAGATTATGCTTCTTCTGGAGTATGATTATGTTCTAATATAATAACATAATTATCTCTAATTTTAGCATCTTAAAGATCACTGACAATTTAGGTTTGATAATAGAATGATTGAAAAGTTCTTGCAAATGTTGATACACCAACTCCATTAATACATAAAGGTATAATTAAATATACATTTTCTGGATTCTTTTATTGATTTTCACCTGTATATACTGGTATTCTTGTTAAAGATTCTGGTTGATAGGTTGACCATAAGACTCTATGTTCTTTAATAGATTTTAATTAATTCTATTTGAATGTCTTATTATTAAATATGTTGAATAATATAATAGTAATGAAATCATTAAAATTATATTTAATGGTTTATTCCATTTTATTATTAGATTCTAATATTTTAATGCCTTATTCATATATATTTTAGTAAAATTTAAATGGTCTAGGTGGTTTAACTTATAAAGATTTAACAAATTATTTAAAATCTCTTTCAATATGTTATTCATTCAATAACATAGATTAAATGTGTTTATAAATTAAATACTCAACTGTATGTATAACATAATATTGATCATTAAAATATAATATAACTCCTGCTGATTCTAATTCAATATCACTTCTTTAAATTCTCTCTATATGTTTTTAGAGTAATTTTAATTGCAATTTAAATTAAGATGTTTTTGGATGAGGTAATCCATAAAAACAAAATAATTATTGAGATTATTCAAAATTAACATCAACAATACCAATAAATTATAGTATATCATCAGAATGATAAATCAAAGATTCTTAATTGATAATATGACCATATACTGTTCTATTATGAAAATCAAATTTCAAATTATTAATTTTTTCTTGACTGACTAGAATAAATAGATTAATTTACATTCATTCAAAATATTAAACCATAATTCACCTACTTATACTGCTGAATCAAATCTTTAAAATGAAAATTCAGATAAATCATCAGATGTTTAAGCAACAATAGTGAGATTGTTTGAATATATTAACCAAGCATCAATTTCTTTTTAATATCCAATTTTAAATAATTAACCTCCTGGATAAGTCTGACTATATACAGTTTACTTATTTAGTTATGATTATCTTACAATTAAATTATTTTCAATGGAATCTTTGATTATTTAATCCAAATTTGATTAAGTGGGAAATTAAACATCTTATAAACCTAATATAAAGTTAAGATATATTACCCCATAAAGTTTTAAGTATTTAATTTTATTCATTGAATATTTATAAGACTGTTTTATGATGATGAATCTATAATGAATAATTTGTATAATATTACTTAATATTTAACATCATAAATCACAAGATTTTCTATGAATAATTTATTTTAATCATAAATCTATTAATCTTGATCATTACAATAATGTAAACTAAATTATTAATGATAAATTACAATTCATATGGATCATTGCTTTGATATGAGGACATTAATTAATATTAAATATATTAAATATATATATTTGTAGTATCAAAAATTAATATTTATTTTTCATTTACGAAGTTTTGAAATCTTGAGAAAACTATCATTTATTCTGTTACTTAATTCTTCATTGATATTTAGAGTTTTCATTCTTTCACATAATTATCTATAATAATATTATAATATACGCTATTTAATTTATTGAATTATTCTCTAAAAATGCAGATTGTAAGGGTAATTTCTCTATTTCTAAAATATTAAGCAATTCTATCATAGAATTACTTTATTCACTAATAAATCCTTAATTTTTCCAATTTATCTCTGAAATCTCAGAATGTGAATCATTAGTCTCCAATTCAAAAATTGTATGTGCCATACCACCATCTTTTGAATATTTCAATGCTTAAAATAAATTTGAAAAAAACTAATCATTAATTATAATTATTAAATACTTCTTTAACTTCAATTGGTTCTTATTACCATAATTTACTAAAATTCTTTTTGTCTGGGTCCTTTTAAGTAAGATACATTTAATTACATTGAGACTCTATTTATATAAAATGATCACTGGAGGAGGATTTGAGTTCATTTTATTTTATTATAAAACAATTATTAATTACATACTAAATATATTTGATCATAAACATAATTATACTATATTTTTAATCATTTTTATTGTATCATTATTCTTAAGTTCTTTAAACTATTTAAATTATATATTCAATAATAATACTCTCCATTTATTATTAATTCTATAATGATCATTAAAAAAATATAAACAAATTAAGTTAAAATCAATAATCTTCATATCTATTCTCATTAACAATATTTTTCATTTAACAATATCTTTATTTTGAAATAATCACTATGAGTCCATTCTCTTTTAGTATCAGATTTCTCTAACATTTTTACAGCCTACATTATATATATTTTTATTGTACCTATTTCCAAGTAACAAATCTCCCCTTTATTCTTAATCTCTCTTCTGCTACCTTTTATCTAATATGATAATGCACTTTTTTCCCAAAAGTTCTACTATGTTTCTTCTCTAAGTATTTCTTTACTTTCAATTTCCTTTACATCTCTTTTTAATTGGCTTTAGTATTACACAATTATTAAACCCAATTTTCAAATTTTAAAGTTTATGGATCATCCAATATCTTATAATCTAAACCTATTTTTATTCTTTGTAAGTCATCTTTGTTAATAAAATTCAAAATAAAATTCTCCTGAGAAGTGCTTGGATAGTATTTCATATCTAAGTTAAACAAATGTTAATCAGCATTAATTGGAGGAGCAAGTTCTTTTGAAGGAAATTTTAGTATTGGAATATGCTCAAAAGAGTTATCAGAATGTTCAGAAGTTTCAGTCTACTCTACTGTTGAGCATTCATAGTTATTATTTAGATTAATCTCTTCATTCTCAACCAAGTAACTTGGTTTTTTGAATAAGCCAAGTTAATGTTAAGTGAAGATGTTGATATTGGATTCTTCATCCTAAAAACTGTTGTTTTAATCGTGTTCAAACTCTGATATTGTATCAAATTAGACTTAGAACATGTTTTATTAAGATATTAATTTTTAAAAAAGGGAACACCGGAATTAAAATTTATGTATTAAATTTTATAATATAAAACAATCAGTTTGTATCAGAGAATCTTTATTATATATTTTTACATATTAAAATAGAAGTAGCAATAATAATAACTCATTTCAATATAATATATATCATTTTCTATTTGAAATTAAAGAAAGTATTTAAAATAATTAGATTAAATTACATCTAATCTTTTATGATTGATACATTATTATTTATAATATAATATCTTACAATATTTATGTAATTAAAATATATATTAAAAAGTACTCTCTAATTTCATAATCGTAATAAATTGTCTATCTATTATCCTATATCTATTTAACTAAAAAAATCATCTACTTTTTATATACTAATTAATAAATTATAATAAATGTACTAATCTTAATTTTCAGAAACTAAATTAAATATATTATGTAAACTTAACGTATTATCTATATTGAAACAATTATATAAACATTATAATCTAATTAATTATTTTCTATTAATTTACAAGATGCTATTTATACTTTAAACCAATAACTATAAAATCTAATAGTATAAACTATTCTAAATTATATTTATCATCATAGTTTTGAAATAATAAAAAACTGTAAGATTTTAATTATATCTTTAAAAATCAATTTAATTTATTATTGAAATTTAATGAATAAAGTTTATTTATATCAATGATATTTTAGAATTTATAATAATCCAAAAATAAATTTCATTATATACATATATATATTAATATTTGTATAATAAAATTTATTAAATTTAATTAACTTTTAAGATTTCTAGATATGTATCCTTCAAGATTTATTAATGAACAAATCTATACTAATTTAATTTTAAAAAGTATTAAATGAAGATTAAACAAATAGGTAAACAGTTAGAAAAGAGAGGTTAAATTAAGGAAGCACTTGATTAATGGAATTAGAAAATATTAGACAATTTATAAGATATAAGGTTCTATGAATCAAAAGGTAATTGTAAAATTAGATTTAGCTGCTATTTTAATGAGAAATGATTAATAAGAAGAAATAATTAAATGCTGGGATTTTGGAATTGAAAATAATAAAACTAACATCTTATTTTATAAGGCAAAAAGTATTAAATAAATTTATAAAGTAAATGCTTTATAAAAATTGGGTAGAAATATTGAGATTATTGAATGCATAAATAAATGGATTCATTTAAACAATAATTGTAGTTTGGTTGAGAATGAGATTTCTTAAATTTCAAGTTATAAATTTGAATGTATAAGTTTAGCTTTATCATTTAGTAGTTGTTAATAAATGTGATGAGTAAGATTGGATAATAAAAAAAAAACTTCTTAGTTTAAGTAGTATAAGAGAATATATTGACTATAGTAAATCAAGATAATTAAAATTAGCTAATATATTAAAAAAGTTGGGTAAGGAAGAAGAAATACTATAATGTTTTGATTGGGGAATTATGAATAATATTGATGACATAGATTTTTATTATGCAAAATGTATTGATAATGCTTAAATAATAGCAATGTACCTAGAATCATAAGGTAAGAATTAAGAAGCTATTGATTGTTGGAAATTTGCTATATAGAAAAATTATAAATCTACATAATTTTATGACTCTTATTGTAAATTTTATATAAAGATTAGCAATTCTTCTAACAAAATTGAATAAAATTTAAGAATTAATTGATTGTATGTAATTTGGAATTGAATAAAATCCAAATTAAATTACATTCTATGATAACAAAGGTTATATTTATCAATATTTAATTATATTAGTTAATGCATTAATTGAATTAGGAGAATAATAATAAGTTATTAATTGTTTAGATTATGGAATAAGTTAGAATAAATATAATATAAATTTCTATAATTATAAATGTAATTAAGTGTTCTATATAATTAGGTAGAATATTAAAACGCTTAGAAAGATATGAAGATTGTATTGAATGTAGAGAACTTGGTATCCAAAATAATCCTGATAATTTTGATTTTTATTATGCAAAAGGCATTTAAGTCATAAAATGATTTTTAGCTTGTGAATTAGATAATTTAGATAGATTAGAAGAACAACTAGAATGTTGGTAACGTGGAATAGAAATTAAAAAAGATTGTATAAGTTTTTATCAGCATAAATGTAAATTTAATTTATATTATTAGTTAATATCTTATGGAAATTAAAAAGATATGAAGAAGCTCTCTAATTATGGGATTACGGAATTCAAAATAATAATTAAAATGAAAAGTTTTATTATTAAAAAGGTAGAAATATTAATAATTTCAATATAGCTGAAGCTTTAGAAATGTTAGAAAGAAATGAAGAAATGCTTGAATGTTGGGATCAAGGAATATAAATTAACCCTAATAATGTAGAATTTTATAAAGAAAAATGTAAATTGTCATTTATTTTTAGGTTATGCTTTAATGAAATTTGATAAATTTGAAGTAGTTAACAAAAGTTGGGTTTCAGGTCAAGAAGATTCCAATCATTCTCAAAATCAATTATCTGATAATGAAGAGAGTAATAAACAATCTATATTTAGATTCCCTAAAATAATCAGAAAATGCAGAAAAAGCTCTTAAATGTTGGGATTTAGGACTATCAAATAATCCTCATATTTTAGAATTTTATAACTAAAAAAGTAGATAAGATTCTTTTATTATTTAAGTTCAATTATTATAAAGATTGGGAAGAATAAAAGAAGCTCTTACTTGTAGAGAGTAAGGTATTTAAAATAATGAGGATGATCCAGAATTTTATATGATGCTTGGTATTATATATTATAATAAATAGCTGAGGATTTACTAAGTGAGAAAAATATTATAGAATCAATAAGTTCAATTGATTAAGGATTAAAAAGATGTGATGATACAAGATTATATGCAACTAAATGTTTTTATTTAATTAATTCATCAGGTTAATCGTTAAAAAAGTTGAAATCACTAAGAAAAGCATTAATATATTTTCGACTATCAGATTCTGGGATGTATTTAGGAAAAAAGTTAAAATATCATTTATGATAATTATGATATTAAATAATAATTAAGAATTGTAGTTTTGTGAATTCATAATAAACTTCATAGATTAAATTCTAAAATTCTTACTTATTGGATTTATATATTAATAATTTTACTAAATAACCACTTTGTTAAATGGATTAAATCATAATATTCTTCTTTATTAATTTAATTCAAATATATTTTAATCAATTTGATTATCTTTTCCAATAATTTGGATTAAACTGAAATTTCAAATATATTTTATAATATATATTATAATATGATCAGAAATCAACAGATCTAAATATTAAAAGTAATAAATTTATCAATTTACCTATATTTAAATACATTAGCAACTTTTTTAATGAATAATATCCAAGATTAACTATATTAAAAGCACAGAAAATTCCTAAAACCAAATAGTATAGAAGTGATAGAAAATTCCTTTAACAATTTCTAATCAAATCTATAAAATCTATAGAATATATTTCAATAAAAAATGATTCAAAATGAATTAAAAAATCATAGTTTATTTAAAGATAGAATGTAGTATAAACAGGATAACAATGCAAATTAGTTTCAAATAATATATCCTTAAAGAAATAAGCCATATTCTTAAGATAATAAATAAAATACTCTTCCAAAATTAAAACATTACTTATAAGAAGTTGAATAAAATAATGGAGTTCTTAATAAGATAAAAGAATAGGGCATCAAATTTGCAGATAAAATCAATAATTATTTTTAAGTATTATCTCCATAAATCAAAAACCATAATGAATATTTAGATATGAAATTAAAATATAATGATGATGAATAATTAATCCAAAAATAAAATACTTAATAGAGAAACTAAAAATCATATGATTTACTATCTTCTATTGTTTTTGAAATTAGATCTTTAAGATCTATTTGCAAATTATCAAATTAATAATCATNAAAAGATGTGATGATACAAGATTATATGCAACTAAATGTTTTTATTTAATTAATTCATCAGGTTAATCGTTAAAAAAGTTGAAATCACTAAGAAAAGCATTAATATATTTTCGACTATCAGATTCTGGGATGTATTTAGGAAAAAAGTTAAAATATCATTTATGATAATTATGATATTAAATAATAATTAAGAATTGTAGTTTTGTGAATTCATAATAAACTTCATAGATTAAATTCTAAAATTCTTACTTATTGGATTTATATATTAATAATTTTACTAAATAACCACTTTGTTAAATGGATTAAATCATAATATTCTTCTTTATTAATTTAATTCAAATATATTTTAATCAATTTGATTATCTTTTCCAATAATTTGGATTAAACTGAAATTTCAAATATATTTTATAATATATATTATAATATGATCAGAAATCAACAGATCTAAATATTAAAAGTAATAAATTTATCAATTTACCTATATTTAAATACATTAGCAACTTTTTTAATGAATAATATCCAAGATTAACTATATTAAAAGCACAGAAAATTCCTAAAACCAAATAGTATAGAAGTGATAGAAAATTCCTTTAACAATTTCTAATCAAATCTATAAAATCTATAGAATATATTTCAATAAAAAATGATTCAAAATGAATTAAAAAATCATAGTTTATTTAAAGATAGAATGTAGTATAAACAGGATAACAATGCAAATTAGTTTCAAATAATATATCCTTAAAGAAATAAGCCATATTCTTAAGATAATAAATAAAATACTCTTCCAAAATTAAAACATTACTTATAAGAAGTTGAATAAAATAATGGAGTTCTTAATAAGATAAAAGAATAGGGCATCAAATTTGCAGATAAAATCAATAATTATTTTTAAGTATTATCTCCATAAATCAAAAACCATAATGAATATTTAGATATGAAATTAAAATATAATGATGATGAATAATTAATCCAAAAATAAAATACTTAATAGAGAAACTAAAAATCATATGATTTACTATCTTCTATTGTTTTTGAAATTAGATCTTTAAGATCTATTTGCAAATTATCAAATTAATAATCATAGTATCTTCCAGGGATGATAAGTATTAAAACAAAAGAAAGTTAAATAGGATTAAATGAAAGAAGTATTGGTGTTGATTTAGTAAATATTTTAATTTACAATAGATTTGCTTAATTGACAAAAGTGGAAGTATGAGAGGAGAAAAAATTAAAATGGTTAAAAAGACATTAATACTTTTGCTTGATTTTTTAGGTGAATAAGATCGTCTATAAATCATTACTTTTAATGAATAAGCTTAAAGATTAACTCCTTTAAAATGTTTAACAGAGAAAAATAAACAATATTTTCAATCAATTATTTCATAAATCCAACCTAGAGGATTGACTAAAATTTCTAGTGCTACTCATATAGCATTTAAATAATTAGATGATAAATTATATAGAAATAATGTTAGCTCTATATTTTTATTATCAGATGGACAAGACAGAGAAGCATTGTTTGAGATATCTAATTAAATTAAGCATATAAAATAAGTTTTTACATTATATACTTTTGGATTTGGTGAAGATTATGATGCATAATTGATGACATCTATTTGTAAATTAAAAAATGGATACTTTTATTTTGTTAAGGATATCACATTACTAGATGAATATTTTGCCCATGCTATAGGAGAAATAGTTTCTGTAATTGCAGAATAAATATAAATAAATATATCTTCAATATCCATAAAACCTATGTAAGATTTATAGATTTCAAAGACTTATGGTAATATGTGGAAATAAAGAGGACATATATATGATATAAATATACCTTAATTAGCATCTGGTACAAGAAAAGATTTTGTATTTGAAATTTAAATACCTTAAATTGATTCTAAAATCTTAGATCATGAAAGAGTTGTAAAAGTACTAGAAGCCAGTTTAAGTATGAAAGATCCTATAAGTGGAGAAATTATAAAAAAATCTGCTGCACTTAATTTAACTCTATTTAATTAAGATGAAAATGTAGATGTTATTGAAGAATGTACTGATGTTTATTCTCAATATTTAAGAGTAAAAAGTACAGAAACTATTGATAATGCAAAATAAGCTTGTGATTAAAATAATTTTGTAGAAGCTTAAAGATTATTAGACAATATGATGATACAAATATAGAAAAATAATCATAAAGTAGTTTAGAAATGTACTGGAATTATTTAAGATATAAATTAAGCTAAATAAGCTTCTTAAAAGATATAATATAATACTTTTGGTTCAAAATAACTATGTTAAATGATTGTTAATAATTATGCATAAGGAGGTATAAATTCCATATTTTCATTTGATGGAAAATAATTATAATAATTGAAATCATCTTAATTTTTAAATTTAACCTAATAAACAATGATAAAAATAGTATAAACTAAGAAAGCTTAATATTGATATTTATATTCATCATTTTATAATAAAATCATTATAAAAACTATATAATTATTGAATTATTCTATTGTTATCTATAGTTTTCTCATCTCAATATTAATAAAATTTTATTGATTATTTTAATTGAAAAATTTAATGAATTAACAAATCTTTTATTGACAATTTTATAATGAAACTTATTGTATTCCTTAATACTTTTTAATAATTCAAAATTAAAGATTTTGATTCTTTGGTCTAATAATTCCAAAATATGAAAGATGGCTATTCTTTATGCTAGAATCATTGATATTAAAAATATCAAAAGAATCTAAATTTAAAATTTAATCACTCTCAACTAAAATAGAATAAATTAAAATAATGCAATAGAATAATTTTTTTGTATTTATTTAGAACTAATCAAATGTTGCATAAGTATTTTTATATTATTTTGCATAAACATGAATCTTGATAGTTTACCAAAAGGAGGAGTTAATAAGGGAATGGTTTTACCTTTGATATTTTAATGTCCATAAGATTGTATTTGTCAATCTAGTTTACCAAAAATTTGGTATCATAAAAAATGTGGATAACCTTCATTTATTAGTGAATATGGTGATATATTCTGTTGTAATCACTTAGAGGACTGTTCAGGATATTTTATTTAAAATGCTTACTTTTAATGCAGGAAGGCAAAAAAATCTAATACTTGGTATCAGCATAATTAGTTTTCAAAACTTTTGATGGCTCTTTCATAGGCTATATCGGTAGCAGAAAATACTCTTGAGGCAAATAATGTCCATCATTTTACAAAAAATTTACTTAAGTCATTACATTAGAGATGGCATAACTGAATATGTTTGAATTAATTTAATTTATTAAATTTAAATTTAAATTATATTGATGATGTTTTATTAAAAATTGAATTTCAATCTAATATCTCTTACATTAACTTGATCAAATAAGTCTAATATAAAAAGTGTGTATTTTCTAAATTATGTTCTTTTAGCTTAAATCATTATATTACTTTCATTATGTAAAATTATTATTATTAACATTATAATATTAAATATCTCCAATATCTAATTATAAAATCCTTAAATCTATTTTAATCAAATATCCTAATATTGGATAATAATAATAAAATATTCAAGAAAAATAAAATATATAATAGAATTAACTTAATAAAAAATAAATTGTATTAAAATTTATATATTTACTAATTGTAAATGGTTCAATAACTCAAAAACAATGATATTATTAATATGCCAAGAATATCACTAAATTCAGTTATTAATCTAACAGATTTTTCACATGAAGCACATAAACTTTTATTTGGATCCCATCGATGAAGCTTAGCTGTCTTTATATAACAATCTACTTATTTAAGGGTGTTAATATTAATTGTAACGCATTATTATTCATGATAGTGACATAAATGAATTTGTTTATTATCCCATGTATTAAAGTTCTTACAACTACCTATTTAAGTAGAATAAGTTTAACATGTATGAGTTTAACATTTATCTGAATTCCAATAACATTTATCTTTAACTAATTTACATGCATTTATATCATTTTTTGCGGATTCACAACTCTCCATTAATTTACATTATTTTAATTTATTATTTTATGATTAATTCTCAATCCATACACAAATTCCATCTAATCCTTCATAATAACAAGTTTAATTAATATTATAATCTGAACATTTAGCCTTATTTATACATTATATACCATTTGAAATACAATTTTCTATTTATTTACATGATGAATATATATGTCCATTAGGTATATCTTCACAATTCATTTTTCTACATAATTCAAATGATTTGTCTAATCTAATTTCCCAAAAACACTTACCATCAAGTCCTTCTGCATTTTCACAAATTTCTTATGAAAAATAAGATGAACATGATTCTTTGAGAATACATTTATAGCCATTTGTTGTACAATAAGATAGTCTTGATTAACATTCTAAATGAGTTGTAGATATGATATCAGAGCATTCTTCATCTCGACATTATGAAGTCTTTAAATCCCAAATACAGATTCCAGTTGATGATATTTCTCCGTTAACATCTTTAATTATTCCCATATGATTGATATGACATTATTCATATTTATATTTAAAACATGGTTGTAATTAAATACAACCATTTTAATAATCAGATGTACATAAAGAAGAAGCTTATTAACATTCTTCATGTGTTAAATAATGAATATCTGTACATTTATTGAATGTTCTACAAACTTTCTTTTATGATTCTGAAACAATAATACATTTTTAAATTCCTATGTTATCAATTCCAATTACACAACCTCCATTTAAATTAGTTTATTCACAACTTGTAATTGATACACATTAATTTCCATCAGTTGTGCATTTTGTAGAAATCTCTTAACATTAAGCATGTGAGTTCCATTTTAAACTTTTACATGAATCATATCTAAAACAAGCTCCAAGAGAATTATCTTAATTTTTATATTTACTTATCCATAAACAAGGTCCATCAGTACCTTCAATACAAGCAGCTTTAAATTTAGTTTCTTAACAAGATGTAATTTTGACACATTTTGAATTAAATCCAACTGTACATTCTTATCTTTTACTTTGACATTCTTAATGTGTAGTACCAAAATAATCTTAACATTATTTAATTCTACACATATTTAAATTTTCATCCCATAAACAAATCTCTCCAATGTTACTAGTTGTACATGCATTCAATACATTAGCATCAAAACATGTTCCTTTGAGAACACAACCTCCAAATTTAGTAGTTGTGCATGATCCTATTGTAGGTTAGAAATACTCTTAACATTATTATTCAGTATTTAAATATAATGGAGCTGTTTCACAACTTTTGATTTTGCAATAAGATTATTTATTTAATCTATTTATCCATGTACATTATCTACCATTAGAATCAGTTACACAACCTGCCTCTGATTATGCTTATAAACAAGAACCTCTTTTAACACAATAAACACCATTTGTAGTACACATAGACATTATATTACGACATTGATGATCTGATGTTAAAGAATAATCTTCACAAATTGTATTCCTACATCTTTAAGAACTCATTGTACAATAATCTAGAAAATTTGAACATTCATACTCTGAATATGAAATTGGTATTAATTCACATATTTTAAGTATACATTTCATTTAATTTTAATCCCAATAACATTCTTATTATTTACTATTAATTGAACCATTATAACATTAGTTTTGAGTCATCTCTTCACAGCTATCAGGGATTCTTGTGCATCCACAATTAGTAGGATGTATTGTACAACCATCTTAATACTATTAACATAATTAAGGTAGATTTATATATGCTGGTGCAGTATTGCAACTTTGCTTTTCACATGAATCACCATTCCAACCACAAATATTACCAAATGCATCAATATTACATTAATTTTAATGTATATATTAATCACAACTATTTTTAAGTTAAATACAACCTTAACTTACAAACATTCCTTCTATTTCTATGACCCTTACAGTACAGACATTCAAATATGTTTAACATGCTTCATGATCTACTCTGAATAATTCAGCTGCCTCACAAGACTTATCATTACATTATGCTGGAGATACATTAGTATTCCAAATACATTCTTAATCTTCAAAATTCTTTACACATTATTCTATGATAACATATGATTTGCATGGTCCTAATGGTCTACATCCTTAACCAATTGTATAATTTACAGATGCTTTAACAGTACATTTTCCAATATTAATACATTCCTCATGACTATCAAAATAATCTGAAGCTTCAGCATTTTAACATGTTTTATCTAAACATTTTCCAGTACTTGGATTCCATAAACAATCCTCACCTTATGTATTTATTATACAAGATTTTTTCTCTTTATATTGGTTACACTTTCGTTTATTATAGCATCCATCATCTCTATAACCACAATTAGTTGAAATTACATTCACCTTCATCTATTGCATGATCACAATCATCCAATTAATATTCAGCACATGTATTTTTTGCAAGAATGCATTTTGTTTTTGCAGCATTAACAGAACATAAACTAGAATATATAAAGCAATTATAATATGTAAATGGTTAGATTGCCTTTTCACAATCAACTCTAGGCATTTAATTTGAATAGCATCCAGATCCATCTTCATATGCATTGCAAGTATAATGATATGCTTTACATAAAAAATCTGAATAGCTTGCAAGCTAGTATAATTTTATATCTGTGCAAGAATTATTCCAAATATAAAATTCAATACATTATTAATATGACTCTATAAAAATGCAGTTTGCATAAGTTAATTATCGACATTACTCTTGAGTATACTATGAACATTAATTTCTTATTGTTACACAAGATGTTCCAGAAGCATTAACTGAACATTAACCATAACTTATACCATAACAGTAATCAAAATTCAATCCTTTTCCTTTTACTTAAGAACAGTCGCTATTTGATAATGGATATTCCCATGGAGATATGCAGATGTCTTCAAATTATTTTTTATAACAATAAGAATTCCATGACCTGATACAATTTTCAAGAGGTGTGATTTAACAAGTATCAACTATTTAAACGCATCCAGTTCCATCAATCTTTATAGTACAACTATAATTATGAGTTTGACAAGTATCAGCAGTATAAGGTGGTTTAGCATATTCACAGTCTAAACTTCTTTGTTAACAATAATTCTTATTCCAAATGCATTCTCCATCTATACCCCAAAGACATTGATCTTCTTTATACTACATACAATAATCAGCTTTAATGCATGAACTACCTTATATATTTACTGAACAATTAGAATTTATGAATTAGCAATATCCATAAGTTAATCCATTAGCCTTAACTGAATAACAATCAAAATCAGATGTTGAATAATTATACACATTTTCACAATTCCAACCATTCCATCTACAAATCATTTTCCAATCAATAGTTGATTACTCACATAATTTCTTCGATTTAAAATCTTCACATTTTGATTTTTTAAGAGTACATTTTAAAGTTGTTGGAACACAATTCTTAGAAATACTCTAACATTAATTAAAATCTTCAGATTAAATTTCTTAATTACAAGGTATATCAATACACTGTTAATTAAACCAAATACATTTATTATAATCTTTGGACAAGACACACTGATATTCACTTACATACTAAGAACAATTTAATAGATCTGTACATCCATTATAATTAACAGTACATTATTACATAGCTTATTAACATGATTCATGAGAATATAATTATAGAGTGATGCTGGAACATGAATAATCTCTACATAAACTCAATTCTGCATTCCAATAACAATTCTAATCATTTTCTAATACTCTATTCCAAGTACAAGCTTCAACTCCTAATCCATAACAATATTTTGGCCTTGCTAAACACCTATTTGAAGTATTATCTAAAACACATTTTAATCCATAAAAATCCCAACAATCATATTAAGTAACTGATAATTCAAAGTATAGATGGGCATTCTCACATGTTATATCACTACATAATCCATAAAAATATGAGGCTTAACTCCAAAAACATCTTGGTTAAAGTCCTTCAAATTATTCATATAGACAATTTTATTAATGCTATCTTTAATCACATTAATTTGGTGGTTTCATACATCCTGCTAGATCATTATTAACTACACATCCAACCATATAATGACTACATTCAAATGTTGAATGTAATGCTTATGAAGCTGTTTAACAAGATTTTTCAATACATACTCCTTTATACCAACCACATTCTTTTCTTCCAGCAGTTAAATAACATCCTTCACTTCTTGTTATAGCTTCGCATATAATTGGTAATTCCATACAACCAGACCCAGAATTATCTACTGTACATGATGATAAGTAAGTTTGGCAATCATTAAATTTTTGTAAATACTTTGGAGCCAATGCACAATATTTTTTAAAACAACCCTCATTAAAAATGCATGTTTTATTATTCAAATCAAACTTACAATTAGATTTTTCTTATATATTTTCACAAGTCAGAGATACACATCTTTAATCTGATCCTATAGTACAAGTATTCATAAATTCATAACATAATTCATGTGTATTGAATTCTAATGGAGCATTTTCACATATTTTCAATTCACATTTGCCATTCCACCAAAAACATTCTTAATTATTAACATCCCTTACACAACTTTCCTTTAACATATTATCCTCACATTTTGTATTAATTCTACAACCACCTCCAAATTAAGGTATACAATTTCCATTTTATATATAATTCATACATTAAGTATAAGTATTAAATGACGATGGAGCATTATCACAAGTTCTTTCTGTACATCCTGTACTTTCATCTGTGGACTCAGTACATGTATCCATATATTATGTACATTAATCATGTCCGATATATGAAGGACCTGCATTTTTACATGTCTTGGGTACACAAACATTTCCATTCCAATGACATAGTGTACCATACATAGTTTTATTGCATGCATCTTATATTATGGCTGCTCCACAATTTGAATTTAATACACAACCTTTTCCATTTGTTATACAAGTATCCAAGTATTCTTAACATATTTCATTTGTTTTATAAGTATTCAAGGCATTCTCACATATTTTGTCAACACATTATTTTCCTGTCCAATAACAATCATTACCAATAGCATCTTTTTTACAAGCTTCCTTTATTTAATAAGTTGAACATAATAATCTATCAATGCATCCACCTTCTTATTTTGTAGTACAAGATGGATGGAAATCTTGACATTATTTATCAGTTGTTAAAGTCTATGGAGCATTTTTGCATATTTTATCTAAACATTTTCCATCTAACCAAAAACAAATTTGGTTATTTTTTTTATTATAGACACAGTTTATTTAATCATCTTAATCATAACAATTATTTCCTTCTTCAACACATCCTCCTCCAATCTAAGCTGTACATTTAGAAATTTGAGCTCGACATTAAGAATCAGAGTCTAATATTTATGGTAACTTTGAACATTCATCTGCATCTTAACATATAGCTTAAGAGGCATTCCAATAACAATATTAACCTACTGAATTATTTATACATGAAATTGGACTTAAGTAACTCTAACAATCACCTATTTCAACACAATGTAATCCATCTGATATACATCGATGTGAAATAGCTTAACATTTTTAATGTGTATCATAAAAAAAGGCTGTACATCCTGTAAAATGAGTGCATCTATCCTCATCCCAAGAGCATTAGAAAACTGAACTACAATTTTCTTTGTTCATATATTGATTACAATATGCAGCATGTTATATATTCATTTCTATTTTGTAATCAATACATTAATATTTTGACTTATCCCAAATACAATCTTTCTTTTTTGAACAATCAACTTATGTTAACATCTATGTACATGTACAAGGTTCAGATTTTCTTATAGTTTCACAATTTATGAACAATAAAAGACTTACAAATATAAATAGTTTATTCATTGTAAATAATTAATTTTAATTTATATATCATTTCAATCAAACATTAAGATACATTTAATATATAATTTATAAATTATTATTTGTTATATCATTCTTATTTAATATTTAAATAAGTATAATAATAGTAATAATAAACCTATTTATGACTGAACTTATTTCCTTTTTGATACCTTTCCAAACATTTATTTTAATAATATAAACATAATATTATTTATTTTATCATTTAATCTGATATCTCATATAAAAATAGATTATGAAATATTCATTAATATTAATAGAACATTTATTTAATTCAAATATTGCTTTATAAAAATGAAGCTATGGATATTGACTTATTTATCTTGATAATCATTTAAGATACTTTTATAATCTTTTTTAGATTTGATCATTTTAATAAAATTTAATATTAAATGAAATAATTTCAAAGTTCTATTTCTGTATTGATATAACCAATATTTCTCATTCTATATTTAACCAAAATATAAAAGCCTATTAATTAGAACATTATTATGGTAATTAATGAATAAATCCATCTTCTTGAAGGTTCATCTAATTAAGGAAGTATAAAAGTTATCTCATAAGCTCCATTTGAAAAATCATTCTAGCATGCAATATTCACATGGACAGTATTTCTATCTTACCTATAATGGCATTTTAATGTTCTAGTATATATTGGATAATATAAAACTGATCCATTATTTAATGCAAGGCATGTAGCGTTTCGATCCTCTATATTTGTAATTAAAGCAAATTCAGGAGATGTAGAGTTTAATTATCCTAACATCAAAATAGGCTCTTCCAAATTGTTAATAAGTAAATCAGTAATATAGTAAACTCCTTAAATAGAGGTATTTCCTTATTTGAATTGTTGAAGCAGAAATCCATTAGAATATACAGATTTTGGAACTAGTACAATATCATCATTTACATAAGCTGGGATAGTGGTTATTAAATCTTAAAAAAATAACTAGTTTTAAAATAACTTATATAATAATAAATATCCAAAACCTTCAGTACTAGTAATAAGGAAGAAAATTTATTTCTCTATTATTTGCAATATCAATATTTAAGCATAAAGTAGATTATCAGAAATTAAAACTAAAAAATTACTTTAAGTAATTGAGTATTTATTAAAATATAAATATTGATAAAATACATCATAATAATTGGAGATGTATATAATAATAACTAAATTTGACTAATTCATATCTAAACTAGAATTATATAAAGATACTGAAAAATCTTGACAATCACTACTAAGTAGCTGGATGCTATTGTTAAAAGGGTTCAATAAATACAAATTTTATGAATTTTAATTATAAGATCCTAATATAAAATTAAGGGAGGCTATATTACTAATTTTAGATATGTTAGTAAATTGATTAGGTATTTAAGATACGTTCTTATCTATAACAATTCCATTAGGGTAAAAATAAATGCTTAGCCAATATTATGCAGTATCGTTTCGACATAGAGAAGATAAACTTAAATTATAAGATGTTGATTTCAAGCATTCAGTAAAATTTAAATCAGAATAATCGTAAGATTAAAGAAATTCAATCTACTAATTAACAATTCTTATTGCGCTGTTGTTTTACAGAACAAAAAATTTGTTATTTACTGCAGTTACTTATGTGTAATTATAATCAATATTTTTTGTAAAGTAAACAAAATTAGTTAAATTGCATTCATCATTTGTAAAATATTGTTAATCAGATTAATCAACTTTATCAATTTTATCAACATCAGAACTATTACGAAAATAACAAAGACTTACCTGTCTATCAAGGATTATATTCACAGGAATTGTGAAAGTTCGATCAGTTAAATTTAAATCCTTTATCAACAAATCTTTGATTATTTTAGTTTTGGGTTAGAAATAAGTGAAATTTGATAAATAAGTCAAGCTTTGATTTGGTGTAGTTTAATTAGCAGTTTAATTTACCAAAGAAGTAATAGTATAATTATAAATCAGTTATGGGTAAGATCGTGAAAAATTTAGAGATTAATTTACTTTAAGCTAAAAATTTTGCTCTGTTTATAATGAATTGATAAAAGTTTCCAAATACAAAATAGAACTTAAAGACAATTAAATAGTACTTATCAATTTTGATGATAAAATAAGTTAATAATATAAACTCATATGTTAAGGTAAGTAAGGGTTGTAAACATACAAATTGTAATTTTAAAATTGAACATAAAAAAACCAGTCATCTGATAGTATTTAAATATTATTCTTATTCTGTACACTAGGCATATTTCTCATAAAAAATGGATATTTTAAATTTTGTATACTCCAAACTTAGAAACAAAGATCAAACCCGTAATTGCAAATATAAGATAAAACTAATTATTGATTGACAATATTTATTTATTTAATTTAGAATTTAACCTCTATGTTTGAAATTGGAATTGGTATATTACTTTAATCAATAGAAATAATAATGACATTATTAATATTATTGATAAATAAACATGAAGAAAATTACTAATTATTTACTGCTATTTGAATAGGATTAAATTTTAGCTAAGTATCCCTATTAAATAATTAATTAATTATAGTTTCGTTAATGATTACTAAATCAGTAGAATTCAAATTCATGATTTAAATTTCTTGATTTATAAACAAAATTATCAAATTATTATATGTAATTAAAAATTACTAAAATTATTATTCAAACTTAAACTCATAAGAGGAGTAATAGGGTGCATTGTAAATAGCGTATATTTAATAAAGGTAGATTGTATTATTATCACTAACTCCAATTATTAAATCTTCATAATCGTTAGAAATAACTTATAATGACTGAGCCTTAATAGGAATATTAATATCCATAAAACATTCATATTAATTATAATCCATTAATAAAATCAAGATTTATATTAATTCATTTGTAACTCCGATAAGACATAAATTTCTATAGTTATTATTAATAACACAATAAGACAATTAGGCCAAGTAAAATTATTCATTTATGTATAATAATTTTTCCTAATATGTTGTTTAACTAAATGATCCAAATTATTTATTATCTTTATTAACAGTATATTTGAGCAACTAGCCTGAATAGCCTACAAAGATTTATTAATCTATTNTATAAATCAGTTATGGGTAAGATCGTGAAAAATTTAGAGATTAATTTACTTTAAGCTAAAAATTTTGCTCTGTTTATAATGAATTGATAAAAGTTTCCAAATACAAAATAGAACTTAAAGACAATTAAATAGTACTTATCAATTTTGATGATAAAATAAGTTAATAATATAAACTCATATGTTAAGGTAAGTAAGGGTTGTAAACATACAAATTGTAATTTTAAAATTGAACATAAAAAAACCAGTCATCTGATAGTATTTAAATATTATTCTTATTCTGTACTCCAAACTTAGAAACAAAGATCAAACCCGTAATTGCAAATATAAGATAAAACTAATTATTGATTGACAATATTTATTTATTTAATTTAGAATTTAACCTCTATGTTTGAAATTGGAATTGGTATATTACTTTAATCAATAGAAATAATAATGACATTATTAATATTATTGATAAATAAACATGAAGAAAATTACTAATTATTTACTGCTATTTGAATAGGATTAAATTTTAGCTAAGTATCCCTATTAAATAATTAATTAATTATAGTTTCGTTAATGATTACTAAATCAGTAGAATTCAAATTCATGATTTAAATTTCTTGATTTATAAACAAAATTATCAAATTATTATATGTAATTAAAAATTACTAAAATTATTATTCAAACTTAAACTCATAAGAGGAGTAATAGGGTGCATTGTAAATAGCGTATATTTAATAAAGGTAGATTGTATTATTATCACTAACTCCAATTATTAAATCTTCATAATCGTTAGAAATAACTTATAATGACTGAGCCTTAATAGGAATATTAATATCCATAAAACATTCATATTAATTATAATCCATTAATAAAATCAAGATTTATATTAATTCATTTGTAACTCCGATAAGACATAAATTTCTATAGTTATTATTAATAACACAATAAGACAATTAGGCCAAGTAAAATTATTCATTTATGTATAATAATTTTTCCTAATATGTTGTTTAACTAAATGATCCAAATTATTTATTATCTTTATTAACAGTATATTTGAGCAACTAGCCTGAATAGCCTACAAAGATTTATTAATCTATTTCATAGTCACTAATAGATCTATACTGATACAAATTTTTATTAAACATTACATAAATATTTGTATCATTCTCATCTAGAATTGTAATAGACATGAACATTTTACAAATATGGGTGGAAATCAGATTATATTATTTCGCATAAATTGTTATATCATAAGTTATTCCTTAAACTTATTAATCTGTTAAATTAATTTATAATTATGGTATTTTCAATTCATAGACTATAATTTTTGTGTTAAATGTAAATAGATAGTTATCATATATATTAAAATATATTTAAGTGTTATTTTTAATTTCTATATAGGCAAAAGGCATTAATTCATATATTTTATATAATGTAAGATACAATTATGATTAAAATAATAAAAATTGATTATTCAAAAAAGACTAAATCAATTTTGGTTGATTAGAATAAATATTGTTAAATTGAAATAAAGTAAAAAAATTATTTTAGCATCCTAAGTATTAACTCGTAATTATCCTATTATTATTAGGATAGAAATTAACCAATAATTAATCACATGAAGAATAAACTTAGTAATTATAATATACTTGAAAAATTTCAGCTTCTGCTTCGTCATAAAAATACTGTTGTTATATTTATACAAAAGTATCATTCTAAAAAATGATAAATTGTGATATTTATTATTTGTAAAGTATATAAATAAATGGGTTTTTTCTTAAAGGAATAGCAATCTGTATAAATTAATCTTAGTAAAATGTTAAATTTTTAAACTGAGATGAGAATAATGTTATGATGGATAAATTTTGATAATATTAGGCATAGATTAGGAAAGTTTTTGATTCATTATAAATTCCTTGCATTTATGATTTAATTGGCTTCTTTGCTGAGATTGAATAAACTATTTAAAAATTAGTATTCATTAGTTATAATAAATAAAAATGTTCTTCTGCATAACAATCAATTAAGACATCTATATCAGCAAACAAAATGATATTATAACATTTATATTTTTTTTCAATTTCAACTACTTATCCATACTATTAAAAATTTAAGTTTTTCCATTCATATAGTATGACATGATTTTCTTAAGTTATTGTTACAAAATGAGTTTGATTAGATGATACTGATATAAATTCTAATATTATGATTCTTTAAAATACCTTGTCCTTCTATATGTTCTATTTCATTAAAAGCATTTGTTATTTAAACATTTGGTACACTAGGTTCATAATGGTAAATAAAATTGCTATTTTCGAAATAATCATTATCGCTCTCTATATTTAATAATTAATTCATAGGATATTCTAAGTACTCTCCATTTGTTGGGTATAAAGTCATGTATTCGTTTTTCCAAAAGCAACTTTGAACAAAAAGGATTAAAGTGAAAAAAATCATTTTTATTATTATTAATAAAAGTTATAACCAAAATTCCTCAAAATACATTAAGAGATAATAACATCCAACCAATATTACTTAAAACTTGTTAGATGTAATAATAAATTTTGTAATCCAAAATACATGTAATTTAGTTTTGTTATTTATTAATTTTTCACTAACGACTTGCTAATGAAATCCATTTAAATATAATACAATGATAAAATTATGTTATAACCTCAAAATCTTATAAGATATAAACCAAAAAGAGTAGTATAGAATTGAAAACTTTATTGTTTACTTCTTTTTCTGGAATTAGTAATTGATAAATGAGTAGCACAATTATATATCTAATTTCCAAAATAGATCTGAAAAGAAACAAATAGTTTAGAAAGTATGAAATTTTTGCAAAACTTCTTGATTCTATATCAGAAATAGAAAAAAACACAGATTAGAAGTGGCTTTATAAATAAAATTATCAATTGCTGAGGTCATTTAGCTGTCTTAATATTAATTACTTATTTCTTTCCTTAATTTCATTCACTTAATTAATTACAAAATAGTCTTCTGAAACTTAAATAATAAGTAGTCTTTGGAAAAAAGCATTCTTTGGAATATTTGAATATAAATTTGATGATAATTATAATTTATTTCAAAAAATAAATTTAGATCCATTTAATAATTTTACTTGATTCAACCTATTTAAATTTTTTTGATTTTAAATACAAAAGGATATTATATAAGAAGCTTTAAATACTTTAATCTCTATAAAAATTGAAATAAAAATTTAAAGAAATATTAGCCGAAGAATATGAAGATATTGGATTAAAGTAGTGTTGACAATAATCGTTAGTTTAAAAATTTCCAATTATAGTGATTTATGGAAGAGTATCAATATCTTATAACAATCCTTACTTAATACCTAATAATTACATATGTTTGATATTTATTTTAATTAACTAACAAACTAATAAATTTTCCTTATATTTAATAATATTTATTTTTTATAATCAATTTTGAATAAATTTCATAATGATAGTTAAAATATCCATTTTTGCAAATTCTTTTATTTTATAGTATTTTTTGATGTTGACAATTTCATTATTATTTATTCATCTTCAATCAATTATGTAAATTTATTTAAATTAATCTATTTACTTATTTATCCTTGATCTTATATCAATGTTTCAATTATAATTTTGTTGCCTAAATGAAATAAAAAATTTTGATATCTTTAATGTATATCTTAAGCTTCCAGCTCTTAGTTTACAACTTCTTAATAATCATATTTACCTCTTTTGATTCTTTCATCTTATCATCTTAAGTGATAGCATTTAATGTATTATTATTATTATTTCCTGTTAAGGAGAAACACACAATTTATCAATTAAATTAATCTAAATCATTTCGATCACATGGTAATTATTTAATACCATTTTCAATTTTCCTCTTCATTATTTTTCCATTTTATCTCACCTTTCAATAGCGCAATAAATAACTTAAAATTAATCTTCATATGAACTTCTAATAAGTGTTTTGTTATAGCCATTATAAAGTGTTTTTAGCAAATATTCCATTAGTTGGAAAATAAGAACCTTATACAATTAGAAATTTTCTGTTTCTTCTTGGATTCCAAAGAATGTTAACAATATTATTTGAAGTTTTTCCAGTAAGCTTCAGTATCTTTTTGAAAGAGGAGTTTCTCAATTTCATTAATTGTAATTTTTCAGTTTTATATTTAGAAATAGCTATTGCTGGAGTGCAATATCTAATCAAGGAGTTGATAAATATCTACCAAATTTTAATTTTTTATTTAATTGGCATCTTGCTTACTATCCAACTTAGTTTTATTGCTAACCTATTAATCCTCCCTTTCAATTTCTTAAGTGTTCCTTCATTTATCCTTTGTCATTAATTGTTATTCCCAAGTAGACATACTATCGCTATTCTGGATATCCAGAAATCTAATGTTCTAATAATTTGGAATGATTTTTTTATCAGGAGTACTGTTGATTTCTTCTTGTTAATTTGAAGTGACCAGTTTTAAGAAATATTCCCCAAAATCTAGATCATCTGCATATCCCATTATTTAAAAATCCAAATTATGATTCTCTTCTTTTAATTCTTAAATGAAACCATCAAGGTATATGTTAAAAAGTTGAGGCGAGATTGGAGAACCCTATACGACTCCATTTCTATACCAATATTTGATTTTCTTGTTAATTGGGTCTTGAAAATGTATATTTTGATGTAATTTCTCAATTTTTGTTTTAATATCCTTCATTGAATTTTAAATTTATTTATACAATTCATATGAGTTGTAAAAATCTTGTAAAAGTTGATAAATTTAATCATAAGTTTTATAAGTAATTGATGTAATTATAATAATTTTATATCTTAAACATAATCTTATCCCCAAACTAATTATTATTATTTTTTCTCCTTCTTTTATTAAGAATCAAGCATTATTATTCAATTAATTATCAATTAATTTCCTTCAGCAAATTTTCTAATCGAATTCCTTCAGTATTTTTTATTTGTAGTATGCTTTTTATAAAGTTTTACTCAAATTATATCAAATCCTTGGTTTTAATAATATACTTATTTATCCATTCTTATGTTAATTTACATAATTAATGTCTTTATTCTTGAGGATTTTTAAAACCTTGAATAAAATCTTCTTTAGTAAGAATTTTATATAAAAGTATTCAAAAACTCCAAATATCTGCAGTCTTATCAAAATTAGAATCACATTTCACAACTTCAGGTACCAAATAATTATAATTATCATTTTGATATGTTTTATTTGTTTAATTATTATTTTAATTCATTTGTGTTAAATCTATTAATCCTATTTTAATTAAGATTTTAAGCAATTTTCTAAAAATATTCAACAAATACAACCTTTCTTATGATTATTCACCAATAAGATTTATCATTTTAATAATTTTAATATTAATAAACAATGAGCTAAAATTATTTTTGTGTTTAACCTTTGCAGACAAAGAATAAACATGTTTATTATTGATAGATATAGCTTTATTAAATAATTTAATAGCCAAATATTATTGACCATTTATTATTATTTCAATTTAAACAACAACATTTATTTATTAATTGTTTTATATTTAAAAATTAATGATAATAGATGTAAAGGATCAAAAATTAAAATTCTATTCAAATCTTAAATAGCATTTTCATATCTGGCCAAATATTTTATATATTCAGCTAATTGTATTATAATTTATAAATCTTTTAAGAATAAAAGATCGATATTCAAAGGGATCATTTTTATTACTTTACTTATCAGCCTTAGAGCACTATCAAATTCCCTTAAACTTTGATAATTTTTCAAAATAAAAAAGATTAAGCAATCATCTTTTATATTCAAATATATATATTTTAGGTCATTTCTCTACTATAAACAATCAATTTTATTATGATATTTTTGAATTCTTTTGAATTTCAAAAATTTCATTTGCTATAAATTTCTTAAATAATATTGTAGAAATGTATAAAATTTAGTTAATTAATTAAATTAATTAAATTTAAATTTAATTTATGGAATAAAAGAATAGATTGTTGATAAATTTTATTCACCTATTAAAAATTCAACAATCTTATCTTTAAAGCGAAAATATGTTGTCACTAAATTAGATAAAGTGATTTATAAAAATATTTATGTTAATCATATAAAAAATTTTCTTAATATGGGTTAATTATGTTTGTATAATATAAAATTACTACAATTAACTTCATTAAAAATGAAAATTAATTCATTTTACTTAATTAATATAAAATCATATAATTGTGTTAAAATGTTAGGAAATTGATAAATTTTATTTAAATTATAAACAATCATATAATTTTATTAATGAAATAATTTTCTATAATCAAAACATATTTTTATGTTATTATTAATTATAAATATTTCAATTTGTATTTTTTATAATTTGAATGTGTTATGTATTAATTCAAATCAATTAATTTTTTTTAATTTTAAAATTTACTTATGTTATTATTACATCTAAATATTTCTATATGTATTTTATAAAATTTTAACCAAATTATATGATTTTAAATAATTAAGTTAATTGTGATAACTTACTATAATTATAACATATTTATATTTTGTTATTATTTATAAATATTTCAATAAGTATTTTTGTAATTTTAACAAAATTATTATGATTCTACAATTAATTAAATAAATTGTAGTAATTTTATATTATTTCAACATACACACACGATTGAATAAATAATTCAATAAATTGTAGCAATTCTCTATAATTTAAACATGATTTAGATTTTTTTTTCAATTAATAATTCATAATTTATTTAGGCGAGTTAAATCTTTTTATATAAAAACATATTATTTTTCTTTAGTTAAATTTTATTATTCTATGTTTTATTAAACAATTATAAATTTATTGAATAGAAATTATACATCTTATATAAAAAATTGTAATAATTGTTATAATTTACGTTTAAAATATAGAAAAACTACAATATATAAGAATTAATAAGAATGGGAGGCTACAAAAAAATAGCTCAATATTGTTAAAATTTTAATTTGAACTAAAAAATCTTTTATAATTATTTAATTAATTTTTTATTAATTCATTCCATCAACCTTCTTAGTTATCATCAATAAACTTCTCGCTTTGAATAGGGGTAACTCTATTATTTCTTAATTTCAAAAATTTCTGCTATCTAATCAACTTTTTTTTGTTTCCTATTTTTTTAATAAAGTTGATATATACATTTTTTCAAATACAAATGCAGTTATAGTGTTTCTAGATTAATGTAATGAGCTTTCTCTAACTGTTTTTCTTATAAATTATTATCTTTCTTTAGCTTGGGATGGACTTCTTAAACTTAAAGGAATTGTTTCTATATTTTGTTCCATGTTTCTTTCCATAGCAATTTACCACTAATAATTTTTAAAGGCAATAATATCTTTTGCTTAAGGTATTAAAAATTGTTTTAGTTTACTATATAATTTGGCTACTCGATTACGTTACTCACGACGATCAGCCAAAATTTTTCTCATATATGGTATATGATTGAGAAAGGGGAAGATATTTCTAATGGTACTTCTAAATTTATCCATCTTTTCATCTAAATTGCTGCTCTTCTCCTTTAAATATTCAGCTAGTATCTTAGATATTAATGTATATGTGATATGCAAATTCAAAATCGAAATTATTATAGCATAAGGAATTTATATTTCTTATAAATTCGATTACCCTGAAACATATATACCGATAGCTAGTGCAATTGAAGCTAAACAGACATTTGTTGAGTAATAATCTAATTTATTAAGATTATCTAGATTATATGGTTTATACTTTAAACTTAATTCCAAGTACACTCCTATAATAAGTGAGATGATGGTTGCTTTAATAATTACATTGTCATCATAATATGTCAAAAAAATGATCATTAATTGCTTCTGTAAAATTTTGATCACTTCCCAAAAGTATGCATGCTTTGTGTAGTCATTATAAAGATAACCCCATTACAGTCTTACATTCTTATTATCTAATGCATTAGAATTACTATAAAGACCATAAAAAAAAATAGATTGGGATAAAAATTGCAAGAATCAAAAGCATAGGTAAACAAAGCTCGAGCATCCATTTTTCATGATCAGGGGTATCAAATCTTTAAGAAACATTTGATTAAACCCATTTATAGCCTGAGATTTCTCTATATGATATAAGTTGAACAAATCCTCCAATTAAACTTGGCTATAAATAGATGTACATATAGATGAGCGTAGTTGTAATCACACTTCTATTAAAAGTTAAATGTTTAAGTTTGACAGCAAGTAAATAACAAAATAAAAAGAAGGTTATATAAAGAAATGGCATAATTATTTACCAAATCATTCGACCATATTATATTTCAAATGTAAAAGCATGAGATAAGAAGCAATCCAATGAATAGGTCATAGTCTAAATTGGAGATCCAACTACATTAATTGTACTTTGTAGTCCATTAGGAAGTTTTAATTAAAAAGTAGATATTGAAGAAATGATCTGCAAATAATTTGTCAGCATTTTTATTAATATTGCAGATTGATTTGTGTTTTAAGTAACTACTAGTCCTAACATCATAACACTAATAATTCTAACAACTTCTTCGATAGCTTTTAAAGTACTTTGCACTGACACTAATATCGAAACTAAAGTCCTTATATAATATATAATATTTTTACCATATACTCACGAATGTTATAATTATGGCGTTTTTCTCTTCCTCTAAACATGATCCACAAGAATATTTCTAACTAACCGAATATTGTCCATCTCCTCTTGTATCATATAAATCACATTATTCGCATAGTGCTCCAATATGTCCTAAAAAACAAGAACTGTCACCTTCCTCCCAACCACCTAAGCAATTTTCTTGCAAATTTAAACAATAACTCACAATATTGCTTTAAAAATAGGGTCTCCAAAATCCAAATTTTAAATTTAATAAAGCTGGTTAGACACTTATTGTTGAAACATCATCTTTCAACTCGCATTTTTCAGAATGTATTTTTAAAGAAAAAAAGCCTTAATCACTATTACATGGAATACACGAAAAATCAGTTTTATTTTTTATCTCACCATATTGACAACTCAAAGTCTTAATGTTTAATCTTAATTTGTAATTAGAATGAGTATTTGTCAAATTAAATGGATATTATTAATTGTAAATAGGAATTAAAATTGAATTACATCTAAATTACAATTATAGAACAATATCTGAAGGCAATGTATTATCAAAATAGACTATCAAATCATCTAAATTATAATCTTAGGTTAAATCATTAAACATTATCTTATTTAGATTAGTTAGATTATTAATAAATAGCGTATCTTGTAGAAATTCTGATGTATTTAAGATTCTACTATCAATTTCACAAAATGAATTCTCCAGATTTTTCATTACACTGTTATCTTTGCTCAAAGCAACCACCCTAAATTTGTATCTGAAAGGGGAATACGATTTATTTTCTTTAGAAAACACTTAATAAGATGAAATCTTTTGACCACTTGGCAAGAAAAGATATTAGTTCTAAAGTATAACACTAGATTATAATATCACTTATTAAACTAATAAATCTTAAGTTTATTCAATCGTAATTGTAGAAAATAACAAATTTTCATCAGTTAAAGTAATAGTTAATTTTTAAGGTATTGATACCCTATCATTTCCAAAATATTCAGCTTTATTGTTTTCAAATAAAGTTCCCAGCTTAAAATAATCCATGTCCTATTAATTAAACAAATAAATCCCTCCTCCTATTTATGCTGAATTGTGTTAAATTAAGCTATTTTTTATCAAAACATCCAAGTTTTTTTTAATTATTAGAGCACCTCCTTTCTCAGATGCCTTATTGTATTGAAAATTTGAATTTTCTATTAAGATTTTAACATTTTCCGCACATAAACAAGTTCCTATTTAAGCTCTATTGAACTGGCAAATATAGTTTTCAATATAAATTTCAAACTTCATGGATTTCAACTAAATCTCTGAATTTGAAAGGAATCGGCGTGAATTTGAAGCTTCTTTTGTTATATAAATACAGCCATTAAACCCACAAGAAGAATTTGTTACTTTAAGTTTAGAAATGTATTATTTCATTAAGAGATTTTAAACTTTCAAAAAAGATTAAAATATCAATCCATTCCTACAGAAAATGCAATTTATTTATGTAAATAATATGTTATCCAATTTAAATTAAGATAGGTCTGTGAGTTCTTAAAATAACAATAATCCAGATTAAGTATTTTCAATTACCAAATTATTTTCTTGTTTATTTTAATGAAGTATTAAAGATTAAATGCAATCTCCATAAGAAAAGTCTTATTATATATGTTCCGAAAATAAGTTGAGTGGTGCTTAAGTATTTTGGGTATTTGAAATGCACTTAAAAAATAAAGTGTAGTCTTTAACAGTTTATTACTGACAACTATAACTATTTAATTGTAATGCAAAAGTTATGTTTGATATCATCATACCATTTATCTGAATGGCATTAAAGAGATCTAGTTAATAATATTATATTTACATTGATTTGGATGCAATTTTAAGAGTACTTTACTAATGATACTATTAGATATTTTAAAATTCTGAATTGATACTAGAAACGCATTTTTAATTTGCAATGCAGATTCTAAAATTATGTTATCAATCTCAATATTTTATAAAACAATATTGCTTGCTTAATTAATCTAAAATAAGGCTCTATTATTTAATATTGCTATTTCTTCTGATTTTGAAAGTTGGGTATATTTATTTAAATACCTTGTAAAACCTTCTTTTGTATTTTAGACAAAAAGTGAATTAAGTTTAACAATTTGTTAAATTTTGGTAGTAGAGGAAAAGATTACATATAAAATGGATCCAAGTTTAGAAAATACATTATGAATATTTAAATGCTAAAATGTAATAATTACTTTAGATATTATGTAAATGAATCCTCCTTATTCTTTAGCTGTGATATTCTCGATTTATAATTTATTAAAAGAAACTTCAAGTGACTATGCTGAAGTGCTGTCTTAATATATGGCTCCTCCAAATCCTAAATCTAAAGAAAAAGTGGTAGAGATATTCTTAAATGATGTTTGCGTTATATAAATAATGCTGTTATTTTAAGCTTTAATTTGCATTGCTCCTCCAGTGGATCCTACAGATTATTCGAAATTACAAAATAATATTTCTAAATTTTCAACTAATAATTAGGCTACTCCAGAAGTAGATTTAACTTGAAATAATTAATTTATTTGTTCATAATATACTTTTTCATATTATAAAAATCCCCATAATAAATAAGGTTAGATTAATTAATAATTAAAATAACTATTATAATAAAATGTACAATTTTAAAAAACTATTTACTGACTTTTAATGTAGATAATAGTATCAGTGCCATTGTAAAGAGTATTGATTAAGAAATTTGAATTTGTGATTGTGATGGCTCCCGAAATACAATTTAGATTTAAAAGTAAAGAAGAAATTTAAAGGTTATTCTAAACATATTCATGCAATATATTGCCAACAAAAGTTATATTTGATAATTCTAAAGTTGTTTATTGAACTGAATCTACAAAGATAATAGCAGTTTAAAATTTTGAGTTTGATAATAATAATAAATTTGACTCTATAACTAAATTCGAAAAATGAATCCTTTCAAATTTTTATTATTTCACTTAGTCAAATGATTTATAATATAAAATAGGAGAGTTATAAGATTAAGCAAATTTAATTTGCATATCAATTATCTCAAAATTAAGCACTTAAGTAACAAAAAGTGATTGTAAATAATATTGACCCATAACTTATTGTAATTGGCAATCAAGATATTAATGAAGCCCTAAAAATTTAAAATGATCACTTTATGTGATTCTGCTACAGTTTCTTAATTAGAATTTTCATATTATCATCAAACTAGAAGGGTAGAGGTTATTCTTAAAGATTTAGCCTCAACAATGCTAATATCTATTAATCCAATTCCTCGAATTATATCCAACTCAGATATTTCTATATCATCAAATGAAATATAGATAAAACAGGAGTTATATGTGTTTAATTTAAAATCCTTAGTAATGAATGATACATAATTATTTGATATCATAATTTTATTAATTTAGATTTTTGAATATCCATTATTATATTTATTAAAGGAGAACAATTTAGTTGTTTGATGATATTCATTCTGCTCAATAATAACATTTGATAATTCAATTTGTAAATTATTCAATTGAAGTTAATCAGAATTTATAACTCCATAACTAAATTCTTTAAATTTACAATCTTCAATGATAAGATCTTGAATTCGATTATTATTATTAAGAATTATAAGTGTAGAATTTTAAATTAATGAATGTGTAAATTAGATTTCTTAAAGTGCAACCTCTTGAAAAAGATATAAGTTTAGGAAGGTTGGACAATTTAGTACTTCAACTTATAGTTTTAAATTATTAGCAACAAGAGATCCATATTATTTTGATTAATTTGTATCTATTAATGTTGAATTTGAAAATTTTGCATTCACTATCAAATCTACTATTTCAATGTTATCATATTTATTTAAATTAAAAAAGAGAGTTTTTTAATTTAGAAGGATGGAATTAAGAATCTCAAAAGACTAGAGTTTTATTGATTTGAAATAAGGAGTTTCCTCAATATATAAAAATTGATTGGTGGTATTTTGCATAAGATCAAATATTTTGAAATTGATTAGATTTAACTATTTTACATCATAAAATAGGAATCTAGATTAATCATTTTATTAAGTTTATTGTTGATATTAAATTTTGTCTAAGATTATTGTTTAGGGCATTATACTTTAAAATATTATAGATTTTAATCTGTTGTTAAATAATGGTTAAAAGTGACCACCTTTGATTGTTATTTAATTAAAATTTTAAAAAATGATTTATCTTTCAAACTCAATTATAGTATTTTAATTTAGTTAGATATTTAATTCAACATTTCTAAAATAAGTCTAATATTTACATAGTAGAAAATATATTAGCACTAAATACTTGTTGAATTATAGCATTTCCTTAAATTTTGCATATTTGTGGTTTGACACTTACAACATTTATAATCATTGTTTTAATTAACATTAAGTTGGCTTACATATAAAAATCATCAGTTTCAAACTAAAATAAATTATTTATTATAATTACTTGTTTAAAACTATTTCCAGATATAAGATCTTCTAAAAATATATTTTATTATTTGAATTGAGTTTTTTGATAAGATGACTATATGGAATCTAACGCTGTTGTATAATCTTACTAAGAACAATACAAATTAAGAGGAATTATCATCTTTTATTCACATTGATTACCATTTATGCATGAAACAAAACTTCCCAATTCTTAATCATAATAATAGTCTTAATCTACAAAACTTTTTAAACACTGATAAGTATTAGTATTGTATTTATCATTGTTAAAAAGAGGATTAATTGATTAGATTTCATCCTATGATCTAATTCTACATAATCCACAATTTTATGGACATGCAATACATTAATTATTAGATAAACTTAATTTTCTACCTTTTTATTCCAGCTCACATCTAATGCATTTATTCTCACCATCTATAAATTAACACTCCAAACATGAGTCAGGACAGGCCTTTATGCACTTTTAATCTACTAATTCATATCCTTTAATACACATAGTACAAATAATTTCATAATCATTCTTGTTTTCACTTTGAGAATTAAGTTTAAAGGCATGATTATCATCAAAATTAATTAAAATTTAGTAGAATGCTCTTATATTTATTTTCCAGTAATCTTTTGATAGTTTTTACTGATGGGCACAATTATAACAATTTAATTCAATTGGACATTAGTAACATTTACCTGATATTCTTTCTGCATAGTATCCACTCTTACATTCAAGACAAATATGAACAAGAGCCCACGATTACACCTTCTCTCTTAAACAGGTTGCACAATTTTCTATCTATCCAGGGCATTGTCCAGTAAATTAATTGATTTTGACCGTCTCATGTTCATAATAATGTTGATGGATTAAACAATATTATAATGATGAACAGATAGCAATGTTATCATCATAAGCCACAGTTATCTTTTCACCACTAGAGGTTACATAGTACTATCTATTTTTCAAGTAGTCAAGGATAGCTTAATCTATGATAGTATCGCAAATATATTCAACATAAGAAAAATAACAATTTTCATCTTTCATTTTCAGACATTTATAAGAATCAAGTATAACTCCATAACCATATTCACATCTCCCACAAGTTATAATAATATTATCCCCAATCATCTCTAGGTGTAAAATAGAGATCAAGTGTATTAATTTAATAATTGTTTTATAAAGCCTAAAATGCATAATCACAGTGCTTTATAGTATTTTTAAAGCAACTAATACCATCAAATGATAGATAATATTTTGAATCATCTAAACACTTGTAACATTTTAAATAGTATTTATTAATAGTTTTATCATAGTACTTTTAGCATAAACTGCAGTAAGAACCACAAGGAAGACAACTTCCATTATCTAATGCATAATGATCAATACAGGATTGACATTATAGAGAGTTTGATTCATAATTATAACTACAAGTCAAACAATTTAAAGGGCATTTATAATATTGACAATTATGTAAATACATACCATCTTTAACTTGTAGACAACTTCCATCTAAAGATGCCAATAAGCAACTAATATTAGTTAATATACAATCTCCATTTGATTTATAGTAATTAGGCTTACATTTGACATAAATATTTTATTCTAAATGTTAATACCTTGCTTGAAAACAGTTGATAGAGTCTAATTCTAATTCACAAAAATCTAAGTAACCTGGATAAAGGGATAACTCTTTATTTTGATCAATCAAATAAAAATCATAATCCTAGAGATCTCTTTGTTTATATTTAAAAGCATCATTATCTGCTAATTTTTCTGATATTAAATCGAATTTGCAAATTGGTTTTAAATACCAAGTCAATGGATAATATATGCAATCTACACATAATATGTCTTAAAAATTAGATTATGGACTGAAAATATTTAATATATAAATACCATTTTATACAATCATTTGAACCACTTTCATTTGGATATACAAAATATCCAAATTAACATGATGAAATACTATGAGGCAATCCTTCTTGTTTCTCTACTGATGAATAATGATATTCAAATGTTTAACACACTTTCTCATCTTGAATATCAATAAATCCATGTAAGCATTAACACCTTTTTTATTCATTTAAAAAGTATCTGTTAGAATCAGCATCACAACTTTTACAATTGTTTTCTTGTGGTCCATCACATTTTAAGCAGGAGTAATGACAAGCTATAAAAAAATAAAATTATATATTATACCATTTAAAAGTAACTGTTTTTCATCAACATAATTGTATTCAAATTTAAAATCGAAAAGCGATGCATATAATAATTCATTAATAAATTCATCTGCTCCCAAATAAACATAATAAGGAGAATTGGTTGGAACAGAAATATCACGAGAAATCTCCAATAAATTTAACTCATTAAAGAATTGAATTTAAAGCAAACTCTTCCTTCCAGGTATTGTAGAACCATATTCATATTTAACAAAATGCCATTACTGTAGTCCTTTGAAATAAAGTTCAGAAGAATAATCACGCAATTCATCAATTATTATTGTCAAAATCTCAAAATCATTTAGTCCCATGATTGGAATCTTATGATAGTCTTAATATAAGACAATCTATGTAAATTTAGGTATAAGCTTATAAAACCAGACTTACATTAAAAATATTTCATCTCCCATTCTTAATCTGTCAAAATAATTTTTAAAAAGACTTATTCTAATCAATGGGAATATAGAAAGTTGTATGACTCTTGATGTATCATATTTGACCCAACCTGATAAGCAGAACTTACTTCCAAATTAATTTATAGTATATGAGAGAGAAGTATCACCTTCAAAGATTTACAATCCTTTGACAAAGTATGTTATTTGTTCTTCTTGCATTTGAGGAGGTACTTAACAATTATCATTCATATAAGAAAACAAATCCTAACCTACATATTCAATCTTGCTAACAGAGATTTTTGATAATCTTCCTTTAAAAATATTTAGATTAAGACCCTCAATCTAATTTTATATAAATAAATATATATTACATTTCCACTCCCTCCTTGAAATATTTAAATATATTATTATCCTATATTCATTGTCCCTATCTAACTGATTTGACCACTCATTTCAATTATGATTTTCCCTTAAGAGAAATTAAATGTAATGAAGTTCAGAATCCATCTGCCTTCATAATTAAATGTTTAATACTCAAATTGTAGAACTTACATGTTGCTTCCTAAAATCATTATTGTATTATAAACTAACAAAGTTTGGTAATCTATTCTCAAGAATCCTATCACTGAATTACTTGAACTTCCCTAAACTAAAAATAATAATTGTCCAAATTCAGGATCTGTTACAATATATTTCTTGTCTACTGTAGGAATATTCTAAAAAGTTTATTATGGAATGCATAAACTCCAAAAACCAAAACCAAATGAATCCCCCACATCCAAAGTAACAAAAGAATCAAAATAGTTAAAATCAATAGGTGAGTCTACAGGAATTAAGGCTTATTCATATTCACTATAAGGGCAACATTAAAATTTTGGAACAAGAATGACAATACATGATATCAATACAAGAAGTATATCAATGGTTTTCATTTTTAATTCTGAAATATCAAATTTTAAATATAATATCAAGATATGTTAATATCAAATGTATAAATTTTATTATCGTAAATCAAATAAAAATAAGAAATAAGAAAATTAAATCAAGTCATTTCCAAAATATAAGAACCAGATGAATATGTTTATCACTGGAATCCCTAAAACTTGAATGCCTTTACTTTTTCTTTAGTATTGTAAAATAAATTTATTGATGGCTTTCATTTCTTATCAAACATTTTAGAATAGGAGTATTAAAACACTCACAATCAATCAAAATATTAAATGGTAATAATCTATTAAATTTTTTATATTTTTAAATACTTATTAATTTTCAGATAAAAAGTAGAAATTTTTCTTTTCATTTCATCCTTACATTTTTAAGAAACAACATTATTTTAACATAATTTATTTTCTTTTATTTTAAAGGTAGAATGCATAGTAATGAGAATAAAATTTGAAATTTAATAATCAAAATTTATTACTCTAAAGGATGTTTATTTAATAAATAGTAATCTAATAAAATTTTGATCCCATTAAATTTTATTGTTTTGATTCATTTTCTCAAAAACATTGTGTTTATGTTTTTTTTTATTTCCATATTAATTACTCATTATATTTTAAGAATTACATGCTATATTTAAGTTAAATGAGTAAATTGATTTATTACCTACTTTTTCAAACTAAAGGGATTAATATAAATTTTTATTTATAATGTAAATTTTATGCTTATAATTTCCCACTCATTAATTTGGAGCATTAAAGGGAATGAAATCTAGTGATAAAATTTATTGCATGATGTTATTAATTTTAAACCTTATTAGTCTCTGCTTGATTACTAAAAATTTATAATATTTTTATTAATGGTCAATAATAATTTGAAATTGACACTTCATTAATCATTCATTTAGATCGATAACAAGTAAAGTAACTCTGAATGTATGAATGAATAATTAAATTATTTCATTAAATGAGATTGTTAAATTTCTTTCATATAACACAAAGTAAATAGAAAAATAAATTTCTAATTAAATTTCTAAGGATTATTGTCTATTCTATGAATATTCATTAAATTTGAATAAAGTATTATATAAATATAATCGAATAAGTCACTTCTGATGCAATCATTGATATTAAGTATCTATCTTTATGGATATTTTTATAATAGGAAAGATCTTTAGAAATACACATATAGTTTATTTAATAATTTTGTTATTTAAATACAAATTGTACCAAATGAAAATACTATGTTTTACACTTTGTTGTAATTTAAATTATATATAATATAAGAGATGAAAAGGAGAATTATAATTTACCATTTCTTGATCACTATAATTACAATAATGTATAAAGCATTTAATATATATTTTCTTAAGAAAGAAATTAAAAAGGTTGATTAAAAAAATAAATCCATAAATTAAATTAATATTCCTTTTCTTGCCATAATTTTTATACCTAATGATAAAGTATAATTTATAATTCCTTTTTTAATTTTATGTCAATTTTAAGAGATATTTATGTCTTAAAAATAAATCTTTAGATTTGAAGGAAATAATATTTTTCTTGTTTAATTAAATTATATAATTGTAAAGGTAAGAGATGTTTATCATTTATGGTAATTATATGCATTTATTATGGCATAGATTTCTTTTATAAAATCCTCTTTGAATTTCCGATCATATTTGCTAAAATTGAGTTAAGCCTTAAGGAGCATAGTCTTACACTCACTTTTGGTATTATGATCAAAATTTAGTATTTTTTATTCTAGTAATTAAACTCTTTTTTTCTAATGATAAACCATTTTTCATAAAAACTTTTAGTATCCAAGATGGAATTAAAGTGAAATTAAAAAATTCAAAGTATTTTGGGTAACTTCAAATAGTTACTTTTATTTATAAAGTATTAAATAATATCTCAATACTAAGCTGATTGTTGGATTGTTATTACTATTCAAGTAAGTTAAATCAAATTTCAGCAATCAAAGAATTCTGTAGATTTTCTTTATTTATTTATGTAAATTATTTTAATTAATCATAAAAAATTTTGAATGTTTATTTTTCATAAGTATGATAATCTAAATGATTGATTTGAGTTTATTTTTTGAATTTTCTCTAATTGTTTTTTTTCCTTGACTTTAGAGTAAATAATTAGACATTTCTAACAAATTGCGAAGCGCCTATGCCAGATCAATCTTGAGATAGATAATTAAAGCCTCCTTTAACAATTAAAATTTTCTCTTAATTTCATATTTTATATAAAAAAAGACCAACAAAAATCCAAAATTTATAGAAATCTACTGTTCAAATGTATAATATTATAAAAAAGGATTATAAAAATTATGAATCTCAATATAATTTTCTGCTCTACTTAATGTTTATATATAAATGATTATTGTAGAATATAATTTAGGTTAGATAAAAAGAATTTGAAATTAATTAATTTTATTCATTCAAGAATTAAAAGGATCTAAAATTGTAGTTTTGTTTTTTTTCAGAATGGAAAGTAAGTTAAATAATTTAGGATATAAATTAATCTACTGATATATGATATTTAGACAACATAAATATTTCAATTTATATTTCTTTATTTAAATACATAAGTTTATGGATTTCTAGACAAACTAAATTTATTTATAAAATAAATAAATTTATAAGATGTATTTATTGTATACATTATTTCAAATAATTATATGAATTTAGATGTAGTCAAAAGTATATTAATTTAATGAAAATGAAACATTCAATGTTTAGCCTTTAATTCTTAAAATATTATAAATTGTAGTTTCAAATTTAAACTGCAATACCCATAAGCATGAGTTATGGTTAAAATCAAATTTTAGAGGGAATTATAAAGATGTTTGATTAAAAAAAATAATGAACTGTAGCATCTTAATTAAATAGGGCAATTCTTTCAAATGTCAGATAGATTTCAATCTATGGAAGCACTGTAAATATTGGTCCATTCAAAGATTCTATTTATATAAGTGGTTAATATCCACATTATTATACATATAGTTTGATGTGTGTGTAATTTGCACAAATTTAAGAGATTAATTAAATACAAATTTTGTTTTATGATTTAGACAGTAGAATACATAATTTTAAAATAATTGCAATTAATTAAGATATTATTAAAAAGGAATTGTTTTCAGGTTATTATTAAAAGGTGTGTTGTCACAATTAACTTTGAAGATCATTTAACTAAAAAGATTAAAATAATTAATTTACCAAAAATACACATCATGATTTAGCTATAATAAAAATCTAGGCTTTCTTTTTATTCAAAAGCTTATCTTGAGAATTTTGAAGGATTGAATTTTATTTCAAATATTTGAATAATTAATAATTTTATTTTTATAGACACAAATATATATTTTTTTATTATTAAACCTTAATAATGTCTGTAATGATTATCCATAAGTATTTTACTAAAAAAAATTTGACACAGATTACAATGAAAACAGCTTTTAAAATTTCAGTCGAATTCAAATTACAATTAAAGTTATTTTTCTTTGAAAATATTTTATTTATTTATTCATCAAAATGAATACTCTAATTTATGTTTTAATAATAAAGATAAAAATATATCTATTATATTAAGAAATATTATATCAGTATCTCAAAGTCTAGCTTTATTTATGTTAAGCACATCAATAATTCCTTATCCTATAGATTGAAAGATAAAGTTGGGATTATCAATTAAATGGTGACAATATTCTAAGAAACTCAATTTACAGATTCAAAATTTTTATCGTATTCATAATTGAACTTGTAATGTGATCTAATTTATTAATTTTTCACTTCGATTTTTGTGGTAAACAATNGCATCTTAATTAAATAGGGCAATTCTTTCAAATGTCAGATAGATTTCAATCTATGGAAGCACTGTAAATATTGGTCCATTCAAAGATTCTATTTATATAAGTGGTTAATATCCACATTATTATACATATAGTTTGATGTGTGTGTAATTTGCACAAATTTAAGAGATTAATTAAATACAAATTTTGTTTTATGATTTAGACAGTAGAATACATAATTTTAAAATAATTGCAATTAATTAAGATATTATTAAAAAGGAATTGTTTTCAGGTTATTATTAAAAGGTGTGTTGTCACAATTAACTTTGAAGATCATTTAACTAAAAAGATTAAAATAATTAATTTACCAAAAATACACATCATGATTTAGCTATAATAAAAATCTAGGCTTTCTTTTTATTCAAAAGCTTATCTTGAGAATTTTGAAGGATTGAATTTTATTTCAAATATTTGAATAATTAATAATTTTATTTTTATAGACACAAATATATATTTTTTTATTATTAAACCTTAATAATGTCTGTAATGATTATCCATAAGTATTTTACTAAAAAAAATTTGACACAGATTACAATGAAAACAGCTTTTAAAATTTCAGTCGAATTCAAATTACAATTAAAGTTAGTTTTCTTTGAAAATATTTTATTTATTTATTCATCAAAATGAATACTCTAATTTATGTTTTAATAATAAAGATAAAAATATATCTATTATATTAAGAAATATTATATCAGTATCTCAAAGTCTAGCTTTATTTATGTTAAGCACATCAATAATTCCTTATCCTATAGATTGAAAGATAAAGTTGGGATTATCAATTAAATGGTGACAATATTCTAAGAAACTCAATTTACAGATTCAAAATTTTTATCGTATTCATAATTGAACTTGTAATGTGATCTAATTTATTAATTTTTCACTTCGATTTTTGTGGTAAACAATTTTAAATTTGAACATCTCACAACTTTTAGGATTTTCAATGTACAAATTTAGAATAAAATAGGAAAATATAAATTTTCTTTTCTGAATTCTTACAGACTCTTGTTATTAATTTATATTCTACTAATTTATTGATCGGAAGGAATGAAGAAAAAATCCAAGTTCTATAATTACATTAGAGATAAACCATTATTATTGTATGTTGGTTTTTATTTTGCATTTAAATATTTTCATAATCCATATTATCTCCTATTGCTACTATAAAATTAAGCACGAGGTATTTTACATAAAATTTTTAAACACATTTTATTTCAGTTATTGATGTATAAATTATTCAAGATTATATTTTTTTTATTAATGATGAATAATAATTTTAAATTATTATTATCGACAAATTAACCTTTCTATTTAACAAAAAGCATAAGGATAAATTGCAAAGTTCTTGTTATAATATTTATTATAAAGGGAAAATTATGTCCTCATTAATTCTAAAAATCTTGGAGCTCTTCATAATCACTTGCTATTCAAATTTATTTTGGAGCAAAATGAACATCAAAAAGATTTTTTCTTGAATACATCTCTATATTTATTGGATATATATATTAATGAAGTTTATTTTATTTTAAAAGGAATAATAGTAAGATATATGAAAAGGTAATCAAATTAAGGATTTGTTCTTGATTCCAGATATAAGTTAAAATTTAAATATTGAACTAAATTATAATTTAAATATGACTAAAACTTTTATTCTAACTAATTATACTATTTGGATAGAATTGATAAGCTTTAAATTTAAGATCCATTCTTTGTGCATGAATTATTAGAATAATAATCTAATGCTTACTTTGAATAAAATTTATCCGATATTTATAAAATAATATAATAACAAATTGGTTATTTAAAATGAAAGAATAAACATAAATAATTTTAATTTAGTTGACCTCTTTAACTCTAAAATTATCTAAAATAAATAAAAATACATAATAAATATATAAAATTATATTGATTCAAATATTATAAATATATTTAAAAATATAAATAGCTTAAGTATTATATTAATATAGTCAAGTTGCAAATAAAATACATATAATCATCAGGATTAGATTAGTTAAGATTTAATTGTTTTTTCCTCAAATTGAGTGAATAACAGAATAATTTTATGGCTTAATACTTTCAAAATAGAGTTCTAAGATTATTTTTTAATTTAAATCAATTTTTTTCTCCTTAATTTTTACCTGAAGTTGTTAATTGTGTGAGATAAATAACTTATTTACTATTAAAAATAGAGACTTTGATATTGAAATCCAATAAATTTATGAATGATTATTACATTGCCAGAAGCTTAAAAACCAATTCCTATTAAATACTACTTCATTTGTTACAAATACAATATTTTGAATTAAAATTGGAAAGAATTTAGAATTTTTCTCGAAAAAAAAAATATTATATTTAATTTTATTAATTTGAAAGGTTAATAGAAATAAACAGAGTCATTCATTGGGATCCACTTATTGTTATGTATTAAATTCATCAACTTTTTCCGACATCTAATAGATGATGCAGCAAACTGCTGCTAAACCGGTTAAAAATCCAAAAAAATAATCCAACATTTGCACCATAAAGAAATCTTAAAATTCCTTTAGTCCAATCATAAGACCATTTAAATTCTTTTCTATCAAAGTAATAATATCCAAATGAACAAATTACTACAATAAATTATCCAGCAATAATTAAATATAAAATAGCTGTCAATATTCCTGAAGCTTCAACATATTCTGAATATTTAGAGGCTGTGTCTATCAAAAATATAATATTTCCTACAGCTTCTAGAAGAAAACCTATATATATTTAAATATATCAACCTTATTTATTGTAATTAATAGTATGGGTTTTTCTAAAACATGATAGATAGATTAATTCACAACTATTTAAAAAAGAGATCTATTATAAAAAATGCCCATACTAAGGTGGACTCAAATGTGCAAGCCAAATATATTGTAGCAATTATCAATAACATAGTATCCATAATTTTTAATTTTATTTTCTATCAAATACCTTGGATTCCCCCAGTAAAGAAAAATTCTTTTTCATAGTAGAAGAAATAGATATGAAAAACAAGCCATGCCTCAACTTATGCACAAAATTCACCAGTAAGTTTAAAGGGACCTTCTTTAATATATAAAAGAATGTAAAATTTAACTTTCAAAATATCTTAATAAATATCATTTAGATTTATAAAATTCTAATCTTGAATTTAATGTAAGTTAAGTAAAATAGTTCTTAAAAGCTGCTTAATTATTGCATATCATAATCAAATGAAATTAAAAATAAATCTATATTGAGGCTTCACTAATTTCAAAAAGTTGTAAAGAACCANTATAAATATATTTAAAAATATAAATAGCTTAAGTATTATATTAATATAGTCAAGTTGCAAATAAAATACATATAATCATCAGGATTAGATTAGTTAAGATTTAATTGTTTTTTCCTCAAATTGAGTGAATAACAGAATAATTTTATGGCTTAATACTTTCAAAATAGAGTTCTAAGATTATTTTTTAATTTAAATCAATTTTTTTCTCCTTAATTTTTACCTGAAGTTGTTAATTGTGTGAGATAAATAACTTATTTACTATTAAAAATAGAGACTTTGATATTGAAATCCAATAAATTTATGAATGATTATTACATTGCCAGAAGCTTAAAAACCAATTCCTATTAAATACTACTTCATTTGTTACAAATACAATATTTTGAATTAAAATTGGAAAGAATTTAGAATTTTTCTCGAAAAAAAAAATATTATATTTAATTTTATTAATTTGAAAGGTTAATAGAAATAAACAGAGTCATTCATTGGGATCCACTTATTGTTATGTATTAAATTCATCAACTTTTTTCGACATCTAATAGATGATGCAGCAAACTGCTGCTAAACCGGTTAAAAATCCAAAAAAATAATCCAACATTTGCACCATAAAGAAATCTTAAAATTCCTTTAGTCCAATCATAAGACCATTTAAATTCTTTTCTATCAAAGTAATAATATCCAAATGAACAAATTACTACAATAAATTATCCAGCAATAATTAAATATAAAATAGCTGTCAATATTCCTGAAGCTTCAACATATTCTGAATATTTAGAGGCTGTGTCTATCAAAAATATAATATTTCCTCCAGCTTCTAGAAGAAAACCTATATATATTTAAATATATCAACCTTATTTATTGTAATTAATAGTATGGGTTTTTCTAAAACATGATAGATAGATTAATTCACAACTATTTAAAAAAGAGATCTATTATAAAAAATGCCCATACTAAGGTGGACTCAAATGTGCAAGCCAAATATATTGTAGCAATTATCAATAACATAGTATCCATAATTTTTAATTTTATTTTCTATCAAATACCTTGGATTCCCCCAGTAAAGAAAAATTCTTTTTCATAGTAGAAGAAATAGATATGAAAAACAAGCCATGCCTCAACTTATGCACAAAATTCACCAGTAAGTTTAAAGGGACCTTCTTTAATATATAAAAGAATGTAAAATTTAACTTTCAAAATATCTTAATAAATATCATTTAGATTTATAAAATTCTAATCTTGAATTTAATGTAAGTTAAGTAAAATAGTTCTTAAAAGCTGCTTAATTATTGCATATCATAATCAAATGAAATTAAAAATAAATCTATATTGAGGCTTCACTAATTTCAAAAAGTTGTAAAGAACCACTAAATAATACCTATAAAAAACTTGAAGAATGAGATTTAATTTTTATTCTTATTGAAATCAAAACTAAATGCTTTCTGGAGTTTTAATTAGCACAGCTGCTCTTTATAAATAACTTAATGAAAAAAATATTCGGAAATATATCTATATTTTCAAACAAAAAATGAATACAAACAAGTTAATCTTCACTTTCTATTCTTCTCATAAATATTAATCTTTCTTCAATTTAATCTATGAGTTTAATGAATCGTTCCTATAAAGAATCGGGATTTTTTTTTAATTTTAATTTTTATTTATATTCCATAATCATGTTTAACATTATTTAAATTAAAATCAGAATGAGCACAAAAACAATTAAGAAAAAATATATTTTATCAAATCATCTTATAATTCCAAATAAAAAATTATTTGATTTTGCCGAAATATTTGTAAAATTTTATTGGTTTAGATTTAGAGAAAGCAGTAACTTTCTTTATGTCTTACTTAAAATATTATCACATAATTTTAACAGCTTTTTTATTCTCATTATTATTCAGTGCAATTATTTACATTGGAAGTATTATCGTTTTCACCTATCATTAAATTTAGTTCTAAATTTAGTTTTCATTTTCAATTTAAAATGCTTTTATATTTTCTAAACATTTATTTTGTTCTTCTTTCATCTGTTAATGTAAGAATTAAATTTCTTTTTCTTTAATTTTAATCTTTTATTCCATTTCTTTTTCAAATTAATCAATTATTTTATTCAGATTCTCTATTTTCTTCTAACAAGCTTATTAAATTTCTCATACTCTATTGTAAGGTTTCTAAATTTTACTCTATATTCTGATGTTCACAAAACTTCTTTAAATATTTAAAATCATTTTCAAATATTTCGCTATAATCTTTAACTTATTTTTGAAAGTTAATATCTTGATTGGATTTCCTTTCATTGTTAATATTATTAAATTTTTAAGATTTTCTTAAAATTTGTGAATATTTTAATTGAATAAACCTATCTAACAATAAATTGATTTCGAAGAATTTATCAGTTCATCTAATTCTTTTATCACTGTCAATTATTCTTATTTTACTTTGGTGGTCTCTTAAATTTATCATGATAATTGGAGAATTCATTGAATTTGGTTTTGATCAAAAAAATATAAAATATATAATACTATAATTATCCTGTAAAATATTAATTGACTCTTAAATATCTAATTAATCATGGTATGGTAAGCTTTCCAATTTGCTTTCAATTTCTTTTTATTATATCAAATCTTTAGATTTCGCATACTCAATTGTTGAATTTAATATTTTTTTGATCAAACTGAATCAAATTACTAATAATTGATATCAATTCTATATTCCTTAATAGCTAAATATGAGTTTATTAAATTCTACAAATCACATCAGTTGTATATGCTTGTTTACAAAATTCTCTAATTAACTTATCAAAATTTCATTAAGTTATTAATTATAATTTTTTCTCATTATATTATGGCAATTTATTCAATAATTCCTCATATTTTTCTAGGTTCTTTGCCTTAAAATCAATTAAAATTAAATCTTATTGGTTTTTTGCATAATTCAATTCCTAATTTACTTTTTCTATTGTTGTGTATTAACAATTTGGATGATCACTAATACAATCAACAAACACAAATCTATCCTCCATTTTTTTATTCTTAGTATCTATGTTAATCATTATTATTTCCTTATAATGTTTTTGGCAATTACTATTTAACGAAGGGGTTTTCTAAAAAATGATAATAAATTTACTTAAAAGTTATAACTTCTGAATCCATTAATTCAAATTTAATATTTTTATTTATTAATTGGATTTTTTATTTAGTATCTTTAAATGTGTCGATAGTTTAAAAATATGAAGTAATATTACATTATTAAATAAGAGCGCAAATTACTAAAAAAATTAACTAGTTAATTAACATTCCAATTATTTTTCTTAGTTGTCTGTTGAAATAAATTCAGAAAGTGATTTAATATCGTCTTAAAAATTATAAAACGATTAATAGTTTTCTATTAAAGATGATTTTTCTTTTTAAATAGTAAATTTTTTTTGCATTTGTTTGATTGTAGATCTTATCCAAAATATTTTCAACATCACGTTTGAAGTCTCTAATTTAATCCAGTATTTTCTTGAAGTAGTCTAATCTCGATTGGATCTCTTTAGACTAATTTCTTATTTTTTGTTTTGAGGGATTATATTCTTTCTTAAGTTTATTCAAAATTATCATTCAAATCCTAAATGTACCCCTTTTTTAAAATCATTGATTGTTTTCCTTCTCTAAATGAAAAAAAAGATGACCTAATCTTATTCAAAATTTGAATAAGTATCTTCTATTCTGACTTTAAGTACTGCAATTTAATTAAGTAATCCTTCAACGAATAAGTATCTAATATTTTCTTAAAACTTAATATAAGATTTAAGATTATCTACTATTTTTTTCGTTAATTTTCTATAAGGAGTGACTCCGAATGTTGAATTTGTTAATTATATTATACTTGATAATTTTTTTTTCTAAATTCCTATGTTAGCTTTTACATTGCTTTCTGAATTTATATATATTCAACTTCTTTTTATTTTATGTCGTAGACTGAATAAGTTAGCTGCTAATTAACATTTAATACTTTAGGAATTCATTCATAAAAAAATTAAAATAACATTATATTACATCTTTTATAGTCTTTTTATATATAAATAATAATGAATAATAAGAATAATGAATTTAATTATGAATCATTATTATTGATTTTATTTATCTTTTTAAATAATAAAATTGAATAATAAGATCTTAATCTTAAATTATGTGCATTTTATTAAAATAAATAATTGTATTATTTATATTAATTTATAATGATACTACTCATTCTATTAGTGTATAAAACTTATCAAACTCTCATTTATTAGTTTCATGCAAATTCTAACATTAGAGATGGTAATTTCTTATTATTTATATTTTAGAATGGCAAGATTATTATAGTAATGTTAATTTTTATACTTGTGGAGGGATTCAATATTTTGGATAACCTAATAATAATGGAAATTCGATTGTAATTAGCAGAATATTTTTAGATCTAGAACCTCATTCTCATATAATTGTGGATGCACAATTTCTTACGTAATTATATTCTTTATTACAAAAGTATTGATAACAATTAATCACCTTATTTTTATATAGATTACTAATCAATAAGTTATTAATCAGTGATATAATCATCATAACTCTGTGGTAATACACAATTCGAAAATGTATATACTATTTCTATAACTCATTAACATAATAGAAGAACTGTTTGGATATATATTATTAACTATTATGCAGGAGGATTAATATCATTAAAATTAAGTATGATTAAATGTTAGTATGAATGTGCTGGATGCATAGAGAATTATCATACATTTTGTTTATAATGGAAACTGCATTAATATTCATTTAATTAGAAATTGATCACAAACTCTGATGGATGGACTTTTGTATCATCGTATAGTTATTTAACTTATTCCTTATGTGGAAATTGTTAATTTTTGTACTTTTAATAAATTAAATATTCTACTGAATTACCTCCTCATTAAGATGTATTAATAAGATTTTTTAAATTATGGAATACTATAATAATAGTAGACTATTTATATGGTAAATAAATAATTAGTTCTAATAATTAATAAATAGAAATATTAATAAGAAATCATGATGATCCTATATTATTATTAAATATTAAAACTTAATTAGCTTCAGATTATAGTTATATAAGAGATTTTGAAGTATTTTACACTTAAGCAGAAATAATGTTTAATAATTTAAATGAAGGTTGTTTATATTAAATTGATGATAAATGTCTAATTTGTTAAGAAGGTTGGATTTAAGATGAATTTCTAGAAAATTGTCATCCAATTTGTGGTGATGGAATTATTCAAGGTTAAGAACAATGTGATCATGGTAATCTAATATCAAATCATTCTTGTTATTTATGTTAATATTCATGTTAACAATTTTGTTCAATTTGTTAAATTGGAATTTGTTAATAATGTTAAGATGGATTTGTNTCATGCAAATTCTAACATAAGAGATGGTAATTTCTTATTATTTATATTTTAGAATGGCAAGATTATTATAATAATGTTAATTTTTATACTTGTGGAGGGATTCAATATTTTGGATAACCTAATAATAATGGAAATTCGATTGTAATTAGCAGAATATTTTTAGATCTAGAACCTCATTCTCATATAATTGTGGATGCACAATTTCTTACGTAATTATATTCTTTATTACAAAAGTATTGATAACAATTAATCACCTTATTTTTATATAGATTACTAATCAATAAGTTATTAATCAGTGATATAATCATCATAACTCTGTGGTAATACACAATTCGAAAAAGTATATACTATTTCTATAACTCATTAACATAATAGAAGAACTGTTTGGATATATATTATTAACTATTATGCAGGAGGATTAATATCATTAAAATTAAGTATGATTAAATGTTAGTATGAATGTGCTGGATGCATAGAGAATTATCATACATTTTGTTTATAATGGAAACTGCATTAATATTCATTTAATTAGAAATTGATCACAAACTCTGATGGATGGACTTTTGTATCATCGTATAGTTATTTAACTTATTCCTTATGTGGAAATTGTTAATTTTTGTACTTTTAATAAATTAAATATTCTACTGAATTACCTCCTCATTAAGATGTATTAATAAGATTTTTTAAATTATGGAATACTATAATAATAGTAGACTATTTATATGGTAAATAAATAATTAGTTCTAATAATTAATAAATAGAAATATTAATAAGAAATCATGATGATCCTATATTATTATTAAATATTAAAACTTAATTAGCTTCAGATTATAGTTATATAAGAGATTTTGAAGTATTTTACACTTAAGCAGAAATAATGTTTAATAATTTAAATGAAGGTTGTTTATATTAAATTGATGATAAATGTCTAATTTGTTAAGAAGGTTGGATTTAAGATGAATTTCTAGAAAATTGTCATCCAATTTGTGGTGATGGAATTATTCAAGGTTAAGAACAATGTGATCATGGTAATCTAATATCAAATCATTCTTGTTATTTATGTTAATATTCATGTTAACAATTTTGTTCAATTTGTTAATTTGGAATTTGTTAATAATGTTAAGATGGATTTGTATTTTCTTAAAACAGGTAAAACTGTATATTTGAATGTGATGGTATCAATTAAGAAATTGAAACATATGATAATTAAAATAACATTCAATTTGATGGATGTTATACCTTTTAATAAAATTGTGATATAAGATGTCAACTTTGCATTAATTAAAAATGCTTTTTTTGTGATATTGGATGGAAACTTAAAGATAACTAATGTTATTCATTATGTGGAGATGGATAAATTGCTCTGCATTCGATTGAATAATGCGATGATGGAAATGAAATTCAAAATGATGGATGTTTTGACTGTCAACTTGAATGCATTTCTAATTGCCTTTCTTGTTTAGATAACGAAGTTTGTTTTATGTGTTAAGACAACTTTTAATTAGAAGGATAATTATGCTTACCAATCTGTGGTGATGGCATTATTATTAGTGGATTTGAAGATTGTGATGATGGAAATATTGAACCTAATGACGGATGCTATTAATGCAAATTTGAATGTTCATAAGGTTGTCTTGATTGTGAAAATGGATAAGTTTGCAAATAATGTAATAATTAATACGTCTTAAATAATCAAACGGCTAAATGTGAAAAGATCAAATAATTAGATGATTAGAATCAAGATTTAAATGAAAATCCAAATGAATTTGAGGATACCTTTAATCTAGTATGTAGCAAAAATTTCATCTTAATTGATTTTGAATGTGTTAATTAATGTGGAAATGGAATGCTTAATAATATATTTGAACAATGTGATGATGGAAACTTAATTGGAGGGGATGGATGTTCTTTTTTTTGTATTGAAGAAGATAATTTTAAATGTCAAAATCATTAAGACAGTATGAGCTTATGTTCTTATATTAATCCTCCTGATTTCATGTTATCTCGTCTCTCTAGCTAAAATAACCAAACTTAAGCAATTGAATTAAGATTCACATAAAAGGTCAAATTATTAGCTGATTTAAGCTTTGAAGAAATTGCAGTAGTCAATCTTATTCCATAATCTGATGAAGTTATTAATATAAAGCCGATTGTTAAGCTATCAACCACATTTGATCATCCAATATATTAAATTTTTGTTGAATTCATAGAACCTGTAAAGGATCCTATTCTTTAGATTAATTTGAATTAATTAATTATTAAAAATGAACATGATTTAGATTTAATGAGAAATTAGATGCAAATCAGTCTTGGCAAACCTTTTGTATTATCAGAGAATACCCAAAAAAAAGTGACATAAATTGTACTTCTTAATGATGCAATGATTTATTCCATGATTAGCATTTCAGGGTTATCATTGCTAACTGGAAATGCCATAATGTTTTTCAATTTGTTAGATCTATTATAATCTTTATCCTATATTACATTTATGTAGTATTCATTTCCCCCTAATTTAATATAATTTTTAAACACGTTTACTAAAGTATCATTAAAACCAATATTGGATTATTTTAGAATAGATGAAATATTAAGTTCTTTAAATGGTGGAAGTTTACCATTTCAAAGTAAAAAATCATATTAAAATTAATCAAATTCATTAAACTAGTTTTACTTGCTGAATGCGAAAAGTTGCTACTTCTCTATAATTATTTCATTAATAACATATTTGATTTGTAGGTTGTTTACATCTTAAAAAATTGAAACCTTGCATAAAATTTTATTCCAAAAATTCTAAGATAATTATAGATACTTGCTTCTTGATAAATGGTTTTCAAAAAAACTCTAGAAATTTTGTATTAAATTCAAAAATGAATACTTCTCTTTTGGAATATAAAAAGTTTATTTTGCAATCCTTCATTAATTTTTATTTAGTGCATTGATTTAATTTCCTAATTACAGCTTTAATTCCCCTCTTATGGCATTTAATAGTATAAATGCAATTATTGGTTTAGTGCTAATAGTATACATAAGTTTATAATTACTTTCTATCACATCATCTAATAAAAAAGATAAAACAAAATGGTTATATTTTTATTAAGATTCAAAATCTTAATTTTGGGCTTCTAATTATAGATCCTTTTAGATCTATAGAGTAATGTTTTACATATTTACGATTGTTTTAGCTCTAGATTATCCATAAGTATAATCAATATTACTTTCAATGTCCTCATTTTTTTATCTAGGTTACTTATTAAAATTTAAACCTATATAATCTATGTATGAATATGCCAAACTTATATCAAGAGAATTTTTATTTGTTCTAATAACAGGATCATTTTTAATTTATAGTTTTGAATTTGATTAAAATTAACTGTTACTTTATGGATGGATTCATATTGCACTTTTTTCTTTAATGTTAATATCAAACTTGATCATCGATATAATTGAATGCATTAATAAAGCTTGGAAAAGTTATAAAAGAAAGCAAGAGTTAAAAAAAATAAGAGAAATAAAAATATTTTATGACAATCCACTTCAAAATTTTGTAAAAGACAACATAAATAAGCAAAAATGAGATATGTCATAAAAATATAATAATTATAATTTTTTCTAAATATCTAAACAATTCATACTATTTATATAAATCAATTTATTATTGTATGAAGAGTTTTATTTTTAAGTATGCTCTCGAATAATGTATTCAAATAGTTAGATTCTTAGCTATCTATCCTTAACTTCTAACTGATTAGAATATTTTCAGTCAATCATATCCTTTCATGTAAAGAATAAATTTACTAATTCTCACTTTGATTCATTCAAAGTAAATCTCAATCATGAGCCATAAGTCTTTCTTTTGAGATGCATTTATTATCTTTTCATCATAAATAAGAATCTATATAAAAATATTCAAATATATATTTTAATATTAATTCATGAACTCTTTCTTCTACCTCATAATAAAGAAAAATAAAAAAATACATGTAATTTCCTTACAATAACTTAAGAATAAATTTTGTTTGCATAGCATTCTTTCGGTACATAATGTAGAAAAGTTTAATTGATATTATCCAAATCTAATATTCAACCTTGATA